AGTGGCTCCTCCGCAGACGAATGGCGTCGTTTCGGCCGCCAGCCATCCGTCTTCCCGTCACGCTAGGCCGCATCTGTCCGTGCTTCCAGAATCTTTTAGCAAAGCCAATCGGCAAAGGTCACAATCCATCTCGATTCTTGCTGGCTAACCCAAGGCAACTCATGCCGAGCATGGTTGCGGTTTGACGTCCGAGAAACTTCACCAAGCCGGGAATATCCACTCGATCAAGAAGTAAAGGAAGCAAGGTCCAAAAGGAAAATCCCCAAACCAGGGGCAGCCCATGGTTGGCCGAATCCCGATGTCCCGGTTAGTCGTCAAAAACCAAGACCCGATCCGTCGGGCGAAGTCAAAAGCATGGCGTGCAGAACAAGCAAGCAAACAAACACGGTTGATGGAGTGTTTGTGACACAGTGCGATGCAAGTCATGCAATCCCTAATCTCGCGGCGGTTAGCTGCGAAAACGAGGAGGGCATCGTCGCAGTTTTCGGAGCAGGGCTTCCAGGTTCACTCACTCACTCGAAACCATCCACGGGTTACTCCGTAGTCATCCACTTCAACCCTTTGCAAATTGGCTTTCGTGGCGAGCTTCGACTGCCCCTGTCTCATGCTCAAGCCCACGGAGTGTGCGACGGCGCGTCCGGGTTTGAGCCCGATGGTAACGTATCAATTGACGTTAACCATAAAAATATTGTTCTGGAAACGTAAAATGAAACCACCACACCCGGGAGATTGCGTCGGGCTTGGACAAAGTGTTTCTCAAACTGTCAAGGTTCTGGGTCCCATGCCCGGGCTCGCCAACAACGTCAATGGAAGGCGGGGTGTGAGTGGAATGCGCCTTCCACACCAGTGTCCATCCAGGTAGCCCAACATGCTTGAAAAATTCTCACACTGAGGTGTGCCTTCCTTCTGATGCTGGGGCCTGTATTCCGGGTTTCTCTTGAGGAACTTTGAACACAACCTCCGAGTTCAATATGGACATGGACACTCTCGTGGCCCAAATATCGACACGGCCCACCGCGGCTTGCCTGATCCTCGAATCGGTCTTTTGAGACGTAGGTATTGATTCAAGCCCCTGACAGGAACCACAAACCAAGAGCTTGTCCTTCCCACCCAATATGCGGTTACGATAGGCTCCATCCGACACACTGAGTGAGGGCCGAAGGTGATTGATGAGTTTGCTTTCGTTCCGCCTTCTCTTGCACCGAACTATCTTATCAGGTGGGAACGAGCGGCCCCCAACTAACCATCCCACAAGGTCGGTTCCAAATTACCTCGAGCTTCTGCTCACATACTACACAGTCAAGACAGTCTCGCGGAACCTGTCGCAAGACCACCCAACGAACGGGAGCCGGGGTTGGGGGCTCGAAACGACGACCGGCCAAAAGGGCCGACCACTAACAACGCTCGAAAACCCCGACGCCCACCACCCCGTTAGACTTTTCGGTGCGACGCCTACCATACCCACAACGCGGCCCGGTGCGGGAAGCAGTGTCGTCAACAAGCGAAAGCAAACAATCTCTTTCCGCCTAAAGATCGAATGTGGCAAGACGACGAGGGGCGCGGTCGAGAATCCTGCCCGCTCCCGAGGCTGTTGGAGGAGAAAGAGCCGACGAGCAAACAAACAAGCAAGCAAATTGCCTCTTCGTGCCCGTTAACGGTTCCCATTGCGCGAAAACAATTCAACCCCCTGATGAAACTGTTGTGGGCGCCAACCCTGCTGGCTTGCTCAGACAATGCACGGACCCCGATCTTTCGGCTGCGCAAGAAGATGGAGTTAGCTACACCCCCGGGTGTAGACTCCGAATCGAATCTGAGGAAGCTTCTTCCGCCGTTGAGAGCTACACTTCCGTGTGGGACGTCGTCCCGGGCCAGCATGCTAGGCTCTCGAACTTCGCGCACCTCGCGCCCACCACCGTCTTCCAATGTGACCCTCTCGATGCACGACACCTTGCCCAGCGCCCGCTGACCACCGCAGCGCGCGCTGCCTGTCTTTCCAGGCGCCGCAGGCGGCCGTCCCACACCCCAGCAATGCCTAACCTTGTTTGGCCATCTTGGTGGCTGAACAGCCTGCTTTTCGGCGTTGCTTCCCACCTCTCCGACGGCCCTGGTCTCTGACGAAATGCGATGGCATCGCAGGTTTTCCCCAGACGCCTCGTTCCCTTGGTGCGCCGGCATTGCTCTCGGCAGGAAAGCACACTCAGACTGACGGGGAATGGCGCGACAGCATCGCCCGACCAAATGCCGCGCTTGTGTCAAGCCCATCTGTGACTGCCGCAAATCTTCCGCGCTCATGGGTCGATGCCGGGAGGAGAAAAACTACGAGGTATCTGTTTTCTACAATGTAGTTCACTCGACCACCAGCCCAGCTCTACGAGAAGGATGATGGATCTCCTTTTTTGTACGCTGCGGCCTCGGAAATGCAGAGCTGCTGCGGCAGGACGTCGCTTGCCCGATTCCGTGTTCGGCTTCCTTTCTACTCCTCTCCCCGATGACAGGCGGCCGAGGCGGCGTCCAGAGCGTCTCTCATACACGAAAAATCGCTCGGTGCACAGCGATGTTTCTCCAGGCTAAATCACCAGGCATTGGGCGCTACCGTTGTTCGGAGCTGAGCACCACGTCGCCGTTAACCTCCTTCCTAATCGGCACAGCACACGGCTGCATCCCACCGTCACCATCGCTGCTGCGGCACAACCAAGCACAACCATGCCCAGGCCTTGCCAGGCCTCTCTCGTCAAGCGTCAAGCGTCAAGCCGCTTCCTTGGTTCTCAGATGCCGGCAAAGACAGAAGAGATCTACTCTCAGCGATCTTCCCATCCCGGGCCCTCTTCCATTGTCCCATTCTGGTCAAGCAGCGCCAGGTACTCGCTCCCCACTCTCAACACGACCGTTCTTTCGCCGGGGTCACCGTTTAGAGCACCTCGCGCCCAATCTTTCGTCCAAAGTTGGGTCCAGTGCCAGCCATAGCACTCACCAACTCGTTGAACCTGCCCATACGAAGTAGCTGTTGGGAGCCTCCGGCAGTGTCAGCGTCCTCGACGCGAGATCCCCTGTCGCTTCGCTGTGCGATCTGCATCCACCCTCTTCTCGTTTCCAGCGTTGCCCTCACTCCCCCTCTGCCAGGCCGCGACTCCACCCCCCTGCTCTGGAAGAGCAAGGTCCGCGATTGGCTCACAGTCACTTCGAACTCAACAACGGTCATGCCTTCCTCCATGGAGCACACGCAGAGGTGATGTGAACCAAGGACCAATCAATGACCCCTGGAAACCGGAGACGGGCTGTCCAGACTCCCTCTCTGTGCATCCGCAAGCCATTGTCGTTTGGCCTCCTCACCTGGGAGCTTTCCTGGCTCTCAGTGCGGCTGTCAGGACAAACATGAGATCTAACCGCCCCTCTGTGTCTGTTCCCGCCTGCCTACCTAACTGCTGGTGTCGGGTGTCTGCGTGGATGCAACGGGCTCGACTGGATGCCCACTCGTCCATCTCACCGGCTTTCATGCACACGTAGTTCCGCTGTCGTTGGTCCGTTTCTCACGACTTTCTCCCCTCGGCAGCCTGTCACAAACCCAGCCCGTCTTCCAAGGGCAAGGGGGCCATTCTCCTCCTCGTACCTTTTCTCAGCCACCTCTTTCCGCCGGCGTGTGAGCCACGGCGTTGACGAGGGAAAGCTTTCTCATACATTCCCTAACATGGGCTCTCCAGGGGGGTGAGGGTCATTACTCGTACAGTTTTAGTTCCAGTTCTGCCCTGACACGGCATTAGCCGTTCAGCCGAGACCTTGTCCTGCGTGTGGCCCAGCAGTTGCAAGTCGAGAAGAATGTGGCTCAGCCAGTCCGTCCAGTTTGTCCAGGAACCCGATATTATTATAGCGGAGTCATAGGTCGCGGGTTTTGTCTAATCGAGGTGCTCGCGGCCCCCCAGACACCCACCCTTGACGAAGCCGCCCGTTAGAGCCGTCTTCTGTCAGGTACCAGGTACCCCAGCACCCCGGGCCGGCCCCATCCATTGTCGTGGTTGCCCGTGCACACCCTGTCCTGCCTTCGAATGCGGCCGCGGTGCTCCTCCGTGGTGGACTGCCTCGTCCACCGGTAGTGATCCCTCCCTCTAGCCCACCTTTAAGAGCAGGGGACCGAGGGAACGGGCCTTAATACTACCAAGACCCAGCTCCCACCAGCACCATAACTCCCGAATCTATTCCCTTCTCGAGTATATCCACCAGCAGACCGGCCCCGCTGTGCATTGTTGAGCATACCCCAGGCTCACACCCAGACACACAAGATATCTTCCTCCTCTCGGACTGCTCAGGCCAAGGCCGGCTGCCCCTCCTCCTCTCTCGACCTTTCAGCTTTCTTTCAGCACCAATCAAGACCCCACAGCAGTTCTCGGGCAGTGAGTTGTTTAAGAAGACATCATACTAGGAGACGACAGAACTAGCTCCCTACTTTCTTCCGGAAACCCACCACAGCCTCACCTGATCCTCGTGTCGACTGGTAGGCGTCCGTTCCTCTAGTACGGCAAGCCGGCATATCATCCCGAAAAGATCGCCCGGATTCAACGCCTTCGTTTCTTGCCTCGGATCGTTTCTCGTTCCGGATCTTGACCATACTTTCTGGCATTTGTCGACAAGGAGCCCCTCAGGAACCTACCTTCATCGACCTTGATCGCTCACTTGTTTGGAGCTGGCCATCCTAACACCGGCTGGGCTTGGGATCTGCTAACAAAGATCGCCGGGAACCAAACTTGTGTTGTTGGAGGCAGCAAGTCTGCCGACCCGGTACACCCTGCGGTGATGTGTATCCGCGCTTCTTAGCCATTCGCTTACCAACACGACACTCGCTTGCTCGCTTTGGCCTCTCTATTTTCGTTCGCTTCTTCCAACAGGTTTCTACAACCCAACCACTTTCTACAACATCATCTCCGCCTTTCAAGGCTTGACGTTCACACTCTCAATATCCACCAAACAACCCGTCCTTCCTCTCGTCGACATCCAACGGGCGATTCCAAATGATTGTTACTAGGCACAACTCTACGGAGCAGAGTTCTTGGTCCCTAGGCAAGTTCGAAAACCCCTTTCGCAAGCCTGCGGACAAATTACGCATGTCGAACAACTTCGACACGGCGGCGCAGTCGGACTGGCAGGGCCAGTACTCGTTCCTCCCTCCGAGCGACAGCACCATATTTCCGCAGTCATACGAACATGTGACGGGTTCCGCGGGAAACACGGAGTCGTCACAGGCCCAGCCGCGGACGGTGGTCCCCCCGAGCGAAGCACCCAAACCGGAAACCTCTCCACTAGCCCATCGCCTCGATCCTCTTGGTCTTCGCCAACCAAAACAGCCGTCTCCGATCCCCGAGCAGCCGGAAACTCAGGGGGAACAGTACCCACCCAAGGTACCCGAACTGGCGACCGACGAGTCATTAACCTCGACCGAGACTCGGGGCATGTCTCTGGCATCCAATCCGTTAAGCTCTGTATCCTCGGTTGGTCAGAGCTCTGAGCCAGCTCCCAGTCAGTCGGTGAATGATGGACAAGCAGCCATGAAAGAGGAGGAAGAGGAAGTGGTGGAGGATGAGGAGATGATTGAAGGGGAACTCGAAGGCGACGCACAGACCCAGCCACAGACTGCGGCCGAGAGGACAGCGCAGCGGCGAAAGATGAAGCGATTTCGGTATGTTGGAGCCTAGGAGGAGGTTGTTTTCCGCTAGGAAGACTGACAAACAGTGGCTAACGATTTTCAGGCTCACCCATCAACAAACGAGGTTTCTTATGAGCGAATTTGCAAAGCAGCCACACCCCGATGCCGCTCACCGCGAACGATTGTCGAGGGAGATTCCGGGCTTAAGCCCCCGCCAAGTTCAAGTGTGGTTCCAGAACCGGTAGGTAGAAAGGGCGATGCAAGTTTTCACGGTGTTTCGCTAACCAAAACCAACCAGTCGTGCCAAGATCAAGCGTTTGACAGCGGACGACCGCGAGCGGATGATGAAGATGAGAGCAGTCCCAGAAGACTTTGACAGCTTGGGCGCACTTCACTCCCCATATGGCGCAGTCCACGGCCTGGGCGCACCCATTACCTCGCCTGTCGACCTCGGGAGCCCCTCGTACGCTGATCACATGATGCGGCCTCTAATGGTGGACGTAAGAAGGCACGAGGGCGACGAGCATCTTTCTCCAACTGGGCTCAGTCCGGCTTTCGGGGGCATCGGCTTCAACCACTCGACGGGGCTCAGCGCGTCCGACATTCTCTCCCCTATTTCCCCCACCTCTACCGACCGTTACGGTTACCCGAACCATCTTTCGACAGGGCCATTGAGCGCCGGGCCGAGGACATCCAACCCCTTCACACGGCAAACCAGCCTTGATTCAGGAATGCAAATGCACAACCACCACTCCCGGCAACAGATCCGCCCATTGCAGCCTCTCCAGCTCCGCGATACTATGACGAGGTCCCGATCAGATAGCTTACAGTCGCCCCTGCGATCTAGCATGTCATGGAAGGGCGATGCGATCGACTACACCACGTATCATGGGAGCAACCCCTCGGCACACTTGGGGAACCGGCAGCATGGGCTTTACCACCAAGATCAAGTGGGCGGTAGCTCGGCAGGAGGCTTGGGCGGGTATGACTCAAGCAGCTATTCCGGTGCGTCTGAGGTTTTTTTTCCCCCTCTAGGTGTTGTTGATTTGCTCCCTTTCAGCCCTAAAAAAGGGGGGCTGCTTGAGACTGACCATATTTTCTAATAGGCTCCACCGTCCAGTCGCCAAATCACTACTCCAACTTCCAATCATCTAGCCTCCAGGCCAACCAGCAACGGAATTCACGCCTCCGAGCCGCCTCAGCCTCTCTCCCCTTAGGCCTCGACCTACGAACTCAATTCCGACCCGCGATCGGGTCAGGGGGCCTCCCGACTTCACCCCACTCTCCGGCGTCGCGAACAGCGTCGACACCCCAACTCGGAGGAGGTGTCTCATCGAGTTACACGGGGAGCTTCCCGTCCGCGCCCCTCACCGCACCCGTCGATTTCTCCCTCCCACGCACCTCAGCCTACCACCACCGGGCCCCGACGACCGACTATTCGATACCGCAAATGAGCGCGCCGATTGCCCCGCCCAACGATTTCTCCCAGGCTTTCCAGGCCAGCCTGTCGGGTTCTTCCAGCAGCAGGACGCCGATGAGGGACTCCTTCGGTGCTCCAGGTAGCGGTGGCGGTGGCCCACTTGGACTAGGACAGGGAGGCCCGGGACCGGACCGCGGCGACGAGTATTCGGATCCGCTGGGCATGAAACGGAAGCGCAGTTTTACGAACCCTGTTCCGGCTACGACGAGTGCTGGGGCTTATGGCAGTGCTGCGTGATATGGACTCCATAGCTGTGGGCTATGATTCTGGGGTTTTTGCAACTAGATCAACGCGCAATACGCACAACCGTTACGCACACGCAACACACGCCAGACGGACGACGACTATTACCCAGCCCACAACACCCGGCGAAAACTCCCTTCTGCTTTATCTTCGATTCTCACGGTCGTCCGCCAGAAACCCACCGACTTCCTTATACCCACCCACGGCTTACGTTCTGGCTTAAGCGATATCTTTCTCGACCCTAACTTCGATTCGACCTTTGCGCGATCTCTCGCTCGTTGCTACGGGCTTCGCAGCAGATACCCCTTTGGCGTATTCTATTCTCGACTTTTTGGATCGGCTTCGTTTTGATCAACTCCGTTTCAGGATCATTTACATCTACTTCGATTCACCCCGATATCCTCCTGCCAGTGTATCGCTTTGGAACTGGAAAAGGGGCAGAATACTTCGGTTCTGATCCCCTTTGTTTACGTTTTTCTGGTCCTTTTTTCCCTGTATGTGTGCGTGGGTGGTGATGGACATGATGACCTTGAAACAAATAACATTTTATTGCTACGTTTTGTTTTCTTTGTAACGACTGGCGAAACGGCAGGATTAAGGTGGTACGGTGAGGGGGGGAGTTCGGTGGGCGATTTACCATTATGGCCTTCAGGTAGCGGAGGAAAGGCAAAAGAAAATCATACTCCTTTTTGTTTTGGTGTCGGCGGCGGAGGTCTATTTTTTTGGCAATGTTCATTTTTGCATCGGGTTGGAGAGGGGGTGGCTGATTAACTGGAGTGTGTGTGTGTGTGCGCGAATGACTTGTTGATGTTGGTGTTGTTGGTCCATAGTAGCAAGAAGGGGGGATAACACCAATTGTATCCCTCGCACCGGCGGCGGACTGACTAGGTTGTGTACATAGATAGAAGAACAAATCAAATTTACGATGAGCAAGATCGAATCAACTGTTCCCCCCTTTCCCGTCTGTGTTTTCACCCCTTAGCCCTCTCTGATGGATTACGGTAGTCACTTTGCTTCTACTGCCTGCTCCTTTTCTATCACCCTCCTCCTAGCCTCCCTCACTTTTACACCAAATCGGCCCCAGACTTCCCCCCTTGCCTGCCCCGAGTCTGCCCCGAGTAATCAAAAATCCGTCGAGGTGTTGTTACACGAACCCACCTCACTCACAGACTCTCTCTCATCACCCTCCCGGCTGTCAGGCCCACTGTTCCGATGGACGCATACCCCCCCTCCTGCTCTCACCAGGCCACCGGCTCCTCCAGCGGCCTTTTCTCTCCCTCCCGCCCTCCGTTCCATTCTCCATTCTTGTTTCTTTTCTTACTACTCTCAAGTAAGGGTCCGTCCGGGGTAAGCAGGGGGGTAGGCGGGGGGCTAAGAAGGGGGGCGGGAAGGCGGGGTAGCGAATCAAAATAGAGAAAAATGGAAAAGTAAAAGAAGAACTGCCGATGGTCGGCTGGCCGATGTTGGGTTGCAACCGCTTGGAAGGAGGAGCCTTTGACACCGGCACCGAGAACCCCAAGACGATGCACTGCATCTGCACTTGGCACTTGTATCTACACCATCTGCACTTCGCTGTGTTCCTGATGCTGCTGTTGACTTGCTGCAGACTAGAGAGTCCAGCAGGCGAGGGGGGTTGGGTAAGATGAAGGAGGGTGTTCTAAGGAAAGAGTGTGGTGAAGGCGGGAGGGGTATTGTGTATTCCGCTTCCGTGGTCTGCATCTGCGTCTGTCTCTATCCGGGATCTGCGTGTCTTTTTTTGGGCGGGAGCTGCCGGGCTTTGGATTCTTGGATTCAGGGTTGCGTGCCTCAGCCAGTCAGGGGAGTATTAGTAGGGGGCGAAGGAAGGATGGGAGACGATTCGAGAGACGCGAGATGTGGTGGCTGCCACAAAGGCACATCGGGCCTCGCATTGCAGCGTCCCTCCCTCGCACTCCCTCTCTTTTCTCTCTCCGTCCCCAAAAAGTGTCTCTGCTGGTTGTGGGCTGCATGAGCATAAGCATGGCACCTGGGCCTGCATCTCGCTGAGAAGTCGCAGCAACTAGGTTGGGGCAAAGCCATCGCCCATTTGCTACGGGCGTTTCATTGCCGTGCAGCATTGGAGAACAACAGACAGGTACATGGCGCCTTGGCTGCGTCCCAGGCACGGTTAGGATCGCCTCTGAAACGGAGCCACACCCGCCTTCGTTTCCTCTTTCACCAAGTTACGCAGCAAGTGGACAAAAGTAGCGTGCTCATTTCTGAGTTTCCCCGGAGAGCCGGCTCCAAGAGAACCAAAACCCGTCTCTGTTAGTCTCGGTCGAATACTCGGACACGGGGAGACGTCGACAGACAGCCGTCAAGCGGAATGAAGGCCACAGCTCGAGAGGTCTGCGCCGTCCGTTCCTGAATGCGCGTTCATAAACATTCAATTATCGGAAAGGGTTGCCGAAGGGGCAGGTCGGCTGCGGCTGGTACCGGGTGTGGTTGGCTGTCGTTGGCTGTCGTTGGCAACGGCCTCATTTCGGTCAAGGTTCTTTTGGTCGTTCCGTAAGTGAAATGAGTCAATTGTGGTTGCACAACCCCGGACTACGAAACGGACACGATATGCAATTGTTTGAAGGGGAGGGGTAATTAGACGTTATGCAGCAAACCGTTCAGCCACACCTTCGCTTTCGGCCGTGGGCCGGAAGCGCCATTGCGTGCCCCTCAATGCGATGCGCGCAAGGGGTGCAAGATCGGCATTCACCCCGCCCTCGATGTCAATGGGCGACCGTGAGTTGACGTTGGGGACTTGGCGTCTGAAGGACTGGAGGTGGTCGAAACCAGCCAACGACAACTGGCACCGATGTCTTGGGCGTGCATGGGGGTGGGCTTCGACCGTGCATCTCGAAGGTTTTTGTGTTGATCAATGGTGGTCCCTCACGACGGTTGCTGTTGCAGTTCATTGGCCGTCCTGTCTAGAGGCTGCGAATTCCCTTCGCTTTCCCGAAGACAGGGGACGAGCACGGCGAGATCGTCGACTTTCCCTGAAAGGCGCAGGGAAACGATCGGCTTGCTTTCTGTTCCCATTGGAGAGTCCGGGGAAAGCCGTCGTCGGAAAATAAGTCTGATTAAAAAAACGTGCGTCGTCGTTCGTTGGGGGGATGGAACGCCGCTGCCGCCTTTGATTGGCGATCCACAACGAAGTAGTTTTCGGGATCCCTGGTCAACGCCCACGACGTCGTGATGTTGCGACCTTGAATACAGCCTGTTCACTGATCAGCCTGCTTTGCTATCCCTTCGACGGGAGTTCAAGGGGTCCAAGAGCTAAGTTCACAAGGCTTTCACCAAGAGCCGGGGATACGGAGAAGGTGTTCTGACATTCCCCAGATCGTTCGTGCAATTGCCGGTTGATCGTGTCCCCGCTAGCGGAAGCCAACGACATAAACTCTCCGGCGACGTCGTAACAACCAGGAATTCTGTCTGCACAATAGAAGTGATCATCGTGGGGCGGGACATCTTGGGGCAAGCTCCTCGGAATCAACTATCCCAGAGCCCCAATTCGTCGAGTGTTTAACCCTCTCGACGACAGTCCTTCTCAACGGCTAGCACAACCTGGTCACGCTTTTGGCGGGTCACTCACCGCAGCGACCCGGCCGGCGAGGAGGCCTATCCGTGGAAATGAGGTCTCTCGGCACAGTCTGCCGCGCCACCTGACAAAGCTTGGGGAAATGTTAGGAGCAGAGCGTCATGTCTCACCAGTCTTCCACGCCAAAGCGGGAATGACGCATACGTCGGAATAAACCGTTGACGTCAAACACATGGCGATCTCAGCGGCTGTGGCGCCGAATCCTGCACTTAATACGTATGTATGGTAGATCAGTTAGGTCGGGAGAAAGAAGCGGGAAGTTTGAAAAAAAACATGCCTACAAGTGAACTCCGGCGCAAAATGGAAGCCCGACAGCCATGCTCGACGAATGAACTATGCCGCCGGTCCCGGAAAAGCGACTCTCTCCATCTACATAGTACTCCGTAGTGACGGAACCGCCGGCCGTGTCTGCCGTGGAGTCTGATGACTGATAATGGGTCGCGCGGCCATCGGGAAGATCAAAACGGGCAGAGGGAAAAACCGGGGGGGTTCCCAAAGCGGGCTGATGGACCCAAGTGTTTTCTGGTTTCGAGTATGGATGGGATATGCCGTTTTCCCAAGCTTGGTTCCCAGTCCGGCTACAAGTCTCGGAAGAAAAACAAAAAGGCGCGGGGGAAGCTCCTGCAAACGGTATTGGTGAAAACAGCCGATGCCGCGCCATGGTACCGAGAGACGCGAGGTGAGAATGCGCGAAAAGGATCTGGTGGAGTTCGAACCTGCAACAAAGATGAGTGATCTCGCTTGGCCAGGCCGCTCGATCAGACTGATCCCTGCCATTTTACCCCTGGCGCGCCGAGCGCGCCTGCCGGACGCACAGACCATCCGGAGCGACAATGCCGCCCCCAGAGCCGTTGCCAAATGCGGTAAGAGCAAAGCTTGATGAAAGCCAAGACAACTTCATGGCCGCAAGACACATCACAACCACCTCCTTCCCTCGACATGAGGGCGGCACTGCGGTTGAGGCAGGTGCGCTGAGCGACTCACAGTGGAACCACGCCATTTTCTTGTCCTGCTCCTTCCTTAGATGTAAAAAACAAATCAAAAAGGATGAAAGTGCGCCGGTTTGCTGTTCACGGCCTCCTATCGTGTCCCCAAAAGGAAGGGCTGGTTCCACGGGTATGAGCTTGAGCCCTGCCGGGACCCAAAACTCCAACGTGGAACGCCACACCAAATCCGAGGACCGTCGAACCCCTAACTTTTCCGAGCTTAATGAAGAACTTGCTCCGGTGATCCGGCTGCGATCCGGATACGATCTTTCAACCTTGCCAGTGGGACCTTCGCGATCACAGCCGAACACCAAACACCCTCACTGCACAACGCCCCAACACCGGTACCGATGCCCGCCATTCGGTATCATTATTTACGAGCCGAAGCCCCCGGCTGCTTGACAGGACTCGCCGAACAAAACAACGAAGGAAACAAATGTGAGGTACCGCGATGGGACAGGCAGAGTAGCATTCGACATCACCACCGACCGCCGCGACTCCCCTTCTACACACACTGCAGTGGCAATTCGCTTTCCTTTTCTTTTTTTCGTTCAGACTATCTTCAAGACTGCTCCAATTCTTCGCCCGCACCCGTCAGCCCATGACCAGGTTGAGCGACCTAGTGGCTCGGGTTCAATATACGCTTCATTCGGCTAAATGACATTCTTCCTTGTTGGATTGGAGGCGACCGGTCCCCAGCCCAGCACCGACAGCTTCAATTTTCTTGGCCTGTCAACAGGAACCCCGGGCTTGCAAAGCATTGCGGTTCCCCCCGCTGGCTCCTCTCCTCTTGTGCCGCCCACCCGCGATACCCAACTCTGCGGTTGGGTCTGGATCTATGGTGGTCAGCTAGGGACCCGCCCACCACAAGTGGCCGTTGATGAGTGCATAGCAAGCGTGTTCGAGTCGGGGCCATTGCCCCGGGACCCGGGCAGTCGTCCCAGGCCACCTAGGGCGTCAGAGGTGAAGCAGCTGCAGGCTACAAAGCGAATCAGTCCACGCCCATGCACGACAGAATGCCTCGTCTACAGCTGTAGTGAACGTTTTAATCCACCATGGTATGGCCGCATGCAAATAGGCGCCACTTCTCCGTTGCGGCAGATCACGTACTGCGTCGCACGCTGCACTTCGAAAGCCACTCCAGGCGATGGATCAGCCGGGCCGGGGGTGCCTGTCATCGGGTGTCGCTAGATCACGGCAGCGCCCCAACCGCAAGTCATGGAATTCCTTGCCTGTTCTAACCACCTGCCTTCTTGAGAACTAAGAAGGTGTATCTCCAGGGCTCGGCTCATCAAGACTGGCTCCGCCCAACATACCAGGCTTCCGTTCAGCCGTTGACAACAATATCCCATCCATGATCATGGCCATCTCCTTTCGCGACGGTGATCCGAGCCTCATCGTGAATGACGATATTCTGAAGTGCAGCCGGTTTTCTTACTCCTTTCTTACCTTCCAACGATCCATAGGAATGCCGTGTAGCGGATTACGCCAGGCCACAGTCCGGTCTCATCGAGCTTCGGGCCCCATCTTCTACTCCTTGCAATGGAGTAAAGGAGGCGCCAGGAAGGTGTTTCTAGCCGCAGCCCAAGCGCCGGCCAAGCTCGCCGGTCTTGGAGGACGACGACATCCTAGCCACCTTCAACATCGCGCCCTTCCCCATCGCTAGGCCCGAATGGCGGCTAGGGAGACGAATGACAAGACATTAACATCCTATCATTCGTCAACCCATCACCGCGGCCGGGGTGATCACATCGGGATCGAGAGCCGGCAAGCCCGCGAGTGAGGAGAAGTCATGCCATACAAGTGGCCTGGTTCGATTAGGCTTAGGCGCTGTGGGTGGGCGAGCAAAGGCGTGAAAATCGCCTGTCTGTTTGAGGGGTTGCATTCCGCCCGGCTAGGGATCGGCCGATGAAATGTTGAAAGTGAGTAGAAGTACCAGAGACTTAGCAGACCTCCAGATACCCCCTACCATCTGGGCGGGGTCAGGTGAGAGAGTAGTCACCGTCTCGACCGCATCAACGAAAGTTTCCTCTTACAACCATTCGATTTAGCATAGGGAAATAACCAAGCCCGCCCTGCGTAGCGATGAAAGTCGATGGGGTTGTCAAGCCGATGTCCAGGAGTTCAACAAATTGCTAACGAAACCATACAACGCGGTCTTTTGGTTTCTGATGATGCTCATGTACCTGGTAGAACCATTCAAATGCATATGGACTTTGATTGCTAGCGCAAATTAATACCATATTCACGTCCCTGGTCAGCCGTGCCGCCTCTTGCCAGTCGTATGCCCTCGCGGTCGACAGCGAAGATGAACCAATCTTTACAGTTAAGAGAATGATTGGTTTATGAAGATCGCTGTATCTTCCAACTGGCAATGGGTGTGAAAGCATTTCCCTGCCGCTATTTGCCCAGGCTCTAGTTGTTGAAGTTTGATCCCAGGGCCCAACTCCGGCACCGTTGGTGTTTAGATCGGATACAATAGAAGACTTTGGCCGGACGCGAGCCATGATTACTCGTTCCATCTAGGTCTCTTTGGATTGCCCAACTCGACTCTTCGAAGTCTCTTTCAAAGACACGGCGCGGCTGATCCCTTCTGTTTCTCCCATTCAACACTAAAGATCGTTGCCGGTCTCAGATCAAGCGCAGGATGCTAGATGACGAACTCAATCCCCTAGTATAGTAAGGAGAAGACTTCCGGAGCAGTATAGATGCAACAAAGAGCCGTCGATTGTGGTCGAGTATTGAAGAGTCACAAGAGAAGACATGTGCAAGACAAATTATGCCAAAGGACGGGTTTAAACAGGCCGATCGTCGTGGGAAGTTACTCGTTGGTCGTCGACGGTATATCGAAGTCTCTAACGTCCTCACGATGACGATGACGCCGACGAGGAAGACAGAAACCAACGTCCATTTCAAGAATATTACCGGTTCGCTTCGATCCCGTCGTCTACGCGCGCTAACTATCCTCTCGACGTATCGCACTCAACCGTCTCCTCACAGGCCCCATCCGACTCTCCCCACGCTCCGCAAGCTCTGCCTCATCCTCTTCATCATCGCCTTCCCCGCCAACCACCCGACGTCGACCCACATCACGACCGCTCCCGCTTCCATTCCCACTCCCACTACCACCAACCATCACGTCCACCTCCTTTCCCGTCGATCGCCCCGTCGAATCTCCAGTCCCATCTTCCCCATCTCCCCCAGCCCCGGTCCCTGCTTCGACAGCACCACCGATCGAACCCCCAACACTCTCCATCGTAAACGGGCTAGCCGTCGGCGCGTCCAAGACGGCAAGCTCGTCAGGAGATAACCAGCGTGGCAAGACCATGGCGCGTAAGGGGATGAGCAGGAAAATGAATACGGGAAACCCGACGGCGGCTACGGTCTGGGTTATGGCGAAGGTGGCGCCGAAACCGAGGAGTTCGATTAGGACGAAGGTGTAGAGGGCGCGGCGACGGATTCCTCCTCCTCGTTTTACATTTCCTTCCGCTTTAGATGGCCGTTTCTCTCCCTGCCCCTCACCCTGCCCCTCACCCTGCCCCTCACCCTGGCCTTTACCCTGGCCCTGTGGAAGGGAACCAGCCGTACACCGACGCAAAGGATGTCCAGCAGGCGTCAACGCAGCATCACGAGCCAAAAACAAGATCTTGGCTGTGATCCCGTTTGCCTCCAGCGCTTGGAACCCCATGATGAAAAACAGCCCCGCCAATACACCCTGCGGAATAAGATGCAGCACCGTCAGCAATGGGCCAGTCATGGCTACCAGCGTGAGGAGACCCTGTGCGAGGTTGGAGAGACGCTGCTCGACGACGTAGATGGCACGGAAGGTGAAGCCTCGGTCGGTAGTATTAGGATCGGGGTCGGGGGTGTCGGATGAGGAGGAAGAGGAAGAAGAGAAGGTGGGCACGGCTTCGGTCACGCAGAGGGACTCGGTATGGAAGGGGGCTTGGGGGATTAAGCCGTTGGGGAAGGGTAGACCGAGGAGGCCCGCAACGCCGGTGGTTAGGCCGAGGAGGAAGAAATCCCAGTGGAAGCCGGCGGGCTTTTTGAGGGGGAACTCGGTGCCTTGGGCGATGAGGGATGATACTGGTGCCATGTCAGTTTGAGGAAGAAGTACATAATAGGGGAGAGAAGCAAGTTAGCATACCGTTGTGATCGAACCAAAAGAGGATAGTCAAGAGCAGAGCAAAGGGTATCGCCACAAAGATATCACCCACGGGAATATCCCAAAAATGCACGAACCAACTCCTCTCCGACACAGTCGGCATAAAAGCAATCCCCGTAGGCAACGTCTCAAGCGGAATATTCCTCATTTTCCCCATGTGCACAAACCCGGTGAAAAATACCACAGTCAGGGGCGTGCCATAGTCCTTGAGAAACACGCGCACGGGGTGCTTGAACAAGCTGCTCTGGCCGAGCTCGCCACAGATGTAGGAAATGGCGAAGACGAGCAGGGTCACGACGACGGAGAGGTAGAAGGGCTCGCCGTCGCCGAGGGTCTCGAGGATTTGAATGCCCTTTTGGAGGTAGATGAAGGCGACGTAGAACCCGAAGATGTCGCAGGGGAAACGGGTCACGTAACGCAGCCAGTTACACGAGTTTGCGATGGCTAGGATCCAGTGGAAGATCAGAGACCATCTGCGGGCAGGTGGTTAACGCGGTGTTACATGCATGTGTACATGCTGTGTCTGCTTGACTTACATCCCGATCCAGCACATAAAGGCTAGGTAGTTAGTCCCGCTCGGCATCATTATATCGTAGACTGTACTAGCGGACAATCTCGTTAGCCCATCCCCCCAATTCATTAATACACTCCGTAAATAAGTATGGGAAAACCTACTAGTTGAACACGGTAATCGGCCCCGTGACGCCGACAATCACCAGCGGCTGACACGCCAGGACCGAGAAGACCACAGCGCCCAACACAGACGAGAGCAGCACCTCATTAACGCCGTACTGCATTCCCGTCTTGTTGAACATATCCAACGAGAAAGCCAGGGCGGGCAGGATGCTAAACGCAGGTTAGCCAAGAACCCCATCTCAATTTGTTATTCAAATCGAAAGGAACGTGACAATGATGGGCATCAAGAAAAGAAAACCCACTTAGCAAAAAACATGTACACCGTTGCCGGCACAACCCGATAATTCCACGCATCCGTCCAATCACTAAGATAAAACGGCGCCCGCTTCCGGATATCGTTCACCATCCCCCGGAAGAGATGAATCTTCCACCACGGATCATATTTTGGTCTTGATCGCCGCTGGTGGTCCCTCTCATACGATGTGGGGGAAGTCGGGTCAGGACATGGCTGTTGTTGTTGTTGCTGTTGTTCTCTCGAAGCACGATGATGTGCTTCTTCAGATGAAGACCCCTTAGACTCAGACCCGGATGAGCGGACCCAATCCCGGATCCGGAGACCGCCCGTTTTGAGCCGAGATTCGGCTCCGACTCTGGCCCCGGCTCCGCTTTGGTGCTGGTGCGGATGATTCGTGATGGGGAGCGTGAGGCCGTCATCTCCGGAGGAGGAATTGGCGGTGAGTTTGTTGGGTTTGGAAGCCATGGCTGGCTAGGGAGGCCCTGGGGGATAAACCGAAATAGATATATGCTCTAGAGGCGAATGGAAAAAAAAGAAAAATATAAGTTCGGTGAAACGGTCAACCAAAAATTACAATTTCCACACCGTCAGAACCATCTCGGTGTTAAATCAAAGCTAAATGATAGCGTCGTCCATCTATTTTCTCTCAATTTTTTAGGGTACAATGAGAATAGATGATGGCGCGGCGCACTCTGACGGCTCTAAAACCTTTAGTTGAAGGATGGAAAGAAAAAAGAAAAGTTAAAAGTCAAAACAAGACATCAAAAATCATCTGCATGGCGTGCAGGGGCGGCCAAGAGCGGCCCCACAACAAAACTGCAGAAAAGAAGCGGGATGGAATTGGCGCCAAAGTGCAGATCCAGATGCCGTATTTCCGGTATCAACAGCCCTGGGAAACAAATAGTTGCCATTCGGTTTACTGACCGTTAGATGGCCGCTCAGGATCTCACCATGCTGTAGGGATGAAAATGCGGTGTTTGGCACAAAAACGCAAACTCATCAGAGTAGTCGCATCTTTATATGTTTATATGTTCAGTCAGCACTTGGATAAGAATATGGAAATGGGACATCTTGGTTACTGTCAATTTTTTTCCTTGTCTTCTAGCTTGCTCCCCCCTTTGCCCTCTTCTTTCAGGCCGCAATGCACACGCCTCGCCATATTTACTTATAGACAGATTATTGATACAAACATATACGAGTAGAGAAGTCTCCCTCTTCCCAAGAGGCGTGTGTGTTCAGGGATCAGATCTCATCTCCCTTCCATTCCCTTCTCCCACCACGTTCTTTTCCTCGTACATGACCCCAACTAACCAACCCCACCCAACCAGCCAAGAAAGAAGAAAAGCGCCCCAGCCATGTGTAATTTTTACATTGTCAACTCAGCTCCTTCTTCCTTCCCTTCTTCACCTCGTCCCATCAACTGGCGGACTCTGTTCCCGAAACGATACAGGTGCTGGTGCATTGGGAGTTGGCCCTTCCTCCTCCGGCGTATCAGTATTCTCCACGGGGAACGGCGGCGGCGCACTCTTCTCGCCCTGGCGGTTATCAAAGAACTTGGCAAACTCCTCTTTCTCGGGCCACTCGCGGGGGCCAAGCAGACGCACCAGGTCGTCACGCGTGAGCATCTCCTTGCGCAGCAGCTCCTCAGCGACAATCTCGATCTCCTTCTTGCGCGCGACCAGCAGCTCCTTGCACTGCTTGTAGGCCTGGTCGACGATGCGGCGGACCTCGGCGTCGATGGCCTGGGCGGTGGCCTCGGCGAAGGGCTTGTGCAGCTGGTTCTGGTCGTTCTCAAAGTGCAGCGGGCCCAGCTTCTCCGACATGCCCCACTGCGTGACCATGGTGGTGGCCATGCGCGTGACCTTCTTGAAGTCGTCGCTGGCGCCCGTAGTGACGGTGGGGAAGTGTAGTTCCTCCGACACACGGCCGCCCAACGTCATGGCCATGCGGTCCATTAGTTGGTTGGTGTTCATCAGGTAGGCGTCGCCCGAGGGGAGGTACTGCGCGTACCCCAGCGCGCCTTGACCGCGCGGGATGATGGATACCTTCAGCAGCGGGTCGGCCCACCGGAAGAACCACCCGCAGATGGCGTGGCCGGCCTCGTGGTACGCGACCGTCCGCTTCTCCTCCGGGCTGAGGACCAGCGACTTGCGCTCGAGGCCGCCGATCACACGCTCAATGGCCTGCTCAAAGTGGATCATCGAAACGGACTCGGCACCGGCTCTGGCAGCTAGAGACGTTCAACAGTAGTTAGCTTCCGTTAAAAGGGCAAGACATAATCGTTAAAAGGGGGAGAAGAAGGGGGAAAGGGAGGGGGCGCATACCAATGAGCGCAGCCTCATTACACGCGTTGGCAATGTCAGCACCCGCAAAGCCAGGAGTCAGCGCAGCCAAACGTCCCGTCAGATAATCCATATCCTCGTGAGTCAGAATCTTGGCCAGATGCACCTTGAAGATCGACTGGCGGCCCTTCATCGTCGGTCTGTCAATGTGGATATGACGGTCAAACCGACCCGGCCGCATCAGCGCCTTGTCCAGAATGTCGGGCCTGTTCGTGCCCGCCAGGACGACGACCTGCTCCGAGGTGTTGAACCCGTCCATCTCCGTAAGAATCTGGTTCAGGGTAGCCTCCCGCTCGTCGTTTCCACCACCGCGGACACCACCGTCCGACCGAGACTTGCCGATGGCATCGATCTCGTCGATGAAGATGATGCAGGGCGCGTTCTGGCGGGCCTTGGAGAAGAGATCGCGGACGCGGGACGCACCGACACCGACGAACATCTCCACGAACTCGGAACCGCTAACGCTGAAGAATGGCACTTGCGACTCGCCGGCCGTGGCCTTCGCGAGCAGTGTCTTACCGGTACCGGGCGGGCCCGAGAGGATAGCGCCGCGGGGGATCTTGGCTCCCAGCTTCTGGAAGCGCTCCGGGGTCCGCAGGAAACTAACAAACTCCATGATTTCCGTCTTGGCCTCGTCCATACCCGCCACATCCTGGAACTTAACCTTGACGGCCGAGTCGTGGTTGAACATCTTGGCCTTGCTCTTTCCAAAGCCAAACATGCCGCCACCCGCACCCCCGCTCATATTGCCCGCGCGCCGCGACAGCCAGACCAGCAAGCCGATCACCAACAGCGTCGGCCCAAACGCCATCAGGAAGCCCATAGCCGCGCCCTCGCGGGCGTAGCTCACCGGTATCCTCTCGTTCGGAGGCACTCCGAGCTCCGCCTGGGCCTCGTCTAGCCTCCTCTCAAAGGCGTCAACCGAGCCGATGGAGAAATAGTAGCTGAAGTTCGCCTTTGCCGCCTGGGAGTCGGGATACACGTTTTCGACCGCTTCCCGGTTCAACTCAACGCGTACCTGCTTGTTCTCGACCACAAGTTTTTCCACCAAGCCCTTGTCGAGGAAGTTCTTGCGCAGCTCCTGCCAGGTGATTTCCCTGGACTGGGTGATGGGAAAGACCCAGTCGTATGCCGTGAAAAAGATCATGGAGCCAATGATCCACGCTGCGGCCTCCGTGAGCCCCATTCCAAAAACTTGCGGCTGGTCCTCGCCCTTCTTATTATTCCGCCCCTGCTGCTGTTGCTTTTGAGGCCCCCCTTGTTGCTGCTGCTGCTGTTGTTGTTGCTGCCCCTTCTGCTGCTTCCCCTGTTGCTGCCGCCCCCTATTCTGTTCCTCACCCTTCTTCTTTTTCCCCTGCACCCGCCGATCCACCTCCCGGTCCAAGTTATTGAATGTCTCCTGCTCTTCCGGTGTCCTTGGGCTACCCGCCTCTTGCTGCTTGTCCTGATCCGGCTTTTGCGAGGCGACGTTTGATGCATCTCCCCGTGGTAAATTCTTTATGGCCGCATCAAACTTCATCACTATCCCAGGAACCTTGACAGCGTCCATCATGCCGAGCGTCCCGTTTCTTTGACGCTGCATTATATCCCGAAGCTCCACTGGCACACCGATCGTCTCCATCGCCTCTATGATCTTGTCTACCTCCTCCTTCCTATGCCACGCGGGGAAGGTGACGAAAAACTTCTTGACCTCCTCGATCTCCTCAGCAGTCAAGCGAACAAACCCCGGCGGGAGCGGGGGCGGCGGCGGGGGAGCTTCCTGCTGGGTCGCATGCCCGTCGTCGTCCGGCTTCGGCGGCTGATTGGGAGTGCCGCCATTCTGGCCGCCAGGTTCTCCGCCGCTTGGCCCGTTTGGCTTCGGCGAGTTGTTGGTCGAGTTGAGCCGGGTCGTGAGGAGGGTTGTGCTCGCGGGCGCAGGGCGTGGGAAGCGGGCAGCTCGCAATGCGGGTCGTGCTAATGGCTGGAGTGATAATCGTGAGCAGCGCGCCAGTTGGCGGGCTGAGGTGCGAAACATGGTCGCGAAGGTGGTGTGGAAAGGCCCCGCGCGGGGAAGGGGGGGTCGAGGGGCGTGCGTGTGTTGTCGTGAAATATGTTTGCGATGTCTTGTGCCAAGGTTTCTTCTGAAGAGAAGTGGGATGGAGGTCAGGTTGCGTTCGCCGGGGATGGATTGTGGGTGGGTCTCTTCTAACACCTTCCAGCAACGCCTTGTCTTTAAAAAGTGCGAGGAACCGCCCCCCGTCAACGCTTCGCCTGCCCCAACTAATATGTGTTTAGTAGGCTCGTCACCCTACTCTACACTGCTATACCGCACTCCTCGGAACCGATCGCTTCGTCGCCGCCGGAACTGCGGATTTCCACTGGGGGGGTTGGCGGGTCGTCGTTGTGGTGTGTGTGCGGGTTAAGTCCGGCGCGGCCGAAGTCAAAAAATCCAAAGCCCCAGGTCGCCGACGGATGACGCCCGCTTGCGTGCCGCGGGACACTTTGCCCACAAGGCCAATCGCCTAAACCTGAAACGGCTAGTCTGCAGTCACGTGCGACCGTCGAAAGACAACTACCAGCTGACTAATCTCTGGTCCGGGCAACGGGTTGCACCGCAGCCGGCGGAGCTCTTTTGTCTTGAATGTCAACCCAGGAGGGAAAACATGGAGGTACGGGAAGTTTGAGGGCTAACTCCGAGATTTAAGGAACTACTGTAGCCAACTAAAAAGCTCTCCCGCCGAGCCCACATCTAACGTCGACAACGGGCTGGATCTCTCCACCAACAAGTGGTTCTAAAGTTGCCGTGTTCCTTGTGCCACAAGCAGTCGAACTGATAGCAGCGCGGAATCGACCCCCCTTCTGCTCCTCTTCACATTAAGCAGGTAAGGCTAATTCAGAAACAAGTCTCGGTAAGTAGGGAAACCTTTCGAATGTACGGAGAAATATATAAACCAGCTACCTTTTAAACCGTGGTCAAATTCCCAGGATTGAACACAGTACCCCCCCAGAGATACGATATATGTAGCAAGTGTGATAAAACATCTCCTAGAAACTAAAACCGGGCCCGCTATATCCCCAAATCATTTCCCAGTCTCTCCCGCGCCCGCTGCCGCCTCATACACCCAGCTCCATTACCCAACCACCAACATCACATCACCTAACATGAGGCCCCGGGCCCTGATGTGGCACTTGCCCGTGCCCCTGACGCTGATGATGCTGCCCCTGCCCCCCATCCCCTCCCTGATCCATCTGATCCATCCCCCCGCCGCCCCCAAACGCACCATTCTCGACACTCGGATACGCCCCGCCACTCATCTCAGCCCAGTTCCAGTCTAGCGTCATAGGCAAACTGAACAAATCCTGCGGAAGCATCGGTTGCTGGTAGAAGACACTTCCCGAGCCGGCGCCGCCTCCAGGTCCCGTTAATGGTGGGCTGGCTATCCCCCCGCCGGGGCCGAGCCCCGCAGCGGCGGCCATGGCGTCCATGGCACTGAACGAGGTCATGTCTGCGTAGGAATTGTACTCAGAGCTGTCAGGCGTGAACTCGCTGTGCCAGCCGGTTGGTGCGAGGCCCGGAGATGGAGACTGGCTCATGGTGCCTGTCATGGGACTGCCGTTGCCATTTTGGTTCTGCGGGGACTGGTGGTTGATCGTGGGCGGGGATAGGTGGCTCTGGTTGTTTGTAGCGTACGATCCGCTGGGTTGAGGCGTGGCGGAGCTCGATGTTGCTGGTCGGGACGTCGGTGGGATGGGGTTCGGATTGAAAGATGGAGAATTAGCCGCATCAGTAGCCGGTTTTGTCGCCGACTGATCCTGGTTGTTCTTCCGCTTCCGTCGCGAGGCGTGATCCTTCTCGGCCTTCTCTATCACAACCTTGGCGATTCGGTCAAACTCGGAGCACACACCCAGCATCCGATGCACACCGCCTGTCTCTGCTTCGTGGCCAAGCATAGACAAGAAGTTGACGACAACGTTCATTAACTTCGTGTCGGACTTCGCCCGGGGGTCGAGGGGGTTCTGAAGAATATGCCCGAATAACGTGACAAGTGCCGATACTGGGAAATACAACACCATCCTATGACAGGTCAGAAAACACAGAGAGCAAACCAAAATGCTAGCGATGTTATACGCACCAGACACACGAAAAGTCGCCCTGTGGGATGTATTTCAGCAGTGAGATCGACGCCCTAGCAGCTGAGGTACATAGAGCTGCCGAAGAGAAGATGCGTGGGTTCAGAGGCCGCGCGTTAAGCCCCTGAATAGCAAAGTCGGACAACCGGCTGGTCCAGTAGCCGTGGTGGATCGACATACGGTGGATCGTCGTGAGGCAATTGTAGTAATTGAAGTGCAGCATGACAATGTGAAGAATAAGGGGCGTATGCGACGCCTTGATCTCATGCTCCGGCCGGAAGTCGATGGGAATGCGGTCTTTCCAGTCCTCCAACTCCTTATCGAGCTCGCCAATGGTGTTAAGCAACTCGCCATCGGTCTGCTTCGTCGCCTTGGTCGAGTAAAGTTTCGTGTACACCCTGCTCTCAACGATGGCGAGCTCGCACATCACGCGGAACAAATTCATTTTCCCCTTGCCGTCCGCCAACGGGATGTTACCGATTCCATCTGCGGGATCAGCATCAGGCAGCTCCACGTTCATGTCAGCATCGTCCTGTGCCGGTGGCCGACCAGACCGAAGGCACGAGTCCTTGTCAAGCATGTAGGCGATCCAAAATACCCGCTTCCGTTGCTCGATCTCGATCGGGTTGAGATTAAACCCCGTACCACGCTTGTGTAGACCAATAGTGTGCGAAAGCCGGATCGCAGTGGCGATGAGCAGGGTCGACGGCTGCGGGTTTGGAGTCCCTTGCATGAAAAGAGACATTCCCAGAAGGGCCTGGACGCTGAGAAGGTCGGTGTTGCGCATGATCAGTTCGGAAAACGTGGCCATGGCGTTCTTCATGTAAGACCAAGCCTTTTCATCCTCCTCTTGTGGGACGAGGTTACTCATAACCCGCAAACGATGTGCAATGGCCAACGCCACGTTCAAGCTAGCCCACCAGCCAGATCCGGTATACGGGTCGTTTGAGTACTGTCTCTCCACCAGATGCATAAACGTCGGCTGATGGAAAAGCGGGAATATGCAATTGAAGTTCTCGAAGAAGTCCTTCAGCAGCGACAGCGCCTCCGGCTTCGGAGGCAGGTCCCTGAAGACGGTGCGGCGAAAGAGATCCCCGAAGACATCGGGTTTCCACGCAGTCCACTTGTGGTCGTCGATCGACACGTCGGAGATCATCTGTTGGAACGACGAGTCTCCCATTTTCTCATTCACCCACTGCACACCCTTGGGCGAGAAAATTGAGAATCCAGAGGATGAACCTGCACTAATATTAGCCACAGAGTGTTAAAAGAACAACATCACAGTCAGCACAAGCGTTTTCATACCAATATACCGGGTCTCGCCGTTGGTATTTGTCACGAGCGAGCACATCATTTCGGACAGCTCGGCAACCTCCTCTCGATCGTCGTCTTGACTGTCTTTGTCGGGTGTGGATGATCTCTGTTTCTCTCCATCCTTTGAAGGTTCCGGCGAGGCTATCGCGCTACGGGGGGTCGACGTACTCCCATTTGGGGCTGTGGCGACTTGTGGTGAGGTTGGGTCGGAAACGGCCTGCGAATTTTGCCTCGACTGCTGATGCTTCTCGACCAACTTCTTTTCCAACGTCCCAAGGTCAGTAGCCCCGTTATCGTCCTCGCCGAGCAAGCCTACGTCCATGATGTCAGCGGATCACCCAACTAAAGTTCCAGCCAAAGGGCCGGGTACAAGCGATAATTCCAGGCATACCCGATAGCCGCAGTAGGTGCTCCATACGCCCGAGGCGGTTCTCAAGCCCCTCGATATATTTGGCCCTATCCTAGTTAGCAAGCTCGCATGCCACGACGGAGGGTATGTTTCCAGGAACTCACCCCTTGGGGGGATTCCGCTTCTTCTCCACCTGCGTGAAGACACACTCCGTCTTGTAGTTGGTACAATGCGTGCAGGCGGGCAGCTTGCCGTCGCACTTGATCTTCTTCTTCCTACACATATCACATGCCTAGTGATAAACGTTAGTCAGTACGACCGCCGACGATTTTCATCACCCCCCTTTTTACCCAGTCCAACTGCGGCTCTGTGGCTTCAACTTACCCTTGCGATCCGCCTCCTCTTCGCCTCGTTTGTGTCCTCCAGCAGTCCATGATCTCCAAACATCTGCGCCGCGAGTAGGTCGGGGGGCAGCTGCGGTATCGGTAACCCATGTTCATTGTAGCCGCCGAATATCTGAGGGGGCGGGTTCAACAGTGGTGGCGGCTGGATGGGCATCTGAAAGCCTGAATGCATGTTGTGATCCATTGCTAATCCGCGTCGACGCTATGTCGAATCCCGGGGTACAGAAATCGCAGTCGTTTGATGGCGGTTGAGATGAACGAAAGGCCGTAATGGATTAGGAACCCTATTAAGCTGATGTCCAAGCTGAAGCTGTCCGATATGGTACAATGAGGGGTTGCGTAAAGCGGTGGTAGCCGCCGACGGGAGGCTGCTATTGTTACCGTCCAGTCTTAGGACGGGATGCACCGGAACAGCCGGAACTTAAGAGGCGCAGTAGTCCAGTTTAGAGTGGTACAGATTCGAGTATGACGGAAAGAGGGTAGCTATCGTGATAGCATACTAGTGATCGTGGCTGTCCAGGTGGTGTTTTACTGCGGACTTGCGGCGGGTAGAAGAGCAAATCAAGAGACGCGACCGCAGGTTTCCAAATCCCTTCTTTCGGAGACTGTGTAAGCAGCGGAAGCGAGAAAAGTGCCCCAAAATGGATGGGCGCGGTGTTGTGGCAAGGGACGTGAGCAGCGTCACAGGTGACGGAAAAGGCGGGCGAACTGCTGAGTCTTGAGGAGGGGCTTCCTGTTGACGCGAAGCTTATGATCTGATTGTGTTTCCCTCCTGGAATTGGTATTAACAACAAGCTATACAAAGAGGGAAAGACCGGATGAAGACGGGAGGTTTAAGTTTCTAGGGTGGTGGCGGACGAGAGAGTCGCAAGATGGCGGGCGGTCGAGCGGGAGATGCTTAACGGGCGCGCACCCCAGAAAGTCCCGTCATAGCGGGGCCGCCCCCCGATCCAGTAACTCCCGGCCGCACTTGGTGGCTGTGGGGGGACGGGACAGCGCTTGTGCACGGACGGCAAAGACCAAATTCAGGGTGTTCCCTTCCACAGCTTGGTCAGCACTTGTTCATGACCCCAGGCTTTTCAAGCCCTGCAGCTCAAGATCTTGGATCGACGTTGTCTGATGATTCTCTCCTTCTCCCTCTCTCTCATCCTAGACTAGCAACAGAACAAAAAAGCACAGCATACGAACAACACTAACCTTTAGGACTACTCACCCACACAGCGATGCATTGACATAAACCCTCTGCTTTCCCATAACTTCTTCCTACCCGCCGGTCACCCCCCCTTCGGACATATACATAACGTCTGACGCCACTAGGGGTATGCACGACCCTCCATCATGGGCCTCGCACCCCACGAACCCCGAAGCCGAAAAACACGCAGTGACACCTGAATCTGATGTGTGGTGGCCCAACCCGGGCAGGGGGAGAACAGCAACCTAATCGGGGTGTGCCCCCTCGAGCGCGTGCTTGACCCGGAGTCCGGCGTTTGGGAATCATTGTGTACCTCTGCAAGAGCCGCGCAGGGATGTTCTGTTTCCAGCCCTCCATAGGTTTTCTGGACCCAAGGCGCGCGCATCGTCAGACACATAAGATATGCCCATTTCCAGGTCTTGTCACCATCATCTCAAATTCTCGTCTCAAGGATCCCAGCATGGGTTCGTGCCAGTATCGGATGTGAGCTTCCAGCTTGGCTGAAGGTCGTTTGGCACGCGTCCTTCTTGGCCTTGAAAGATAAAAGTCTCCTGTTGTTTACTTGGTTCAAACCCACACCTCTCGAGGTGTGGACCCATTGGTTTCTCTTGTTCTTGGCTTTCAGAACCGTTACTCGCCAACATACCAGCGGCCCTCCCGAACAGCGCTAATCGATCACATCGCAACGTGAAGGATCCAATTTCATCCCATATCATACAATTCATTGCATCAGAACTATAGTGAACGGTTACTCTCTCCCGCCATTGCCACCCAAAAGGCTGTCCGTTCCATGCGCATGGTCAGTTCATGAGACAGTCTTGAAACGGGGACAAGGGTCCGGGCGGGAACAAGCACGACCCACCTCATCGCCATCAACACCAGCATCGAGCAACGCTCACCAGTCACAGCTCACTGTTATCTATCATCTCCATATAGGGAGGCCTCTACCGCTTTGATGCTAATATCGCCGAGGAGGGAAGAATGACAAATTCCCGTTCGAACCATAACCCCGAATTTGTTTCCGCGCTCGGAAGTTCAGTTTCAAATCTTGGCATTCGTCATCCCCTTGGGCGTTTTGTCGTGAAGGGCGGCTTCGAATATTTTTTTTTTATCCCGGAATACTGTCGAAGGTTCTTGATCGTCGCCGTTTCGGCACTTTAGGAGTCTGGAATTATGATGCGAGTTTAAAGCGTACACCAGGGGACAACAATGTGAATGTGGGAGTATCATTCTTGTTGCTGCGTGCAACGTCCACATGCTTCCATGTGGAAGGACTTTTTTACCTGCCGTTGGTGGGCAACTTTTATGACTATAGAGCTATTCAAAAAAAAAAAAAAAAGGAAATAAATAAATTTTTTTTTTTAAAAAAAAATGGAGGCTTCAAGTGCAACCCGCGGTTTCGCTTTTGAGGTCTTAAGACAAGACGACGAACCTAGGTGGATTACCCGCTGCCTAACCGACACCCACCCCCAGCTCAACATCTCTTAGATTACGAATCAACTCAGACGGTACGAACTGACACAACGGCTAAAAGAAACCTCATAGTAGTCGTACCGTGCTCGGCAAAGGTCGACACAGTCACAGTCCAGGCGGTATCAAAGGCTTACGATGACGCGGCGGACGCGGTGAAAAGAACACTAAGTGCGTGCCAAACAGAGTGATGACAAGAAACTTAAGTATTCGGACATCTGATACCGGAACGTGGTAGGTAAGTGTAGTAGATCTAACTGGTATCCACGTCTATCAAACAGTGCCTGAGATGCAGACGGACAAATAGACAACCCGGGGGCTCCGATTCAACAACAGACATATATATATCTAGATGGTGCCAGCAACTAGGCAACTTTCTCTTTTTCTCTCGCCTTAAAGTATGTACAAGAACTTTATCCCTTTGATTCAGACGCCCCGGTTATGATGACCACAAGACCCAGAACACACCCCATCCATCAGACCAGAAAATAAGCGGTTCTCAGCGAGGTGGGTCCGGTTGTTGCTGATATCTTATCCCTAACCACCCGCAGGAAATTGCGGTATGCCAAGGAGTGTTTCCTACTCTGTCAAGGAATCCTCTAAAGAGAGAGACACAGCGTGAAAGGGAAATAGAAGAGATAGTGTGTAAGAGAGCGAACATGTATCGTATGAGGTCTGTGTGTATGTGTATGCGGCTGTGTATGAGTGCCCTGATTTTCATCTTGACGGCCATCCGTTTGGCCCAAAATCAGCCATGCTTGAGAAGCAAATTGCAAAGCAGGCCCCCCGCTCCCTATTGCTCACACCCCATTTGCAACCCCAGACGCCTTTATTCCAGACATTAATGACTAAGTAAAAAAGAACAGGAGAAGCCACACAAATGTAAAGTGGACATCCTCCCCTGAGGCGATTGTAGGAAACCAACAATCACGCTCATAAAGTATCCTCCTCCAAGAATCTCGATCCAGACCCCCTTGACGCGATGGAGGTGATACTGTGGTCGGCATCGTCCGCAAACGGCGAAGTCATAGGGAATACCGAAGACCGAATGTCGGCTGAATACGGCCCATGCTGCTGGACCGGTGTCCGGTGGGCGCCGTCTCGATATATCGGAACGCCGCTGACCGGCCGCATCGGGGTTCCCAGCTGCAAGTGGGTATCGTTGTTGTCGGTGCCGATACTGGCGCTGTCCGAGAAAGGGTTTGAGTCGCGGTATCGCGACGGACTCCCGCTACCAACACTGTCGTGTGGGCGGTGCTCGCGCGGTTGCGGCTCGGTGTAACCGTCACCACCGGATTCGAGAACTGAAACTAGCTTCCTCCCAGACACCCTGTAAAACCCTCTCTCTTGGGACTCAGGCTCGGGGGGTGCAGCCCCGATCGCCCGTTTCCCGCTCAATCTCGCCAATGCAGCAGGGATGGTGAAGGCACCCGTGGTCCGCTCTGCCATTGTCCTTCCACCGCCCCCGGGGCTTGATGGGTCCGGAGACCCAAGGCCCCGGCCCCGCGATCGAGGATCGTTGTCGCCAAGTAGCATAATACCTCCGCCGCGCTGCTTCTTCCATTTCAGTAGGTACAGCAAAGCAAGAACGATGAGCGATATGGCAGCAACGCTACCGACAACTCCGCCAACAACGGCATTTCGGGTCTCGGGAGGGAGGGTGGATGAGTGCTGTGGATCGGGCACTGGCGCTGGTGCTACAGTAGTCGAGGGTACGGCATCGATAGTGGCGGGACCGCCGGGCGCAGTCGCAATCGCGGGGGTGTTAGCGATCGTAGGTGTAGTCCAGAGCGTGGTGCTTCTGGACGAAGCGAATGATTTGGCTCGTGTGTGGTTCGAGAAAATGCCAGCTGTATGGTTGCCAAAGAGTGTCGGGTGATGTGCTGCTCAGGGGTTAGCGGGTGCTTTTATCTTAAATGAGAAGAAAAATCGCATCGGATTGATTGGGACGTCTGTGTCGGGTTACACGTACTGGAAGAAGAGTTTTTGGCGCCGGTCAAACTCGGGAAAGAGGCGGTGGTGGTGGTAGTTGAATGAGTGGACGTCGAGGTCTCCGAGGAGGACGTAGACACGGTGGTCTCCGTCTCGGCGGAGGTGGTCGACGATGGCGCGCCATCAGTCGGATCGGGAAGTAATCCAGAGAAAGACACGCTGGGCAACACGGCACCGATGCCGGTCAGGACGGCCGAAACAGCTGCCGGCAGCGCTGACAAGATCGGTGCAACGGGGTCGAGGAGGTCGGGAGGGCCCACGGGGTTACCGGGCGTAGGGGTCGAAGTCAGGGTTCCGACACTTGTAACAGCGCCCCTCGCATCAAGGTAATGGACGACAGATACGGTTTGAAAAACAACGACCGGGGGACCTTCCAAATCTCCTTCTCGTTTTGGGGGTGAACGAATGTGTTGCGAGGCGGCAGCGTCGACCTCAGTGGGATGCAAACGATGGTGTTGGCGATGGTGCCGAATCTGATGGTTGTGGTTGTGGGTGTAGACGAGATCGTCGTGTTGGAAGTGATTGTGATTGTGGCGGGTGCTGCGGGCCTGAAAGAGTGAAGGCCCGCTGGCATCCTCGGCACCGCCCTGGCTGGCCATGGCGTTCCTTGGGTGGCTGTGAAGAGAACGAATGTGGGCAAGAGCTGCCAAAAAAAAAGCGAAAGGCGAAAAAGAGTGTCGGCAGTGGGCACGAATGGCAGGCTAGCAGCCCAACCCCGTATTCGGTCGCCCCTTGGATGAATTGGATGGATGGAAGCTCGTAAAGTCGAGGGTCGATATGCGCGTGATCCGTGGCAGGCGGCTCGTCATGGTCGCAGGAAACCGAGCATTTCGTCCCCTCTTTCACCGAAAGACCAGTAAAAAAACAGGAATTTCGCTTTTAACCGTCCCTTTTGGTAGGAAGGGGGAGTCGATCGCTCGTGTATTGCGGACGGCAGAAAGGCAACGGAATTGCCGTTGACTCACCCGCTCCGCATTGTCTGCGATGTTGACGGTCAAACTCGCACCAGCACACGGTCGACAAAGAGAAGGAAGAGAGAAAGAATGGCCGTCCGCGGGAATGGGAAACGTCGCGTGGATATCCTGCACCGCACACACACTTCTTCTTCCCAGTCCCCAGCGATCTTCTATTTTAATTTAAATTGCCGTTCCCAGGGGTTCCAAGAGAGCCCAGACAACGACGCCCGCGGGCACATCCACGCTGGAGGCAATCGGGCCTGAACGGCTGTTGCCAATGTGCCAATTTCGCTTCCTGGGCAAGCCGGGCTGTCCCTCGCCCACTCAGGCACGGGCGGACCACGGTTGGCCAATGGTGTTATTGCTGGGGGGACGGGAATGCAGACACCCGCTGCGCCTATTGGCTGCAGCCCTGAAGATGCGGTTTTCTGACGAGGACAGGGGGAGGAGCACGTTCAAAGACAGACCTCCTCACAATTCTCTCCCCCCGCCGAGTGGATTGGCTGTTTGCGAGCACGAAACACGAGGTTGGAAAACGCAAACCGCTCAACTGGCCCCCACTTCCGTAACGGTCAAGCAGCCTGCGCGGTCCTGACCCGACACGAGGAATGGAAATACGGGATATCCAGGCCCAGAAGCTAGGCACGCCAGGCTCAAGCCGGGCGGGGTCGGCAGGATTGAGTTGCATGAGATCGAGCCGGATAATCGGCGCTGGGCGCGTTGGCATGGAACTGACGGAGGAAGTCATGAGGCGGAAGAAAAGCCAAACCATAAAGTTAACTCGTACAAATATCGTGACCTCGGCAAGTGCTTTTGCTGGCGGAAGCCCAACATGCAGGGGGACTTCGAATGGGCGTGGGCAGCCTCAACAAACAAGCGCAAGAGAGTGTTTGATATTACTATGTACTTTGCAGGCAGGCACGCAGTGCGACCTCACCCACAAGTCCAGAACCCGGTATTGGTCTTCCAATTCTCCCATGCAGTGTAAACATCCATTCAAGGCTGCACCTCTTTGTGTGTTCATCGTTTGAAAAGAGGTGCAGCTTGCGGACCCGCTGTGGTACAAGGGGAATTACCGTTCTTTTCATTCAACGGTTCGAAAATTACAACGAAGTGGGCCACGGTTTTGGCTTTGTCCCATCAACTTTCCAGCTACCCACCTTGTGGCTCAGCTGCTAGCTGACGACGCCCCCCTCGCACTCTCTGCGCATTTCATTATAACGTGAGAAACAAAGAACGATCGAGCCTAGAATCCTTGAAAGGCACACACAAAATCCTGCTCGCAATTGCCTCTGTGCCGCACCATGGAATAACAAACGGCCCCCAAAAAGCGTTTGCCGACCACGCGCTGCCGATTTTGTTGACGTCATGGAGTGGGCATCGACCCCGGCCTCACAGGCTTCGACTTCAACACTCGGTATCCCGGACGACCTTGGCCGGCACACCGTGGCCGCGGGCCCGCAATGGGGCGCCCGAGACCCCCGGACCTCATCCACTCAGTCGCTCGTGCCTTCGACCCAAGACGGCAACGACCACGGCGAAGGCCGAAAGAGGAAGCTCCTCGTGGTTTACATCCACGGGTTTATGGGAGACAACTCTTCTTTCCGCTCGTTTCCCGCCCACGTACACGCCTTCCTCAAAACCCTCCTAGCTGAGACCCATGTCATACACTCCAAAATCTACCCCCGGTATAAGACTTACAAGTCTATAGGGGTAGCCCGCGATAACTTCTCCCAGTGGCTGGCGCCTCATGAATCGCCAACTACTGATGTGATTTTAGTCGGGCACTCCATGGGTGGGTTGTTAGCTGCAGATGTGGTTCTACTAGTATGCTATATCTGTTATTTTGAAGAAGCCCGTTTGGGGTGTTAGTTATCGAGCGTACCTAGGTGGACTAACATGCCCATCTAGCCCAACCAAAGCCCTTATGGCGGCCCCTCCCCTTTCCGGCACCGAATTCTTGGCACTATCTCACTCGATGCTCCCTTGCTCGGCCTTCACCCAGGTATCGTCGTCTCGGGCATCGCGAGTCTCTTCAGACCCACACCGGCCCCCCCAACACTAGATAATCAGGACTCGCAAACCGACCATTTATCCCCCAGACCGTCTCAGGATCTCTCACCGGACCCATCTATCTATTCTGAAGTCTCGCCCCCTCCCGGGACGGCCTCATCTAGCCTCGCCTCTTATCAGTCAAACTCAACCGTGGACTCCTCCTCACTAGATTACCCAGACCCCCTTTTCAACCCTCCGTTCGCCAACGATGTCGCATTTGTAGACCGCGGCTGGTTCAAAAACGTTCTTCATTTTGCGAATAAGCATCGGCGAGAGAATCTTGTCAATGCCGCCGCAAGCCACATTGTTTCACATCTCGAATTCGGCGCCTGCCTAGCCGACTACCCGCAGCTCAACATTCGATATAACAAGCTCAGAAAGTTGGAGGATGTTGAGGACTTGGAACAATCCGGACGCCCGCGCGTTCGGTTCGTCAACTATTACACCATATCCACTGGTTTCATCAAACCCCCAAAGCCACCTTCGCCTCATGGACCGTCGTCGGAACCTCCAGAACCAGCCGGGGACGTCAAGGGATTATTACAGGACCTGAGTTCGCTTGAGTTAAAACCGGGAGAACCCCCTTTAGAGACGGATGGAGATACCCCCAGAATATCCGTGGAGTACGACGATGGTTCAGAAACGGACAGTCTTCAAATACTCGAGCCCATGCCGGAACCAGAGCCGGAACCCGGCGCAGACTCGAAGCCTGACCCAACGCTAAAGCTTGCCCAGGATGTACCCGAAACAAAGTTGGGATCAGATTCCCAACCTGACCCGGGCGCGGAGCCTATATCTGAGGCCCCGAACGAAAAGTCGGAGCCACATCCCGAGGGCCTTCCACAGGATCAGGCATCCGAGCCCGACACAAAACACGACACCCCCGACGACCACTCTACGCAAGAAGGCCCCGTAGCCAACAACAACTCAGATTTGCCCCCCATCCCCGATGTCCCCATACCTCCCGAGACTCCCGAATTCGAGGCATACCCCGATAAAGAGAGCCGCAAACAAGCCGAGAAAACCCACAAAGCCGCCCAAAAAGCGTACTCCCAAGCCATCAAAGCCCGAGACAAGGCCATCAAAGACTGCCAAAAGGCCCTCGAGAAACAACAGCGCAAGGCGCTCAAGCTAGAAAAGAAACAAGCCAAACTCCTCGCCAAGTCCGGCGAAACCGCCAACAGCACTTCCAACAACCCCCTCCAAGAAGAAGATGACAATACCACAGAAGCCAAAACCCCCCACAAACCCAACCCCCGCAAAGAAAAACCCCCCCGCCGCCGGAAATTCTGCATGCTCCCCCCGAAATCCAACTCCGTCGTAGACCCGACCTGGGTGGAAGTTTACATGGAAGGTGTCGACGAGGTTGGCGCGCACTGCGGCCTATTTTTTCCCGGTCCTCATTATGAGCGGTTGGTGGGGGATGTTGGGGATAGGATTGCTGGGTGGGTGTGGGAGGACGCGACGAGGAGGGTGCTTTTGGAGGAGAAAGAGGCGGGGGGTGTTTGAGGGGGGGGGGGAATGTCTGGTAGTTGGGAGGGAGATGGCGGGGTTTAATATGCAGGTGCAGTTCTAGCTCAGCGTTGGGTTTTTTATCTGTCTTTGTGTATCCGAGTATGCGCTGCGTTTAGGCGTAGATAATAGATAACCATGCCTCATAGAGAGAAAGGAGGCATTCTAAGATAGGGTGAAATAAGGAACAACGTAATGTATATTCGACTACCCACGCGACCCAAATCACCATGTTCTGTCTGAGCCGTCTAGCCCATACGTGTACCATAGCCGCGCTTAGCACCGCCTGGAATTCCCAGTCTTGTTAACCTTCTCAGTCTCTGGTAAGCTGTGCTGCGAAGTAGAACCCCGCGGCGTTGTATCTGATGATAGGACGGTGCCGAGGTGGGCGAAGGAGAAAATGAAGAAAGGATAGGTGGTAAGGGGGTTCCGTGGGAGTGGACGCCGCCGCAAGTTTGCATAACCGGAACCGAGAGGATGCAGGGGACAACTATAAGCTTAGTTCGCATGACGCGAACGCAAGTAGTGTATGCGTGTTTTTGCGGCACAGCTTTCTTGATGCCCGACGCGTCTAGGACTGCGCAAGGGAGAGCGCTGTTTATTGCCCCAGCCATTCATTGGCATGCAAGGACCCGAGTTGATAAATCTGGGAAGGTAAACAGCAAACAACATGATCACACATGCCGAATTGAAGTAGATTGATATGATGCGACAAACTACATTTCGGCATTGTGACTGAGAACGCTAACGTTCACGCAATTTGGGGACGCGATCATTTTGCATCATTATGGCATATATTTACAGCCTGTCTTAGGCCCCTAATTTGAGTTTTGATAATAAACGAGAATCAAAAGACAGGGCGTTGCAGGCATAAAACCATATGATAAGATGTTGAGTCAGGTAGCAGCAGCGCGAAAGAAATCGCGTGCTCCTCGCTACCAACCTCCCGTCATCTATCCCGCAAAATGTCCCCAGTCGGTCCGGTCCGGTCCTCCCGCATGATCGATCATCCATCGTCAGTGCCCCCGGCTCGCAGGTGTCAAAAAGTAAAAGAGGAAGCCCGCGTCAAAACCTGTTTTCGTCTGCCCGTTGCCCAGTCGTCAAAGCCAAACCCATCCTGAGACGACGTTGTAAAAAAGGACGAAAAAATCCTCTTTGGGAATCAAAGGAAGAAAAAAAAAACTCGCCTCGCTCAAAGACCTCCTTGGGCAATATAGCAGGCCCTCTCATTCTTGGGGCCGAAAAGAAAACGATGAAAAAAAAAAGACTCCCAACGCCATGCTGTAGTTCTCAATAATGCAAATATCCGCCGGCGGCCTGCGGTGTGAAACCAACCTAGGCGGAGGGCGGTGCTGGGGGTCGTGTTCGGTTGTGTGCTGCTGTGGAGGGAGCAAGCTCTCCATGCGACTGCCAAGTCCCGATTCATAACCCTTCGCTCTGCTTTTCGTTTGTTTCTTCCCTCTCATCCCACATCCCACATCCCGCATCCCGCATCCCGCTGGGCACTAACAAGCATACCGGGATTCTCCCAACCGTCTTTGTTTTGGTCTCGGTTATCGCTTTGTTTCTCGAGGCATCAATGATGCACGCAGGACAGAGTGTGACCTGTTGCTGTTCTGCGGGCTCTGCGAGAAATGGGAATGTCAACCGGGCCGACAGGTATCACCCCGAACAATGATCGGGTGGGACGCTGGCTCTGCTTTAAGCGTGCGGCGGAGCGGGTTTGCCTTTCTTGCGGCGCGGCTGGGCCGGTTCGCTGCTAGGCTGAACACCGGTGTCCTTCTAAGCACCGGTGATGCCAGCGCTGTATGCCGGCTGCCGGGTTTGATTCATGTAGGGCTGGCCGCCTGAATGAACCTAGTGTTATGTGGAGTCAGCAAAGGTTGTTCTCATCAGACTGGATCAAGACTAGTCGTTGATGAGCACCTTTTTCCTCCGCTTCTGCCCCGTCACACCATCACCCTCTCCAGTCGAGTAACCGGTATCGGCGCCAGTATCATCGTCGGGAAAGCCCTCGCCATAGCCCTCGAAGCTGCTGTCACCGTAGCTCCGCTTCTTCACGTTGCGCATCGACCTGGCCGCGTCATGCTGGAGAGGCGTGCCAACTTTGGGGCGAGGCAAGCCTTGTAGGCCGGCTGAAGGAAGCGGTGTGTTGGGCGCAGTGGGCCTGGCCGAAAGGATTGGTTTCTCGCCCTTTCCAAGGTTGAGTTCTCCCAATACTGAGGTATCCCACTGGGACTTGGGAACAAGCCCCTTGCCCATGGTCATGGCCCTCGGCAGCTTTTGCTGTACCTCGGAGCTAAACCCATCCTGAATATCCTGACCACGGACATGTTGAAAGTCCCACACATCTTGTGGAAGCTTGCAGAGGTGGAGCAAACCATATTCACGGTTTGCATCCTGCTTGTCTTCATCAAAGTGGCCCGCGACGCCGAGCTTCTTGATATGGCCTTTGTATGTCTTCCTCAGCGCATTCTTTTCGCCGTTGGGAAGTACACGTGCGACTTCATTCGCGAGCGCAGTCAAGCCATACATCTCGAAGAGATCTTCCGACACGTCAGGACGGGGCTTCGGGTGCGCTGCAGGGTCAAAAAATGTTAACCATGTCTCTGTAATCAAAGAAAAAAGAATGAACCGTTTTGGGGTGGGTTTCTTTCTTCTTCACGGCTTCAACACATTTCTATCGGCACTGCGCAGCCGACCGCCACAGACGCCATTGAATGAGCGAAGTGGAGAGGCCTGCTTCAATTGCAGTGCGTGGAAATGCGAATGAAATTGCGTCGGATAGGTAGAAGGGAGTCTTACGAGTTCTGCAAAGAAGGTATTTCTCGCCGACATCCAAATGAAGGTCGCCGATACCAAGATTGCCGGACTCGACATGAACTTTCTTCTGCGCCCTGCCGCCCATATCGTCGGCTTCGCGCTTGCGCTTGTGCGGGGAGTCCCCGCCTATGCTGGTGTCCTGGGTCATTTCCGAGGGAATTGAGCTTCCGTTAACGCTGTGGGCGGGAGTCGGCAACGTGGCGGTGGTCGAAGCGACGGAGCCGGGCATGCTCATAACCGAGTCGCCCGTGGTAGGAGAAAATTGGGACGGGCTTTGCGGAGTTTGAGGGTGACGGGACATGATGGATTGAAGGCGCGCAGATGCGATGATGTTCACGTTGGCAGGTGCGAAAATCCTGGCGCGAGGGTCGATTTGGCCTGGCAGCCTCGGGCAATAAAAATCCGCCCGAGATGATCGCGGCGACTCAGCGCGTACAAAAAAAGTCGTCAGTCGTCCTAGGAAAAGGAAAGAATCGATCGACTCGGTTTGCGAGGCTCGAATGAGCGATGCGGGCGGTAGGAGGGGTGAAGAGGTGGTCGTGACGGGTCGCGCGAAAGGCGGCGACGGCGGCAATCAACGGACCTCCAGTCCACCAACGCTCCTCCTGCAGTCGGCGGGCGACAAAAAATCGGATCCAGCGGTTTCTAGGGTTCGACGGCTCGGTTTAGGTATCGAGGAATCGATGTCGCCACGGATCGCAGGCCTCGTCGGGGCGCTGGGCGATTGAAATCGGTTGAGCGGAGAGAGGTTTGTCGGTGATGATGAGGTGAGGTGAACGGGCAAGAGAGGAGGCGCTGTGCATTGCAGGTATGGAACCTCGGGGTGGGCCGGCCTCTCGTCTTCCCCGTACCTTTGGGGGGCAGGCACAGTGCGGAATTTGGACTTTGTATGGACCCACTTAAATGAACTTTCTTCGCGTTGCAGCCAATCGGGTTTAGGAACTCCTTCCTCCCTCTTTCTGCTCATGTTTTGCGGGCCGGCGCCCTCCGAGAATAGGTTTCTTGTCTCGAAGGGTCGAGACGGCCATGGTTTTGGCCTGTTGTTGGAAACCATATTCAGGACCCAAAGATCACTTTGAACAGCATTTCTATTCCCTTCGATTATCGATGCATCTTGTCCTTGAAGATGACGAGTCTGGGCTACAAGTCCCCCCTCATTCTTCCGCAACGGGCCGCGTTACCCTGCATATCAACCAACCTCCAGTTAGAGGCGCTCAAACTCTTCAATTCTTTGAGCCAGTCCCAACCCAGACAACGGGGCCTTGTGGAGCTGGCGATGTTCCAATTGTCCCGGACTGCTGGGCCTTTGATCGGCTCAAGGGGCCATTGTCAAATTCACGCCGAGTCGAGTCAGGCACTTGAGGAATAAAGGCGAGCGATTTTGCATGGGAGCGAGTAATCTACAGAGTACAATATACTCTATAATACGACTGACGCGGCGCAAATACCGGACAAGGCAATATACTCTGCCTCAATCGGGACCACGGTAAAATTGGTGACATGGTATAACCACAACTAACCGCAACACCAAGCAGAGCATTTGAGAACATGCTAGATCTGGACATTCTTTCGACTAGATCTGACACGTTGTACGACCGGCTGACCTCTTCCGCCTGACTCATCGGGCAACCCCCATGGAGAGAGGCCCAACAACTGTGATCTGTGAGTATCAGCTCCAGCGACGCGCTTGATTGATTGGTGTGCGTAGGTCAAACAAGCTCGCCCCTTCGCGGGGCAAAAGTGTTGAGCACTTCCCACCTCTTTGCATCATGCACCAAGTCATGAATCCCGCTCCTTGAACCCCCATTCGATAACTCAGGTCCTCCTCCTGCTTCGTTGTCCCCTCCTCTTGATTCATATCCTTCCTTGCCACGCTCGTCAAGCAAACGTTGGCAATGAAAGAAAGACAATAAATCTTGGCGAAAGAAAATCGCTTCTTTATTTTTTCCAAAAATTCCCCAGCCAGCCGAAGCCAGCTGAGAGCGGTCAGGTTGTAGTTTTCAACTAGCAAAAACGCAATCTCGGACGAATCCTCATTGATATGCGTAAAACCCCTGCACTTGGATGGGAAAAGGAAAAGGAGAAGAGGAAGAAGATTGGGGGGGCAGTGACGCGAATTTATAGACTATGTGGGTGGTCTGTGCGAGCGAGGCTGGTCAGGGCTGGAAAGTGGGGCTTGCCATGACTGCCACGGGCCCTGCCTGCTGCCTGCAGTCCGGGAGCCACACCTCACACGGTCATGGCAGTGGCGGCCAACCCCAAGGATGCCGATCAATCAAAGACGGCCAACGTGAAACAGGCCGACACAAAGAGTCCAACTGCGCTTCGAATGAGGACCAAGTCAGCCGGTGCCTCCAATTTGAGTCACAAGGCACATTGCGATTTGACAGGACGTAATCTTTGGAAGAAAAGGAGTAAATTTTTACACCTGCCGCACCGAATAAGGCAGAGCAATCATTCCCTGTCAGGGGCCATATGATCACAAGATGACCTGACCCAGGGGTAACGTTATAGTACAGTGCAAATCCAACCTGCCGAGCCTTCTGGCTCGGATAGACAACCATCTTATTTATGGGTAAAGAACTTCTCCCACGGGTGGCTTGGAAGCCTTTAGCCCATTGATGACGATGCGCGAGGTAAGGTCGCTTGAGTGCTCCTTGATCATCTCCCTAAGCGCCGACCGCTCGATAACGATACGCCCTGTCTCCAACAGATCCTTGACATCGACATCCTCCAGCTCGAGTGCGCGGCCGTTTTCACCCGCGACTTCCATGCCCGTAAAAAGATTTGGCCGCCTGTCGCCAGTGATAAACGTCGTCCGGCCGAAAGTTCGGTCCCACTGCATCGAGGTCATGAGCTCGTGGACATACTTGCGGACGAAGCTGTCCTCAAGCTCGCGGTCCATGACCTGAGCTTCGGCTAGCTGAAGAAAGTCTTCAGGCAGCGGTAGCTCCAACCCGTCCTCAGTCACAATCAGCTCGCCACGGCGGTACCGGTATGAGAGCGCTGTGCGCCATGCGAGGTCGTACACCTTGCGGTTGAGCTTTGTGCTGAAGTCGCGCGGCTTGGGGCCGAACGATTTGCCACCACCCTTGCGCAACGGTGATTGTTTGCTGCCAACACGGGCACGACCGGTGCCTTTTTGCCGCCATAACTTGCGATGCGAGCCGTGGACTTCCCAGCGAGTTAACGATGACGCCGTGCCTTGTCGTGTTTTATCGCCTTCGTAGACAACTGCTAGGTGGAGGATATCGCGGCGGAGTGGGAGGTGAAGGTGCTTTGAGGACCAGGATTCCAGCGAGCGTGGCTCGAGGTCTGGGAAGGAGTAGATCGTGAGGGGGACGGTTGTTACTGGAAGTGATAGCGGTTAGCAAGTGGCTCATACTGTAGATGCTAGCCCTCTCTGATAAGGTCGGCGGCTTGGGTCGCATACTCGGACTCCATGTATCGGTCACGGATCTTGTAATATTCGCCAGCTTTGGTTCGACTGCGGTAGCCATTGTCCTCCGACACGCTAGGGGAGCTTGCCGGATCTGTAATGGGCCCATCACCCCATATTGTCAGAAAAATAAAAGCATAATTCCCAATTGAACGGCGAGACCAACCGGAACGGTCCTGCATGGTTGTGCTGCCAGACTGAGGCTCCTCATCGCCTCGCCCAGGGCCTTCATCCCCTTCCCGGCCATGGCGGCGGTTGTGTCGCGCGGCAGGTACGACTGGTAGCCCGCCACAGAGATGTATCGTAGGTATTGCGTACGTCGGCCGTTGGCGTGTTTCGTGTTGTCCCCCTCTTTATAAAATTGACAATTCCCCGCCTACCACTTTCGATGTCGCTGCTGCAGACATCCCGCAAAAAAAGATCTGGAGTCGCGGCGCACAGACGTCGCAGCCCCACCTACCCACAGTCAATTGCGCCTGGCAAATCACAAAGCTTGCCGGCCCCGGCCCACGAGTCCTCGAAATTTGTTCGTACCTAGGAAAAGAGACGAACATCCCACCTTCAGCGAACTCGACGACGGTCGCCGTCACCCCCACCTTCCGCCATGTCACGGCCACAGCAGGTCACTCGGCCGCTAGTACAGACCTTGCGGCAAGCCACGGGCAGCACGACAGCATGTTCCTCCCGTGCGCTCGCCATCAGGTCGTTTTCTTCGACATCGAGCCGAAAAGATGAGACGAAGCCGCCGACAACAACGACGACGACAGGCGCTCCAGCAGAACCTATACCTCAGGCCCTCAACCCGGCCGCCGGACAAGAGAAAACCCCATGGGCAAAGTCTACCATCAAGCAGGGAAATGAGGAGGATTTATCACGATTCCTGTCCGAGCAGCTCGGTTCCCGGCGGAGACGGGCTGCCCTAGCCACAACTGGCTCCGTTCCTTTCGAGCAATTACCGTACCAATGCTTTCAGGAGGCGCGTAAGATTCTCGCCCAAGATCGTGAGGAGAAAGTGGCCAAGATTCTCGAGGCGATGGCCTCGATCAAGCGGTTGGAGAAGACCGACCCAAGCACCAACCGCGGGGGCAAGGCGTACTTGGAAAAAAGGATTAAGAGTTTCAAAGACTACATCGAGGAGCTCAAGATCCTGGCGGATATCAATGACCCGCTGGTGAAGAGGCGGTTTGAGGACGGCAATGGTGAGCTTTTATCCGCCTTTTAGAGCAAGAGAGGGTCACAAACCAAACTAACCCCGCTCATAGGCGACATGTCCAAGCCGATTTACCGGTATCTTGCGCGCCGCAAGTGGCAGTCCATGGAGCGCAAGATTATCATGCAGCGTATCGAGCAGTTCCACATCGTGCCCGACCTCCTCCCCAAGTTTGAGCCCTCCATGGCCGTCAAGATGACATTCCGCGGCTACAAGGCCAACCCGGGAGCCATCCTCAACAGTCGGTACACCGAGACCCCCCCGACATTACGCATGCAGGTCTTTGACGAGGGCGAGCGCCTGTTCTCCATCGTGGTCCTTGACGCCGACGTTCCCAATGCCAAGACCGATTCGTTCGAGAAGCGCCTCCACTACATGGCGACCAACATCCCTTGGGACCCAACCAAGGAACTCCTCCCTCTGACCCGGCTGACCGGCCCCAACAACAATAGCACTCCATCAACCACCCCCGACTCTTCCTCCTCACCCACACCCCCTCCCTCTCCATCTTCCTCCCGCTCCCCAACCCCAGGCACGCTCGCCGTCCCCTGGCTCCCGGCCTTCTCCCAAAAAGGCGCCCCCTATCACCGCCTAACCCTCTTCGTCCTCCAACACACCGACAACCTCCCACGCGACCCCACCGAGCTCCAAAAACTCTACGACGGCCAAGGGCGCGAGGGCTTCAGTCTCAAAAGCTTCCGCGACAAGTTCGACCTGGACCCGGTCGGCTTCACCATGTTCCGGACGGTCTGGGACGAGAACACGGCCGATCTCATGGCGCGGCACAACATCCCCGGAGCCGAAGTCGAGTTCAAGCCGCAGCGTGTGTACTCCCTCAAGCCGCCTCGTCGGGCCCGCGGTTGGGAAGCGCGTCGCCAGAAGCCCAAGTTCCGTCATCTTTGGAAGTACACGAAGCGGATCAAGGGTATCAAGTACTAGACTTGCGTGTTTATTGTTGGGGGGATTGGTATGGTCTGCGGTGTTACGGCCAGTTGGGTATTGGGAGGAAAAGATTCAAAGGGATGTGGTGGACTTGTATTATACTGCCAATGTACCAGATACGTATAAAAATGTTGCATGCCAAGTTACGTTTAGAGAACATCGTCGTTCGTCTCGATTCGCCTTGCTTCATCCCATCGGCTGAACGCCTAACCGCCTAAACTTCCTACAATTAAAACCTCCTGAGCCTGGTAAAAGAAGGGGAAAAAACGAAGGTAACAGAATAGTTCCTCTTATTACGGCTATCGCAGCGCATACACTGTCTATACATATATTTACCCCGTCTGTATGCTTTGCTCAAACACCTTTAAACCTCTTGCCTGAGCCATTCGAACACCCGACCCCTGTGAATCCAACAAACCTATTCATCATTCGCCAGCACCACCGCCCCCCTTCTTCCCGAAAGTCATCTCCCTCACACTGGCCTCCGCCCTCTCCGCCCTTCTCCTCCACCTCTGAACTTCCCACTCGGCTGACCTTAGCTGCGACCTCAGCTCTTCTACGCGCTGCCGCTCTAGCTCCAAAGGAGTCTGCTGCCGTTGTTGAGCGTCTTCCTCTTCTTCACGCCGCCGCTCTGACCCGAAGAACGCCCGGATATCTGTAGCAACGGGCTCAGAGGTGGAAGCGATGGGTGTTGCGTCCGTGTTATCCAGGTCGTCCATCAATAGGGAAGACGAGGGTAAATGAAGGGCCAACCGCTGTCTCGTGGATGTTGACGGCGAGCCGGTTGTATTCTGCGGCGCTTGTCGATGATGCGTCCCAACCTGGGTAGCAGGAGTGCCCGGTGTCCTGGGAGCCCGATGCCCACTCACCACAACCGATGACGAAGACGAGGCCGCCGACGCCGATGTCCCTGGATGAACCGGGCTCAGGTGCAGGGTCTCAGTTTGCCCCAAGACATTACCATCCCCCGTCCTCCCCGGTGATGATCGCGGTGGAATTAGGGGTCTACCAACTCCGCCGGAGCTTGATGGACCAGCCCCCTGATCGCCTAGATCCGAAGAGTTGCCAATATTGTCCGACGGGACCAGGTAATTTACCGTGTATGAAGATAGCACGCCACTCGACCTGAACCCAGCCGCCTGGCTTCCACTCGCGCCACTTTTACTTTTACTAGCCCCTTTATCCCCGTCTCCATCGCTCCCCTTACTCCTCCCTAGGGGTAGCAGATCGGGTGAAGAAGCCCGCGACCGGGACCGGGACCGCGACTTCGACTGCGAGTCCTGCGACGACGCACTCTCAAACATGGCCGCCATAGCCCGCACCGCGCCGCTCCCCCCTGCTCTCACCGGTCGTGGCCGAGACGAAGATGGCCCCGCCGGGCTGTCCGTCTGGCTCTGCTTCTGCTGAGACCGTGAAGGCTCAGGTCGAGGCCCGAGAGGTTGGATCCGAGGCGAGGCTTGGTGGTGGAACTGCTGTAGTCTCTGCTGGGAAAACAGCGGTTTCTTCCTCCCGCTCACTGGCATTTCCCCCACCTGGGTGTCCTGATCCTCTGCTGAGTCTGCGTTATCCTGGGTCCGACTTGGAGAGCCAGTGTTTTCAGAGAATGCCTGGCGGTGAGACGACAGGCCCTGGGTAGACGTTCCACCATAACCGGGGGCTGAAGCCCTTTGGCCAGAGTTTCTGCTCTTCGCCCGAGACGGGCTGCCCTTTGGTGACGAGGTGTTTGCACCGAGGCCTTGCAAAAGGCCAGCATCGTCCTGGCCTAGATTAGATTGGGAATTTCCGGCCAAGGATGGCTTAACTGCGGGTTTTTTCCCCTTCGACGGGGATCCCGAGGAACTGCCCGACTCTTTCTTTTCACCGCCAGACTCTGTCGTCTCGTCAGGGGTAAACACGGGACTGTCGGTGTCCCCTACTCCAGCCGACCGATGTTTGGCTCGCCAGGCCGTCAGACGTGATCGGCCGAGGCTAAACATATCCAGTTTATTCTTGCCATCACCAGGTGTCTTGTCTTGAATCAACGACTTCCCCGCAGATGTTGGCGTATCATGCAGGCCTTTGGTAACAGGAGTCTTCTGTAGTTTAGACGGTCCGCTGTGAGACGCCGAGTCCGAAGCCGATTCTTCCTTGTGGTGCTTTCTTTTGAACGGGTTCGACCCTTTCGACGCGGTTCTGAAGCGATTTCCAACATTGTGCCACAAATTCGGGGCGCCAGTAACGCTCGAGGTTCCTTGCCCCGCTACATGGCGGAAGCGCGTGGGGGTTTTCAAGAATGAAGGGTGTTCGGGTCCTGCGTCGTCTGAGTCTGGGTAAAGCCCTGGCGGATGGGTATAACCGCGAGTTGGAGTTTTGGGCGAAGACAGCGAGCCAGGCTCCCCCTGTGACCGTTCCTTTGCTAACGCCACGGGTCCCATAAATGAGCGGTTCTGAGGTTTGTTCGCTACATCTCCGAGACCTTCGGATACCATAGACCCAGACGGGGACGCCTCCTCTTCTTGAGGTGATAAAAATTCAGCAAGACCGCTAGACAACGGCCGGCTCGATTTGGGTCGCCGGCGTGGAAGAACGAGCGAGGACCGTAGATTCTCGCGCGCATCTTTCCCTAGAAAAAGGAATCAGTATCGGCTTCCCCTACTCCCATAGTTATCAGCTCATCAACTCACTAGAACCTCGTGTCGGGCTCGGCGGCGCCGATAGCTCTCCACCACCTAACCCACTCGTCTGAACCCGTGGCGCTCGCAAGGCATACTCCTCGGAGGAAGCTGGCCACACTCCTGCCTTTATCGCGTCCATACGTTTCATTTGGCCTACAACCAGTCTCCAGTGACTAAGGACCATCTCAGTCACGCTGTTGGCCAGGTGGATATTATCAACCCCTAAGGTCAGTTGCTGAGTCCCATCATCCGGGGCCTTGCCTTTGTTTTGTCCCGGCTGCCCTTCAGGTAGCATTTCCGGAAATTGTGCCGACCCGGCAGCTGTGGCAGTAGCTGACGATGGTGCGTTGTACAATCCAAGAAGATCCCCAAGGAGAATTGGCCCAAAAACAATGCCCAGTGCATTGTAGCCCATGTAGTCGGACCCTGGGACTGGCTGCCCCTCCTCGCCCTCACTCGGAGTTTTCAGCGACGCTTTTTCGGCCGCATGACCAATGAGACACAGCAAGCCAAACACGGCGCATATGAGGTCACGGCGGAGCTCAGACTTCACGGTGTTGATGGCTAAAGCAATGAGCTTCGCGCTGACTCTGGGATCTTGTGGTTGCAATGTCTCTGGCTCCCTATTTTGGTACTCGTAAATGCTGACCAAGGCATCAAAGAGCGATACAGAGCCCAGGATGCCACCAGGGAGGCCAGATATCAGGCGTTTAAAGGTGGACGCAACGTCATGCGCCCCGGCTTTGATGTGCGACGGCAGGTTTGGGGCGTGTGTCGTGCTGGAGATTTCATCTGCATTACCATCGGTACAGTAGTGGGCGTAAAGCTCATTGACGACGCGGACAGAGCCCGGGACTCGGAACACACCTCGTATCTCCGTTCCTATACCAACACCGTAGTATTAGCTCGTACCATTCGAATTATGTTTCAACCTCCCTTCGCTCTCCTCCTACGCTAGATAAAGGAAGACCACACCTACCATTCTGAGTCAAATACTGCGCCGTAGCCCGAATACACGTCGGAAGCGTCAGAGGTCCGGGCGAGTACTCTGACGGTAGGGTAAGCTTGCTCTTGCCACAAAGTCGGACGAGGGAGTCGAGGTCCTCGTCCTTGAGGCTATCCCTTTTAGCGGGCCCGCTGCTCATAAACTGCATGGCCAGGTCACCGACGCTTCGTCTCGACTTAGGCTTCTTGTCTGATTTAGTCGAGCTGGCTTCGCTAGCCCCGGATGCCTGGCGCAAAAATGTTCGTGAGAACCAACTCCGTCGTTGCTGCACGGGGTTTTCGCCTGGCTACTCAGGGGGGTTAGGATACCAGCGACAAATCAACAAAGAAGAGTGACCGGATGGAATCTTTCAAACAGGTGCAACAAGGAACTCACTATCGTCGGTATCGGTGGGGTGTAATGGTCCGAGACTAAATGGCGAATGCCATACTAAAATTATCAATCAGCCAACCCCGAATTCACACCAAGTAGCCCAAGCAAGCTACCACAAGAAAACACGGATACCGGGAAGGAAGGAGGGGGAATAACCACCACCAACCTTCTTCGCCAAGTAATTATATTCCCTCACATACTCATCCCTCGTCTCTGCATCATCGGCCTCCGAAAGATCCGCATAGTCCCCACTCGACAACGTCCAAGTCCCGCTGACCACGTTCCCTCCTTTCCTCAACGCCGAAACTCCGTGCTCGGCTCCAAAGTTGAAGATGTTGGTAGGGCCAGCCGTGAGGGAAGAGGCGGCTTGCGCAGAAGCAGCGGGACCAGCAGGCCCGGGGGTAGGCTGTGTGGCAGGAGCTGGAACCGAGTCGCGGAATGGATGCTCAATGTAGTCTTCGGGCAATGCGTTGCTACCGCTGCCGCTGCCGCCGGTTTGGACATTCCCCCCGGGTGTCTCGAGTGAGGAGTGCGACGATGCTTCTGCGCTCATCTTCCGTGCCGTATATTCCGTCTAGTAGCTGTAGGTTGCCGCGGGGTACTCGGGTAACAACAACAAAGAGATGGGACGTATGGACTCGAGCCGCCTTCCTCTAGCCGAGTCCAAGCTGAGCCGAGTTGGGACAGAATCGCATGCGGCCGAAGTGCAGTTGGAGGAACTAGGTAGTTAAAGTTGTGTTGTCGTATCCGTAGTAATCGAGTATCGGTTGTAAACACGGCGAAACCAAATACAGATGATGATGCTACCACATCCAAACAATCTAAGCTAAAGCAAGGTACCTTAAACTCGTCCGTCCCGGATGGCGACCCGCAGAAGGTAGGGGGGCCAAACGGGCGGCGATGGTCTCAGATCGGGAGGCTGCGTTAAGGTGCTGCCCTGGATGTTGCTTCCCGTCTTGCAGGCAAGATAGACAAGACGGCTGGTGTCTTGTAAGGGCCATGCCCGGGTTGGCTCTTTCCCCTTTCATCCGCCCCGAATGAGAATCGGGCAGGAGGGAAGCATAGAAGCAGGAAGGGAAAGATCCGATCGCATTGGGGTAAAACTGCCTTCTAGGGTCGGTCTCTACGCGCCGTAAGCAAAAACAGAGACAAATTCAGGCGGATTTGGAGTTTGGGACCAGTGCGACATTTGGGGTCACCGTTTGCCGCGTGTCGGCTGCGTCGTTGGTACACCCAACCTTCACAGTGATAGGGCAGCAGTCTGTTTCAAGAAAGTTTGTGTCCCATATCTGAGAGGACAAGACAAGAAAAGCAAATCTAATCCCACGGGTTGAGGAGACACATGCAGCCATGGTATTCGTTATCCGCAACCCCCGACGCCCTCCTTCCTTTCCCCGGACGCCATGGAATGCAAGAATAGTTAAAAAAAGGATAGAAAAAGAACACAAGGCCCGGGGAAGAACATGGTTCGCCGAACCCTTAAGACAGCGAGCTACCTAACCGCTCGTGGGTATAACACATGTGTCATTAGGGGCGGGCACTGGTCTAAGAACCGCGGATATCGTCTTCCTCTTCGCCGAAAAGCAAAACGTACTTGAGGATGTCGGAGAGTGAAATGATACCCTTAAGTCGGTAGTCGTCGTCCACCACGATTAGCCGGTGAACCCGTGACTTGCGAATTGTTTCGAATATGGCGTCGAGACGGTCGTCCTCATTACAGGTATATATACCAGCAAAGTCGTCCGCGCGCTTCTCAAGCGCATCGCCGACTGTGGAGGCTAGCTCATCGTACGCCCCGCCCTTAATACAGGGGATCACATCGACAGCCTCGAAGACGTTGAGAACCTTATTGTCCTTGTCGAGGATCGGCACAGCCGAGATGTTATGTTTGACCATCAAATGGATCACATCCAGGACCGAGCTGTTCATGTCGGCCGTCGCGAGGTGGCTGTAGGTGCCGAGGTTCATCTCCCGCACCGACCTTTTGAGTAGAATGGTGTGTTTCTCGTTGTTGACGGCGATGAACTTGAGTATGCGGTATTGTGTGATGACACTGACAACCATCTCGCGGCCCGTTTCGTCGTCGACATCCACCAGTGGGATCCGCCTAGCCCGCGTCTTGAGCATGCGACGGCACGCCTCGTACAGTGGACGCATCGGGTGGACCGACACGGTCTCGAGAGGGAGGGCGCCAATCGCACGCTCGATGTCTACGATGAGATGGCGCATTCTTAGTTTCCGTCCAATTCTTGTCGCGCGTGGCGGCGGTAATGTATTTAGAATACCTACCTCGGAGACTGCTAAGACGGAAGTTGTCGACCTCATCGATCTCGTCTGGGAACTGGCAGTAGTACTGGATGAGGTTGATGAAGTCGGTACTAGTCAGGAGGCCCGCAAAGGTCGAGTTTTTTGAATCCCAGAGGGGTGCCGAAACGATGCCTGTACACAGTTCTACCGTCAGCATTGCTCTACCTACGTCCGGCTCGGCAATAATCGCAGGACTGTGAAGCGACGGCGCACCATTTTGAATCAGGATGTTCAAGCTCTTCCTGATGAGGAGCTCGTTGTCGAGTACGATGAGGCGGAAGGACAAGGGAAGCACGTCGTAGCTGGTGCGGACTTTGAGAAACTCGCGGATGCCTCGCTGTTGAACATTGGTCGTTAGTCTGTCCTGTCTCCCTCATCGTCAAGCCGAGCGAGTCCCGCGACGGCCGAGGAACTACAACCCCGCATCGCGTCTTCGAGTGCGGGACACCGTGGGCTTGTCTCGGTCGGATTCAAGGGCCATGCTCACCAGACCCTGCATCTGCTCCTTATCCAGGGCGTTTGGAGTCCTCTCCGACATTGTGCGACTGGGGGGCTTCGGGCGGAGGTACGACGAGGGCGCGACGAAGGGGAGCTCGTGACTCGGGCGCAGGGGCAGCTGATGCTGCTCCTGTCCATTGCCATTTTCTCCGCTGTTGGCCGCAGTGGCGGGGGCGACGGTGGGCGGAGCGCTGCGGGAGCTAGGATGCGCCGCTCCGGGGGGAGCACGAGGGTCATCCATCATTATCGGGATGGTGGAACAAACATCGGGCGACGCTCCCGTCCAGAGCGTCGGGGCCTTTTTTTCTTTCCTGTCCCCGTCTCTTCTTTTTTTTGGCGGGCACCGATGAAGCGGCAACTTAAGCGAGCTTCGGATCGCTTGTCCCTAGGACAGAAGACTGGAACAGCCCGGGCAAGTAAAGTGGGATGAAAAAAGGACAAAAGCCCACCTGTTTTTCGCAATGGTTGCTAGGAAGTGTTGCGAGAGCAATTGAGTGTCGTTTTCTTTCTAAGCTCCGGCCCAGCCCCGCCTCAAGAAACTTGAATATGGAAGAATGAACATGAGGAACAGATGGGAAAACCTGGAGTGAAGCAACCGAAAGTCGGGCCCCTGACGTACTGTACTCGTAGAATCTCCGCTTTTCTGATAAGGATGGAAACAGCACCGTGCTGCAGAACATCGGCTACAGCATGGAGACAGTGCAACCGGCCTGTGTCCGTGAGTTCCGTGAGTGGGCAGTGAGCGTCGATCCCCCTCCAGTTTGTGCCTCTGCTACTTCAATGTAGGAATCAAATCCTATGAACATTTTTCGTGAATGTCGCGATGTGTTTGTCAATGAGAAGTACTTTACTTTTTTATATCATAAGGGAAAAGTTTATTTACTAATTAAAAATTACCCTGTTTCCGTCAAAATTATCCTAACTCACCTTCTAAGGTCAACGATACCAAGCCCCCCTTGAGGCCCCTTTAACTTGCGCTCTTTCACTGCATGTATTTTATGTTTGTTCAATTCGTTGAGATACCTTATAACCAATGAAGTGAATAGAAACCCGAACGTCACAGCAGCTAAGCTTGCAATTTATGCGATGCGGGGAGTTGCAACCCAATGCCTTGCACCATCTCGCAGCATCAAAGGTGCCACCTTGGAACTGCCCGATCCGCCACTTACACAGTAGAAGCGGTTTCGGGAACCATTGTTCACAGAAACCCCGGGGCGAGTAACGTTAAACTAGGGGTTTAGGCTCCGAGCGAGAGGACTGATACACAACTACCCTTAATGTGAAGGCGGAATTCTAAGGGTTGCAAGATATAGTTCTTTCTGATATAGAGACAAGGAATGCAAGACACGGGCGCCGGGAAGGAGCGGAGTTGTTGTGTAGTCCGTCTTTGGAAAGCTTCGATGATCCAAGTACAGATGTACGAAGTACAGCCGCCAAAACAATGTAGCTTGACGCAATAGGTAGGCCACACCAGGGAGAATTTAATCGACATCTTACCGCGATATCCATTCCCGGACCATGGACCTCTTTTTTGTGCCAGGGGACAATGCCCATTCCATTTCTTCACACGCACACAACAGCAGTGTACTATGTAGCTCCCGCGGTCTATCTGAGACCATCTCAGCCTGAGGAGCGGGACCGGTGCCTGGGAGTGACGTGGTCGGGGAGCTACGAAGTACCGTTAGGGGGAAATGATTAGTGTGAAGATGTTGCTGAATCGGGTGTTGCATGTTCAACCTGATCGCCATTGCGCCATAACACTCCATCAACTCGAAGATTGCGAGAGTGGCCGCCGTTTGAGGATCACCTTCCATTGTATTTGGTGCCTGCCTGGTTTTCGGGAAAAGGTGCTTATCCTCAACGGCGCTTGGGGTCGGTAATTTTTATCTTTGTCAGCACCCGTGGGCCCACCTAAACAGCCGAGCCACCACCAACTTGGAGAACGCACGGGGCAACTGGACCCCGGAACCGCTGTGAACAAGGCAGCTTCGATCATTGCTGGATGGAGGCTTGTCATCCTGCCCGTTCCGTCTCCCTCGCTGCAGCTGACCCGCCAGAACAACCACCGCCCTCGAACATCCACGCACCTCGATCGGCCGACCGCCTCTAGTCTGCCAACGGTCTGCACAGAGACGCCATCGCGACCGGGCAACCAAGGCCACATATGCAATCCAGCCATCCTCCCTCGATCTCTGCAACGTTGAATTGCAGTTTTTAAAGAGGCCCATCCGTCTTTGTCGCGGTTGGCTCCCTCGCTCGGTAGCGCTCAATCCATCAGTTGCGGACCGTTCTTGGAGTCAAAGCAGTGGTCAGACACCAAATTCGACATACCGATTCACGAGATCGACGTCATTACTGGGCTCGCCGCCGTCTCTCATCGGTTGCCATGGGCATCTGCAGCTCCTCGTGCTGCGGAGGTATGATTGCGCCTGAGCTGCGAGCTATCTCATCAATCTTCTCGTAATTCGCTAACAGGAGCCATCTACTACAGGCAAATCCCGCGATGCCCTCTACGAGAATGTCCTCGCCGAGAATGAGCGGGAGGCTGTCGCCGACCTCCTGGGGTACCTCGAAAATGTCAGCATCACTTTACATTTGGCAACTTACCCGCTCGCCTCGAAATCCACCCACTGACTGACATTGATTTTGCTGTAGCGCGCCGACACAAATTTCTTTTCGGGCGAACCCCTCCGGGCCTTGAGCACACTTGTTTACTCGGACAACATTGACCTTCAACGCAGCGCGAGTTTGACGTTTGCCGAAATCACGGAGCGAGATGTTCGCGCCGTTGACCCGGATACGCTTAGCCCCATTCTTTTTCTGCTCGAGAACTCCGACATCGAAGTACAACGGGCAGCCAGTGCCGCACTGGGGAACCTTGCCGTTAACAGTACGATGCCCTCCATGAGTCAAGCACGGTCAAGTTGGGTGGCAGCTAGCTAACACACAGTGTAGCCGACAACAAGGTCTTAATCGTCCAGCTCGGCGGGTTGCAACCGCTCATCAAGCAAATGATGTCGCCAAATGTCGAGGTTCAGTGCAATGCTGTCGGCTGCATCACCAACTTGGCCACGCATGAGGATAACAAGGCAAAGATCGCGAGGTCGGGCGCTCTGGGTCCTTTGACACGACTGGCCAAGTCTAAGGACATGAGAGTGCAGAGAAATGCGACCGGCGCGCTTCTCAACATGACACACTCTGGTACGTCATTTTGAGCATTCTCGCTCCGGTTTGCGCCTAACTTTCTGTACAGATGAGAACCGCCAACAGCTTGTAAACGCTGGCGCCATTCCCGTCCTAGTTCAACTCCTATCCTCCGCAGATGTCGATGTGCAATACTACTGCACGACTGCCCTGAGCAATATTGCCGTCGATGCCAACAACAGGCGGCGATTGGCCGAGTCCGAGCCTCGGCTTGTCCAGTATCTCGTCAACTTGACCGATTCATCCTCACCGAAGGTTCAGTGCCAAGCTGCGCTGGCGCTCCGGAATCTGGCGTCGGACGAGAAATATCAGCTTGAAATCGTTCATGCCCATGGCCTCCCGCCGCTCCTCCGCCTTCTTCGCTCCTCGTACCTCCCGCTGATTCTCTCCGCGGTCGCCTGCATCCGCAACATTTCTATTCATCCGCAGAATGAGTCTCCGATTATCGAAGCCGGGTTTCTCAAGCCTCTCGTCGATCTGCTTGGTTCCACAGACAATGAGGAGATTCAGTGCCACGCCATCTCGACGCTCCGCAATTTGGCCGCAAGCTCTGACCGCAACAAATCTCTTGTTCTTGAGGCGGGCGCCGTCCAAAAATGCAAGCAGCTTGTGCTCGAGGTTCCTGTTACAGTCCAATCCGAGATGACGGCTGCTATTGCGGTTCTTGCCTTGAGTGACGAGCTCAAAACTCACCTTTTGGAACTTGGTGTCTTTGAAGTCTTGATCCCCTTGACCAAGTCTCCCAGCGTAGAGGTCCAGGGCAACAGTGCTGCTGCGTTGGGTAACCTCTCTTCGAAAGGTTTGTTTGCCTCTTATATTGACACTCCAACGATTCATACTAACAGTGTGCTAGTGGGCGACTACAGCATCTTTGTCCAAAACTGGGCCGAGCCCAGTGACGGTATCCACGGCTACCTCAGCAGGTTCCTCGCTAGCGGGGACGCCACTTTCCAGCATATAGCGATCTGGACGTTGCTCCAACTGCTTGAATCGGAGGATAAGAAGCTCATCGGTCTTATTGGGAAGTCCGATAGTGTGGTCGATATGATCAAGCAGATTGCCAACCGCCAGATGGAGTCTGAAACCGAGGTCGAGGATGACGACGAAGGGGAGGTGGTCAACCTGGCTCAGCGCTGCCTCGAACTCCTTGGCCAGGGCGCATCGAAGAGTCACATCGAAGGCTAATAATGCTTTGCTGTCAAACCAAGTCGAGAAGGATAGAAAGATTCTCACACTTTCCCCCATTACCCATTTGCCTTTTCTCTCTCTTCTGTCCCCTCTTCTTTTTTTTTCTTTTTTTCCTTTCTCTGGTTTATTGCGCATCGGAGCGGCACGGAGTTGGTGGCGTCAGTATTGTCTACACACAGGAACGGATGGGAGCTGGGAGGGTTCTGGAGGACGTGTATACTGCAGGCGAGCATTTGGGCAGGCTAGGAAGGTGGTGGGTGGACACCGGGTGGGCACCAGGGGGGTTGGTGGTGGTTAGTAAGTTGTACGGTTGACTTGGAAGGGATGACTTGGTGCTGTTGGGTTCTAATCTTCGAACCTTTGCGATGGCTTCTTATTTTCCTTTGTATCATGGCGCGGAAGATTGTTTGCGGACAACACTGGACAATTGGGTCCTCCCATACCCATAAGCACTTCGGCGGTGTCTCGCGATGCCTGTTTACCTTGTACTTCATTACCGACACTGCGTACTCGCATCGGTGGGTTTAGCCCGTGTTGATGTAATCAGAATACACAATCCATATACCTTTTACATACTTTTTAGGTGCTTCCTAGGACATTGAGTACTCGAGGGCATCACCAACTTCACGGCAATCTGGGGAAGGATCAAGTCATGGGCCAAATACGCATTTAATCCCCGGATGGGTTGCTAACTTTCTGCGAGGTATTCGTGATCCACCTGAACTCTGAAAAGGGCCTCATCGTCGCGATGACTTTGCCCCGTATCAAAGCGAGCGGTACCGGCCCAAAATACCTCGAGTCCCGCGAAGCTACTAAATTATCACCCACAATCCAGCAGTGACCCTTTGGAACCTACGCCTCAAGTCAGTCAGTACTCCATCACTCCTCCTCCATCCATACCAAGAAAACAGAGAGACCACGGTTCACAAACCTGAATCATATTCCCTTCCCCCGGACCAACCCCATCCCCCGGCGTATCCATCAACACATAATCTCCCGGCAGTCCCAACACCCTCTTCACTCCGACCTCGTCATTGATAGGGATGTTGTACGCGACTACGTCGCCGACTGTCACGCCGCGGCCGAAACGGTGTAGTTTGGATACCAGCAACCACTCGCCGAGAACTTCAAAAGTTGGGAGCATGGAGGGGCCTGAGGCCGGGGCCATGGAGATGACGTATTCCCAGAGAAGGTGGGTGAAGGCGACGAATTTGAGGGTGGTGAGGATCACGCGGAAGGGGTGGCCGAACCAGGAAGGGGGCGGAGGAGGTGGTGGTTCATGGGAATCGCCATGGTTGGTGTGCGGTTCGGTGCCGTGAGAGTTTATCTTGGTGGTTTTGTTTGGGAGCGACGTGGATAGTGAGGGTGTAGTCGGTTGTGGTGTTTGGTGAAGGGGGATTGACTTGGTGGAGAATCGGGGTCTGGTGGGCCGAAGGAAGCCTCGCAGGACTGGGGTTATGAAGCCCATGGTGTCGAATAAATCTCCGGGGCCGGATTTCTTATCATGGCATTATGGCGGATTATGGATTAAGGTTGAAGAACTTGATGAGTTGAAGTGGCTCTCCACCTCGAACATAATGCCCACTGCCAAGAGCAGATAAATGCAGATAATGCCAAGACGGGAGCTTGCTCGATGAAGCGTCTCACTGGTCCGGTATCGATTAGTGGGGCCCTTCATTCCGGGGACCGAAGAATCCAGGGTTGACTCGCTCCAAGTTCTCCTGACCAAAAAAAGTGTTTTTCACGTTCTACAGCTGTGACTTAAACACCTCTATGGTCACTTTCGCCCACCATGAGACGGTCCCCATGTATTTTCAACTCGGCCGCCGCATTGCGGACCGTATTCCTCGGCAATGCGGCCGTATCAGAAACCCCGGGGCACTTGCAGCGCTTATTACTGCCCAGCATACAACCTGTTCCAGCCCGCTTCGTATCGCCCGCGCAGCGACCATTTTCGACACATCCTATCCTCCGAGGACACTTTAAACGATATAATCCCGAAGAAGAGCTTGAACAACAACAACCAAAAGCCGTCGAAAGGATGTCCGACTATGGCATCACATACCAATGGATCCAACTCCGACGCGAAGATGGTACGCTAGACGCCCCACGAAGAACCGCCGATGTGCTGCAGACGATCGACTTAGAGTGGGACACTCTGGTTCTTCTTGCTGCCCCAAGAGCGAGCGAGGAAGACAAGGGGCCCGAGTTCGCTGTTTGCGCTGTTCGGACCCGCGCGCCGGCGCAACAGAAACCGGTAGTCAAGGAACCTCCGGCGAAGGTGAAAATGCTGGAGTTGAACTGGGCCATCGGGGCCCACGACCTGCGAAGGAAATTGACACGGATGCAAGAGCTCGCGAAGAAGGGGTATCTCGTGCAGGTTATTTTGACCATGCGTAAGATGAAGTCTAAAAGGAGGGCATCGGATGAGGAAGTCCAGGCGACGTATGATGCAGTCATGGCAGCGATTGCGGAAGTACCTGGAATAAGGGAATTAAAGAAGCGGGACGGAGATCTAGGGAAGAGTCTCATATTATATGTGAAATATTCGGCCGAATGGGCGAAGGAGTCGGCGGAGCAGGCAAGTGCCTCATCGACGGAAGAGGGGAGCACTCCGTCGACGGAGGGTGCCTTCGATACTCCAAGGAGAATCGAGGCGGAAGCTGTAAAGGCGGATCCGAACGAATAGTGAGCGGTGAAAGGTTACCATGGCAATTTGGTTGTATGGATTCTGTAATTATGTACGATACTTGGCTATAATGGGATGTATCAAACATCCCCGCCAGTGGATACCAAACCCCCAAGAGAGCGATGCTTGAGTGGCACAACACTCCAAGTTTCAAATTCTGGTTCTAATATGGTGAAATGCAGCCTTCAGTCTCATGGGGTATTTTTTTGTGATGTGACGCCAAAACATTGTGTTACTAAAATGCCATTCACAGGTCATAGTTCGATCCGACAAGCAATTGTCCTCTTCCGCAATCCAAATACAAGGATTAGCTTTGTGCATTGGGAGCAATTACAGGGGTGTAACAACCTCTGATTGGAAGCCGTCTTTGCATGAGGGCGGGGCGCGGGGCAAGGCTGGGTCTGACTGTGACTCAATTCCCCAAATTCCAATTCTGGAGATGATGAAATTCTGACTAGCAAAACACAAGAAGTCTTGAAAACCTGCGTGCCGCCGGGAACCAGATTGTTATCGATTGTGTTTTCGGGGAGAGAAGACCACCGCAATCCTAATTGGATTTTCGACTTGGGAAACTTTTGAACAGAAGTTCTCAACTTTGGAGAAAGTTTCCACGGCGACCTTAACCCCGCGCATTCCATCCAGGACGTTCCGGAACCATTTCCCTGCCAACCTCATCGCATAACTTTATTTGCCGCCGGTCGTGAAATAATGCCCGCCGAGACGACCGGGGCTCCGAATACCGGGGCTCCCGTCAATACAGCGGCCCCCGCGCAAGATGGATCAAAGACCGCACCACCTCCTGCCAACTCAACGGCCCCCAAGGCGGAGGGAGAGAAGCTCACACCCGCCCAGCTCAAGGCTAAGGCCAAGGCCGAAAAGGCTGCGAGGCGCGCGCAGGTGAAAGAAGCAAGGGCTGCTGCTCCGGTGCCGTCCCCCGTCCAAGAGAAGGGCGCAGTGACAGATGGGAAAGGAGGCAAAGGAAAGGGGAAACCGGATGGACAGCAAACGCAAGGCAAAGGTGGACATTCACAGGGTCGCCGGCCATCGTTTAGTGGGAGGCGGCCCTCTGGTGCTCCGATCGAGAAGGACGTTAGGAGTACCATCCCCGATGCTTTCAGTCACATTCCAATGGCAAAGCGGATACCAACGTCCCAGGCGCACAAGGATGTGCACCCTGCGGTGCTAGCGGTCGGGCAGCAGATGGCTACATTTGCGCTCAGTGACAGCATATCCCGTCTTCAAGCTACTCTCTTGGCGTTCCGGAAGGTTTGTTTTGTCGGAGACACTCGCCTGGTCAGACCATTACTCACTGACACTCTCCAGGTAATCGAGTCGTACGAGACACCTAAAGGAAACTCGCTCTCGCGGCACTTTGTTCCCCACGTCCTCAACCCACAGATCGAGTACCTTACCGAATGTCGGCCCATGTGCTTTGCTATGGGCAACGCCATCAGATTGCTAAAGGGGAAAATCAACAAGTTTGACATCAACACGGGCGACGAGGAGGCAAAAGAAGGGCTTTTAGAGTGGATCGACTTTTTGATCAATGAGCGCATCAACCTAGCGGAGTATGCCATCGCTAGGAATGCGGCCCTACTGATCAACGAGGGTGACACGCTCCTCACCTACGGCCGGCACCGGCTCGTGGAGAAGACCTTTCTCGAGGCTAAGAAAGACGGCAAGTCCTTCGAGGTCACGGTGATCGATGATCCGTTTGAGCGTAGCGGCCAGGACCTCGCCAAGGTTTTGCGGCAAGCAGGTATCCCCGTGCTGTATTCCCCCAACCTGGGTGGCCTGCGGCCCAAAGTTGCGGCGGCAACCAACGTTTTCCTCGGCGGGGAGGCCATCTTTGCCAATGGCTCACTCCACGCTCCCTCGGGAACTGCCGACGTCGCCATGTCGGCGGCAAACGCTGGCGTGAAGGTAATTGTGCTGTGCGAGACCATCAACTTTGACCGCGACCGAGTCTCGGTCGATTCGCTCACGTACAACGAGATCGACCCTGAGAGGAATTCGGCCGAATCTTTCCGGTTACTGTTTGATAACACCCACGACAAGTATATTACTGGCGTGGTCACTGAGTTCGAGAGCGGCGGCGGCAACTCGCCGGCCCAGGCTATTCTCGCTCTGCTCAGAAAACAAGAAGATCCCCTGATCGACTAGGCGCAGAGAAGAGGGTGACAAGAGTGGGTAGAGCGAGAATAGCAGGGCTCGGGGGCAGTGGTTATCTGGGCTCAGATTTATAGGAACTTAGCACAGTAGCTAGCTGGTTGGTTGACACCAGATCGAGAATTATGACCTCGAGGATTGGACGGGACGCGGAGGTTTATTTGCGGCTCGGGGAATCCATCTAGCAGAGTGGCCATTTGGGCAATGACAAAATAATTTTATACACTTGAATCCAGCTCGTTAACTATGGTGGCTCGTTCACTGTCCTAGATTCGTACAGCAGCAAGCTAAACCCGTAATCTCTTCCAGGGTTTCTGTCCTACCACCCTTCTTTCTTGACCCTCCTCCCAGTCCCCGCCAAAATATCCGTATTCATCGCGCCCATCTCCACTGAGCCGTAATCCACCCCTCCCCGGCCCAGTCCAGCCAAACCCCCTTCATCACGACCCCCTCTTTCGTTTTTTCTCATTCCATCTCTCTCACGCAACAACCTCCGTCGGCGCCGCCGCCGCCGCACTAGCCTGGCGCTCAGCACGCCGCGCGCGCTTCTCCAAAATCGTCTGCTTGCGATCTGCCAGTGTTTTCGCCTGGCGCTCGTCCACACCCTGAAGCCAGTATCCAAAGCTACCGCCCACAGCACCAAATAGAGGGTACGCCCACAGCGAGCCCTTGTTGAAGAAGGGCCGCATCTCGATGCCGAGTTGCCAGAAGCGGACGACGAGGCCTAGGGTAGGTGGGGGGGGAGGAGTTAGCTATGTTTCTAGAGGACTCAGATCGTTTGTCGGGGGAGGGGGTTATGTACCGAAGCCTGTCCAGAAGACGACTCTGCCGACCATGTTTTTGGTGGGGGGGAGGGTTGTGTAAAGGGAAGAGCTTCGTTCGTAGTGTGACTCGGATCGGAGACTCGGGTTGGGTTGGAAGGTTTGACGTTGCGACGGGTCCCGTTCGTCGGCGGCTGCTGCTGCGCGTAGGGAATGAAATTAAATTCTTCCTACGGCGGTCGAGCCAAGGTTGGTTGGTGAGAGTGGAGTGGGCGCCCGCGATGAGCTTGTCGACGGCGACTCGGAGCTTCGTGGTGGTCTGGGGTTGGGATTGGTTTGCGGGCAATTGGCTTGATCGATGGTCTCGAATTGGCCAGCCACAGTTCTGGTCTGTGCTTCGAGAGAGGGGTGAGGCGCCAAACTGTGGCTGTGTCAGTTAATCTTCAGTTCGCCCAAGCTTTCCAAGCGCCCCACCCAAATCCCTCTAGCGGGTCCTTGAACGCGGCGTGCAGCCGATCGCGTATCGCAATTGGGACGTTTCAATCTTCTTTGACCTGTTTCCGCACTTTCACTCCTCGAGAAGCAACAACCAAACGCACGTTACGGACCGCGGGCGCCGTTGGAGATGACCCGACAGGATCTGCCACGCCATTTGGATTCCCTTTGGCGCATCTGATGCGTTCGGAGCCTTCGTCGACTCCCGTTCTTCTTGCCTGGAACGACGACCTTCCAGGGCGTTGACCCGCCGTCGGTATGCCTTCCGCAGTGGACGTTGGGGCTGCGCTTCCTGCCCCGAAAAAGTTCAAGGCCTCCGATTTACCGCTCCCATCAGCGACACGAACGGCTATCGAGGGCCTGGCGCATTCATTTAAGAAAAAGGGCGGCTACGATGCGATTCGCAAACAAGTGTGGGAGAAGTTTGAGGCTAGCGTATGCGCCCTTAACCCTGCAGTTACCAAAATGCATTAATACCAATGTGGCAACAGGACTATGAGGCTCAGGTTACCAAAGCCATCCTTGAAGTCGCCGAGCAGGAGGTCGAGCGCAACCCGAATCAGCTCTTGACTCTCGACCGCCGAAAAGCCGCAGCTCTCATCGATGGCGCCCTCGACCGTGGTGGTGTTTATCAGAAGGCGGAGGAGGTCATCGGAGCGCTGATTGATGCCGAAGCCATCGAAGCACACATCCGCCAACTACGTATCGCGGAAGTAGGCGAGGAAGTTGCCGAAGAAGAACGACTACGCGGCTCCAAGACAGATGAAGAATACGCAGCCGAGACGGCTGCTCGTCGAGCCGAGAGGGAACGTGTACGGGAAGAGTTGAGGGCCGTGGAGGAGAAGAAACGACAGCTTGAACGGGAGATCAAGGCTAAGGAGGAAGCGAAGAGGCGGGAGGTTGAGCGAGCCGCCCGCGAGGAGCGGAGAAAGAAAGAGCGGGAGGAGGACGAGCGGAGAGACAAGGAGCGCCGGGAACGGCGTGAAAAAGAGAGGGAACAAGAAAGAGAGCGTGATAGGGAACGCGAAAGCCGGAGAGACAGGGACCGGAGCCACGACCGCCGCGACAGGGACCGGGATCACGATCGGGATCGATATCGCGAGCGGGGTTACGACAGCTATCGAGGTACTCCAAGGGACCGCTCGAGGGATAGGGACCGGGACCGTACCGGTCGAGACAGCCGCGACAGCAGGCTTAAGTCTTCTGCCGATGATGGCATAGACGAAGGTGAAAAGGCGCTCAGCAAGGATGATCTCGAACGCCTTGAGCAAGAGGCATTAGCGGACCTCCTTAGGGAAAGCAAGCGTGTCTTGAAGAAGCAACCCGAACTCGAAATCGACGAAACTCTGGTCCCTCCCCCGAAGCGGACGAAGCCTGCATCTGCCATTGACCCAATTCAACGTTCAACCACGAAGGCCGTCGAGCCCAAGCTGGTGGAACTCAAAAAGCCAACTGTAGAGTCGAAGAAGCCGGTCGAAAACAAAGAACCCAAAAAGGAAGACGAAACCAACCCTTCAAGCGATGCCAAAGACCTCGAAGCGAAGCTTGAGAGAAGGAAGACCAGAAGCCCTTCGCGGTCTTCCCGGGTCCACCGCACCAGGGACAGGAGCCGGTCCAGGGACGACGGTCGCAAGCGAAGGGAGGCTCGCTCACGTACCCCACGGACTCGTGAGCGCAGCCGCTCCCGCCGGAGGAGCAGATCAAGGATGCGTGAGAAAAGGGAGGACCGCAAAGACGACCGAAAGGAAGACCACAGAGACCGCAGCAGCTCCCGTACCAAGACGGACCGGCGGGAACGGAGCCATTCTCGGCCTCGGACGGCGAAGGGCGACGATGGGGGGGGTAGAAGCCGTTCTCATCGCCGGGACACTCGAGACCGCAGTCGTTCGCCACGTCATAGGGTAGAACGGCGCGACCGGTCTCGTTCCCGCCTACGGTTTAGCCGCCGGGACCGGAGTCGCTCTCTCTCCCGTGATCGCGGCCGCCGTGATAGACGGGATCGCAGTCATTCTCGGGCGCATAACGACCGGCGGGACCGCGGCCGTGACCGCGGGCGGGAGAAGGACCGTGATAAGGACAAGGCCGCCCAGGATGAAGATAAGGAGCGACAGCCGCGAAGCCGCTCTCGCTCACCTGCAGCACGGCCTCCTTCCCGTTTGAATCACGATGAGAAAGAAGCATGGAAGCAGGCTGAGGTTAAGAAACGCGAGCAGGAAGCGAAGGCGTACTTGGCTGCTCAAAAAGAAGCTAGGGAAAAGGGCATGCCGGTACCGGGTATCGACGACCGCCGCGCAGAAGACAGGTCGCCCGATCTTAAGCGACGCCGCGAACCCGATGAGCACGACCGCTACATGCCTGGCGACCGGGACCGGGACCGCGATCGTACCCGGGATAGGGATCGCGATAGAGACCGAGACAGGGATCGTGATAGGGATCGTGAACGCGACCGCGACCGCGATAGGGATAGAGATAGGGACAGAGATAGGGACCGAGACCGCGATCGAATGGACTACCGAGGCGGCGACCGCTATGACGGGGACCGCGACAGGCCAAGAGATCGAGATCGGGATCGGGATAGAGACAGAGACCGGGACCGAGATCGAGACAGGCGTGACCGGTCCCGCGATCGTGATCGACCAAGGGATGACCGCCGAGAAACGCGGCGTCGTAGCCGGTCGCGAAGCCGTGATCGGGACAGGGATCGATCCCGAGACAGAGACCGCGACAGGGATCGGGATAGAGACTATCGTCGGAGTCGTCGCGAGCGGAGCGAGTCAACTCGGCAAGACAGAGACAGAGACCGCGATCGGGATAGGGACAGGGACCGAGACAGGGACCGAGATCGGGACCGCGACCGCCATCGGGACCGCAGCCGACGGACCAGCCGTAGAAGAAGCAGAAGTCGCGGCTAGCAGCCTAAACTCAAGCCAGCTCTCAGAACATCGAAGGCTTCTCCGGCTGCTCCCGCAAATTCGACAAACGAGAAAGAGGGAATCAAGACAGCCCCAGCGGACGTCAAGACAGGCAGAGTAACAAGGAAAACAAAAGCTTCCCAGTCGACTGGCCTACTCGTCCTTCCTTATTGATGTAACTTGTAATCAGCAGCGTGTACGGAATGTCAAGGGCGGGTTGGGAGGGCATCATGATTTCAGAGAGAACCAAGGAGTTTAAGGATTGGACAGCGAAATATCATTCATACGTTCCGAGAAGGAATGAGTCCGTGTCTGCTTAGACGACCGTCTCGGCGGTTATGGTGTTAAATGATGTAATGATGTGATGCTCAGTGATATGAACCCAAATCTTCTGTTCCACCTGACAACCACCTCGAGATATTATTCCCAACATCTTTGCTAGTGCAGATATGCAATGTTTGAATAGATGATTACATGTGCCCGTGCAGGGTGGTTTGTCAAGGCATTCAACAAACAAAACTTACCGTCTGTACGCTCAATCATCACTGCAAGCCAAAAAAACAAAGGCAGTTCAAAACCTGAGTCGCTCTCGACCTCGAGTCATTAATTAGTTATGTTGAGGTCAATCCAAAAGGAGACGACTCAAAAATCCAAAAGAGTCCCGAAATCAAAAACCCCTATTTAACGCCATGCCATGCCATATCAATCGTGTCACATCCAGACAGCCACCCCGCCTTATTTATGTCCTTTCTCTCTTTTTGTCGCCCGTCCCCCTCCTCTATGCGACGCCAAGCTGTTCCCCAACAGCACCCGCCACGCCGCCCCCGTAAAAGAACGCGCCGACCAAAAACAGCACCAAAAACGCCGCAACACCCATAACCAGCGTTCTCCGCACAGCGGCCGGCAACCCCCCTTGCTGCTGCTCCGCTCCGCTGCCGGTGAAGTCCCCGCCGGCCTTGGCAACGAAGACCCAGGCGGCCTGGGAAAGCAGCACGATTTGGTCCCAGCCGAGGGAGTAGTAGAGCAGGCCGGCTAGGGCGATGGTGTAGCCGAGGCACTGGAGCCAGGTGATATTGGTGTGCCAGATCATGACGGAGATGATGACGAGGAGGATGTTTTTGAGGATGCCGGTGAGGGTCATGACGAGGCCGGAGGTTTTGCCGATCTATGAGTCGGTTAGCTGGTTTGAGCCTTGTTTGTCTCGGAGACGAGAGGCAGCAAGGGGGGGGAAGGGGGGAGAAGAGGAACTCACCAGGAAAACGCTGCTAACGTTAAGCAGAAAGGCAATAGCGGCGTTGAGCAGGAGCAGACCATAGCCAGCCTTAGCAAGGTCGGCCGGGTCGAATTTATTCGCCTCAGAGCCAATGGCGATAATGACGTTCATGACGGCGCAGATGGGGGCGTAGTAGTACAGGCTGACGAGGGGGTCCATCTTCTGCGTGTCGCCCGAAAGCAAGACCTGGATCATGACAAGCCGGACAGCCTCAAACACGATGCCGCCGACCTGGAACAGGAAACCGGCCACGCTAAAGTCGATCTCGCCGAAGCTGGCGAGAGCGACGCCGGCGACGATGAGCAGGACGTTGATGAAGCGCTTGAGCGAAGGGTCCTCGACGCCCCATGCCCACGAGGTCAGCAGCACGGCCACGGGGGCGGCGGCCTTGAGCATTTGGATGAAGGCCACGCTGAGGTACAGGTAGACCATGTTGCTGCAGACCAGGCTGGCGCTGTACAGCAGGCCAATGGGCACGATGGCGCGCAGGTAGAGGCGCCCCGTCATCTTGACATTCTTACGCCCGTCCAGCAGCGTGGTTGTTCGCGCCAGGACTTGGGTCGCGATGGTCGCAAAGATAAGATGCCAGCATGTGAGAATTACGGCTGCCGCGGTGTTAGTCACAATTCCATACCAAAAATAGGGGCAATTGGCCTTTGATACACAAAGGCATATGTGAGGGGTAGACATACGGTATCCTATCATAAGCCGGTTAGTCTTTCATGTTCCCAATCCGCCTCAGAATGCAATGTACGAAGTAAACTTACGGAATCCCCGACTATCGATAATCCATTTGTTGAAGAGAATTGTCAAGTTGGAAAAGAAAATCCAACTCCTACACAAACCTCCCGGTTAGTATGATGCAGTCTCAATCAAAGCCGCAGGCGAGCCTGGCGACCTAGAGGTCATCCGTCCTCGGGACTCCGCAGGAATTTAATATATCTGGACATACGCAACATAGAACACCGCGTGTATCCCCCGGTCTGCCGGCCGAGGTTTTTCAACCTGGCGTTCAACATCGTCCTCGACCATCTTCTTGCGTAGTCCGTGACTGGCCGTAAGCCTTAAATTTCGGTCAAGCTGACGTCGCCCACGAAATTGAGTTGAGACCCCTCCGTGATTATTCGAACCTCTCCCCGGTCTTCTTATGGTTCCGCTTCCCTTTGTTCTCGTTTCGTAAATCGTTGGGCGTATGAGGGCGCGAGCCCTGGAAGTAGAGAAACAACGGCCGCTGATTTATTACCAAGACTTCCCCCCTCCTCTTTTTGTTCGCCGCAGCAGCGCTTTTGAGTTTTGCGCCACGAGCACTCCTACAGCAGAGTCCTCTCACTGGTCCGTCTCGCTTCGTTCGTGGTGCGTCGTATCGTATCGTTGTGCGAAGGCTTCGGCGATAGGGAGGCCAGGCCCGAACGACGGAAAGAGGCAAGGTCTGATGCCGATGGAGTAGTATCGTGAGTCCGCCGGGTCGGGGGTCGACGGTCCGAAACGCGCGAAACAAAACTGGCGGAGGGAGGCTTTGCGGAAACGAGACAGGACGAGAGACCACTTTCTCAACAAAAGATACAGAGAGCAAAAGAAAAAAAAGTACTCGGCGCGCGTGAAACCCGGCGAGTGGGCGCTGTAGGTCGAATTTGAATGGAAGAAGTCGCGAAGCTGACTTGATCTCATCCCCAATGGAGAACCATCGCAAAAGACGGACTGGGGGCACCAGCTGCTTCTTGGGCTGGGCCCGGCCTCTCGTTGCAGCGCAGGCATCGTCCCAAAATAGGATCGCGCAGGGCAGGCCGCTCTCAGGGCGCTGGCCAGGTGCCTGCCCAGAAGGCCCACCAAGCGCGGGGCAGCCAACCAGTGAACCGGAACTCTGGACGCATTGTCTTCTCCCATTGGTTTGCGGGGGAACAAGCTGTGGGAAATCCGCTCCAAAAAGGGGGACCCCTGTTCGTGTTTTGCTGACTCGACCCGGCTCTGGGCTCCTCTCCTCCTTGGCTCTCAACCAAATACGACCTCTCGCAAAGAGCTTCGCCATTCCGAATACCCAAGGTCCATGCATCGGCGCGGCAAGGATCGGACGAATGTGTTTCAGTCCACTTGTCGATGCCTTCAGAAGGATGGCACAGCGCTGGGCGGTTTGTGAGAAGATTGGATTGCATTGACCTGACGATGAAAGGGGGCCGTTGTGTCTCTCGATGTCTGTCCGAGCGAGAAACAAATCTGTCTTCAGAAGGCCCGGTGATACACGTACGACAGTTCCAGGGTGGTCTCTCACATGACCACGAGTTTGATGGCGATAGACTTCGCAGCAAGCAGTAAAGTTCCGAGACAACGGCAGCCCAATAGTGTACCAGATGCGAGAGTCAACCCCGACATTCTGGGGTGGAGACGGCAACTCGGCAACTTTGTCAGGGTCCTCGATGTGACCCTACCGCCGTTGCTGCGGAAAGAAGGAAGCGTTCCTTCTTCAACACTGTCTGTCCAGAACAGCAACAGACAACACAGCCACATTAACTATGTTCTCACCATGAATTCCAAAGAGAACGTAGCAGGGGACACGAAGGGGACCGAACTTAGTTTGCCTTTTTTTTTTTAGCAGGAGGCCATCTTAGCATGTATCCTAAGCTCATAACGGTTTATGACGCTAAGTCCTAGTTTCCGTGGCCCCTCAAAAAGGCGCCGAAGAATCCATTACTCTCCAACCAAACCCCAACGGCAAGCCCACTCCTCCCAGCGGTGTCCCTTCGCTCGTGGCGTACCCCAATTCTAATGAAATCATGAACACAACCATGTAAACCAGCCCAATTCCGTGAATGTATGTAAATAAGGAAATGAACGCAGCCCTCTCTTTCTCTACCAATCCACCCCTCAGTCAGGGTTGAAATAGCAGAGGAAGACAATGGTATACCCCCCTCTCCCAAATAAAAAAACGCCGTTCGCTATGCATAAGATTCATAAATTGCAACCCACAGAAACTCCGTCGCGTCCTTGCCGGGGTTATGCTCCCGCGGCTTCGAGAGCGTCGGCTATGGGAACCTGTGGAGGGGAATCCGGGATGGGAACGTCCTCAGGCTTGAATATTGGCTCTAGTGCCTGACCGTTCGTCTCTAGCATCTCTGCTTCCTCCACCATGTCCGAGTCCCGGACGAGCAGATGGGTGTGCTCAACGACTTCACCACGCTCTGGTGTCGGAGAAGGGGATCGTTCAACAATCGTCTCCCCTATCCGCGACCGCGATGAGAGCGTATCCGTTGTGATGGGCATGGCCGAGCTTGGTGGCGCTGGTGAGATGTTGTCATGCTGCATTGGCACCTCCAGCTTCCCCGTGAGACATACGTCGTTCTCCGAAACGCTCGCAGCGAGGGCCTCAGTTTCGGCAGCCCTAGCTGCAGTGCCGTTCGAGACTAGGTTCACATCCGGAAGCAAGTCTTGGTTAGGGTCCACACAGTCGTAAAACAGCATGAACACGCCACCTTGCGACAGGACCGTCCGTTCGTCCACAATCGAAACAGTCTCATCGCTCAAGCGCCACCATTGGGTCTGTTGCACGTCGTGGCCCGGCGTTGATTCCTCTAGGTCGATGTCCCCGTCCGAGTCCGTATCATTCGCCTCGCTAACTCCGTGTGCCTCCGTACGCTTGCCCATCCCCGGTGGTGAAGAGAAGGGGTGTTTGCGGTAGCAAACATAGTGTCCGTTTTGGTGGCTCCCGTGATGTGTCACAACAGCGCGCAGTTCGTAAATCGGGCCGGTAATCCTGGACGGCTCCCGGTCCCCTGATACCATCGACGCCTTGGGATCTAGTATCCACTGCTCCATGTCCTGGGCAATTGAGTTGTTTTCCAAGTCCAAGGGGCCATGTTTGCTACCGAGGCACCAAGGACCTAGATCAAGTACCAGAGGGAAGCGGACGTCGGCCGAGTTCTTGTACATGTAGCCTGTCTGTTCATCGAACCCCGACCGGTTCACATGGAACACCAAGCTGGACGGCGGTCGGGCAAGGACCACTTGTTTCGTTTTGGTCGAACTTGTCTTTGACTTTGACGTGATTTTGCACTTCTTGGTCAGCGTCTCCTCATCGAACGCCTCTTCCTCAAGAGCTTCTTCGAGAACCTGCAACCGCTCCTGGAGCATTGCGGACTCTCCGGCGCGCTCAATCAGCGCCTTGATCACATCCCGACACATCACCAACGAACATTTGAGGCACTCGACGCCCTCGATCGGTTCGACCTTGGTGTATTGGTCCAATCGCTCGTAAAGATCGTGTTCGGGGAGGTTGCCGAGCGTTAATGTGAGACAATTGAAGGGGATCATAGTCAACCCTTCGCAGTGGCCGCAATTCACACAAACCACCCGTTGAGCCATCAACCCCTCGAGGGGATTCCGAGAAAATCGGGTGTTTGACCCTTGCTTGGGATGTGCGTGGAAGCTCTCATATCCGCTATCGTCACTCCCGTTGGTCCCCACGGAATCAAAACTCAGGCGGGAGGACTCAAAAACCGGTGGATCTGCGAGAATACGGGCGGTTTTGGCGATTTCGTTATCGATCTGGTCCAGCAGTTTCGAGTAATATTCCTGAGCATCCTGCTGCTGAAAGGTACTCATATTCTTGAGCACCTTAGGCGTCCAAATGGTCCTCCCATTACTCGAAGGGCTGGTGAGTTTCGCCAACAGCTCACGGAGCGCGTCGGTGGTTCGCGTTGGCGATAGGTCAGGCCGTCGCTCGAGAGAAACGGCGGACAGGTAAGGTGTGAAGGGTTTGAGGGATGCTAGACCCTGGAGAATACTGTTCTGGTAGCAGGAGTTGTCGTAGTTTCCTAGGCCCGGTGGGGTATCGAAGGACGCGTTATTTCCCATGGCAGCGCTAGACAGACTGCTCAAGCCCTTGCGCCCAGCCTCCGACACGGAACCGATAATCCCACGGCCATCGTTGAGTCCCAGAATCCTCTGTAGCGCCTCACTTTTCGCCGCACGAGTCCGCGGCTGCTGCGTGCGGAGCATGTGGGCGGGTGAAGCGTTTAAAAACTGATCAATGGCAAAGAGGAGGCGAGCCGGAACCAGAGTAATCACAATGTCCCATAGAATCTGAAGAACCGAGGGGAGCTGGCGCCGCTGGCGTGCCGTCTGGTATGCTATCGTGACGGCAACGAGAGCAACTGTGACGATCACGCTTGGGCTGGAAAGCCGGGCCCGCAGTCCTCCATTGACGTGTTGTTGGTAAAAATCAAAATTGCCGTAGGCGTTGAAATTGCTGACGAGGGTGCGTTTCGTATTGGAATGCATTTCTGTGGTGGGGATAGGGCCCTGAATGGACGGAAGGAGCTGCGTCTCGCGGGAAGAGAGGCCTCGCAAATGGATGAGAATAGCCTGGAGAGCTGGTTCAATCAAGCGGTCAATCGAAATTAAAACAGTGAAGGGTACAAAAAGGCCATGCCGTCCAAAGAGTGATTCTACTCATCAAAAAATGGGCAAACGAGGAGCCGGCGTTGCAACTGTCTCCCAGGATATAAGAAGCAGAGGATGAAATTGCGAGGACGCATGTGCTTCCTTGAAGGTTCCTGTCACAAGGAAACAATGGAACCTTAGCTCTCACGCCTCCAACAAGCTGGCTTCTCTTCAGCTGACGCACTCATTGGCCGCCTGAACTCTAGGTGGGGTCATGCGCACATGGGTCAGGTTGTTGCTGGAGTTTCCCCTGCAGGGCGACAGGGCGCGGACCCCACCAAGCAACGGTTCTCCAAGGAAATTTTCCCCGCGATAAGAAAGCCAGCAAAAGCCAACATCCTGATAACAAAAAAGAGTTCGAGGCTGCCAGACGCGACATGGCAAAAGGCGTTATTCAAAAGGGCAGGAGAGGTATGGAACAATGCAGAACAGCGGGGCTTTTCAAGGTCCATTCTTTCCCCTTTGCTTTCTTCTTTTTTTAGCTGTTTCTCGTAACTAACACGAGGCCTCTCGCTCTTGTTCGCCCCAGGGCCATCAATACATTCCCGCGCCGCCCGCCGGGCGACTTCCCCTAGTATTAACACCGACAGGTCCCTCAAAAATGCCCAGCTACCACAAGAATCTGTCGACCGGCGTCCGACCGTGCTCGCGACCCATCATGCCAGCGGCATCACCAAGAAGGCCAAGTCGGGCCGCAAAGCAATGTTAAGTAGCAAAGCGCGGCGGCGACAGGAGAAAAACATGGACCGCGCCGAGGCTATTATGGATCGCACAGCGGTTAAGGTACAAAAGAGCAAGGGCCACGCCCGAGTCATTCACTCGCGTAAGAAGACCTGGGACGAGATCAACAAAGACGCCTTTGACCACGAGGAACCCGTCAAAATCAGCAAGAAGGCCCAGGCCAAGATGGACGAAGATGCCATGGTCGAGGCGTTTTATGCGGATGATGGCGACGAGGAAATGGCCGGGGCAGAGGAGGTTGGGGAGGTCGTTAGCGTTTTGGAGGCGGCGCCTATCGCTGGCCCGGTTTCGGCAACTGAACAGGAAGAGGAAATTCTGTGAGGCTGGGCTACGGTGCTAAGCTAGATGAAAGGACTCTGCTAAAGACGAGTTCTGCCGCAACTACAAACGAGAGTGTTTGCAAGGGAACGCATTCTCGTGTCGCTCCATAGGCCTGCTGTTGCTCAGGTAGATGACACTTCCATGAGCAATCCCGGCTACTTAGATGAGGACCGGGGGGAAGGGGGAACATCCAGGATGGTTGACATTAGGAGACCAAGCAGCTTTAAAGGGATGGACAGGTATCCCATGCGGTCCGGTATTGGGCCTAGCGAAAGCCAGAATACACACTCGCAAGGCGGAAAGCTGTGAACCGTTGGGTTACTTGCGCGGCAAAGGGCCGCGACCATATGTCGCGCAGTTTCCCACCTTCGAGGGGAAGCCACAACGTTCGTGAGGTATATTAAAGCAAAAGGTGGAGATTTTGAGGAAATATATTTAACAGAGTTTTAATTGAAACGGTCGATAGGCACGCGATAGAGCGCTTGGGGTGTTTCATAATGGGTCTCCCATAGTTTATCCTCGCACCCCTCAGCTGATACTTCCAGTCGACCCGACTGCTTCCATTTACCTAAATCAAAGTCTTACAACAGCAGCAGACTTTTGCATGTGACCATACCTTCAGGTTATTTGGAATTAAGAAAATACAGACTCGATGGTTGTAGCGTGGGTGTGTGGAACAAAGCTCACGTTACCACCTCCCGGAGTATGTGTTGAGCGCCGCCCTTATTATGCGAGAAGATGGTAAAATGTATTTCAATAAGCGGGTTTAGCTCAGTTGGGAGAGCGTCAGACTGAAGCCAAAACTTCGGGAACTCTATCTGAAGGTCATGTGTTCGATCCACATAAACCGCAATCTTTACTTTTCTTTTTCACCAATACCTCTCGAAACCGAGCCAGCTTTTTGCTTGCAGTTAGCGAACCCGAAGCTACATCCGTACAAAGCACTGAATAGGGGAGTCCAAAATTTATTCCAGCGCCATCAGTTAATTGCACTTTTTCTAGAGCTTGAGGTGAGGGGTGGAATCAATTTTGGCTGTCCACCACAAACCTCATAGGGTTGAAGTCCTGCTCGAACCCCCACGCCAAGAGAAGCATGGATCCAACGACCTCGACGCAAACGAAAGTGAGAGGAAGACATAATAAGAACCCACTTTTAGATTCCCGAGAAGGATTCAGCTCTTTGAACTAACCAAACATTCGGGAGAATCCTAAGACTCCCCAACATGAAGAGGATATGGAATCACCTCGGGCATTGAATCTGTGCTAACCCACAAACACACCAACCACACACACACCCCTACGGTGGTCACGTGACTTGGAAATAGGGGGAAGAACTAGCTCAATGGAACATCGAGACAGCGCTGACAACCACAACTGGACTACAAGAACAGCGATGCCCCTCTGGGCAGATGACCCTCCGGTCAAAGGTACTAAAAGAAAGAAACGTGATTGATTGCTTGAGGAAAGAAGGACGGGAGCTTCACTCCCGTCCGCTAGCTAATATTAATACTTGGACCCTTGTCCAGAATCTCGGTAACTCAACGAACCAACGAAAAAGAAAAGAAAAACAACGCTTCTACCTCTGAGGTGAAATGTCCACCCCGGTTCAACATCTCAATCAACCCGAGCCCAGAGCCTTGAGACACCCAGGTGAGGGACAGAACAAGTCAGACAGCAAAGTATGCCAACCACTACAAATCACCACCAAAGTGGGGAGTTCATGCCCGTTTTTACTCGCAATCCTTCAAAGAAATGGTCTCAATTACTATAGTTAGACCTTGCCCTAAATTTCAAGACAGTCTTGAACCGGACAAGGTTTATTGAGTCACAGTGATATGGTGGTGTTGACACCCACGACGACTTCCCCAATTTGGAAATGTGTTTGATCACTTATACATTCCCGTTGGCAAGCTGCTCCGCCTTTCGGCAGAACCAACAATCGATATTCTGATTGTTATACTTCGTATGGGTGATCAGGATGTTTTGGGTCCGATTCACCTCCGCCGTCAAGGCATCGATCTTCACCGTCAGGATGCGGGCGGCCTCGGCGGCGGTCTGGCGGCACGATCCGGTTGTCGATGGTGTCGTCAGTGTTGGTAGCGCCGATTCCGCAGCCGGGTTCTCCTGTGCTCCCCCGGCTGCGGCGCACGATGGCGCGGCGGCCGACTTGGAGAACCCGGCCGCGGCGGCTTGGTGACCTGTGTACATGACTCGGTTGTCATGTACGACGTACAGATGGCGCGGCGGGTGACTTGGGGCTGAGGAGGTGGACTTGGATGGGTGTTGAGGAGACGAGGTATCGACAGTTAGAACGACATAATGGCGGAGTCTTCCACCACGCCTTCGCCGTCGACACCTCGTTCCTCCCACGCCTTCTTGTCCTTCCTCCTTTTCTCGATGATCGTTTCCTTTGTTCTCCTTTCTTCGATCCGACCAGCGACATCCACGAGGCCAATCATCTCCCTGAATGTTGCAAAGTTTGGTCCAAATACGGCCTTTGTCATCCTATCTGCCATCATCTTCTTGCTTTCTGTGTAGGTGGTCTCGATCCTTCCTGCCTCGGCCTCTTGGCGTAGCCAGTGGTTGTGGATGTCCATATGCCTGAGCTTGGGACGGAGGGTCGCGACCTCGTTGGTTATTAGGTAAATTTTTTGTTTGTTGTCGTACTGGATCGCGAGGGTTTCGTTCTGTAGTTGAACGCCTAGTTCCTTGAATGGCTTCTTTGGTACCTTGAGCGAGGGAAAGGAGCTCGGCTTCGGTGGTCGATGTGGTAACTGTGTCTTGTTTGTTAGTACGCTAGGCGATGGTGCTGCTGAACAGCTTGATGATGAAGGCTTGGCTACTTTTCCGGTCGATGGTGTTATCTGTAAATGATGTATCGTAGGCGAACTCCATGCCCGCCCCGCCACCAAGTTGAAGAGCGAAGTGTCTGGTTTCGTTGGGCTAATATACCACGCGGTCGGCGGCGGCGTGGTGGTGTTCCGGGCTTGGATTGTTGAGGTGCCTCGAAAGTCGTGAAACGGTAAAGGCTACGTTCGGTCGGGTGACGACCGGACTAAACAAGATTGACCCAACCTTGCGTTGACATAGCGTGATCTCGGCTACGGTTGCCGTCCCTTCGTATAGGACCAGTTCTTCATTCCCTATTGGGGAGGTTGGTCGTTTCCTCTTCGTGGCTAAGGTATACACTAGATCTTCTCGAAGTAGGAGGCCTGGGAGAGGTAGATCTTGCCGTTTTTGCGATCACAGATAACTTCCATACCTCGGAAAGAGCGGCACACTCAAACAAATAGCTCAAATCCAAACCATTAACATTCGATCAAATCTTGGTAAATGTTGATTGTGGCCGATGGCCTGGAAGATACGTGGCCGGGCAGTCCTCTTCCGAGACAGCCTACCCAAGTGGGGCGGCCCGCTTCTGGTCGGGCCCCGAGCCGGGCCCGAGCCGGGAGTGGAGCCCGTTGAGCGCCGGCCCCCGATGTGTGCACCAAGTGGAGGGGGATCATTAGGATATAAGGAGGCCAGCCCGAGGCACTCCCTTAGATAGTTCTCTTTCTGCAAGCTTTCTCAATACCACAATAAAACGCCTATCTGTATTCCGCCATAGGGCCAGTTCCTCACACCAGCACGCCTAGAAAGTAGGCTACTCTAGTTTTATCTCAGGATCTCAGCCACAGCATTTGAGGCTATTCGGCGTAATTTTTATCTCAGGAGCTCCGACCAGCAGGCGGCGGTGACGCCACCTTGTGGCGTAGTTGCGTAGCCATCCATGACCCTCGGGAAATGCGACTGTGATCTAAAGATAAGTCGAGCGGTCCTATACCCGCTGTAGCCTGTGTATAGTGCCTGTTGGTTTAACCCATGATAGTAATCAAATTACATTGTGTTTTTGGGCGATGTATTGCACTCACGCGCGCGACGTTGGGAGCCACGTGATTCAAGGCACTTCCGTTATGTATCACGACTGATGTTGGAGAGGTACAGTACATGGTCAGCAGAAGAAGAGGAACTTGATTCAATTGCAGCCAAGACTGGTATGGAGGCGATCTACCTAACTCTAGCTATATTAAGCTTTCACCGTCCACCCAGGCAACTCGCAGCCGAGACATCAACAAGTCTTACACTTGCATATTCCCGTTCGCAAGCTGCTCCGCCTTTCGGCGGAACCAACAATCAATGTTGGGATCATTACACTTAGCATGCGTAATGAGGATGTTCTGCGTATTCTGAACATCCGCCGTCAAGGCATCAATCTTTGCCCGCAGCTCCGCGTTCTCCTTCTCTAGAGCAGCACTTCGCTGCTCCATCAGACGTTGTTGGATCTTTTTCTTCTCGCGGCATTTGCTGGCAGCGATCCGGTTCCGCTCAAGAAACTTGAGCCGTTTCTCAGGGTCCTCGGGGGTCTCGGTATCACTTTTTTTGGAAATCCGACATTTGCGCTTGGCCGGGGGGGGTGCAGTCTCCGGCGAGGCAGACTCCGGGGGGTTGCTCCCGACCTGAACGGTAGGAGCCTTGCTCTGAGGGGCCGGGACCGGGAACTGGGACTCAGGGGAGGTGCTCCCGACCTGAAAAGTGGGAGCATTGCTCTGAGGGGTCGGGGCCGTTCCTTGGGCCGGCTTGAGGATATGGGCCCAAGAGCTGCGTCGGGGGATCGCCGACATAGGCTGCTCCGGGGGGAAATTTCCGTTGGAGCACAATCGGTAGAAATCATTCGTAGGGGTGTTGAATGTGCTGGCATTCTGCCCCACGCCCGGGCTCAGAAACGGCTCGCCATTCCCCAGTGTGAATGTGCTGAGATTCTGCTCCACGTCGGGGCTCGAAAACGCCCCGCCGTTGTCGAGGTTCGAGGCGTTGTCGAGGTTGAGAAAGTCAAAGTAACTACCAGTCTGACCTGACTCCATGGTGGAAACCGTGTTTCACAGAAGGTGGTCTGGAGCAGGAGAGTGGTTGGTTACAATAAGAAGATAGGCACGACACCGTACTTTTCGATCCGGGTGTTGTCTAGCAAGCGATAATTAGTTGCCTACGTCTTAGACCAGGCTCACGAATGTGGTCAACTTACTGGTTGAGTTTTATGAACTCTTTGGGAAGAGCGTGTGGTAGCGTGGTAACACAAAAGTGGCCGACAGATAGAAACCGCTGGCGGAGCGAGTGTACTTATATTTATATTTAAGTCGCCCCAACGAATAGTTGCTCTGGGCACCAAAGATATCTCAAGGTGCCGGTCGGCACATGCCCGATGGGAATGTAGGTTGGGCGTCTAGGGGGGACATGGCTTTAGGTCCGAGCCTCGAGCGGGGATAAGGTGGCCTGGAACTTAGAAACAGTGCCAGATCTAGCGGGAGCGGGCGTCGGGAGAAAGAGCACACAAAGACATAGGTCCCGGTCTGTTAGTCGGGCACGGGGACGAAATCACTCGGGACAAGGTTCCATGGACAGTGTCGGAGAGAGGCTACTGGGTTTCTTCCCAGTGCCAATCGAATATCTCCCTCATTCTGAACAGAGGAGATCATGTCTTCAATGTCATTTCTACTCCAGCTAATGGAAAACGCATGTTCGGGGAGCTTAGCCGCACACCCCGCCTCCATCGGGGAAGTTGAGCACCATCCTGAGCTTAGAGCACCGAGCGTAAGGTTCCTGCTAACTCTCCCTCACTCCCGCTCCCCTCGCGTCCGACACGCCCACAGACACATCCCTCGCGGCCAAATTTTCCTGCCCATTGCCACCAAGAGCTTCCACGGTCGAATGGATAGGACCCAGAAACTACCTACCCTGGCACCTAGCTTCCACAGTGCGCACACCTGTTCCCCCAGCGCTCGCCGTTGCCTTTCAATCTTGACAGATTTTGACGATTATAACTAGAATAGCTACCTAGAAGCCTAATACCTAAATCGTTATAGTATTGGTGTTTAAGATCTTCTTATGACTACCCATGGCTTGATTTATTCTTTTTTGTCGTTTTTCTCTGTTTTGATTCAATTACCTATCCTTTTTCGTCTTGTAAAAAAATGGGGGGCATCCAGAGGCTTGGTCTGCCGCTTGCCCGATTGTTTTGGCCATAGCAAAGAGTGCAGGTAGCTTGCCCGAGCCTGCTATCTCGATTAGCGAGTCCCCAATCGATGCATCGAGAGCACGACACCACACACCCCCACTTCCCATTTCACGCCACGGGCCCTAAATTGACCCCCGCCGGTCGGGTTCTGGGCCGAGCACTTTCCGTGCTTCGAGCAATCGGAGAGCCGGGAGGCCGAAACGAGAAGCTCCCAACTTCCATCTAGTCTGTACAACAGTACGAGTGGTCGGCTGCTTCTCGGTCAGCGTTGGTGGTGGTGTGGGATGGCGAGGATGGCTAAAGACGGGTTAGGCGGGTTGGGAAGTTGCCTTGGAAACGATGCGGTCCTGGACTCCAGGTGGGAAGTGTGGCGATTTGGGAATCGTGCGTTGTCTGTCAGGCGATGGGACCCGCGGTTCTGGAGACTACGTAGCATTGAAAAAGGGTTCGAAGGGCTGGGATGCAGGAACAACGGTTTATTCGAGATAAGCTTACCTGTAGAAAGAAGCCGAGCAGGTATCAGTCAACCTCGCAGGAGCGTCGAGCGTGGAAGATGGCAACCCCGCAAGCCCCGGCGTAGTGGAACCCTCGGGATCCTTCCCAGGTCCGGGCACTCCCTTGCAGAGGAGCTTTGACGCCCGGCTTGAGCCCCGCACCGCCGTTGGGATGTCCCAGCTCCGGTCTCATCGAATCGCGAGAGGAAACGGGCATGAACTGGCCTTTTTGGGTGGTGGTTTGTGGTGGCTGTGAAGCTTCAAGGCGAGCCCAGGTGTCGTCTGTGGGTGAAGCGAAAGCAACACGACAGGACTGAGACATGGGGAGGGCGATGCAGCCGATGCTGCATGGAACTGATGGAGGTACGAACTTACCAACAAGTTTCCTCGGGAGTCCCGCCATAACCAGTTACCAGGCCTTTTTTTTCCTGCCGGAAATATGGACATGTGACCATTTTGCCAAAAGCACCTGGGTGCAAACCACCGTTTCCAAAGACTTTCAAGTCCAATATCGCATAGAGGACGGGAAGCCAGCGTACTACCTACATGTAAAGCTCCGAATATCGATCCCGATGGTCAATATTAGGCGACGCTGACTGCTGCTGCTCGACACTAACACAGAGAGCAAATCGGAGGAATGCCACATGGGCATGCCCGGACCTGGACACTGTCAATCACAGCCCACCTCGGCAGTCGAACTGGCAGGGGACCAGCTAATCCGGAAGTAAGAGCCGAAAAAAGGAAGCAACGCAAAGAAAAGAACATGGATTTTTGGATGGAAATACGCTAGATTTGCTTCAATAAAAAATTAAATGCTTGGAATAAAACAATTGTTTTTGTCCCGTTGAAAAGCGTTCACGTGTACCGGAGGAGGAGTCAAGCTCATCGTGCTTCTGGAAGATCGAGAACTGCAGCGATTCTCAACGGCTTGAGGCGAGGCAAAATGATTGGCGGGCTTGAGGTCGGGTGGGTGGGCCTGCGTTTTCTCCGCATGCCAAGTCCGAGGTCCGATCGATCTCTCGGCCATTTTTGGTTTAGCCCGGCACTCCAGTGTGCGAATCAGTGCGAAGTGTGGTTGAACACGCCAAGCAAGCCAAGGCCAATGCCAAGCAAGGTCTGGACGCACGGACCCTACTTTAACGTTCTTGGGCTTCGCCTTTTTGGGGACACGCGTCGGGCGACTGCCCCTCCCCCACAAGCACGCGTCAAGCACTGAAACCGGCCTCCTGGACTGTGGAAAGGATTCTCGAGAAATAACGGCTCAACACCAGTACTTCACCAGTCTCAAGGAACACGTCAAAGGGGAGAAAAATCCAAAGGAACCCAGTAATACCCGACCGTGACAAAAGAGACTCCAAGCCACAACCATGGAGGCAGTTGCAACCCCGCGTATCACCTGCGCCTACCTCAACTCTTACGTGGGCAAGAATGTGATAATTGTCGGAAAGGTCATCCAGTTGCGGGGAGAAGAGGCCCTTATCGATGCGGACGGCAATATCACGGCGCACCTGAATCGCGTAAGCAACCCTCCACTCCTTTTGCCGTTTGCCCCCTTGCCTACCTCTTCTTCCCATCGTGTTAGTCTGGTCGTTAGCCCCAAATACGGCAAGGGGCGATTAAGACGACGGGTGAGCAAGATGGGATGATGGCGGCTCGGGCGAGAGTACCCACCGGCCGAGCTGGCCAGGAGATGGAAAGGGAATATGAAAAAAACAAAAAGCTTTTTTACTAACTTCAGTAATAGGAGGCGCATCTCCTTGCTGGGAATGGCGCCCAGATTATCGGCAAAGTCAACCCTGATCTCTCCGTCAGGGTACTCAGTGCCCTTGATCTAGGCACCGGCGTAGGTGAGTGAAAAGCCTCTTGTTTCCTTCTCCCATCATCATCCAGTTCTTTCCCTGCAGTAAAACCGCGCCTTGTCACTGCTCGGGGTTGCAAAGAAGATAATGGCAGGGCTGAGATTTTACCTCCCTCCCACTCTGCTTAGCGGTCACTCTTTCCATGCTTGAAGGGAAATTTGATATAACGGACGAATTAGAGCCCTAACGTCTCTCCTTTTGTGTTGAAACTAGATTACGCCCTCGCCAACACCGTTGTCGAGGTGTCCCACCAACATCGGGACTTGTTTATCTACAATTAAGCCGGCTGACAGTACGTCAAAGCCGGGAGATCGACGCTGCCGTACGGAAACAGCCAAGAACCCGTGGAGATCTCAAGTTGCCGGGCGCCCTCCCCTTTTAACTGAATCCTTGCCTATTGGCTTCCTCTTGCCGCTTTCGCGCAGGTGGACCCGTGGTAGTGCATTGAGACCCTCTCTGGAAGGAAACGGGAAAGGCAGCGGAAGGGACGGCCGCATGCCACAACGAGCACCGGTACCGGAATCGAGTGCCGGCGAAGCGGGGGCGGCGTCGGAAACTACTTGTGTATAATCGTAACGGTAACGGCGAGGGGGCGGCGGACAAAGGGTTGAGATAGAGAGTGTGTGGGCTGAGCAGCGGAGTGGGGGAACGAACGGACCGTTGAGCCATGAGCATCTAATTCAGCGCTGTCTCTTAAACCAACGACACAGACCCCGGATAACCCGTGGACATTTGCAGCAGCCTTGCCTTGTATCAACTGTGGTAGAGTGCCTCGAGTAAAGCTTGTGGTCTACCCGTGCTACATAAGGGAAGCAAGCCCAGGACTCAACCATTTAGATTCGCCGCCAGGACTGCTCTTAGAAACTAACAAATGGGGAAACAGGACGAGACTATGAGCGTTATGTATTGAACACCTAAGCCTTTCCCACCCGTCAAAGCATATTGCGAGAGAGACGGAGAGACAGGTATAGCAGACCACCATCTGGATATCTCTTCGAACCCAGCCGAAACGGTCCCAACATCCGGCCCAAATCACATACATACCTGAGCTGTAGAATGCTCCTGCGTGTTGTACACCCCTAGTGGCGAATTAAACCCATAAAAGCCAAGCAGGCCTTTTTTGCAACTGGATTCGACGGCTTTGCTAGGTCTTGCTCGAGTCCCATTCATCAAAAATCCGAGTCTGGCTCATTTGTCTATCAGATAGGCCATCCCGGTCCTGATTCTGCTGGGGCCATAAACAACCAGACCTATGTGTGTGTGTAGTGAGTCAAACCAACCCGCCTTGCACGGTTCCGTAAAGACTCCTCATCAAAAGGCCTTCGAGCGTAAAGCGTAAAAAAAGGTGAGAGATGAGTCAATGGTCCCGGATAACTCTACGGGATGGACGGACATATAAGCACCGATAAAGGTCCGAGCGATCGGGCTTGTTCTATGTCCATGTAAATCAGTGCAAATAGACAGACCCCGAAGTTCCCGGCCGCTCCGGCCGCTCTGGTATTTCCGCCACCGCTCCGACCGGGTTCTTGCAACAGCTCCGAGTCTTATGCGGCCGGTCACTCCCCAACATTTCCGTCAGCCTGTGAGGATGAAGCCCGGCCTCAGGGACGACCGGGAGTGAGGCTTAGACAGAAGTGACCAAACACCTCACAACGCACTTACGCAAGCACCAAGACCATACACAGAACGACGTAACTAAGTAATAGGTAAAGTTGATTTCAGCTTCTTTTGCGAGCGGCTATCTCGGAAGAGTCTCCCAAGGCAAAAGCCCTCTGGGGATTTCTCAACAAAAAAAAAACATGGCCCAGTGCCAGTATGTAGGTAATGCATAGCCTGCAGAGCAAGACAAGATAACCCCGAGGGTTCGCTAGCGACAGGTATGTACATCGCTAATCAATGCAATAGGTAGACAGACGACATGGCAAAACTCTCTGTTTGCCTTTTACACACGCACCACTACCAAGACAGACAAGACAGATCGACGAGCCAGCAAACAATCAACGACAAGAACTCAGTCAGTCACTCTCCCTCTGCCTCATCAATGCAAAGCCCCGCCAAATTGCTCACCACCCGCACTATTTCCCACAACCCTCCCACTCCTCAACAATGGCGGGCTACTAGGCATGATGAGGTCCGTCCCCAGGAAATTCCGAAAGTCAGCATCCCCCCCATCCACATCGCTGCCACCAGCACCAGCACCACCAGAACCACCAGCACCATCCCCAGCACCTTCCAAATCGCCCAGGTGCCGGACAAGGTCGACCTCAGGATCACTGTCCCGCTGGCCATGGTGGTTATGATGTACCCCTGAAGCATGCCGCGAAGCCGACGGCGACCCGCTGGAGATGAAGTCATTAGCCTCGCTCAGCAGCTGGTGCAGTGTGGCAGTGAAAGGCGAGTCGAAGGGAACGGGCATCTGTAGCGCGGCAGCCATGTTGATGTCCCGGTGGTGGTTCTCGTCGCCCTCGTCTAGGGAGCCGAAGTCTGCGTGCAGGAGTTGTTGGTCGCCGTGACGCGGAGAACGGCGCTTGCTGGCGCTGCTGGGGTGCAGGAAGTTTACTTCACCACCGCCATTGCCGGAACGAGGGGTTTTGGTGGGTGTCCGCTCGAAAGGGTGGGCAAAGACTTGGCTCGGTGAGCCGGCGATGTTCCTGCTGGAACGGATGGAGCGAGAGATGCTGCGCGTGATCGGACGGTGGCTGGGGGTTGGCCGGGTAGGTGTCTTGAAAGGGCCTGCTGCGGCCCTAGGCGGGGGTGTGGATGGTCGGGCAGGAGGAGTACCGAAGAGTTCCTGCTCTAGCTCGTCCTCGGGAGTTGGGGTTCCGGGACGCCGGGGCGTCACATCGCTGATGGCTGTAGCAGCGCTGTTCTCTTTGCCCGTCGCCGCAGGCCCTCCCAATTTTGCCGCGTCCGTGGCGTGGTTCGCGGTTTGTTGCGCCGTGTTTAGTGAAAGCTCCCCAAGAACCTTGGGTGTCCCGTCCCTCCGTGGGGACGGGAAGAGCAGCCGCCTAGTGCTGCCCAGTTCATCCTCAACTGCAATAGGACTCTCTGCCGTCCCACTGCCCCGCGAGTGAGTTGAGCCCAAGAAGCGCTGTCTCGGGGAGCTCTGTAAGTTTAAATGCTGGTCATCGGTCATAGCGACGCTCTGATGCCGTGTTTGCGTCCCGTTCTCGTAATTCTCCGTCAGAAAGTCGTGGTCCAGCGGGCCAATCGGGTCGGTGGTGAAGTAGGCCTCCGACGTCGGGTTGGCCCGCGCGTCGCTCTTCGTCCGGGTCTTCTTCGATTTGGAGCCCTTCGGATCCTTCTTGCGCCGAGGTTGTTGGTTGAGACGGGCGGCATCCTTGTCCCACCTGTCAGGAGGGCGATGCCCCTTGAACTTCCCCAGCCAGATGCCGCAGGGGTTGCACAGCATCGTCTCCAGCCACTTGGCCCTTTCGTCCTTGGGGCCTAGGTTCTTCTTCACGATCCGATACTTGGACGGATCCTCGTTCTCGTCCCTCTCCAAGACCTCGATCATGGTCACGCATCCGGGCTTGTCGGAAAACTCGTGGAACTCCGGTTTTCCCTCGCGGTCCTGCGTCCAAATCTTGCGCCACGTTGGCGTCTCGATAGCTCCACAGTTACGGCAGAAAGGAGGAGACTCTCCTCTGGCGATAGCATCCTCTAGCTTCTCCTTGATGGACTGCTTCTTGACAAGGTTTTTGCTGTACCGCGGGGGGTCAAAGTCGCTCGGAGGGCACGGAGGCTCGGAAGCAGCCACAGTGGGAAAGGTGAGCATCGGTTCCCGGACGGGCTCACTCGCCGGGACCTCTGGGAGTGGAACCTCTGTGAGTGGAACTTCTATCTTCACAGCCTCTCTCGACGCAGGTCTTGAACTCGGTCTCGACATTGATATCGATTCTGGCTGAGGAGGAACGGGCAGCGCCGGTTCCGATTCGGGACGGTCGGGAATCGGCATTGGCGTTGAAATCGCATCGGTCGGGGCGGGCTCGGGGGGGAACGTTGGGGGGAACCCATTCTCCGTTTCTTGATTGACCGCTTGTGCTAGTTGCATGACATCGTCTGGGAAGGCCATCGGATCTGGGAAGGAGTACGGCTGGGTGGTATCCCGTGAAACCCCGTTGCCGTTCTGCTCATACATTGAGGGATCCTGCGAGAGTGGCTCTTGTTCGGATGGAAGGGGGTTAGGGGCGGTATTCGACCGTTTGAGCGAGCGGCTTGCTGGTATTGTGGGTGCTGGCTGTGTTGAGGCAACATGTCTGTTGAGAGTTTTGGCTTTGCCGGCCGGGTTAAAGATGCTCTTTGTTGGTAACAGCTCAGGCGGCCCGGGGTTCACTTCTTGAAAGGGAAACTTGGGACGCTGTTGTTGACCAGCTCGACCGTTCTTTCGAGGAGCTGGCTTTTTCGCTACCGGGAGGGGTGGGATTGGGAGCATCTGATCCTGCATTTGCCCACCCGAGAGACCCTGCATCATGTCGTCGTCATCAAACATATCGTCCAACCCTCCGCTCATGAACCCTGAGTCCATGTTTGGCATTGGGATGGTAGGCAGAACGGGGCTCGTCGGGGGTGGACTAGACTGCATATACGGAACTGCCCGTGGGACGGGAGGTGATGAGTTCAGGTCGCCCGTGCTGTCTTCCGGCGAATAACCATGATCGGGCGAATGCGCAACCGACCCGGCAGGCGACCTCCCGTCCTGGCTCCCGGCTTGTGAAATGGGTCGGTTGGGTCCTGACTGGTCCACGTGTGCCGGATGCTCTGCCCTGGTGTGGTTCTCTAACGCTAACCTCCTCGGTTGCTGCTGAAACATCTGGCCATCTGGAACCGGGGTTGGGGCTCGTGGAACGTCCTGGAGATGGTTGGCACTAGGGCCTTCCAACCCTGCGCCGACCGGCCGCAGAGAACGAAGAGAACCCGAGGTGCTGGCTGCGACCCTAAGCGAGTCGGGGGCTGCACCAAACGGAGCAATGGCACTGTACTCGGTCTGGGTGACCTGGGCCCTCCTCTTTTGTGGTCCATCATCTCCATCTGTGCCGTCCTCAACTGCCGATGGGTTGTCCGTCTCCCGGGGCCTCTTCCTAGGCCGACCACGTGGCCTCCCAGTTGGCCGTTTGCTCCTTGACCTGGACGCGGGCTTCGCCACGGGCTCGGGTGGCTGTGAGGGTGCCGGCGAGGGTGCATTGTCGGCTGAGCCTTGCGGCCGTGGGGGAATGGGCACGGCCGTGGACGGTCTGCTAGAGGGCATCGAATTTGCTGGCCGGGGAGCCGGCAGAATGGGCTGTGGTGGTGGTTGGCTACCAATGCGCATATCCATTGGCTGGCTCTCAGGCATGGGGGAGTGGTACTGTGTGGGCTGGCTGTATTGAACCGGTTGGGCGGGTGGGAGCGCCGGAGAAGAAACGGCGCTGACATTGGGCGGGTGTCCGAGGATCGTGTTGGACTGGATGAACGAGTTCCATTCCGACGCCGTCTCGGCGGGTATCGACCCGGACCGGCTCTCGTTCATGGCCTCTGCGCTGGGGTATTCCGTGGGTGGCGCGATCCTAGCTACGGTGGCAAACTTCAGCTTGACCTCCAACATGTCTCGGCTGCCGCTGTTGAGGAGCGCAAGGAGGTTCCTAGTGACTCGCCCGGTAACAAGTTGTTGCTGTGGCCCACGGAGGGGGTCCATGTTCCATGACAGCAGGCCTTGCCCCACGAGGGGCACTTCTGGCTCGGAATAATCGTACGCATAAACGCTGTAGTCGCCTTCTGGCTGGTTCAGAATCTCGGGACTGCTCTGGGAAACGGCCTGCAGACATGTTCGCAGGTCGACCACGCCAATCGTCGTCTTTTCGTCTAGTGGTATTGTCTGAATCTGTAAGATCTGGTGCCACCGCGCTAGGCAGTGGACTTGGTTGTCCCGGTCAAAAGAATAATGGACCTTGACTAGCAATTGAAACTAGGTCAACAACGGCCCGGCCCAAGGCGGTGAGCAAGGTGTTAGAAAAAAAAGAAATAACTTACGTCCCATGGGCCTTGCCTGCAGGGCCATATCGTCCGCTGGTACTGGTTGAGAAGGAACCATCTGGGGGGAGGGTGCACCCCATGGGTTTGTTGGTGTCGCCATTTTCGTTTCACACACGTCCACACGCGCGGTTTCACAAGTAAATGCTACCGTTTTTTTGCGAACAACTGGCCAAAACTAAGAGTAAAATAGAAGCCGTCAAAGTTGTAGGCAAGGACGCGGTGGTCGGTGGTGGTGTTGGAGGGATATTCGGGGTATCGATTTTGGTTGGTGGTTGTGTTGAGAGAAGAATGGTGGTGGGACGGGACGAGGTTGTTCGGAGCGGAAGTCGAGATAATCTGACGTTGGGTGGGCCGCTTTTGAAAGAGAGGCTGGTTCTCGAAGCGCGTCTGGAAAGGCGCGTCGGTAGGTGGGTCAGCCACGCTCATGCAGGCAATTGAGGATCTCGCTTGCCGACCGCGCCAAAAAGAGCAGGGGTAGCAACAGGGAAAGAAATCGTGAGGAATGAAGAAGAGATAGGGAGAAAGAAAAGCTTGACGGGAGATAATCGATTGTTATAGTGCAAGACTTTAGTTACGCTTTTACTTACAACTAATACCACGCCCGAGAAAACACCCCGCGGCAAAACCGCCCGGCCGCTGTTTTTGTTGGAGATCGTGATACGTTCAATTGCGCGCCGGCGTTGAACCGCGGGCAGAATTGGGGTCTTGGCAAAGGCGCCAAACAGGCGGGTGGATGACGCGAAGTGGGGTGGGGCCGAAGCTCCCCCTTGCTGCTGAGCTGGCCCTGGCCGGGCGAGAGCGCCGTCGCACACGCGCCGAGGCGCGAGCACGGGCCACCCCGGAAACAGCTTCCCTTTTGCTGGCCCGAGTGCCACACAAAAGGGGGCCGACTTTCTTGAGTCCAAGGGCGTCCCAAAAAATGCCCCAAAAATTGACAAGTTTGGGACAAAGTTTTGCGGGAGAAATCGAGTTTGTTGCGTCGCGGGGAGGCCCGGGACCCTTTATATACCCCGCAGAAACCGTCCTTCCGAGCCCTGGGCTGCGTACTGAGTAGGCAACAACCCCCTGCCCCACCTTTCACCGATGCTTCCCATGACCGCTCTTTTTCCATGCCAACATGCCTCTTGATGCACAATCTCGAAGCAGAGAAAATGTTAACCTATTGGTGGTTTGGAGGTTGCACCCCCAACACCTGCGGACCCCAACCCTCTCCGGTCGCATTGTGCCCCCTTTTGGAGACGACCCTTGAGCCCCTTTCTCAACCACACCTCATTGGAGAAAACAAAACACATCGACTGGACAACCGGCATCGGCTTAACTAACGAACGTTCATCACGGATATTCCCATGCAGCATTTCATCGCATGCATCGAACACTTTTATCTTCTTCCATCAAATTTCATCATCATTTAACCTTAACTATTTTATCGTTTGATTAATTGCATCTTTTAGATGCAAGTTGTTGCACTGCAAGTCCCAAAGATGCAGCGGTGAAGTCAAGGGTTGTTTGTTAGGGTGAATAAAGACAGCCTGAGACCACGTAGTTAAGTGAAGCAATTCCCATTTCTATAAAACGAACACAGCACAGTCCACCAAAAAGGTATCTCCCATCAACTGAAGCACCCATCAAAGCAAAACACAGATCAGCAAAACCAAGGAACCAAAGCAAAGACAAAAGAAACAAATCCGAGCACCCATTACCATCCCATGACCCCCAACCGCAGTTCTATCGAGGTGGGTGGTGGAGTTTACCACAACTGCACGAGTAGTACAGTAATACAGTACCCCCAGGCCTACCACGACTTAGCAGTCATCGTCCGATCCCCCCTAACAAACTCCGCCGCCACATTCGTCCCCAAATGCCGTCCCTTCAACCACCATACCAGCAGACTCCACACCCTCCAATTCCCCAACTGGCCCGTCCCCCGATTCCGCCCAATCGAAGTCGCCAACATGATCTTCTCCATAGGCTTGTAATCCGCCCCCTCCTCCTCTCCCAACAACCGCTTCTCCAGCAGCGACCGCGCGAGATGCACCACCTGCGCGTCGCCGTGGACGCCCTGCGGCCGCTGCAGGTTGCCGACGTCGCCGACTACGAAGATGTTGGCGTGGCCTTCGGCGCGGAGACGCGTGGTTTGTTTGATGTAGCCGCGGGCGTCGAGCATCGAGGCGGGGAGGAAGGACGTGTTGGGGGTGATGCCGTAGGTAGGGATGAGGAGGTCGGCTTTGAGGGTGGTGGGGGGGTTGGCGGTTTTGGTTTTGGTGGTAGTGGAGGTGGAGGCTAGGGTGAGGGTGGCGGATGTCGGGGGGGAGGTTACTTTGGCGTTGGGGATAACGCGGACCTTGAGGCGCTCGAGTTCCCATTTGGCTGCCTCGCGCACCTCGCGGCGGAATTCGGAGTCGAAGGGGAGCTCCTCGGCGCTGATTAGGGTGATTTGTTTTTTTCCTGTGACACCGTATTCCTGGCCGAGCTCGCCAGCGATTTCGATGCCTGTGGCCCCCGCGCCGGCGACGACGATTGACTGGGCGGCTGCGATGCGCTTGGACCAGTCGTGCAGCACGGCCTTGGTCTCTTCGGTGGTGGAAAGGCCTTTGAAGGGCATGTCGGCCTTGAAGCTGGTGCCTGTGGCGATGACTCTGTGGGTGGGTAGGTGGGTTGTTAGTGCGCTGTGGTGTTTTGGACCAGCTACATCGAACCGAACTTCTCGCCAGGGAGGAACAACTTACAGCTCATCATACTGAATCGTCCTCGCCGAGCCATCGTTCCCGCGTACCTCGACAATACTCGTGTCTGGGTCGACCTTGTCGGCCACACCGTGGACAAGTTCGTACGAATCCGATGAGTATTTGGTGAAAGTCGGGGCGATGGGGTAAAAGATCTTTTCGTCGCCCATCATACCAGGGAGGATGGCGCGGACGGAGGCCACGTTCCAGTAAAAGTCCGTGTTGGGGGCGACGAGGATGACCTTGAGGCCCTTGACTTTGGCCACGGTGTGCTTCAGGAGGTAGTGGGCGATGGGAATGCCGGCGTAGCTGGCGCCGAGGATCACGACTGTTCTCGCCATGGTGTGAGGGTGGCTGGCTTGGGCGCTTCTAGGTATGGATGTAGCAAGGTTGGGTAAAGGCGGTGCTGGTAGATAAGGCTCTGAAAGGGCTAGATGCTCAAGTTTTGGTAGATTGTCCGAGTCCGGGAGTCTGTCTGGTGTGTGAAACAGAGCTTGTGTGTCTGGAAACCCGCAAGAGACATCACGGGCTAAGGTGCGGTATATAACCACCAGCTCTTGCATACCTTCCGGCCTTCTATCCTCTGATAACCCTTACTGACCAAGCCTTTCGTCTGGTTTCCGTCACGCAATCGTCCCTTTTTTTGGCTATGATACCTCCCTCAGCTCCCTGACCATACCATCCGGAGACAAATGCCCAATATTCATCCCGATGCCGTCTTTTCAGCGCCATTCTAATTAGTCATTCCCACGAACAACAGCACACGACTCGTTAGAGAGTAAAAAGTCCCCGGCTATGTTTGTGGTCGTATTCCCAGACAAGCAAGACCCGATATGCAGTGCTTCGTTGCGCGCGCGCGGGCAGCCAGGGCCCAGGGCCGTCCCGCGCGGCTTCCCAATCGGGACATGCGCGCGGCCTGTGTAAGTGCGAGAAACAGCTTGGCATGGAGCAACACCAATTAGGGCACGAACCGATCGAATCGGCGGCACAATAAATGGCGTGCCTAGGTAGGTTGTCTCGCCAAACACCAATTTCTAAGCCTGTTGGTGTTTCATTTCGAGTATTGGAGACGGAGAGGGTATGTTTGTGCTCCCTCTCTTTTCCCGCGGTTAGCCCGGTTTCGTCTCTCGTCCTACCTTCTTTTTTCTCACTTGCATCCAGTTCCTGCGAGCTTAAATTGACCCACATAGGTACGGTACTTCCATTTCCATTTGATATTGATGTTAAGTCGTCATTGCTCCATACCTTAATGTCGCTGCTATTTTTCTTTTTCTCAAAAAAAAAAGAAGATCAAATGTAGCAATTTACGTGTATGTACAGTACATCCATGGTACGAGCTCCAAACCTCTCCCTCCATCCTCAACACCATCACAACTACCACCCCCGTATCTACCCCTCTCACAACCCCAACGCCACCATCCCAACTCCCACCAACCCAGCCATCACCACACTCCCCGGCCACACCCGGGACCCAGCCCCAGGGACCACCACCTGCGTGGGGCCCGCCCCGTTCGTGCCACCCGGCGCTGTCCTGTTCGCTCCTCCAGCTCCCGACGCCGGCCCCGCATTCGTCACATTAAACGAGTTGCCCGCGACCACCTTGTTCTCCAGCCCGGCCGCCTTCAACACCGCCGGCGCGTCGAACCCGCGACGCTGCGCCGTACCGGTGCTGTTGCTATTGCCGTTACCGTTACGATTCATATTCCCGTTGCCTCTAGCCGCGCCCGTTCCACCCGCAGCAGTCCCCAACACAGCCGCACGCAGCGCCTCACTCCCCCCCGCCGTAAGGTCACTCGTATCAACAAGAATCTGCGTGTACCTATGACTCAACGGCACCCGCGCCGGCGGGCTGGGCCCAATATAGGGTGCCAGCACGGCGCGGGCGGTTTCGGCGCCGGTGTTGGCGTCGGTGCGGTTTTGGAGGAGGAATGCGCGGATGGCGGTGCCCGAGGTGGTGTTGAGGAGGGTCGCGGCCGGGGCCGGGACGAGGTCGGTTTGCAGCCAGTGCAGGAGGGTGCTGGTTTCGGGGGGGTTGTTAGTGGGGATGTCGAGGTCGATCATGATCACGGCGTAGGAGGTGCCGTTGAGGGGTTCGAGGGTGCCGATGCGTGGTTGGGTGGCGGTTACTATGTGTGGTTGGTAGGATGAGTAAATATTCTCCCTCGCCCACTTTCCTTGGTTATACATCTATCTTAGGGGGGGGGGGGTTGGTATTTTAACATACCACGCTTGCTCACGGACACGCCGTTGAGTGGCGTAACGCCGTTGTACTCGACCACGAGGTCTTTATCAGAGGGTGGGCTGAATCCATCTGGTGTTTTGGCTACTGCTGTGGTAGCTGCCAGCAGGACAACAATGCAGTGAGAGAACATGATGAATAAAGGTTGTTGATGGTGTGTTTGTCGAGTCCGCTAAATCAGTAGGTCCTTGACTTGAGACCGTAGATCGATGTAATGAGATGCAAAAGCTAGATATGAGCACAAACCGAGATAGCCAGCTTGACAGCGACTCGACTCCAAATTAAATGCCATTTGAGCACATTCATCAAAAATACGCTGTCGTCATCAAACAAGCCGCTCCAAAACGGCATATTCGCACCCAAACCCGGGCTGTGGGGTCTATTAAGCTGTCGCTGGGACGTCGAACAAAGATGAAACCAGTTTCGGCGGCTCTGACACGCAATGCCTGTTTACAATAAACACGCGGCTCGCTCGAACGGGCTTCGCCAGCTAGAATGATCTACCGGAGAATTTAAATGTATCACAAATGCAGGAAAAAGCCGGCGTAGCAGCCGGCTCTTCGAGAACTCCAACTCTCTTGATAGTTGGGGTGTTATGTGGGACGGGTTCTCATGTTTGTCCCATGTGCGTGAGATGTTGCACTTCAACCTTGATTTTATGCCCTGCCACGCAAAAAAAACCGAAAGGTATTTGAATCGCTGCAGTTAGTGTTCAATAGGATATTTTTCTTGATTGAAGATGTAAGCCAAGAAAGGGGCTTTAACCGGTGTTTGGGTATCCCTAATCCACCAGCGGCTATTCATCAATGTTGATAGAGGGCACTCCGTTCCACGACATCAACAAGCGAAATATGGACAAAACAAATCTGAACCTGCCACCCTGTGTTAAATCCACGATGCCAAAGAAGGTTAGCCGGACTATTGCTAAGATTTTCTCTCTCTCACCCCTGGCCACCATGTTGAGATGGATGACAGATTGTGGCAAGTCTGAGTTTTCGATCTTCGGTCTATTCCGGGTCCCGGAAGCCTCGAATGGCAGGGCGCATGAGGCTCGATTTCCTGGCTTTTGCTGTCCCGCCGTTTGCTCTTCAAGGCTGGTGAAGGGTGGACGTCGACCCTTTGCTTCTCGATGCCGAAAAGATTTTATCTCCCGGGTCAGCGCTCGAATGCGTCGCTGCATAACTAACCCTATTGGCGTGTGAGTTGTGCCCGAGATCCCTAGTTTGTACGCGGAAGATCGCTTGATGGCCTATTAGACATCACGGGATCTTCCTTTTCCCAATTTTCTTTATTTTTTTCTCGGTATTTTTTCAAGATCTCATCATCAATTTAATTTCCATCCCCTTTCGGCGTTTTCATGAATCCCGTTTTCGGCGAAAGAGCCCCAAGAAACGCTTCTCCTTCACTTCTACCGTGTACGGTTTCAGCGGAAACATAGGACGGACGTTGTACTCATCACCGTCCGGCTCAACTTCTAAATGTCGTGCCATGGGCTCCCATTTCCTCTGGGGGATTTCGCCCAGCTTTGTGCTGTCTGAGGCAAATGAGATAATCGAGATTCGGTTGTTTTCGACTACCTTGAGATCCTTTGATGGGCCACCCTTATTCGTTTCCGGGTTTAGATTCCGGATTCGTGGAGTTGGTGTTGGTAGTCCTATTTCTGGTTCCTTGGGGGGCGGTGGGGGTGGTGCTGTCGCTGGCTGTGAAGCTCTCCGCGGCTTCTTTAAGGCTGGTTTTATTTCTGGCGACTTCGGGGGCGGTAATGGCGGTGAAGCTGGTGTTGTCATTGGCTGTGAAGCTCTCCGTGGCTTCTCTAAGTCTGGTTTTATCTCTGGCGATTTCAGCGGTGGTGGTGGCGGTAATGGCGGTGAGGCTGGTGCTGTCGCTGGCTGTGAGGCTTTTCGTGGCTTCTCTGATTCCGATTTGGTTTCCTTGCTCTTCCCTTTCCCTTCCTTTGAAGACCCGGAGGACTTTCGCTTCGTGGACCGATGTTCATGTCCAGTTCCCTTCGATGACTTGGTGGTACTGTGCCGGGGATCGGGCGACGATTTCCGCCTGTGTTTGGACGGCGCTTTAGAGTGAGACGAGGAGACCACCGAAGACCGCGATGAGCTCCCGATCCGGCGAGAGAGGCTGTCGATGGCCTTGATTGCCTCCGCCCTCGAGCCGTTCGAGAGAGACAACAAGGATTGGTAGTCTAAGTCCAGACCCTCATTCTTGTTCGAAAGGCGGAGTAAGTTCCTGATGGCACTTTTCAATTTCTTGAGAACCCTGTCTAGAGCTGTGACGGCGCGGACTGCTTTTCTATTAGCACTCTAGTGACAACAGCTGATGGCGTGTGGATAAGTCAACTACACTCACCATCGCCTTTCCGAAAACGGCTTCCTGATTCGGATAATCTGGAAGAATAGGCCCGCTCTACCAGAGAGCGGTCAGATCGGAGAGACCTGCGAAGACGCGAACGTCGATGCTGGGCGTCGGGCGCGCCGTCCTCCTCTCGGCTATGCCCGAATGCCTTGAGAAGCGAGATGCAGTTCGCGTAAGTGTCGAGCAAGGCTTTGATCCCGTCGCCGAACGACATCTTTATTAAGGTTATGACTTCATGAGGCAGAGTGAGCAGAAGTTACCTGGCTTTGACGTTAAATCAAGTGAAAATGTTAATGCATAGGAAAAACAAGATGAAGGTTAGCAATGTGAGGAAGCTCTTGATTGATACCTAACACTTTTCATGTCCACGTATTGAGACGGCATTCAAGCTGCGGGGTTACACTGGCCCCCTTCGCCTGACCTTCATACTCTGAGCAAAGGACGGGCTCGGAAGCGCCGTCTCTTTGCCGCCCGCATGCCCAGGGTGGTCAACGTAGCCAATCGCGCAGCGAATCCCGCATCGTTGTTCGCTGAAGAAAGTCAGGACGCTCTGTGCTGTGGTTGGCTTGTACAGGAAAGGGTTCGATTAGAAAGCGGCCCCGGCCGTCCCAATGTGGGTCCATCATGACAGCTGCCAACAGCTGGTTGCCGCTCCCGCTTGTGCCCCACAGCGATTGCGAGGCAACCAGCTGTGCCAAGCTCGCTCTCAGGCTCCCGGATTTCGGTCCCGCAGTCCAGAACTGTTTCGCCATCTCTCTGATAACTCACGTTCACAATCCATTCGGGCTTGGGCTCTTTTTACCATCCACTACCTGCATCCAAATGGAATTCGACGCCGATTGACCGCGACCATCATGATGCGACTTATATCACGGACATTCTCCGTGCTACTCGTCGCCTTCGCGCTCGTCCTGCCCCTCGTGGTCCCCACGGCCCACTGTGCTCGAATCCAACCGACCCGATACAACCCCGAAGGGCGCAGTGAAACTGGTGGAAGTCACGTCTTCCCGTTTCTGAAATGGCTACGCGATAGCACCGTGGAGGTGATTTTTGGGAAGCCAACCCGGACCAGCCGACAGGAGTATGGCGCGCAGCTGCAATCGAGGTATCGAAATGACGTCGTGGTCCGGTTCAATGTGACCAACTCGGAGGAGGAGGGCGCGCTCGCCCAGGCGGCGGAGCAAATGTTTCTCGACATCTGGGCCTTTACGCCGGCTTTCGTGGATGTGAGGTTGGCGAAGGATGACCTATCGGGACTTCTTACCCTGCTCCCCAACTCGTTGGAGCCGTCGGTCTTGATTCCCGATGTTGCCGCGGCCGTGTGGGCGACCTATCCCTCGACATCGGCCGACAAATCCCCGTTTGACCCGAAAGGCGCGAGTGCTTCCAAGTTCAAGGCTTCCCTGGAAGGAGTGGGGAATATTTTTTTCCGAGACTACCAGACATTGGCTGTCATCACTAGTTGGATGCGCCTGCTTGAGGCCATGTTTCCATCCATTGCGAGGATGGTCAGTATTGGCCAGTCGTACGAAGGACGGGATATTTATGCCTTACGCGTCGGGGCTCGTGATGACGACGGCAACACGGAGGAGCCGAGGAAAACCATCCTTATCACCGGCGGTCTCCATGGAAGGGAATGGATCTCGACGAGCTCGGTCACCTATTTGCTGTGGTCTGTGATCACCTCATACGATAACGAGCCTATGATCACCAAGTTGCTCCGCCATTTCGATATCGTTTTTGTCCCCGTCCTCAACCCGGATGGCTATGAATACACCTGGCAAACAGACCGGCTTTGGCGCAAGTCGAGACAGCAGACCAAGATGCGTTTCTGCCGCGGTCTCGACCTCGATCATGCATTCAGCCATGCTTGGGATGCCGCCAGACATCAAACCGACCCTTGTTCGGAGAGTTACGGTGGTGATCAACCATTCCAAGCCGTCGAAGCCTCCGAGTTGGCGAAGTGGGCTCGCAACGAGACAGAACACGGGACCAAGTTCGTGTCGTATCTCGACTTGCACTCGTACTCTCAGCAAGTGCTCTTCCCATACGCGTACACATGCTCCATCGACCCGCCCAACCGCGAGAACCTAGAGGAACTGGGCGTGGGCCTGGCAAAGGCTATCCGGATCTCGAGTGGAGAACCGTACACGGTCGCGTCCGCCTGCGAGGGAGCTGTTGCGCGGACATACAGCGCCACCGACTCGCTTCCGCGTATCGAGCTTGGAGGCGGGGCCGCGATTGACTGGTTTTACCGTAAGTCATACAGTAGTTGCTTGCAATTTTTGGTGGCGAGGTTGACACTGACTTAATTCCTACAGACGAGCTCCATGCCAAATACAGTTACCAGATCAAGCTGCGAGACACCGGGAGCTACGGGTTTTTAGTGCCCAACGACAACATCGTTCCTACGGGCGAGGAGATGTTGAACGCGCTGAAATATCTTGGCGACTACCTGCTTGGAAACAACGGCATAGAGTCTCTTTTGCAAGAGAGCTCCGACCAATGGGGGGATTTAAAACGGCGTCGACGTTAATGCGAATGATTTCGGGGTTTCTTTTTTTTTTCTGCAAGCAGGGTCAGGTTGGAATTGTTAGAACGGGGCATACATACGGTACCTTTGGATCTTGAGGCGCAAGGCGTTGGCTCTGGCGAAGGGATGGTAAGAGGTCAGGGGGGAGGCTTGCATTTTGAACGGTGCGCATCAAGCCGATCGACACTGACTGGAGTATATTACATAGTAGTAGCTTGACGTACACTATTTCCGACCACGGTCGCGAATAGTGGACTGAAAAAACGATGAATGACAACGCGTTCTAGGCTCCATCTCGGGGTCGGCCAAAAACTGATCGACTTCTCGTCTGGTGGGCACCCATCTTGCTTAGCCTTGGGACCGTTGGGTACCTTGCATCATGCCGGTCATGGCATGGCACGAGCATGGGTCTCAGAGGCAGGCCCATTTCGGCATCGTGAGGTGGGATGAATATTCTGCCCAACAGGCTAGTTATCTTCCATGAAACGGTTGTGCAAAGAGAAGTTAATACAAGGTAGAAACTTCAATTCCTAACTCGAAGACTTATAAGTTTTTTATTCTTCCTTTTTCTTCACTGTTTTCCTTTTCCAGCCCCTTTTCTTCTTTGCAAGCACTCCTACTCCGTTGAAGCAATCATGCCTGTTGGAGCTGGTCGGAGAGAAAGGAGCAAATGCGGGCTGCAGCCAGGTGGGGCAAGATGACCTGATAGAACCCAAAGAGGTTTAGCCGGGAAAGGTGGGGCCAGCCCAGCGCGCTCAGCTTGGAAGGAGCTGGCCCAGCCAAGCCAGCCTGAGCTGGTGGGTCCACTGCTGCAGCCCACCTCCTGGGTCTGGCGGCGGTCGTTCGGGCAGTTGCACACGCCCCTTTGGAGGTTGCGAAGGTTCGTCCCCAAACCCGTCAATCGACAATCTGGGCTCCGGAATCCGGAATCTGGGATTTTACAACCCGTAACCGGCACCCGGCACTCCGCACGGCGACAACCCCAACGACCGGCCCATTCTATCCGACTAACTCCCAAGCTTTTGTACTCGTCGCCATCGTCTCGCGCCGTCAATTTGCGAGCGTGTTTCCGTCGAAGAGGCATCAGCAATCTACGGATTTCCCGCGACGGCCGCAACACCCCCCCAACTAAACGGACTGGGAAACCCGTATTACGCTTTATCTCCGGCTGACGCTCCTGCGTCGCACATTTGGTCTCAAAAGCCGAAACCATCCCACTGTTTCCCTCGTCCCGATGGATTATGACGATCGCGCCCAGCTATAACCATGCCGTTCCTGCGACGTCGCGGCAACATGGGCAGCGAGAGCGACATGCGACGCCACTCGTTGCTTGATTCTCTCGCTACACCTGCCCCCAAGCCGCCACCCTTCTCGACCGGGTCCGCCGCCGAGCCATCCGCCCTCTCGTCAGTCGCCGAGGACGCGACCTCTCCGAGCGCACCCCCGTCGTCGTCGGCCGGCCTGCCCCGGGATAGCATCTCGGTGGCATCGACCCACGATGTTCCCTCGATCGTTGAGCCCTCCGGTGCCCCCGGCCCAGCCTCTCTGACCGGCTCCGACTACTCACACAAGCACCGCCGCTTCTCTATGCTGAGGTTTCGTAATGCGTCTGACTCTCAGCTGGCAGCAAAGGCCAAACTTCACGCCGCGGCAGAGAAACCTCCGCCGGTACCACGCCGTACGTGCCCCTCCCATTCTATCGCATTGGCCGTATGGTAGTCTCTGGGCTGCATTGAAGGCCCACGTCTGAGACAATAACATTGACACCATATTCTAATTCCAGCCCCGGAAATTATCACGACCGCCCCAACTTTCCAGCCCAATGTCCCTCGAAAAAAGACTTCTCGTATTAACTTTGGTCGACTGCGCCGCTCAGGCGAGCTCCCCAGGACAGACGAGGCGAACGAAGCGAGCACTCAGAGTTACGACCGATTCCCCAGAGTCCCCGAGCACAGCGTATCGTTTGAAGAAACGAAGCGGCCCATGTCGTCGAATACCCATGGCCCGCCGGCTTACGGGGATGAAAATTCCTCATCGTTAGCGCTCCCCCACAATAGATTGTCCGAATCTTCCAGGTCGGATGCTAGCTCTGGGGATAGGGTTTATGGGAGCACGACGACAACTACCCACACAGTCCAGACAACAACAACGTTTTTTAGGCTTCCGCGGAGGAAACCCAAGCAACCGGAACCCCTGTTTCCTATTGCTCACCTTAAGCCGAAGTCCAAAGGTCCGTCCACGGAAGACTCGAATCTATCAAGCTCCTCGGCAATCACCTCAATTGCTGGGTCACCCGGCCGCTCCAACTCCAATGCCTCCCGCGGTAGCCAATTCACCCCAACACCATCAAGGGCCCCATCGAGAAACGGTATGGCTACGCCGCCACCACCAAATCAAGCCGTTGCAGCCTTATCGCGACCCTCTGCGTCCCCGGCAACCGCGCTTTTCCGTCCAAGTTCGAGGCAATCAGGGCAATCCTCTCCAACTCGGAGCTACATTCATAGGCGGGGTAGGTCCTCGACTATGAGCTCTCTCGGCAGGAACTCTCCGCGGGACTCTGTAGACGACCACTTGGCCCCTCCAACCTCGAGGACATCCATCTCGACCGGCCGCAAGAGCTTTGGAGACCTCCTTGGTCTTGGCCGGTTGAGGCAGAACCAGGACATGGCGCCATCACGACAGGGAACGTTGACGCCCATGACTCCTGGCTCCAGCGCCTCGAAAAACAATTCCTTCCAGCTACCCCGTGGGTCTGTCACCCTACCGGAACGCCAGGATGACGATACGCCGGCAAAGTACCTCGAACGTCTTCTGGAAGTTGTCAGTCGGAGTGTAGTAGCTGCAGCACTCTCTAAGAAGACGGACCCGTTTTCCTTGTCAGTGTTGCGGAGTTACATGCGTGGGTTCCGCTTCTTTGGAGACCCCATGGATATGGCGTTGCGGAAACTTTTGATGGAGGCCGAGCTGCCCAAGGAAACACAACAAATTGACCGTTTCTTGCAAGCGTTTGCCAACCGATATCACGAATGCAACCCGGGCATCTACTCCTCCCCAGACCAGGCGTACTTCATCGCATTTTCCCTCCTTATTCTGCACACCGATGTGTTCAACAAAAATAACAAACACAAGATGCAGAAGGCCGATTATCTCAAGAACACAAACGGCGAGGGGATCTTTGACGAGATTCTCGAAGTGTTCTACGACAATATCACATACACCCCCTTCATCCACGTGGAAGACGATTTGGACATCAACGGCGACCGCATCCTGTCCCAAAAGGCTCGCAAAAAATCGATATTCCCCGGCGCCGCCCCAGACCCTGCGAAGCGAGTTTCCAAGGAGCCCGTTGATCCCTATACGTTGATCATCGACAGTCGGTTAGACCTGCTACGGCCCAACCTCAAAGAGGTGATGCAGACGGAGGATCCATACGGCTACCTCGGGACCGCGAAATGCCTGAACATGAAGGAGTTGCAAAGAACGTTTTTCAAGACGGGTGTTTTGCAAATAGTGTCAGCCAGATCTCGTCCAGATGCCTTCATGACGGAAAAGACAGTTACGAATCCGGAAGAAGCGCACCCCGGCATTGTGGACATCAAAATCACCAAGGTCGGCCTGTTGTGGCGGAAGGATGCGAAGAAGAAGAAGACGAGATCACCATGGCAGGAATGGGGGGCTATCCTAACGGGTGCTCAGCTCTATTTCTTCCGCAACACGACATGGATCAAGCAGTTAATGCACCAGCAAAAAGACCACCTTAAGAAGGGTCATGATGGTGATCCGTGTATTTTCAAACCGCCCCTGGAACACTTCAAGCCTGATGCCTTGATGTCAACAGAAGGCGCAGTTGCGTTGTTGGATTCGTCCTATAACAAGCACAAAAATGCTTTTGTTTACGTCAGGCATGGCGGGTTAGAGGAGGTGCTTCTCGCCGAAGACGACGAGGACATGAATGATTGGATCGCTAAGCTCAACTACGCTGCCGCCTTCAGGACATCAGGGGTCCGGATGCGGGGCGTAATCGGGGGCAATTATGACGGGCAAAATCGGCGCGCGATCCGGGGATCCGGCAGTGATGTTCAGGTAATTCAAACCCCGACGGGTGAGGTGACAGTGACGCGGAGCCGCATCGATCACCAGATGGCGCAAGACATCTTGTCAGCACGGCGGGATTTTATGCGCCAAAAGATCATCGACGCCGACGAGAAGCTGAAGGAGGTCGAATTGACATTGGAATCGCAACTTCGCAACTCGAGGCACCTGCAAATACTCGCGCCAATATCGCCCAAAACACGAGAGCACATGCTGCTGGCTGCGGCGCGGATGGCGGCCCAGCTCAAGTGGACACGAATGGAGATCTGGAAGCTCAAGTGCCACCGCGATGTTCTGCAGCTGGATATGGAGGAAGAGCGCCAGCTCCTCGGCCTTCCTTCAGACGCGGACGGGGAGTCGGTGGCCAAAACGCTCACCAGGGAACCGTCTAAGGTCAGCCACACGGCTGATTCCCATACAGGCTCACCTCCAGCGCAGCTCCCGCTGAGGCGGCCGTCCACCATGACTGCCAGATCAGATGACAATGCTTCACCAGTAACAGAGGTGTTCCAAACACCACCCACCACCGCGGCTGCGAGCAGGGAAGAGCTATGGGGTGTGCCCGGCGAGGGAGCCGGCCAAGCTGAAGCGAAGAAGCCATCGGCTTCGGCGACGGATCTCGCCGAGGTGTCAACACCCACGCCCGCAGCTGCGCCGGCAACGCCGCAAAAGGGCGAGAATGCATCACCCGCTTCTCCCGGGAAGCGTGGATACGGGCAATCTGACGAAATGGATGATGCTGATGAGCGGGAGTTGCTGGAACAGGCTGGGTTGCTCGAACCCGAGATATCTCGTTCGTCGGATCCTAGGAGCGCCCACGGCTTCGTGGACGCAGAGGAGAGCCCCGACCACCGCGACCGATCTTCCAGCGGTACCCCAGGAGACCGGAGCGAACGGAGTAAGATTCGCCGCAGCCTGCAGCGCACTCTTAGGGAGGGCGCGGGTCACATCGGTAGCCATCGGCACCGCAGAGCTAAAGACTCGACGTCGAACGCTACCCTGTCGGATGATGGCAATCGTGAGGCTCCCGATGTCCTCCCGCGGGGCACCGGCTCGTTTGTAGTGCACGGCAAGAAAGCCTCGGTGATCACTTTTGGGAATGAGCTGCAGATGCAGAGTCTTGCATCGGATGAACGTCTGCGTCAGCGGCTGCAGCGGGAAGACTCAACTAGCATCCGCACCGGTGCTGGGTCTGCCGAAAACAATGATTTCCACTCCATTCTGTCTGCCCAATCGGCTACTCAAGGCCGCGAACGCCGCAGCTCGGCCGCCAGTGCTAGCACTGCCACGGCAAGGAGCTTCAGGGACTTGCACAGGAAGTACTCCTCCGCTCAGGCAGCGAACCGACACTTTGGAGGCAACCTTGCCCTGCCATCTGACGAGGACAGCGATGCTGCGATCAGCTTCTCCGATGGCCGCCGCACCCCTTTGCCGCCTATTGAGGGTGAGGAAGGCCCGGGGCCTCAGCCGGAATTGGAACGGGCACAGCTAGAGGGAAACAACACCAACGGCGACTCGGATGGGGTCGAATACTTGGAGCTTAGCCCCCCGCCCAGCCGTGAGGGCCGCGGGACCATGTTCTTCACCCCCGAGCCGCCTTCGTCACCTGTCGCGGAAACGGCGAACGACGGGGAGTCCACACATGTCGAGGCGACTGAGAGCAGCGACCGACTCCCGAGTCCACCGCTACAGGCCGTCGGTGCTTAGTGGTCTCGTCGCGCGCAGGAATGACTTGTTTGAATGCGGGACATCAACAACGATGACAGTGGACCAGCCCACGCACCAGCCACGCATTGGCTGTTTTTTTTTTCTCATTTCACGATCGACACCAACTCTCCTTTTCCATATACCACCATACTAATCGACTGTAACGCGGAAAACGGCTCGCCACCAATGTCAGGGTAGACCCGAGGAACAAACAGTTCGGGGAAAAGATGGAGGAAATTAATGACCGAAAATATGGACGAGGCGGACCGACTGAATGGGAGCTACCACCCCCCTCCCCCGTTATAGACTTCTTTTTTTCTTTTCATTTTCGGCCTCACTCTTCCATGCCCCTTCTATCTATCATGTCTTGCGTCTTTATGGACACCATGCACGAGTAAGACACACTCTCTCTCCCTTTGTCATTCCACTCTCTTTTTCTTGTTGTTCTGGGTTAGCAAGAGGTAATGGAATGGACTATGGGAATGTGGGAAGAGAGACAAAGATATGGTATATTTCCCCTCCTCTCTCTCTAACTGTATGTAGTGCGCATCCGCATTACAACGCCACAACACTATACTGCACGACTTATTATCACTCTTTTTAATATGTGACACACACACTCACACACTCACTCCTTTCTTTTTTCTGCTTCCTTTTTTCTTTTCCTGTTTGCCCGTCAGATTCCTTGATTCTTGCTTTTTATACGGGTTGGCTGGGCTGGGTCGGGAAAGGATAAGATAAACAGCGATTTGGGCGGATGGGATGAAGGGTGTCAGCGATGAGAGTGGGTCAGTTGTTGTTGGCGGTGGGCCAACTATAAGCGATGTGGGAAGAAAGGATGGGAGATCGGAACCGAGAGGGACGAGATGGTTAGATGGTCAGATGGAATGAACCACACAAAAACGTTTTGAGTTGAGAAAGGATAAAAGGGGGAGGAAAGTGGGGGAAAGTGGTTGTCTCGGTTAGCGATGTCACCCAGCACTGTAGTAGTTTATGTATGTGTGACGAGCGGGCGATTGACTGACTAACTGGGAAATCTGGTTTTTTTGTTTTTTTTTCGTGGTTGTATTTGTTTGTGTTTCTCGTCTCGGTGTTGTTCCCCGGTTCTCTCCCTCACTCTCCTACCTAGGGATATCTGGGTTGCTTCTTTTGTAGTGTGTTACCTCGCATCAATCAGCCACCTCACGCCCGAGCTCTGGTTTCTTTTCCTTTTGTTTGGGTTCTTGTCCGTGTCATTTAGCTAACGGGGTTGGCTCTTTCTTGTCGTTGACTACATATGGTCTGTTTTTAGTTGTTTATTTATAGCTCCGGTTTAAAGAGGAGGCTGGACGGAGACGGGAGGGCGGACAGAGTGAGGCGCATGTAAAGAAAGGGTGGACTTTGAGAATATGTTAGTTATATCACTCACGTGTGTGGCTTTTTGTGCCCTGGTAGATGAGGTAGGAAGGATTACGCTTGGGGGGTGTATTGTGTTGGTAGAGTATTATTGAGCAGTCTTCTTCTCAATTTCCCGATGGAGATCTAAGGTGACATGTGTACGACGCTAAGCTTGTTACCTCTTTATATCATGTCATGTCATGTTGTGGCCAGGGAAAGGGTTGGGGTAAATTAGGTCTGAAAATGCTCTGAAATTCACAGTTTGGCTGGTGATAGCCATGCATTTTATATACTCAACCAACGAACCACAGAACACAAGGTTGGGGCATCTATCCACATTTATTTCTTTCCCTTCTTCTTCTTCTTTCCACCGCCACCTCCACCACCCCCTCCTCCCGAAGCACCTGCCTTCTCTACCTTGACAGAGCCCGCACCGCCTGTTAGCTCAAGGATCTCGTCATCGCGCACGACACCACCCTGGGTAGTTTCGGCGGCCCGTTTCTTCCCCTTCTTGCCCTTAGGCCGGTAGCTGCTGCGATCACGCAGCGGCAGCCAACGTTCTGGATCGGGCTTCTTGTTGGGGTCATATGACTTGGGGAGTTTCCTTGTTCTGCGTTTCTTCGCCGGCTGCGTCTGTTGTTGTTGTTGCTGCTGCTGCTGTTCGCCATCATCTTCGTGGGCGCGTTTCTTGCCGCGGGCTGGTTGTGTAGCCGTGGGCACCGGCGCGGTGGCAACGCCGGCTTCGAGCAGGGCTGCGACGTCCACGCCGCGGGTCAGGTCTTCGACGGTGGGGAGGGCGTCGAGGTAGGGCTGGGCTTTGGAGAAATCGGAGGTGGCGAAGCTGGCGACGAGGCCGGCTTTGGCGATGCGGTCGTTGGGTTGGGCGTCGACGAGGTGGGAGAAGGCTTGACCGGCTGCGGCGAGATCGGACGGGTGGGATGAGCGGAGAAGCTCGATGCCGGCTTCGCGGAGGAGGGAGACACCTGGGCCGGAAGCGTCCGCGCCTGTCTTTTGTTGCCAGTGGGCTGCGGCCTTGGCGAGTTCGGTGCGGATGGCTGAGTGCCGGCCTTGAGTGCGATAGAGGGCGACGGCGAGCGCGACGAGACCGGGGGCGAAGCGCACGTCGGCGTGGTCGGGGGTTGTGGCGGTTTCAAGGCGCTTGAAGAAGGCTTCCAGGAGAGCAATGGCAGGGTTGGGGTTATGGAGTTGGATGTATAGTTGGATCACGGTGAGCAGGAGCCCAACATCGTCCGGGTGGCTCTCGAGCAGAGGAAGGACTTGGCGAAGTGCTTCCTGGCCGGCACGAAGCTGGGATGCCGCAGCAGCGCCGAGAATACCAAGGTCGCACTTGGAGCTAGCAATCGCCGGAACGGTCTCCTGGGAGAGGATCTTGGACGTAGACTTTTGAACACCGGCAAATTTCTGGGTCTGGAGGCTCAGGACATAACGGTTACGTCTCAGAACCGAACTCTGGTACTCGAATAACCGGTCGTTCCCCTTGCCTTCCGTGATGGACTCGATCAGGCGTTGGGCCAGGTAGGGGTTGCTTTCGGCCTGCAGGACGAGAATGTTGGTGCGGGCCACAGACTGGGCGGAAGAGTCCGCCGTATCCTCAAGCGAAAGTGACTTTTGAAGGGCGGCAGCTTCTTCCAACTTGCCCAGCTTTGCATACACGTAGGCCTGCTGTACAATGATGGGCACAAGCTCGGCCTTCTTCTCCGCCTCATCCAGCTCGTCGGTCGCCTCGCATAGGTCCCGCGAGCGTTTAAGAAACACGACGGCCTTGCCGAAATCTCCGCGGGAGATGCAGCCGCACGCGGCGTTGTATGCCGTCTCGAAGGCCTCGAGGTCCTCCCGAGCCGGCTGCTTCTCCTGCTCTGGCACGGCCCAGCCTTTACCCTGCCACTCTAGCTGCGCGTCAGCTGCGGACAGGTTGATCCGCAAATCGTTCTCCTCGCCATAATTCGCGCCGTTATCATCCACCCCAAGCTCCCGGTAGGTAGCCGCAGCCTGGTCGAACTGTTCCGTACGGTAGGCAACCTGGGCCGCGATGTGCTTCAAGCCCCTCTGGGCTCGTTCCGAGGCAGCACTTGCTCCAGCTCCAGCCTCTCGCAACACGGTCTGGGCCGCCTCGAGGTCCCCAGTCTTGTAAAACGCATAGGCCTTCTCGAAGGCACAGTTTCGGGCCAGGGCATCACCACCCTCAGCAATGGCCCGCAGGGCGTCGTCGAAGCGGTCGAGATTCAGGAGCGCCACCACCCGCACGTGTTGGGCGTGTGAAAGCTGGGCAGGATGGCCTTTTGCAGCGCGCAGGGCGGCACTTGCGAGGTCGAGTGCCTCGGCGTGGTCGTCGATGGACGCACCGCGGAGGAGGGAGTTGAGAGCCACGACGGCGGTGTCTCCCATGATGACAGCGGGTAGGAGGACCGTTTGGACGAAAGGGCGGTGGCGGCGGTGGACGACTTGGTCGTGCTGGATTTGTGCATTCCCGTCAATCGATCGGATCGGGGGTTCTCCGCGTGGGGTCGGGAGAACCTCAGGCCGGCAAGTTTCTTTGGAGTCTTGGGTGGTGTGCCAGGGATGGGGTTGCTTGCGTTTAGTGCGGGCTGGGCTCTGGTCACTGTGTGCTGTCGCTGCGTTGCGGTTCACTGGACGTCGAAATGCGGGGCATTGTCCAGGGCAATTTTCGATAAATTTTGTGGGGTTCAGCCCAAAAGGAGTCGCGTGAGAGTGGAGTGTCTGATACCACCTGCACCAAGGGAAACTCAAGTTCTGGAATCTAGTAATTTATCGTTCGGCTTCTTATATACTATAATCGAAACTCCAAGAATTGCCCTTTCCAAAACAATCTGATAACAGCTCGGTGAGGGCCCCGAGCTGGTCGACCTCTTTTGCCTCCACCGACGCCTCTCTACCGCTGCCTACCTCTCGGCGTTAGGGAGGCGTCGAGTCGGATTTGACGAGGCCCATATTAACTAACACAACCACTTAGTCCGACGCACTGATTTGCGTGAAGGTATCAGGTATTTCGGACGTTATCAGCATGGCAACTGCGTTCCCCCTGAATTTTTGAATCCCAATACGGTTACAATGTAAACAACCTCCCTGAGTGCCGAGCCTGGCCCGTGCGTTGACACCTGAATTTTCCCCCGGCATCCGTTTATCTCCCGGTATTTCCGGATTTTCTTGATACCTGCAAGGTATTTTTGGCGCGCCCTTTGAATGTGTGCCGTTTCTCGGCAAGCGGCTCATTCATCGTATTTCGCTTTACATTCTCTTGGAAGTTCTCAAGGAAACCTCGGAGTTGGGGGCTTTCGTTCGTTCATTTATATATTATCCACTCTCTCCCACTCAACGCAAGGCGGCATACATATACCTCCACCAACATACATATTACCATACCTAAACCCGCACTGTGACTCCCCGAACAAACCATGATGATCATAGCACCAACCCCTCGCCTCGTGCGCCACGCTGTGGCCCGGCTCCGGGCCCCGGTCTCGGCTTCCGTCTCCGTCTCGGCTCCGGCCCTGACAATATCCGGAAGGGCGTTTTTCTCGTCAGCCTCGTCGTTTTCGGACATCCCAACGGTAACCCTTGCGTATGACTTGCATGAGCCGGCCAAACCGGTTGCAGATGCGAAGACGTCGCCGATTATTTTTATGCATGGGTTGTTTGGGTCCAAGAAGAATAATCGGACTATGAGTAAGTGAGTAATGTATTTCTTTTTTTAAAGCTCTTACTTCTGGCTTTATTTTTTCTTGAATTGTTGCTTTGATCTGGTTCAATTTGTAACCGTTGAGAATGAGTGTGAGCTTAAGTAAACGGGTGTCTAATTGGGATTGTACACCGACAGAGTCCTAGCACGAGACTTGGGGAGACATATCTATGCTTTGGTGAGTATTTACCACTCGAATCACCCCTTGAGCAATATCTTTAACAAACAGTTTGGTAGGACCTACGGAACCATGGCGACTCGCCCCATGATCAGCGGCACGACTACCTTGCCATGGCCGCCGATGTGGCCGAGTTCATCCGGCAGCACGGCCTAAAAGAGCCCACTCTCATCGGTCACTCGATGTAAGTTAGGCCCTTTTGCCCATTCTCACTATTTTACCTCCTCACCCCTCCTCCCATACTCACCATCCCCCTCCGGTCAACAACAGGGGCGCCAAAACAGCCCTCGCCCTCGCCCTCCAAGACCCCTCCCTCATCACCAACCTCGTCGCCGTCGACAACGCGCCCATCGACGCGCCCCTAACCTCCGATTTCCCCCGCTACATCCAAGGCATGAAAGCCATCGACGCAGCCAACGTCACCCGCCAGGCCGAAGCCGACAAGATCCTGGCGCCCTACGAATCTTCCTTCACCATCCGCCAGTTTCTCCTCGGCAGCCTGTACAGGCCGGACCCCAAGAACGACCAGACGCTCAAGTACCGGCTGCCGCTGGGCGTGCTGGGGGGTGCGCTGGGGTACTTGGGGGATTTCCCGTTCCGGAATCCGAGCGAGAGGAGGTTTGTGAAGCCGGCGTTGTTTGTGCGTGGGACGAAGAGTTTGTATGTGCCGGATGAGGTGATACCGGCTATTGGAGAGTTTTTTCCGAGGTTTGAGATGGTGGATGTGGATTCGGGGCATTGGGTGATTTCGGAGAAGCCAGAGGCTTTTCGGGAGGGTGAGTACTTTTTACTTTGTTCTTTATGACTTGTCTACGAGCTGTTACACTCAGCGTTTCTAAGCGGTGTGTTGCTAATGTGTGATCATGAACAGCGGTGGTGAACTTTTTAGAACCAAAGGAGTGAACAGCGCGGAATAGCAGAGATTCGATGTGTTGATGGCGTGGTTTAGCTGTGACTTGTACTCATACCCCTCTAGACTACTTTTGATAGATGAAGCATGACGCCTATTCTAGTTTAGCATTGGAGAAGGATATGCGAGGGGTGGAACGGATGCCGCGGGGTCCCGTTGAACTAGCCTCGCCAGACATTGCGTCGATGTACATGGTTCCGGAGAAAGCAAGAAGCGGTGGCCTGAGAGACTAACGAATACTAGTGAGTTGGAATGGTCCCGGATGGAACGACAGGTTCTGGTGGGGGGCCGTCTGAAGGCAGCGAAGCACCCCCGATCTCCGCTTGATAGTACACGAGCTGCCCTAGCGTGACGCTGGATGGGTGATAGTTAAGCAAGCCAGGTAACAATGACGAAGCTGGTACGGTTACGCAGTGACGGCGGTACTTGAGAAACGGTGGGGGTTGATTCCAACAAATTACTACGTCGAAGAGGGCGGACGGATCCATACCGGTAGCAACACATCAGACTCGCTACCTGGATATGGCGGGAGGACAGCAACTACACCCACAACGGTTGGACAGCACAAAGGGTTGGCCGATGTGACATTCGTTGAAACTCCAGCCGGATGCATTCAACAATCCACGCCATCCTCACCCAGCTGCCCCGCCCCTGACCTCCATGCACAACCGCCGGACGCCTTCCCATCCGATACCACAGAAACCTATCCCGTCCAAGCAGAACTGGCGCCCCATTGCGGCATGCTGAAGTAGGTCGTATCACGGTCTTCGCTTGTGTTTTTGGTCATCCTTTTTGAATTCCGTGTGCTCCCGCCCGTCGTGGACGATACCTTGACTATTGTACCATGTTACCACGCCAAATGCAACGAAAGCATGCCCAAAGCCCCCCCGCGAGGTATTGTTGATGAAAACCCTGCCCCAGTGCGTTCCCAAAGACAACACCCCTTATACCGACTCAAGGACCTGCTCACGGAACTCCCGCTCAACCTTCTGGCCCTGCTCGTCCGTGCTCGACTCGCCGTGGAGGGTCATCAGGGCACCAAGGTCGAACTTGGGCTGCTTGAGAAGCTTGACCTTGCGGATGTGGACCTGTTTGATTTACCCATGTTAGCGAATCATCCCGACTATGCATACCTAACACCTCCTAGTGTTGTTGGTGTGTCGGGTCCACGTACGTTCTGGAGAGGGTAGATGCCCTGGGTGGCCTTCTCGATCTCGCGGCCGATAACCTCAGGGATGAGCTTGGAGGTGAGTTGGGTCAGGGTGCAGCTCGACGCCTCGCGTTGGATGATCTCGGTCATCTTCTTGCGGATGGCACGGATTTGTGAAGTAGCCGCGTAGGTGGTCTTCTTGATCTGGTTGGGGCGGCGCTTGGTGAAGGCGATGGCGAAGAGGCGGAGGAGGTAGTGGTCGGTTGTCATGACGGTGACGTTCGCCTCGATGAGCGATTGCCACTTGCGGACGAGCGAGCGGAGCTTGTCCGACGTGAAGTCGAGACCGTGGAAGTTGGTCAGGCAGTTCTTGCCCTGGACCTCATCGACGCGGAGCTTGACCTTGCGGAAAGAGTGGTCCTCGTCCTTCTGGAGATCGGCGAGCGAAACCTCGACGATGCGGCCCTTGAGGGCGTCGTTGGCGTTCTTCAGACCGGTCGTCCGGTTAACCAGGGTCTTGCCGACACTGATCATCACGTTAGATTCCGTTTCCCAAACAAGTTGTGGCCGTCCATCTTTCTGTCGTGTCGCGTGCGTCTCGTTTGCGGGTAGATGGTAGGCGGGGGATTAGTGTTTCTTACTCTCTGATGTTGAACGGCGCTGGGGCCTAATTAACACGAAACCGTCAGCCGAAATTCCCAAGAACGATTGTTGTGCTCGAGAGAGTTGTGCTTACCTTGATGCCGTACCAGTCCTTGCGGGCAAAGGGGTCCTGGGCCTTCTTCTTGAGGCCCTTCTTGCCCTTGGACAGTCTCTTGTTCCTGCGGCCGGGTATCAGCAATCGGATGTCCTTCAATTATCCAGCGACCGGTCGAAGTCGTGCAATCGGTGCAAAAGTCGAATAATTGGGGCTGAACGTACTTGCCAACAGCCATCTTGACGAGCAGCGATGTCAACGGCGGGACAAATGTGCTGCTTGGTTAGTGATGGAGACCGTGGAATCGAGGTCACGAAATTTGGGGGTTTCTTCGCTGAAGTCGAAATTGTGATTTCGTTGTGTGGGCGCAGCCCACCAGCGGAAAAACTAGAATTATGGGGCACTTTTCCGCCGCTTTCGATTGGCTGCTCGGAGCTTAGGGCTCGGAGGGCCCGTGCGTTGCTTCAGACCAGCGAGACCAGGTTCCGTCCATCAGCGACATCACCCGCGAGTCGTGAGAGTGTTGATCAACACCTGCTCATTCATGCTGACGGATTCTTCGTGTTCCCAGCTTCGACCGCCCAGAGCGCCTTCACAACCATACGCAGTACGGCATCTGAAGAAATGACTCATTCTACATTTGCAGATCACACAGATGAATTCAATTCAATGGCCAGCTCAGTAATCTGATTACAACTCAAATGCGGTTCTTATTCGGCTGCGAAACTTGGGCTACTTAGTTTATTTGCCTCCGACCCGATGATCGTAAATCGACCGCGTTTTCTAGCAGAACGAACCAGCCAACCCACAAACACAAGAAACGGTATCAAGTGAGTGCTAAGGTGCCGCGCTTCCTGCGACACCAATTCCATTGGTCAACCTCGTCATCCTCGACCAATCCCCACGACCTTTTCCGTATCTCTCCTCTCGTCTCAGTCCACGTGTGCCACAATGACAAAAGTTTGCAAAAGCCTTCTGGAACGTCCGAGACGTGTCACGGCTTGAGCTTTTTTTTGCCTCCATTCCAGCCTGCTTCCATCGCTTGGGGGATCCTGCCTTTCGGTAGTTACATCCTCGGAGCGCGGAGGACTGAATGGGATGTTTGAGACACCTCGCTCATTCCGATTGCTAATCCACCAGTGGCCCAACCAAGCGTTGCCTCCGTAAAGGCAGTTTTGCCACCCCACCCTAAGTTCCAAACCAAAAATTTTCCTTTGCATCGCGGTTGTGGACTGTGAGCCGCGTTTCCGCGATGCTGAAGGTTTCGGTGCCTGGGGCACGGTGCGCATCACGCGTTCGTTTCGCGGTGTGCGCTCCTGCCTCCCAGGGCCAACATGGAAGCTAGGGTGTGCGTGGGATTTCCGTTCGTCTGCAATCCACGATCGAGTCGTTCCAAAAAAACAATTGGCGTTACACGTCGACGCCGTTCAAAATTGGTGACACGACCTCAAGTCGAGCCTAGGGCTTTCATGGCGACTTGGCCTCCGCCTTGTCGTCGTCTTGCTGATTTGCCTCGTACAAGTCAAAGCTCGGGAAGCTGAAGTAGCGACCAGAAACTGTGTTCCGCCGTTAGCAAATCGTCCCCGTGATCAACAAAAGACAACAAGGACTGAGACATACATGGATGGGGATGCAGATCGTCAAAGCTGTCCGCTGTGCTGTCGGGAGAAGACGACAGCTCGTCGTGCCGGTCCACGCTGTCATATAGGGGGGTCCGAGTCGAGATAATCGAGGCGGATCGGGGGACAGAATCCGATGACGAGCCAGAAACGTAGGCCACTCTGCTGAGAAGTTCCGTGGCCCGCCGGCCGGATTGCGTCGCATGGGCATTCGGGGTGGCAGTGGATGTGGTGATGGATGGTTCGGTGGCCGTTGCCCTCAACAGCCTCGGTCTCCTGCTCGGGCATCGCTCTGCTGAATCCCTCCTCTGCATGCGGCCGGACTCTGAAGTGACGGAACCCATTGTGGTGATGTGTGGGTTGATTGTTGTGGTGGGTGTTGTAAGTTGATCGGGCAATTTCGCGGGGTGGATTGTAGTTTTGTTACAAGGTGGGTTGTGTAACTTCCAAGTGTGGGTAGGTGGGTTGGTTGCTGGGCGCGTTGACAATTGCAGAGATCAACTCTTGTGGCCGAAAAAAAAGGTCGGCCTAGTTTAGTCGAGAACTAATACGGATTGCTGACGGTGGGAAAGTAAGGGAACAAGAAAAAGGCGTCTGATGTGGGAAGGCTGGCCGGGGGGAAGCTTAAGAAGCAGGAAGTAGTCCACTTGGGCTGCAATGCGATTCCCGCTCAATGCCGGAGGATGACAATGACGGTTTCAGTGACGGCAACATTCGCGCCATTGCCTTGCCACTTGTCAGTCCATGGTACGAGCCGTATGGCAACAAGGATGGGCAAGGGAGGGGAGGCTTAGCCATTCCCATCGTCTCCTGCCCATCCAGGGCCAAGGCAAAGCACGAAAGCACCAAGCACCGAAGCAAAGCACCAAAACGCGCGGGTGGGACGGCGCTGCCTGGCCCTGCTCTGGGCTGGCTCCCCTGGCTGCCCGGGCTAGGCCTTTGCGACCTGGCACATCCGCAGCCACAAACCCTGCTCGGGCGACGGGGCGCTGGAGACACACGCCAGTCAGACCAAGCCAGACGCAGCATTCATATTGGCCGCTTGATGGGATGGGGGTGTGTGGTCCGTGGTTACTGGTGGTTACGGTGGTGTGTAGTGGTGGTGTTGTGGGTGTGTAGTGTGTACTCTGTATGTGCTGGTTTCTCCCGCCTTCCTGCGGGCCGTGGCCACACAAACGAGATCTCACCACACTTCTTCCCCAGCTGCCCGCCGAACCCGCGAGCCCGCCCGCGCGCCGCCGCCGCCCTCGCCGCCGTAGGTCGTCCTAACTTCGGGATCCCGCTTGGGCATCCAGCCAGGCAGGCAGAGACTCACTCCCACACACACCCGCATCCGTACCCGCGCACATGTACAGGACACGCACACGCACGCGCACAAGCCCGTCAAGTGAACACCTGCAGACCGACCGGTGGTGTCCAACTGTCCCGCAGGGCGGGGAGGAAACACCAAGGGGTTGGCTGGCCCCCTCGTCGGGCTTCCAGACAAGACAGGGGTGGAACGGGAAAGGCACCGTTGGCCACTCAAGTCGGGACACCTCAAGAGCTCCGAAGCTGCATGCTGCAGGCCTCGCATGAGTGTCTGGCGGCGATTGGCGACCTGGACTCCTGGATCGCTGGCTCTCAGGTCTTCCAGACTCCGGCCAAGGCGGGCAGCTGTGGGGCCCGGGGGGTACATACCACTTCAGGTTGTCAGGGAGTGCCAGGTACCTGTCAAGGGCGCAACGGGTGCAAATCCCAGGCACCATTGCACCCAAAGACGGTGATTGTCAGTCCACCATCACTGTTCGTCGGCCATTTTTGGGTGTACACAGTAGTGTACGGAGCAGTGTAGTGTAGCGTATGTATGTACATCGGTAGGGTACATACATTGTAGTACTGCCTAGCTACGAACCGATGTACCTCGTGTGTCTGCAACTCCTAAACAACGACGCAGCTAAGCTCTTTGGGACGCAATTGAGGAGACCGATTGGCAAAACCGTTCTTTCGCTGTATCCATCGCGGTCCGCCCCTGACCCCGTGACAACGTCCAGATCTGAGTCCAATATCGTTTTGATTGTCTTCCCACCACCTCGACCTGCGATGATCGCTTCACCGGTGCTCCCAACTGCAACCACATATCTCGGCTTTCCCTGGCCTAGATTTCTCAAAGACGTCCATCGTTTCCCTCTTTCTTTTGCTCTATTTTCCCTCACCCCGCATTGGCGCGAGTTGGCCAAAACAGGTTGTTGCGAGCACTCGTCTCACGACAAAACAACCAGAAACAGGTAGGGGAAACAACCCCGCGGACAACTTACTGCCGGATTCGACCGGAGCCGAACGCACCCACCGCCCACATCCGCTCCCTGCTCCCACGCTCCGCGTGGGGAAATCGTTCCCCGGACAAGAACAACTCAACACCGCTGTCTTGAATCTCGCGGTCTGTACGGAGGATGGGTCATCGGTTCTTGACGGACAAAGCAAAACCGGCCAAACAAAGCGAGCACCGCAACTTGAGCAGCGGCGGGCCTGCGGGATTTTCCCCATGGGACCCCCAAACCTTGAACTTTGGGACCACGAATGACGAACTGTCTTCCCCAGACAAAAACACGCACCGCTTTCTCCAAGACCAGTGAGAAGAGTCCTAAACGAGACAGGTTTCCCGGGTCCGGAACCGTGTCACGACGAACGAACGTAGACTAGCCCAATGCAGCGGCTTACCCCAAAACAAGGGACCAAGCAGTTTAGCTTAGAGCTGCGAACCAACGAAGGGAAAGAATGTGAAAAATTTTGGGATACGAATGATGAGCACATGAACGAATGAACAGCGGTCGGGGCAAACAAAACGTCTCAGCGGAATACCCTAGTCGCTGACCCCAGACGAAACCGCTTGGGATGTTAAACGTTAACGTTTTTTCGTTCCGGTCTGATCATTGATGGGAATAACCGATGAGGAGGTGCAAAGCTCCGATGAACCAAGCGCCGTTCCGTCCGATGTCACACGCAAGTTTCCGATCGCTGGCAAAAGCTCGGGGAAGAACCCGCTCTTGTTTGCAACCGCGTAGCGAGCAGAACTGTAACTAATCCACACCATCCACCACCGCCACTGCAAGCGCTGCACAAGCTCTGCAACGGCGCAGAACGCCTGGAACCAAAGAGACAGGGGCAATGTATGCGTTGAGACCGTAACGGAAAGTGTTCAGAACAGAGACAGCTTGACAGGGTATGAGAGGGGCAAAGACACTCTACTTCAGCATTAGTAGCGAAACCAAGAGAAAAAAGTAAGTATCATAAATCATAAAAATACAATCAAGGAAATAACCCTTGCCCTCGCATGGTTCGGGGAAGCCAGGAATCTTGAACCAAAAAAATAAGGGGAAGCAGAGTTTTGCGGGCGCGGGATCACGTCATCACTCAACGACAATGAGACGGGAGTTCCAGAAGGCAAGGAATTCAAGGGAAGCTCGCCATCACAATTCTTTTCTCCCCTCGAAGCCTCGAAGCCAAAGCCCCTCTTTGCTTACACACTTGACGTTACTTTTCCCGCAAAGGTCGCCTCAAACAACATTGGCTAGCTCCCAGACACTGCGTATTGACTTGCAAACTTGCCGTCTAAGGCACACCCTAACGCCTGGGCATTCCTCGTTCATCAAGATTGGTATGTGATGCGAGGATGTGTACTCTGTAGTGTAGTGGTGGTGTTCCCCCCTCCAGTGTCCATTGGTCTTCCCTTTCGCCACGCCCATCTCATCCATCCCTTGTATTGAAACTCAATTCCCCTGAGCTTCAAGCTTCATAGGCGGGGAAGCACCTGAGGGGGAAAAAAAAACAGGGGAGAAGCAACGAGACAAAAAAAAACCTCGCAGCTACCCCCAGACAACACATGCATACCCACAACAGGTACCTACATCTGCGTCGCCACGCCTGCACACCCACATACATACATGAACATACAGCGACACACGCACGCGCACACACACTCACACCAACGGCTCCCATCGGGTCCAACTCCCTTCGGCACGGCACACAATCGTCGTCAGGCACCAGTCACCTCACAACCTACCTACCCAGGAACGAAACGACACAGGAAAAGGCGCACGGTGCAGTAAGCATAACCCGCAGTTGTCTGATGTCTGAGATGAATGGGAACCTCCTCGGCTGCATCGGAAGAGAAGATTGAGTGAGTTGGGCTGAGTCTACTAAGCTATTGTGTAAGTGGGTGTTGGGGGTAAGAGGGGGAGCGGATGGTATGCACGCGAGCAGAGGAGACTAGCACGGGAACGCTATCCGGACCGGAGATCTGCCCCTTGACTTGATCTCTTTCTCGTTGTTCTACTTTGTACTGCGTTATTTTGGTGTCGTTCTTTGGAGTTTTCCCCTGTCCTAATTCGCCCCGAAATGAGATCCTGTACTGGAATTGGCCGAGTCAAAAAACCACTCATTGCCGGCATGAGGAATGGGGGTGTAATGGAATGCGAAGAACGGGATGGTGAGCGAAAGGCTGCCGCTTGGGCTCCTGGATTTCAAATCTCGCCATGACAGGCAATGCAAACTCACGACAACTCATATGATGATCAAGCAGAAAAATGCTCGCGATGCAACACCCACACATAGGTAGCTGATGCTGTGGTCAGAAGAAGAGCTGGGATGGGCGCGTGGTCCGGCAAGGCGTATTTTCTCGACTCTCTATGGTCCATCCCCCGGTTTTTCTCAGCTCCCGTCTCTTATTCCCCGTGGGGGTTAGGTATGTTCGTTGGCGCTTGCCGTTACGGAGGGAAAAATGTCTCTTATCGGTAGGAACAGGAAAATCCAAACCCGTTTTGGGAAGACATCGTCGAAGGCAAGGAAACAACAAAAGCAGGAGCGACCGATGTGCCCGAACTTTCTGCCTGCATAGGAAGGGGGCCTCGTGGCACAGGATTGAAACGGCATTGGTTCTCCCGCTCTCCCGCTCGCCTTTCGAGTCAACCCCGCGGCCCGCACCGGCACGAGTGGATTGATAAAAAGAGGTACCCCCCCTTCGTCTCTGCCCCCCAAACGAGCTGCAGCGAACAAAGTCCGGAGCTGCAGGAGGACCGGCGTCGAGGAATGGCCGTCTAGTGGTCGATACTGTTGTCTCTGGTCAGCCCTGTACAACCCCGATTCGCCAGCAAAGGCTTTTTGTCCGTTTCGGTGCTTACTCTTCCCATATCCGGCCCTGCACGCTCTTGAGCTCGTCCTCTGTCATTCGGTGGCCGGTGGTAAAATATCCTGTGGGGGAGGGGAAAAGTTCGAGTCAGAGTTGGGTCCGAAAAGTAGAGGCCGACAGCATCCGCAACTACCTACCGGCGTTGATCTTGGCATCAATCTCAACTCTGGAATCGGCGGGGATCCATGACTCGGGGAGCTCGACTCGCTCGTGGATCGGGATACTGTATTTTTGGGGGTACGCCCGTCAGCATCTATCAACAGGTCTCGGAGAACGATCAACACGCGGGGGAAACCGTGACTCACCCTTGCCCAACGATTGCATCGTGCTTCATGCTAGAGGAAGGGAGACGTGTCAGTTCTGAACGACGAAAGCGCAACTTCGCTCAACATTGCAGGCCGCACTCACTTGCTCATGCTCAACATCCGATCAATCTTGGTGATGCCCAGCCAGTGCAGGATGTCGGGCATCAGGGCCTGGAACCGCATATCTTTGACCCCCGCAATATTCTCCGTCCGCTTGAAGTAATCCGAGGCTCGATCTTCCCCGCGCTTGCGGGCGTTGTACACGACTGCAGATCTCTGATGTTAGACGGCCAATAGCGCACTAGTTTGTAAAGTACAATCGGGTAGGACCGAGGGATTCGACATACGGTACTAGATTCACGTCAGCTGATGAGAGGCAACGAGGACCTGAGCATGAAAAGAAAACCTGGAACTTACCTTGGTGACTTCACCCAGAGCCCTCCCTTCCTTTCGGAAGTAAATGACGACACCACTGCCGCCGTTCTGGGCCTCTTTGACGGCCTCCTCGATACCGAAGATGAGATACGGCCTGCACGTGCAGATATCTGAGCAGAAGACGTCGCTCCCGTTGCACTGCCTAGTTGTGAGCGGAGAATTATACAGTGGCTACCGGAACGGACCGCATCAAAAACCCACCTCGTCATGAATGCGCAACGCCAGTTTCTTGGAGGGATCGGACATGGCTGCCGGATCTCCGAAACAATACACAGTGAGACCGCCGATTGGCGGCAGAAACACTTTGATATCAGACCGTGTTATCAACTGCACGTATCATGTCAGTTTTCATTACTCTTCTTGAAGTACTTCTGTCCCGCTCCGGAATTGTTACCTCTGGATACATGCCGCCTGTGTGCTCAAAGAGCGATCTCCGGAGGGTACCCTCATCGATGCCGAAGCGCTCCGCAACGCCTGGGAGATACCAGACCGGCTCGACCGCAAACTTGGTCACAGCCAGCTCGCCAAGGTTGTTGAGACAAACTTTGCCGTCGGGCACTAACCGGCCACTCTTCACACTCTCCTCAAGCTCGGGTAGCTTCATGTGAGCCCTGGTGATAGCAATGGTCGGCCGAAGATCAGCTGTTGTTGGGTGTTAGTAACAAAATCTAAACATCCCACAAACCCCCACCTGGTAAATACATGCCGTTTTCCTTCTCGATCGTGTCCTTGAAAAGCCAAGGCACCATGTGACCCCACGGATCCATGGCCACAATCTTCTTCTTGTCACCCCATTGAGGGAACGGGCCAATGTTGACAGCGGGCTCGGTATTGGTGAAGTCCGGCTTGTGGTCGGCCTTCAGCTCCCTGCTGGCCAGAGCTAGGGCGTAGTAAATGGAATACGAGCCGCCGTGAGCACCGATAGCATTCCGCTTCCCGATTGTGGACGGCGCCCGGGAGACGGCCACCGGGCCACGCTGCAGCGGATCAGCCGCGCCCCACTCCAGCGGAAGCGGATTGATGCCAATCTGCTTGGGGTATGTCGTGAGGACCACGCGGGATGAGAAGCTGGACTTGAGCTCCGGGGATGCCATTGATGGCACGGGAGGGGACTGGGTGCCCGCTTCAGCCGGCAGAACGGACGCGGGGGACGGAGTGTAACCGCCGGCCAGAGGCGTCAGAGTTCGCTTGACATCATCGGTATTGGCATTACCGGGTCGTTTGCGGTTTTCTTCCTGAGTCTTTTCCAACTCGGCAACCCGCTGCGAAACCGTCTCAACCGCGGATAGGAGCTTGCTCTGGCCCAGCGTGATAACCTTCAGCGCTTCCTTGACATCCTCTAAGCCGGAAGCCATAGTGTCGATCTAGAGCAGTACGTATGCCGGAGACTAGGTGGGAGTGGGTTGATGCGAGGGATGGAATTATGAGTTCGGTAGTCAAAGTACGCAGAACAATGCACTGGTCGAGAACAAACGGTTGCTGAAATACACACTAGGTAATAGGGTAGGGAGACAGGTATTTGAGGAATGGTAATGAGACCAAATCAAGGAACCTCGAGAGCGGTGAGATAACAACAAAAAAGAGACGAAGACTCTAAGTTGTTCACAGCAAGTTCCCGATGAGAAAGAGGCCGACCGAACGAGACAACGTTGTTGCAAATAGGAAGGCGGAATGCGCCCAACTCCGGGCCCAGGTGAGACCCCGTGATAAGGGGGATCAGCTTTCCGGCTCCATTACGGTATCGCCAGCAGGCGGGCCGGACGCTGCTGGCAAAGCAGGTGTGCAGGTGATCGAGGTGCAGGGTTGGGCCTCTGGTGCTGATGCCAGCACCCCTGCCTTACCATGCTCCGCTGGCCCCACTAACAAGCCCAACGGCGGGGAACCACAATCGGATCGGCTGCCGGCTGCGTGCCAAGGGATCTCGGCTTTGAGGAAGAGGCAAACAAGAAAGCCGGGAAAAATGATAACGATGCTGACATAAGTGAATGAGATCTCGAAGATCCACCGGAGGGAGAAAAGAACTAAAGAGGTAAACGAAGCACCGGGGCCTCGATATAAGGAGCCGGCGATGAGATACCTAGTGTGGGCTCGAGGTGTGGACTGGTGGAGGAGGTTCCAGCGGGAGTTCGAATTGCGGGGCCGAGGACCCAGGGAGCTGATAATGCGCACGGACCATACCATTCTCGCGACGGGACCTGGCGCAAACGCGCGCCTGTGGCCAAGGCTGCGGCAACGCCCTGCAAGGCTTCCTGTCAGAACCGCTCAAAGAAACTACATCGCTCCCTTAAGGTTCTTCGAGAAACTTCACCACTTCTTGAAACTTCTTCGGCATTTGGCGGGGGCTCGACCGTTTGCCATTTTCCACAATATAAAAGGGCGCCCATTCCCCCCAATTTCCGCCCTTGATTCTCTACATCGCAATCTCCATATTTCCTCCCAGATCTTGCTCCCCACAGACCGATCTGATCCTCAAGACCTTTAACGTCACCCTCCCACCACCGTCGAAGACCATTTTGGCTTCGTCTCACAAAATTCATCAACAATCATTTACTTCATCTAAACAAACAAAATGGGCAAGCGCAAGAGCTCAAGCAAGCCCCAAGGGCCTAAGAGGGTAAGTTCGTCGCGACCTCCATTCCCCCTAGCTTACCCCCGATGGATCCCCAAGTCTATTTGATACCCCATGGCTGACCCTTCTTCTCCGTTTCGCAACAACAGCGCGACCCTCTCCCGACAGTCTTCACATGCCTCTTTTGCAACCACGAAAAATCGGTCGAAGTCAAGCTCGACAAGAAGGCTGGTTGCGGGTGGCTTGATTGCAAAGTCTGCGGGCAAAAGTTCCAATGCGGCATCAACTGTGCGTTTTGACCATGGACCCCCCATAATGTGTCGCGGGCGCGCTCGGACACTGTTGCCCAGTGCACAAAGCAATTGCTGACGGGTGTTTGTTTTAGATTTGTCGTCCCCAATAGACGTCTACAGCGAGTGGGTCGACGCAGCAGGTATGACATGCGCCTTGTTTGCCTGGGTTTGCCTACACAAGACTAACGTTCTCCTAGATGCTGTCGCAGAAGAAGGGCGCGCGAACGAGAAAGCTCGGAACTCTGGCAAATCGGCTGACCGGGGAGCTGGTCTGTCGAGCCGGAGGATAGAAGAAGAAGAAGAAGGCGGTTACGAAGGGGACGATATCGTTGCCGACGATGATGAGTACGACTGATCTACCATTGGAAGAGGGGCTTCTTTGTACTTGAGGAATGGCTTTGCATATATCCTACGAATACCACAAGCGATGCCGGTCTACGGATCCGATCATAGAGATGGAGAGTAGTTTGCGTGAGAAATGCGAAATCAAGATACCACACTATCTTTTGAGTTTGATCCTACTTGTGGATAAAGGATTGCGTTTCAAATTAGACGGTATAGTATCGGTCGCCGAAATCCCCAAGGCCGGGTATGATGTAGCTACAATGGTGGTTGGTGAGTCTGTCATTTGACGATGGAGAACAATCGATACTTACTTCTTATCGTCAAGCCCCTGGTCCACAAATGCCGTCACGACACGAAGATGGGGGTACTTGGTTGCAAAGTTCTGGACCCCCTTAGGGCTCGCGAGCACATTGAGGAACAAGATGCGCTCCTCGGGCACGCCACGAGATTTAAGGACATCAACGGCCATGCTAGCGGAGCCGCCTGCCGAGCGTGTCAGTGATAAAGGGGTTTGCCTTGGCCTGATCGCATTGTATCATACCTGTCGCAAGCATGGGATCAAGCAGCAGAACCCATCGATCGGCGATGTCTTCTGGGAGCTTGTCGTAGAAGAGTTTGGGTTGAGACGATTCCTCGTCTCTCTGGATTAGAATCTTGCCAATTCTCACAGACCGGCAACATTCCCGTAGACCCTGCTCCATGGCCTCGCCGGCTCGCATGATGGATACGCCGCAGATTTTCCCTTGAAAGGAGAGGCCATCGTATGGGCGCCCGACGGGAGTGGTGACGGTGTGTTCAATTGTCGGCAGGTGGTTGAGCCCTTCCTCAACGAGGAGGCGGATGATGCGGTTGGAGTAAAAGATGAAATCCCCTCGCTGGGTGTCTTTGTTGCGAATAATTCTGCCCACGAGAGGTATCAATCAAAACCAAGCTCTCACCTCACCTGACACGACACGGTCGTCCGAGAAAGGAAACTACTCACGAGAGCAGTGCAATCAGCTGAGGAGTTTGCGGGAGGATGGTGACAGTCTCAAATTCCACCCCCGTTGATACCACTGCCGTCGGCTTTTGACTCTCAGAGCGATACGTCGGCCCGACGCACTGCGTCGGCACGGGTTTGAGATCGGACATTGTGGAAACTGATGGCGGCCGGGGAACCTCGAGGAGACGGACCAATCTGAGGAAGGAAACAAAAGGGATCGGTCCGTTGCAGGACAAAGAAACGCACTTGGGGAAGAAAGTTGATTTCTATCTTGAGTGCGTTGGAAGATGAGGCACTAAGAATCAAGATAGGTCTGCCCCAATAAATAGTGTTGAAAAACGTTGCTTCAGGTACGAAGTTAGGCTCCTCTCAGAGATTCGGTTTCAGGGATCACGAACGAGAAATCACTGGCCCCTCTCTTGACCCTCATGCGGACGACGACAATCTGATGCGGGCCAACCCCACTGGGCGGCGCCGACCGTCGCTCATCTGATCTCGCGCGACCCCACCGCTGAACCTTGATGCGTCGGGTTGAGACTAAAAGAACCCGGAATGATTGATAAGGTGAATATTGTAGACTTCCATACCTGGGCAGGTTTTGTTGAGGAAGAGCAATGATTCATTGGGTTAAGTTGCCATGCACTGAAAGCCTTGCGTCTTTCGATGCTAAGTCTTGCAGGCGCTGTTGGGTGAATTCCTCAATCTGAATGTATTTCCCAACCGTCGCTTTCATTTTCTTTTGTCTCAAGCCAAAAGTAATGTTCCATAAAAGGCAGGGCCAGTAACTCAAAGACTTAGAGATGGGAAAGGAAGTTAGTCCTCGTCCTTTCAAACCCAAGGCTCTGAATCCCTTCTTGTTCATTGCCCGTCTCTTTCATCCATCAGGCGGGGCATACGGAAGAGTGCCTCAAGGCAGCCCTACCACAACAATTCTTTGCACCCGAGAACCTTTGCACGTGCCTTGAACCCCTGCTGCACCCCCCTGGCACGGACCATCTGCAAGAAGGCAAGGTTGTGGGGTACCTTGCCGGGGGCTTGTTTCCAAACAACAACCGTCGCCATCGCTCCGCGAATCGCAACTTCCAATTCTCCCACACAACAGCGCCTGTGGAACGAACCGTCCTCCGCTTTCTCAAACCGCATATCGCGCGTGCGCATTGCAACATTGAATACACAGCGGCCATTGGTTCCTGCTAGACTCAAAGACTTTCGGCCGCCTTCCCAAATTTCACGCGGGCGCTGTCGGAGGCCGCCGCGAACAACATCGCCAATTCACTAGGACAAGACGCTTCACAGGCTCGCTACCCTTAGCGCGTTCGAAGGGGAATGCTGCGCTGACTCCTTTTTGGACTTGAGGATTATACGGCTCCAACCAACTTTGTTTCCGCGCTCCCCCCGAAACACCTTCAATGATGGCCGCCAGCAACGCTGATTCGATCTACGACTTCGGCTATGAGCCGAAAAAGAAAGTCGCTACCTACGGGAGAGGAGGCAAGAGGCGGACCACTGAAACGACGCGACCGGCGACTCTTCGACACGCGGAATCGGCCCCGGTCATGCCGTCGTCCTTCGACGAGCCCGAACCGCAATTGTTAGCGGCCCCTCGCCTCACGACGCGCACGATGCCAGCCACCAAAGCGAAGCGGCCGGATGTCCGTAAGCCTAGCGGCGGAGCGCGCCAAAAGCTGGCTGCCGAATCATACAGCCAACCACTTCCCGACCCTTACGACATTGATTTGTTAGCGGATGAGACGACACGGACAAAAAAGAGACGGGTTGCGCCGGAATCGTCCGACAAGGGCAAGTTTACCGGACCGTACTCGACACCGGATTCATCGCCACCGGGCGCACGGTCGCCTGTGTTGTCGAGTGAGGATGGCAGGCTTAGGTCAGCGCCGGACGCGAGTATCTCCCCTGTTTCGAGGAAGACCACTCCTGAGCGGAAGATGGATATGGACGGAGATTCGCGGACGCAGATGCCCTTTTCTGCGAAGACATCTCGAAGATTGAAGAACCTCAGTGTTGGTTCAAAGATCACAAAGACAGAGAAGCAGCAGATTCCTATCCGCCTTGGTGCACCGGCGGCTCCCTCAACTCCATTAGCTCCAAAGCCGACCAAGCCCGCGCGGAAGAGGCGCCTGATTGATGCCTTGGTCGCCCAAGAGGAGGATGGGACCAGCTCTTCCGACGATGATGAAGCGCCATTTCAAGGATCGAAAAGTCAGGTCGCCCAGTCCCCGCTTGCCGAATTCCAGTACTCGCCCCCGCCAGCCACAAGCCAACCAAAGCCGATTGCACGTCCGGTTCTTACCGCGAAGAAGACTGGCCCAAAGTTTACCTACAGCCAGCAGAGGTCAATGTTGGCTGATGATGAACCCTTCCTGGGAGGTGGCAGGCTCGGCGGCTTTGATGACGGGCCTTCGGGGAGCGCATTGTTTAACCTAGGGCGTCTCACGAAGAGCGCCACGGTGAACACAGTTTCGTACCTGGATGAGGATGACGAGACGATGAATACGGGTGCCGTTCGGAGTATCCACGAGTTGAGGCAGGCGGGAGCCAACAGCCGTTTTGCGGACGAGATGGACGACATTCTAGACAGGGTCGGGTTACCTTCAGCAAAACCCAACTCCTTGCGACGTGGCGCGTTGCTTGAGCTCGCTCAAAAGATGAAGGACAAAGAGTTTCGCCAGCAGTTTCGGAACCATAGTGACGGAGGTAGTTTGTTCAGGTCTCTTGCAGACGAAACGGATCTGGCCTCTGGATACGCGATTCTGGCCATAATCACGACTCTTCTTGCCGCTACTACATCGGCTCATTTACTCCAACAACTACGTTCACACGGCCTCGGTGCCCTCATCAGCCGACTTGTTACCAATTCGACCGATATCGGTGTCCTTGTCAAGGACCGAAAGCAAAATCTCACGAAAAACGGCCAAACCACCGTCACATCCGTCAAAGGCTCGCTTCTTGAGCTCCCCGTCTGGGAGCCCTTTGCCCCAACATCTCTGTCCCCACGCACATTAGCCCTGAAGTGTCTGGATCTCCTCATGCGGCAGCCTACCCATGCAGCGGCTGAGGATGAGGTGCTTTCTCAGGCAGTTACGGACCGCCTGTTTTCGATCCTGTCCGAGGGCGTTTCCAACGAAGCTTGTTGGGACTTGGAAAACCAAAAAGAATCCTGCGACTTCTACCTCGCCCTCTATGTTTTGGAGGGCCACTCGATTAGCGCTATGCAGTCCCCGCTTAGTCCGGTTTGGACCAAGCAATATGCGCCCATCGTCGCGGATATCTTGGAAACTGCGCTACAGCGTCCAGCCGATCAACTAGGTGATCTTGGGAGTCTCACTCTGAGAATCTCTTTGAACATCACGAACCACAACGAGGAAGCATCTCGATTGTTTGTTGAAAAGGGTCTGCTCCGGCGATTGGCGGACTCCACCTGCGGCGCGTTTGAGATGGTCTTGAGTTCGATGAAGGCCGATTCGTTCATGTCCAAGGTATTGGAAACCCTCATCATGATGCTAGGTGCTATGATCAATTTCTGTGTGTATTATCCGCCGGGGTCTCGGAGTCTAGAAGAACGGGGAGACGGTGCCGGGTCATCACTAAACCGGCTCATCCGTGTGTTTGCAGATAACCACACGAAGACGGCTGATGTAAGTTACCCCCATACCTTCTGTCTAAGTGTTCTTCAGAGCTAACTCATGACAGGCCGACTCGATGGAGAAGACCCAACTCAATGTTGCTCTGGGCTACCTCTCTGTCCTCCTAGGATATCTCTGCCTGACCGACTCGATCCGAGACAGGTTCATTCTCGTCCATCCCAAGAAGAACATCCAACCGTTGCTCGATTCGCTCAACGAGTTCATTACCTTCCATCGCAAGGTTGCAGAGGCTCAGGGCGACGAGGCGGGGAAGCACGAGTCGGGCTCCCTGGCTCGTCTCCAAAATCTGGCTGACCAGCTGGCGACGCTGCGTTAGATGCGGCCCCTGAGCCTACGCAAAACTTGTTTTGTTTGTGTTAATGATTAGCGGCGTTGTTGAGGAATGGGTGGATGGGCTACTCTATCGGAAGGAATTTGGGGGGGGTTAACACGGCTTGCATGACACGCCTTGCATAGGAGCGGCGGACCCTTTTACGATACATACGGTTTCGATATTCCCATTCGCAGTTTTGGGCAAACGATGAGGAATTGGGTGGGATAGGATGGGACGGATGGGATGGGATGGATCATGGGACACGACACTGGCTACGAAGGGAACGAACTCGCCACAAAACATATTAAACATCATTACCGGGCGCTGCTTATTCTCGAGCCTCAAATGGCGACCTGCTGCTAGCTGCTTCATTTATTTAGCCATAGATACATTTGCATTCAAAGAGCTACCACCTCACCTGCAAGCTTTATTTCAGCTTACCATGGACCTCCAAGCTGCTGGTGACATTGCCGTGCATTCGAGACATGTCTGTGACAGGAGCACATCGGTAAATGCCGTTCGTTGCGAGTGCGGCACGGTACTCGTAGCGCGGCCTTCTCTGTCACATGCCCCATTCGAGTCAAATGTCACAGTCAATGCCCACCAGTCCGTGGCGTTTTTGCTTGGCTCGCCGTGGCCAAAGAAAGCGGCCGACCAAGTCGCTGGATAACTGACTTTTCTACAAAAGTGAAAAAAGACTAAAAAGAATACACCGAAAAAAGTGAAAGAAGACAAAAAGAATAGATCAAGAAAGTAATAAAAGGTGAAAAAGAGTAAATCAATCGGAATCTCTTGAGATTTGATCGATTGTTAATGGATTGGACTTAAGCTAAGGTATCTGTTTTGTGTAGTCGGCCGCTTCCACCGCCAGCTTGGATGAATTCACAGTGACCCCGCCTACCCATCGTACCTAGCGGGGTTGCCGTTGCCCCTCAGGGCCCGTGGACCTTCAGGCGATTTTCCCCTACATGGAACCCTGCCAAGTTGCGCAACCGGCCCGCTGCGAAAAGGTAGGAGCCCCGCCCAGCCATTCCCTGTTTGGGTCTGGAACCACGGGCTCGCCGTGCGCTGCCGTCTTCCATGCCGGAACTCCTTCCATGCTCCGTTTGTTCGTTTCTGATGTGTGCACAAACTGCTGTGCTACACTTCCCGCCTACTATCATCTTCTATTTTAAATTCATGTACTTCCATTGTTCCCAATTCTAAACCACTCATCGTGTGTGCTACATTGTGCCTGTGAAAGGGAGACGCTCAAGGCTGAACTCTCGAAACGCATGCAGGCAGACTCTGTGCGCTGAACGGTCCATCATCACAGACAGCAGTCTTTCTGCAGCTCCTTTCTTTCCCCTCCTCCTCCTGCACGAGCAACCAACACTTGCAGCGTGTTCGGCATCATCGATTCGCCCCCAACAAACCCAATTGGGTTTTAGTCCGGATCCCCGCGCATACGAATAGTTGGATAACATTGGATCGCAACACCACTTCTCCCACTACGTAGGGTCAGGCAGCTTATCGGCGCAATCGTTGTTTACGAATCTCGCACCAACAACAGTTGTTCAGTTACCACCCAATTACTTACTGAAAGTATCATTACGAAACCAACCAGTGTAAACAATGCCAGCCACCCTTGCCAAACAGCGGAAGCTTGCCATTGTCGGCAGCCGCTCTGTCGGTTCGTCGTACCCCTACTACATCACACCATGCCGACTAGCAATACCCAGACTTTGCTAACAAAGGCATACCAGGCAAATCCTCGCTCGCGGTCCGCTACGTCGACGGGCACTTTGTCGAGAGCTACTACCCGACCATCGAGAACACCTTCAGCAAGGAGATCCGGTACAAGGGCCAGGAGTTTGCGACCGAGATCGTCGACACGGCCGGGCAGGACGAGTACAGCATCCTCAACTCGAAGCACTTCATCGGCATCCATGGCTACATGCTCGTCTACAGCGTCTCGTCTCTGCAGTCCTTTGAGATGGTGCAGGTGATTCGCGACAAGATCTTGAACCACCTTGTTAGTCTGCTCTACATTCTTTGTCGCATACTTACCCCCCTTTTTTCCCCAAACCTTTTCACCCCCTCCTCATCCTTTCTTACCCCCTTGCCGCTAACACCAAACCTAACAGGGCACCGCAACCGTCCCAATCTGCATCGTCGGCAACAAGAGCGACCTACGGCCCGAACAGCGCCAAGTAACCGCCGAGCAGGGCAAGGCCCTGGCTGAAGAGTACGGGTGCGCCTGGACCGAGGCGAGCGCGCGGTACAACGAGAATGTGGCTCGCTCGTTTGAGCTGCTGATTGGTGAGGTTGAGAAATCACAGAACCCTGGGGAGCCATCTGGTGGGGGGAAGTGCGTGGTTATGTGAGGGGGGAGGTGTGAGGGTTAGAAAGTCTGAGGGTGGTGGAGATGAGAGTGAGATGAGGTTGTGTGAGTGAGCTTACGTGCTGCGCTCGTGGCTTTGACGGCCGATGGCTGTCTTGTTTTGAATTTTTCCCTCGTTGGCTTTTGGTCTTTGTCTGGACGTCGGTCTTGGTTTGGTTATGCGGCCTTGCTTTGCTTTTGGGATAAAGAGAGTTGGGAGGGCAGATGGGATATGAAGCAGCATGATGAAAGGGGGCGTGAAGATGGGTGGGGGCAACAAACCTACTTGGGATGAGGATGTGGTTATTCTCGTCTGGCCGGATGGCCTACATTACGTTTTCGTTCTGGGATCCCGACTCTCAGAGGCAGGTTTCGGGGTTTCTACAAGCTCTCCTCGTCACGGCCTAACAGGGACTTGTCCCCTTTGGTCTTGGCTGAGGTGGACAACGTTTTTGTTTTCTCGCTGTGGTTTTACGCAGTGTTGGTTACGCTTCGAGGAGAATAGGCTTTTGTGGTACCATCTTGCGCCATTTTATGAGGGGTGTCTGGATGACTGGGGGGTGGCCATCATGCCCGCCAAGGGACGGTATCCTGCCGATGGGTCGTTGGACGACAACTTTAGCTTTGGGCGGGTGGTTTTGTATTTAGGGGGTCGGTGTAGGTTGAGCTTAGGATCACGTTTGACGAGGGATGAGGGTTCACGGCGACGGGTGGCAAGAAGCAGCCCGACCTTTACGTTTACTTTACAATTAGCCCGCAATGCCATAGCGCAGAAAGCATTCGCGTATACCATCATTCGAGGACCGGCTATGGCCCATCGTAGTAGAGCAAGTTGGAATGCCGTCACGAGTCTATTGCGGCGAATATCTGGCGCTTAACTGCCTAGACACACAGGCTTCATCCACGTGTAGAAACACCAAAACTCTCCCCCCCAACTCATACCAACCCTTTACCGGACGGGTATTTCCTTCTTCTCACCTCCCTTCTTCCCCGCCTTCTCCTCTTTCTTCTCCGCTGGTGCCTTGGAAAAGGGGATAAATTCAGGGGCGCCTGGTAGATACTGTAACGACTCAGTTAGTATGGGGATATCTCGAAATCGGGCTTGAGTTTTCTCACCTTCCGTAACGGCTCGGGGATGTTGACGCCCTATTAAGGATCAAGTTAGTCAGGTTCAAGCCGCGAACGCTGCGAAGGGCAGTTACCTCTTCGGTCTGGAAATTCTCGAGAATCGCGCAAATCGTTCTTGTCGTTGCGGTAAGGGTCGAGTTGAGGCAGTGAACATATGTCTTCTTAACGTCGGTCTGCTTCTTGATGCCGAAGCGGATCTCGAGGTCGCGGCTCTGGTAGTCGGTACAATTCCTGTTATAGAGACGGTCAGTATTACCAAACTCCTCTGGTACGCAGGGCGGTACTTACGAGCAGCTGACAAGTTCCTTGAACTCGCCCTGGTGAGGAAACCAGGCTTCAAGGTCAAGCTTCTTCGCGGCTTCATGCCAGTTAGTAAGGTAAGCAGTAGCTACGTATCAATTCAACATACCGGCGTTGTCTATGAAAACAGTATTAGCGACACTTATTTAATGGCAATAGGGAATAATGAGGGTAGTCCAAGTTTACGTACTTAGAGCACCTGACACAATGGCGACAACCCGGTGGGGAATCCCAAGGGATTTGTAGAAGTCTTCCGACGTTGAGATCATGTTCTCAAACATCTCCCATGACCTGTTCAACGTAAGTCGAGAGCACCACAAGCCAAGCATAAGCCTCAACTCACTTCTCAGGATCTGTGACACAAAATTGCTCCACCTTAGTGAACTCGTGGACGCGGAAGATTCCCCAGACATCTTTCCCATGCTAGTCGAAGGTCAACATTATATCTGTAGGATGAGAACGGCATATTATAAACTTACAGCACCTGCCTCCTTGCGGAAACATGTTGAGTAGCCCGCATACCTGATACGTTGTTAGTTGGCATCCCGATACGGGGGATACCTTAGACTCTTACTTCAACGGCAGTTCCTTGGGCTGGAGCCACTCGTCGCTGTGGAAGGCGGAGATAGGTTGTTCTGAGGTCTAGTTCCATCTTATCAGACACAAAGGCATCGTAAGCATTTTCAGTAGACTTACCGCGATCAAGTACTTGTCTACTTGGTCACCAGTGACCTTGTAAAGTTCCTCGTCGAACCTAAGTTCATAGTTAGTGCTACGTCCAGCCTAGTCGATCCGGGTGAGCGCAAGCCCAGAGTGAACTCACTGGGAAAGCTGAGCGGTCTTGGCCATTTGGTCCTTGAGCATGAGTTGGGGAGTCTGCAGAGGAACATAATCCCTCTCATGCAAGAATTCGAGACCGTAGTTGATGATGGCCCTGAAAGGTTAGTTCGTAGCCGTGGAAGTGGCACTGGGAGGGGGATCGTACTGGTTGAGGAAGACACCCCACCGACGCAGGAAGTACCCACGGTGGCCGACAACCTTCACTCCCCTCTCTGGGTCGTAGCCATCCAGCCTGTCGAGAACCTCGTGATCTATTCTCCCGGTAAGCTTAACGCCATGGTGGGATTGTGAGAGGTGTGAGCCTTACGCGAGAGAACATCGCGCTTCTCGAACGTGACGCCTTCTGGGGCCCAAGTGCGCTCGACCGTGTTGTCGTCCTAATAATAGATATTAGACCGCAATGTTCCCCAGTCGTGTTATCGGTTTGGACGGACCTCGGTATTCGAAACAGGGACGGACTCGTGGACAAGGTTGCCAATCGTCTTGACCTTGACCTTCAAGGCCTTCTCCTTCTCCGCGGCTGAGGCCAGGAGATCCTTCCTCTCCTTCTCGATATCGGCTGAACAAATGTCAGCATCCCATATTACAGCCCCACGATAGCCTAGGTTCTCCAACCTTTTTGCTTCAGAAGATCCGTAACATCCTCCTTCGCCTGTTGTCATGGTTAGAATGGAGTGTAACGGTTGTCACGGCTCTCGGGGTCGCATGCCTTCTTCTTGGGGCCAATCTGTTTCTGCACTTCATTGGCTTTGGCGCTAAGTTGGGAGGCGGCGTAGGCGGCTGCGAGGAGAGTCGAGATAAGTATTAGAAAAGGTCGTCAACGGCTTAACGGTCGGCTTACTCTTGCGGTGGTCTTCGAACATCGCAATCACCTCGTCGACGGCCTCCACAGGAGCATGGCGCTTCCGCTGGCTCTCCCTGATCTTCTCAGGGTTACCACCCCGTTCGGTGACTGTTCAGACTCCATGTTAGTACCTGGGCCTGGAAGTACCAACTCTGCCAAGCCTTGATCGCGTGCAATTGGCGAAAGGAATAAGTGTAGAAAAGGCAACACCGTACTGAAATCGTTCACGTCAAGCATTTTGGCTACTTTGGGGGAAATTCAGGGAAATGTCGGCTGTTAGTAGGTACGAACTGTCTCGATTTGCACCCGTCACGAAACTGGCGATGGTGTCGCGAATAGTCGATAGCGGGGCAAAATATTATTTCGCGGGGTGGAGGGGCATGTGGGGTGGCCTAGGCGGTTCATCAGACCAGGGGCTGCCGGGATGAGTCAAATCGTGACCCGTTAATATGCATTTAAGTAGCCACAGTACGGCTTCCCTATGCATTTACAGGATACTTGTCTTCAACCAAACCATTCAGTTCTCCTGACCTTCTGATTTCTTAACTTGTTCTCGAAGGCGAAACTGAATTGCTATGTGCACGATACGTATGATTGTTTCGTGCTCTCGTGAACAAAACCAACGCACTTCAACCTTTTAGCTTTAAGATGGGGGGGCATTCCTTCACAATACCGTTTTGATAGCACTTCCGGCTTTGAACATAAAACATCTCCATGCAATGCGTATACTCTAGACTCTGCCGCTGTCGTATCTCAAAGTTGGCTACACCAAGTCGACGTGGTATACATAGTAGGACACAAGGTTGACAAAGGAACCGTGGGTGAGATCCAGGAGAGATGGGTCTAACCTAATCCGGCAACGCTGCGATAACTTTTACCCCTGGTATGCCATGCTGTGGGGTGGAGGGGACATGCAAAATAGGGTTGCTTTCCGTCTCGGCGAGACTTACACGGCCGTGTCCACTGTTTGTTGCGTCGGCGATGTCAAATGCATCATATGTCACTATGGGTGGTGAACAAGCTTTTTGATATCCCAAGACGTAAACGGAGTATTGGTTTCGAAATAGAGACCTAAAACAGAAATCTTTCATCTGGCCCAAACCCTTGTGCGGGGTTCACCCTAAACCGCATAAAGCCTGCCTTCCAGGGTTGGGGCAGGAACGCTTGACCACCAAAAGGTACCGAGGGCCGGAAGTTCGTTTGAAGCCCTGCAAGAGGCAACAACTGGCCGAACAACTGCAGTGGGTGGCTGCTTCCCTGCCCGACTGCAGAGCCTCACATGCGACCCAGTTATGATTTTTTTCTCACTGTTCTTATGGAAATAAACTTGGCCAAATTTATCTTGGTTTCGCTCCGATGATACAAGGCGCGCAGCTATTGTTGGTGTGTATGCAACCGCGCTTCTCTCACACGCTACACCCCGGCGGTCAGCATCTCATCTCTAAACAAAGGGGTAACAACGATTTTCAAAGAAAATGGCCGAAGACAAGGCGATGGTCTGCCCATTTTGTGGCTGGACAAATGATGCCGGCGAATACCAGATGCTTCTGGTAAGTCTTTGTATTTTCTTATTTTAACATATCTGCCCTTCGCTCGGTTCCAAAGCCGCTAAATAACCCCAGCATATAGAAACCCTCCACGCAGAGGGAGACTCGCCATTCACCGTGAAGGACGAAAATAAATTGGACGACCCTGGAGCTGCCGAAGAAGCTTCATACGTTGAGTGTCCAATTGACGGATGCGGCGAAGTTGTTGTGCTCCAGGAGCTAGACTATCACCTGGAACTCCATTCAGAGGAATCGGGTGACCACCTACAGGGTGGAGAGGCTTTTCCTTCTGAGATATCACATACACCCGAGCCTTCATTCACTGGGCCATTCAGGGCTCAAAGAGAAGCAGAGAGGCACCGCCGCCCAGTACACGAGTCGGATAAGAGCGATCGTCAGGTGAACGCCATCTCGGCTTGGAGGAGGCTGCTCAGGATGCCTGGATCCTCATCATCTGAGAAGGCCACTTCGTCAAAATCCCTAGCTGGGGCTTTCACAAGAGGAAAACGACTTGGGGTGCGCACGTCTGCTGATTTGTGAATTATTTTTGCCTATGCTAACTGCCGGGCTAGAAAGCGCAACTTGGAAAGTACGCTCACGAAGACCGTATGCCAGACTGGCTGGTGGCGTTGCTCAAGAAGAGTCCCCCAGTCGTGTCTCAAGGTAAGTTATTGGGGTCTGACAAACCGATTTGAAGCTATAAAATCTGATAGCAACAACAGGTGTTGTTTCAGTGATTGCGATGTTACTGGAACAGAGCCCATCGACAAAATATGCCTATGTCTGTGACCCATGCGTCCAACATGTCTCAAAGTTTAAGCGCGAAGGTATGGGTTGCATATTGTGTTCCTCGTTCTTGGTCGAGCTGATATCCTATTTAGGGGGCTTCTGTGGCTACCGGAACATCCAAATGCTCTCTTCGTTTATCGTTGAGACTAATTTCAAAGGCCACGAACATTTCAAAGACAGCATTCCATCCATTTTTCAAATACAGGAGTGGATCGAGACGGCTTGGGATCAAGGAATTAACCCTCAGGGCCGGCTTGAGACAGGCGGCATCAGAGGAACACGAAAATACATCGGCACACCAGAAGTACCTCACCACGGCCCCACCCCGTTCAACCTTGAGCCGGGACTAATATTGATTTGCAGGCACTTGCTGTGTTACGTCTACTCAATATTCCATGCGGCGCTCAGGGTATCAAGAACAGGGAAGCCAGCAAGTCCGAGGCGCAACTCATGGAGTACGTCGAGGCTTATTTCCAATCGGGCGTCCAGGATCCGACACAGCGCATTCACCAAACCAAGCTAGCACCCCTTTATTTTCAGCACACTGGTAAGCCCACCTACCCCCCTGACCCAGACCGTACTTCGGTACTTGGAGGACTAAATTCTTCAAACAGGCCACTCCCTCACCATAATTGGGTTTGAGAAACTCCAAAACGGTGCCAAGCAACTAATTGTGTTTGACCCGTCGTTCCGGGACTCGTCGTATATCGTGCGCCTGGTGGGCCAGACTGTCACCCATCCCATGCCGGATCTTGCGTTAAAGCCATACCGGAGGGGAAGTCGGTACCTCAAGGCATATAAGGAGTTTGAGCTGTTAAGGTCTGTAATTTTTCACGCCTTCTTTCCTCAAAGTAATACAACCGACGCTAACACATAAAGTTACAGGCTACGAAGGGGAGACGAAGCTGTTTGATTTCGGGCGTTACGGTTTATGGAGTCGATATTGGCTTCAACATACTTCGGGGGGATGGGATGGGCCCTGTGCTTTGTAAGATGTTCATTCGTGATTGTATTTGGTGTTGGCCCGGCGAGTATCTAAGGAGCAAGTTCTTTTGCGAACCAGTCCTGAAGCTTGGCGAGAGCCCGGTAGCGATGTGAAATTTTGTTCTTTTCTACCTTGTCCATTTCAGCGTATCTATGTCCTGTTAATAAGCAGCTCATAAGAGACGAAGGGAGGCCAAAAGCCTCAAGACAAGGGAAGGGGGTTGGAAATGGGAAGACTTACGTCTGTCCCTCGTACTCGAAAACAGCATCCCACCCTGGACCACCTCAGTCAGTATATTCAGAAAACCTTTACCAACAATCCCCGAGGCACTAGATAAAAACGAAGTAAGGAAGCATACCGAAGTCCGGGGGCCCTCTCGCCGGCACGATCTTGCCATCAGTGATGCCCTGGAAGAGAATCGGTTCATGCCCAGGCCCCGCAGAGTAAGCGAATGTGCACATGGCCTTAGCCGACTTGTCTTCGTAGGCGGCTAGTAGATTGTTGAGACCGACGTGGCCGATGCTGGCCATGAACCATTTTCTGAGGAGGTGGTTAGAAAATTGCCATGTGTTTCGAAAATTACAAGCGTGAGGTGCTGCTTTGCCGGGACTTGAGGGTGGACGTGGGGGTGTGGGAGACCTACATGTACGGCCCTGGAAGCCCGTTCAGAGCGTTGAAGCAGAGACATGTGTCTTCCACCAAGACGGGACCCTTGATCTGTGCTTTGTTATTAGTTGAAATCCTGTACACGGCTAAAACAGAAGGGAAGGTGTGACAGAGAAGAAAGATAACATCCCAAGGTAAAGACTGAATTATAAATGAAACGTACTAGGTCAGCCGCCCTCCGGCACTTGTCAAGCGTCACTTCTTCCACCGTCCCCTGAACTTCAATCAAATCCAGTGTTTGGCTATCAACTTGGATCGCCGGCTCCAGAATCGCCTTGACCTCGCGCAGCTTGTTGGCGTTGCCGGTTATGAAGTTGACAATGTGGCGGGCAGCCGTAGGAGTCGCCATCTTGGGCCTGGGGGTTTGTTCTATCTTCTAAATGCTGGGATGGTTGGTATACGTTTGTTGTTTGTTTGGCACTGTTTGTTCCTTCCTGCTTACCTGATCTTTTTTGATGTTGGTGGGGTTGGAGTTGGAGGGGTTCTCTCGTTCACCCCACCAAGTTACATCCCCTATCAGCCCCGGTTGTTGCATATTCCGGGCTATCTCTAAAGTCAACCTATGTGTAAAGGTGTTTGTGAAAGCTCAGGAGACTCGATTGCCGTGATGTTGGTAGTTGGCAGTGAGTGAACTAAGCGGTGTCAAGACTCGTGAAAAGGAAAATGCTTTTATTACAGTCCCTTTACTCTCAACGACCTCCCGTGTAAACCACGGAATTCATGGTTTGTTGTTCTTCTTCCACTGCTCCAACCACTGCTCAATCCTTTCCACATTGCTCTCCATCTCATCCGCCTCTACGCTCTGCAGCTCCACCACAATCTCCTCGTCATACGACTCCTTAGCCTCCTGTAGCAGGACCTCCATGATCTCTGAGTCGATGTTCTCCTGTAGTTTAACATCGGGGTATTTCCTGTGGTTTCCATTAGCCCAATGGATGATACTCTTGCCCATCGGGCCTGATGTCATCCTCGCTTTTAAAACCGAACAAAGGGAATAGGACATGGTTAACTAACCTCGCCGTCAGCCGGTCGTACAGTGTCGTCGTGTCGACTCGAAGCACCACCACAAGATCGATCCAGCTTTTTGGGAACAGGTCGCATGCGTGCCAGTCTATTATGCACCCACCCTCCTTGACCTGGTCCTCGATGGCGTCGAGCAGCTGTTTGACCTTGTTAGCATGTCTGCCTGTGGGACTTTGACAGTGGATTAAAACATGACAAAAGTGTCACACAAGAAAATAAAAGAACAAAAAGACAAAAGAGAAACACTACCTTGTCCTCATCTACAATCCAACTTTGGTACTCATCATCCCAACCCTCATGGCACTCTTTGTCCTTGACCACATCGTTGACTGAAATGTGCTTGAGCCCCGTGCGCTCAGCGAGGAGTTCACTATGGGTCGTCTTGCCCGTTCCGGGCGTGCCCGTGATGATGATGTTAGGGAGGGTGCGTGACATCTTTTTTTCGATTTTTTTATGGTTTGGCACAAAGATGTTTGGTCTTTTGGGTTTAGAGGTTGGGGAAAATATGGGTTAGGAAAAGCCCTTGGGTGTAAGTCGTGGGGTTTGTAGCTGTAGTGTGCTAAGATATGTAACGGGTTTTTGGTCAAAAATATTTTTTGCTGTTGCATTTCGGGGATGGGTGCGAAGGCCCTCCAATCCGCACTGTAGACAGAAACTGCGAACACAACAAGCTCGCAGACTCGGCTCTAAACAGACCGCGAGCATCTGCAGGAGAATGAAGAATAATGTTGAATAAGGAATCCTCTCAGGGTTTACAGGAAAAACCAATCAAGTTCTACCTTTGACAGCCTCCAGGTTTAGGTAGCATATAGACCGGTTGTAGACCCATTCCCGTCATCCCTGTGTAAAAGTCACTGTCCGCCATCACTCATTGCATAGGTACATGAACCCTCGCCCCTATCGACTGCTTTTTCTCCTTCCTCCCATCCGGTTTAAACATCTCATCCCTCAACCTCCCCCTGCTGCCTCTGACATAGTAGGACACGCTCATCATCCACGCCGCCCCCTCAGCTGGAAGCGGAGTGGCCATTCAGCGCTAAGGTATCGAGTCCTCAGCTCGAACAGGGAGACATGAAAATAAAAAGCATAAACCTTTGAATATCAAGCGCACCTCGAAACAGGATCTGCAGAGAACCACCAAAGACACAAGAGAGCGTCATCATCAGCGGGCATCTCTAATATCCAGCTTTCCAGTTCCCCCTTTCTCACCTTAAAGCCAGTATCAGTCGTTGTAGTTGTAGTGAGTGGGTACAAGTAGTAAGAAGGTACATTTCACATTCCACATCGTCCCAGGTTGGTCGTTAGATATCCCAGATGAAAACAAGAACAAGCTAATAGAAAAAACATGCGGAAAACAGAAGCACATCTTGATGAGCAAAAATAAAAGAGAAATCGAAAGATCATCTACCCCCACCCCGATTCCTCAGCTTCCTGTACCCTTGGACGAGCGGCTCGAGCGCATTGCCACCATTACAGTTGCCATCACACGCCTGACTTATCCCCCCATCATTCGATGATTTCCACGGACTAAATAGCATCGAAGCAGGCCGCTGGCGTTGACGCTGCCTCGGTAGCGTTAAAGACATGGGCATGGGCATGATAGGGACAGGCATGGTCCGAGGAGGAGATGGGGAAGCATCGGCGGGTTCGAGATCGGCGGCAAACGCCGGCGACTAAGCGGCGCCAGCCACCAGGCTGGTCGGGCGACCGGTGCGTTGATCTTGCTCGACTTCGGTCAGGTCACCGGCGCTCTGACCTTCCCCGTACCCTTCCTCATCCTCATCGTCTTCCTCACCGTCTTGCGAGCCGTAGTCGAGCTTTTCTTGCTGGGCGATGGCTTGCTGCGAGACGATCTCTGCGAGGCGCTTGAGGCGTGGGGTTTGGAGCCCTGTTGAATTGCGTTAGTTTTAAAGTTTCAAAGGGAGTAGGCAGGGGTTAATTAAAAGTCGAGGGAAGGACGTACATGATGGAGTGTAGGTCTCCAAAGCGGTGATGACTCTGGGCTCGGCGATCTCGTACGGCCCGCTGTCGTCCATATCAACAGCTGGGAGGAGAAGGACATCACTCTTTTCAGTCACGCGCGACGCGACCGCTTTCATAATCTCGCCGTTGATGGGCTGCTCGTAGTCGGCCACGAGATATTGGTTCAGGAGCTTTTGAATCTGGTTGGGAGAGAGCCTGTTGAAACTGTCAATCACTATCCTTATGGCAACGGAGACTTGCATGATACTCACATCCAGCAGATATCCTGGATGATTTCAATGTCGTTCAGGGTGGCCTTCTTGAGCTGAAGGAGCTTCGTCGCTTGCTAGTTTGAAAAGTCAGCACTGCCGTTACCGTACCACTGCGCACTCATCCACATGTAAACTTACCATCAGATGTTCAAGCTGCAGCGTGCCTTCCGGAATCTCGTGGCTCTTGCACCACTCCTCAATACGAGTGATGTTGTAGTTAATCTGCAGACCGCGCTTCCATGAGAGGAAGTTACGGCGCATAAGCAGGTCGTTGAAGGCCGTAACGCCAACCAGCTTAAGCAGCTCGGTTGTGGTCTGCATGATGATCGAGTTCTCAATGTAGAAGCCCTTCATGGCGCGGAAGACACTGTTGAGGAACGACAGCAGGTTGTCCATGCTGTACGCCGGCTGGTTGTTGCCCTGCAGCAGCTTGCCCAAGAACCGGTTGTTCTCGTTGGTCACGAAACCGGGCAGCGACTGCGACTCGATGATGGCGGGAATGACCATCTTTTGGAGCTTGCGCTTGAGCACCTTCATCCAGGTGTGGTAGATATTGAACTCAAGGCTCTCCAGATCGTGCTTGACGATCTCGAGAAGGCGGTCATACTCGTAGTTGTCCGACTTTTGCGCCTCGTACCAGTCCTCAGCCAGGAACACGAAGGAGAGCATCTCGTGCACGTTCGAAAGCCAGAAAGCACCGGGGTTGATGGCGTCGTCGCCGTCGTGTTGCATGACCTCCTGTTGGATGGACTGCATGACGTTGGCGAGGAAGCGCTCCGACTCCTTGACAAACCCGTTGTTCCACATCTCGGATGTGACCAGGTTGATGAGGAATGAGGGGAAGAGGACCTCTTTGTCGGACGGCGGCTGGTTGCCCGATGGGGACGGGATCTTGAGGTTGCGGATGAGACCTAGCGTAACCTCCTCGTTGAGACCCTCCTCGTCAGCTAGTAGGGACTCGAGTTCTAGCTCGATGCTATCGGCAGCGGGAATGTACGTGGAGCCAGACAAGGTGGTTTGGCGGTTCATGCCCGGCACAGCCATGGAAACTGGGCGTGGGTTGTAGGTCGTGCTGTACCTATCCATCTCACGGACCTCGGGACCAGCGCTCCGCCTCTTGGGCTTCTTAGCAGACACCAAATTGATAAGACCGGTGGGAGCAGCCGGGGGCGGAACGTTGCCATTGAGGACCTCGCCGTTGATGGGCACATTCCGCCGGGCCTGCTCGAGCGCCTCCTGAAGCTCGGCCAATTGTTGCCGCAGGGAGTTCTTCTCGGCCTCTTGCCGCTGGCCCTCCTCGCGGGCCACGTCCAGCTCGGAGCCTGTTGCCCGCAGAGACTCGCGCAGTTGCCGCTCCTCGTCTTGCATCCGCTTGACGCTCGCTACCGACTCCTCGAAGCTCACCTGCAGCTTCTTCATCTCGGCCTCCATCGCCTCGAGACGAGCCGCAGCGATACCGGCCTGGTTGGCCTCAGTCTGCAGCTCCTTGGTCCGCGCTTCCAAAGCGTTATGACGGTTTCTCCAGATGGTGACCTGGCCTTCGTAGTTCTCCACCTGCGTCTTGAGCTCCTTATTCTGTGCCTTCATGGTGCCCAGAGACTGCGTCAGTTCGACCACCTTGTTCTCCAGCTTGTAGGAAATCTGTTTGAGATCGCGAGCCTCGGCGCGGATGACCTTGTATTCCTTGCGAGCAGACCGCCCACGCCACAAGCTCTGGACAATGACCACCTTCCTGCGGTAGTCCCTCCAAGACCGGAGCTGTCTCCTGGACCGCCAGCTGCGTTGGATGATGAGAGCAGCATTGCCCATGCGGGTTTCCATGATCTCCTTGCGGCGCAGGTAGCCCTTGAAGGCAGCCTGGGCACGAATAACATCGTTTCTGATGCGGAGGAACTGCTTCCTCTGCTTCTGACCGCGCCACACTCTCTGGATCGTCGTGGCGGCCTTGACAGTCCGCATCTCCTGCGCCGACGCACGCGCCTTGAAGCCCCTCGTTGTCGCTTGGAAGGCGATGATAGAGGCCCGGGCATCCAAGTACTTCTTGCGGTAGTACTTGGCCTTGAGGTTCTTCTGAATCATGATGGCGCAGTCGTTCAACCGGCTGGTACGGAGGTTCTCGAGGAAAGCCAGCATACCGGCACGGAAGAAAATCTTGGTGAGACCCAACTGGTACTTGTCCATGCCCTTAACAGTGCTAGTGCCCAGAGCCTTAGTCAAGATGGCATTGGCCATGTCCCGGATCTCCGACGTCCATTCGGACGATGGTACCAACATATAGTACCGCAGCGCGAACTCCTCGTAGGTCCACCTAGTAGGATAACCTGCGCAGCTTATGCGCACTGTTTCCAGCACACCACAGGCACGGAGTTGGCTCAGCACCATAGGGCCCTCGAATTTCCACGCCTCCTTGGCCTCGTTCGGCTTGATACAGCGGATGTAATGCACATCGGTGTTGTTGATGGTGTGCATGAGCTCGATCAGCGACGACTTGAAGATACCACCCAGTGTCGGCTTGCGGTTAACAGCGACACCGATCCTCCTGCCCGCTACCGGCTTCACTGCATTAGAGCTTGCCGAGGCAACGTCCTTCTCCCGCACCGCAGAGGCCGCGTCGAGCACAGCACCGAGGAACTTGTTCGTCGAGGCGCGCAGAACAGCCATGTGCTCGTCCGGAACGGTGTCACGGTTCTTTTCGATGAAACCCTCCGATTCGTACGTGACGTCGACGGCGTAGTGACACACGGTGAAGGTCGACTTTCCGAACCTGGGCTTCTTGTAGAACTTGTGCTTGTCGGCCGCATAGTTGTGATGCAGCTTGTTCACAAACTGCTCGTCGGAACCCATGGGCAACCGGGACTCTTCATCTAGCAGGGAAAGAATACCGAGCTTGCCCTCGATCAAGTCGATACAAGGCTGGTTGTCGGCAAAATCGATAAAGGTCCAGTCGATTTGCTCCTTCAGGTACTCTTCCTGCTCGAGCTTGAAGACGTGCTGGTTGAATTCTTGTTGTAGCTTCTCGTTGGCATAGTTGATGCAGAATTGTTCGAACGAGTTCTTGGCGAAATGCTCGAAGCCGTAGATATCAAGCACACCGATGAAGGAGTTGACCCTGCTGAGCACCTCATCCGTGGCCAGACTCCGGTTGATAATTTCCACCAGCCAGTCGAAGAGGCTCGAATAGATGAACTTGGCAACTGAATCCCGAACAACAATGGCCTGTGCTTGAGTGAGGTTGGATGTGATCTTTTCTCCACGCGTCACGAGTTGCTTCTTAACAACCCACTTGGCGAATTCAGCAGCATCAATTCCAAGAATATCACAAGCCTTGACAAGCGCCGGCTCAGTGGGCGCGAGTACGCTGTCGTTCCTCGTCGCGCCGATCTTGACGTTACCCAAATGCAAAAGACCCGCAAGCAACTTGAAGATCGAGGCCTGGTCCGCGTCACTGACACCAATCGTCTTGAGCGACTGTTTGGTGGCAAGAAACTCGGCCTTGTCGTCGACACCGTCAATGGTTGGGGTGTTGCCCTGGTTGAGGTACTCAAACTGTTCAATCGGGAGCAAACCGAGCTCCTGGCGTTCCTTCTCCGTCACACCGGCCACAAGCTGGTAGAAGATGTGGTAATTCCTCTCCTTAAGAGGCTGGAAAACCAGTCTTGACCGCTCCAGCAGATACGTCCTGATTTTGGCACCAATGATGTTGGTCCCCTTGTCGAACATGATTTCGATGTATTTACCGAACCGTGACGAGTTGTCGTTTCTCGTGGTCTTGGCGTTACCGAAGGCTTCCATGATCGGGTTTGTCGCAAGAATGGCCTCTTCCGTCTTGCTCATGGCCTCGGGGCCCTTTTTCACCCGCGAGCCGGGGGTGTCGGGGGACTCTCTTGTCGCAAAGTATCTCATAATGTACTTGGCGCTAACAGTCTTGCCGGCACCGGATTCACCGGAGACAACAACGGTCTGGTTCTTCCCATCTCGCAACATGTCCCTAGGAAATCGTCAGCAACATACTCTCCGTCGGGTGGACCAAAGCCTCCCCCCTTCCGGTGTAGAACCGTACATAAAAGCCTCCTCAGCAATGGCAAAAAGATGGGGTGCTTGGGTAGCCCTCTGCCTCCCGGCATAGACCTGGACCATGCCGGGGACATAGAGAGAATCGACTCGTGCGAAAGGGTTGGTGGCGATCAACACAATACCCGAGTATGTGTAGATTTCCTTCTGAAGGTATCTGAGACGGATGGCTTGCAAGACTGGTGGTCGCAAGGAGTGTCAGCATAGGGCCCCCCATCACAGTACTACAGAGTCAGGGATGGTTTACCGGCAGGTTCGTTGAGATGCGAGAGGTTCGTCAAATCATCGCTGGCCTCGAGCATGGTCGGGTTCATTAATGGTGGCAGCGACGGGTCGTTCCCCGACTGGAGCGCCTCCAGAGAGACCTCCAACTTTTTGACCTACAGCATACCGAAAGGTCAGCAACTAGGGAAGCTCGACCCATAGGACTGTAACGGGAGAGGGGCTCGAAGCCCGCGCAAAGCCCAGAGAACGCGTACCTCGCCATCTTCCAACTGGAACTCGAGTGTGACTTTTGACCCGTCTATCGTCTTCTTAATAACCTCAGACGCGACCCAGCCGTCCGTCGCGTCGGGCTGCCACGCTCTCGTGCCGACATCATAGCTCTCCGACATTGGACCCGGTTGTGGGGGGGTTCAAACGAATGGAGCTAAGAAAAAGTGGGTGGAGGGTATAAGGAACGGTTTTAAGGAGCTGGCGGCTTCAAGAGCCCGGTGTCGTCGCGGGCTGGCCAGCAGAAAAGGTCGGCGGCTACGATAAAAAAATGTCGAGGTTGTCGATGTTGCGCGCAGTCAGGCGGACAGCGGTGCAGGATGCAGGAGAGGCGGGCTTGGAGGGTGGATGCGCTGTGGATTGGAGATGGCATTCGTGAAAGAATACCGTAAGAATGTAAGTTTCGGCACGAAAGAGTCTCCGCTTTCAGCGTTTGACGACGGCTTCGGTGATGGGGTTGCCAAGAAGGTCGGAAAGAAGAAGAAAATAATCTAAGAAGGCGCGTGCCTCATCGGGGACCGGAGAACGCGTGCAAGAACTGGCATGCTCCTTTCGGCAACGAAGGCAGGCACAAAAATCTCGGAAATGCCGTTTCTTCGAGTTCAGGGGGCTGAAAAAAAGATGCATGGGGGTGCCCAAAGTTGAGGTGTGAGAGGAAACCAGGATGTATGTAACAATTGGTAAAGCGGGACCTCAACCAAGGGACAAGAGTCTGGGGTTGAGAAACAGAGCACTGGCCAACGTGGGTTAAAACGGGAAAACCAAGCACTCGGCTCGCAACTCAACGCTGTGCTGTAACGTCAAGGAAATGTTTTGTTAAGCCAAACGGACGACAAGAGTACTAATTCATACATCGAAAACGAGCGTTCTACGATGCCTTTAGTGAAGCCTCTCTCCTATCTTCGAATCCCCGCACCAGTCTACCCTGTGGAGCAATTCACTGTTCGGTCACTCTCTCCCTCCACAGATACCATGTGGCTGCTCATGCAAGCAAGCGGTCGGACACCATTACACAACACATCATCCTTTTAGTTAACGGGAGGCTCCGAGAAAACACACATGCTGTATTTCTGCAGTAATCATGGGAGGACGGACGGAGCCCCTTAACGAGCCAGCCACCTCACGAAAAATACAGCACCTCGATTGGCAAACAGCGGGCAGTTCAGGAAGCGAGGGGGATCGGGGTTCAACAGCGGGCCAGCCATCCATCATCCATCCTCTTGCATCCCCAACCATGTGGAACTCTCGCTCACCGCCCACCAAACGCCATTCCCCAGCAACGCCAAGACATTGCTCTCCAATTCCTCCATCTCCTTGAACGTTGCGAAAGAAGAAAACGAGCCATACTGCGTAATTATTGTGTAGGAGAGGACGAAGCTTAATAACATGGAGAAGACCCCTTTGATGTAGTACACTAGTACCTATAGTGGCCCCCTTTCCGAGTAACTATACCGTAACTATGCTCCTTCATCTCGCGAATATGAATGTTTCTACAACCCCTCCCGCACGTTTTCCCAGAGATCCGGGAACTGTTTCAGGTTTGCAGCATGGGCCCCTTTTTTGATCTCCCACCCAAGTCACAAACCTGGAAACGAGGGCCAAAGGCATCGGCAATTGACAACATTCAAGTCAAGAAACCGGGTAACGAGATGCTTCGGTTCATTTTGTTTCGATGGCTGTTTCGATCTACGCCAGCTCCTCTGTGGGTTGCTTTCCCCACTCAACCAGATATGCAAAATATGTCGACCATCCTTGCTTCCAGGCTCCCGCATGACCCGACCTGCACTTTTCCCTAGAACCGCATGTATGTTGAAAGACAAGAAAAAAGGAAATCATGAGCTCCTTCAATGTTGAACATATGCCCTTGAAACACCCTGATGCCTAGAATCATATCAAACTCCGGCATACTCCAAATGCTGTTGACATATATACCCAACCATCACCGTCCGGTCTCCCTCTGTCAGCCACTTTCTCCATTCCCACGTCTAGTATAGCACACGCGTCAAAATCCGCGATTTGAGCGAATCGAGGCTGTCACGAAGCTGCTTGATCTCCTCGGTCTTGACATCACTAATGTCCGCCATGAGGTAGGCAATATCGCCCTTAGAATCCGAGATTTGCTTGTCGACGTTGTGCTCGCGCAAGATATCGTTAACCATGCGCAGCACACCGGGCACGTTGCGATGGATGTAAATAACACGCGCCGTGTTCTCCTCGTCCAGCGTTAGCGAACGCATCGTCACCTCCGGCAGGTTGACGCTGGCCACCGTGATGCCCTGGTTGATGTACCGCACCAACGAGTCGGCCACTTCGACGCCGATCGCGCGTTGTGCTTCCTCCGTGCTACCACCGATGTGCGGGGTGAGGATGAGGTTGCTCAGGCCGCGCAGGTCCTCGGCCCAGGTGTTGAGGTCGTTCACGAAGTAGTCGCCGTTCGCGGCCGGTTCGTTGGGGTACACGTCCAGGGCCGCGCCGGCGACCTTGCCGGCACGCATCGCCTTGATGAGGGCGGGGATGTCGACGACGGTACCGCGGCTGGCATTGATGAGGTACGAGCCCTCCTTCATGTGCTCAAATTGCTTGACCGAGATGAGGTTCTTGGTCTCTGGCGTCTCAGGCACATGCAGTGTGACAAAGTCGGCCTCCTCCAGGAGTTTCTCCAACGTGGGCACCTGACGCGCCGAACCGATGGCCATTAGGGTCACGACGTCGTAGTAGATGACCGACATGCCCATAGCCTCAGCGAGGACCGATAGCTGCGAGCCGATGTGGCCGTACCCGACAATGCCGAGCGTCTTGCCGCGGATCTCCCAGCACTTGGCGCTCACCTTGTTCCAGGTGCCGCGGTGCATTTCGAGGGAGCGATCGCCCAATTGCCGGGCCAACGTGATAATCTCGGCAATCACCAACTCAGCGACACTGCGCGAGTTGGCGAACGGCGAGTTGAAGACGGCGATACCATGCTTGGCCGCGTAGTCCAGGTCCACTTGGTTGGTACCAATGCAGAAGCAGCCGATCACCAGCAGATTCTTGGCCTCTTGCAGCACCTTCGCGGTAAGTTTTGTCTTGGAGCGGATGCCAATGACATGTACGTCCCTATTCTGAGTCAGCAGCCGCTATTTTATGGAATTATCCCAGTACACCCCCGTGGCCGACTTATAACAGGCAAAAATGAGATATTAGAATCCCAAGCCCACACTTCCGTCCAATTCGCAAGCAAATTCAAGCCTCAAATTCCCAATACAATAGCTTAGTTTTGAACCATGTGTAACAACTTCTCTGCACGGGGTTTTGGGGGTGGGTTCGTCCAGGGGTAAAAGATGCGGTGCAACTCCGAATACGGAGAAGCCCCGAAAAACAAAACCACCGAAGAAGAAACAAAGTAAAATCCACAAACATCCAAACTCACCTAATCTTCTCAATGAGCTGATCCTCCGGCAGCGAAGTCTTCAAAAACTCGACCTGATAGCCCTGCGCCGTCAAGATGTCCCGGCCAGTCTGGTTGACGTTCTCCAAGAGCAGGATCTTAATATCTTCGGTGTTGAAGGGCTTGAGTTGCTTGCCCGAGGGCGCACCAGTAGCACCCCCCGGAGTGGCCCGGTGTGGGAATGACGATCCCGTCAGGTAGCTACCGCTGGCGGGCGGCGAATGGAAGGCCATCGTGGGAGAATTGCTGAGGCTGTATGAAACCGAACTGTGGGCGTGGGCGCCTCGTGCGATGTCTCTTGGGCTTGTCATGGTAAAAAGAAGGAAAGAGGTCGGAAGTCGGACGCGGTGGATTTATTTTTTTGGGCTTAACCAGAATCCACTTGCAGGTATGGATGAGGCTAGGAGAAATCGTGGAGCTTTTAAAGGGCGCTGTGTAAGGTTGGCACTTGATGGATTGACACGAGCAAAAGAACCCCACGGTTCAGGTGGGATGTTATTTAACGTTATGGTGGGGCAGGAGGTTTTATAGCGGGGTTGACTCACTGCAGAAACGTAAAAGACTTTCATGACGAAATATCAGCCGCTGACGCTGACTCCTCGGTTCGGTCGAGACCCCCGGCAACAGCTTGCATTGGCCACGACGGTCGTTATGTGGTTCAAATTTTCCATTTTACCCGCTGCGGTGCTTTGGTTTGAGGATTGAAGACTCATTCTGTTGACTAACCTGGTTTCTTGGGGCCGTCAACCCCACTATGAGGTCGAGTCCATGCAGCTGAAATCTCCAAACAGGCCACTAAGACATGAAGGGGTGCGTGGGTAAAACCTTAAGGTCCAGCAACACCGAGAGAAGTAAAACAATTACCCGGTTTATCACCTTTCAATATTCTTCCTACATGACACCTAGGAGATTCGGGTATTTGTTTACCAGCACAGTCATCTTTGATCAATGACCGAAATGCCTCCTTCGTGCCATGTGGGAAATGTGGAAATGTGGGAAGACGCTCGACGGTCGGCGTCCTCGGGGAAAGAGCCTTGCCGATACCTCCGTGACTCCGAATCGGAACGCCACGCCGAACCACCGAACCCGGAGGTACCATTATTTTCACCCCCATTTTTCTGAATGGCCATGTCACAAGCACCAAAAAATTCAAGGAAAAGCATCACATCTGCAACGTACTAGTTTGAATCTTGCGACCTAACGTGTGACACCCACTGCTGTCTGTGTTCCCGAAATTCCCGTTCTGCAAAGCAAAAACATTTGGTCGGTTTCTTTTTTTTATACCGCCTTGCTCTGTGCCGCCACTGGGGAAAAGCACCTAGTGAGCCGCAAAAACCAATCCTCCAGCCACCCTTCCCCGAAAAAGAAAAGCAGTACGGAAAAAACTCCCAGAAAACACAGTGAACTTGGACGTGCTTGCAAGAGACGTTCCCCTCGTATTAGGACTTGGTGCCCCCCTAAGCTACATCTACAGCAACAAGGCATGCCGCCCGCACCTAAGCCGCGGAACGTATCTGAACGCCGTGTGTAAGGAGATGATTATGGAATGTGGGAGCCAACTGACGGGCCAACGGGCTTGGCATCCTTGTTAAGAACGCCGGCGGATTGTCATAGAGAGAGGTGGTCGCTTAGCTCTGCTTGCACTCAGTAGGCTCCTGCTTCGGCTTCGAGGAGCCATCGTCCTAGACGGTGTTAGCGCAAGCGTTTAGGCGACGAGGAGAAAAAGAACCATAAACGGTTCCCTAGGGAGCTTACCTCTTCCTCCTCAGACTCATCCTCGTCGTCTTGGTCCTCACTGGCATCCTCGTCCTCATCATCCTCATCATCAAACTCGCCCAAATCATCCTCGTCGATCTCTTCGTAAGCGAGGGCTTCGCCGGTGAACCAATCAATCGCACGAGGAATGAGCTTCTCCTTAATGTCCTCGCCGAGCTGGTAGTCGAGCTCCAGACGCTCCTCAATGTCGGAGGCAGCGTCGTCGTCCTCCTCCGAAGGGGCCTTAGGGGGCGAGAAGAAGTTAAAGAAGGACTCAGTGGGGACGGTCTTCTTAACAATGCGGGTCTGCTTGGTAGCTGTGATTTGTTTTGTTAGTTGAAAAAGAATGGTGTGAATGGTCGGCCAGATCTATGAGGAGTTCACTTACTCTTGTTGCGCTGCTTCTTCTGCTCAATGCGTACGGTCAAATCCTGGCCGCTCTTCCAGTCAATCTTGTCACCGTCGGCATGGTCGTAGATAAAGTCACCGCCATAACCGCTCTCGTTCTGGTAGTAGTAGGTCTTGGTAACGGTCTTGTTGGTGAAAAAGTTGTTCTCGTTGAACTCAAAGATGAGGCGGAAGCCGGGCTTGTCGAGGTATTCCATGCGAATGTCGATGAGCTCCTTGAGAGCCTCCTCGTCGCGGTCGGTAATCATCTCGGCGAGCGAGATGTGGTTCTTCATGGCGGACAGCCAAAACTCCGGAATACCCTGGATCTTGCCCTTCTCGGCAGACTCCTCCTCATCCTGGTCCTCCTCTTCCTCCTCCTCCTCGTCTTCCTTACCGGCCTTAATTTGGTCCTCGGTAGGCTCGCTCTTGCCATTCACGATACCGGAGCGCTGCTCATACAGAGGGGTGAACTTCTCAAAGTACTTCTTCTCGAGTTGAAGCACCTCCTCCTGGAACTCGGCCTCGAGCTTGGAGTGCTCCTTCTGGATGCCCTTCAGGCCCGAGACGCGAGCCTTGACTTCGGCGGGGAGGGTCTCAACATAGCCGGACGAGCGACCGATCAGGGAACCGAGGCGACCCTGGATAAGCGACACGAGGCGGGGGTCCTTGGCAAAGATGGAGGCGGCTGTGAGATCCTCTGTTTGCATGCAGTGGTGAGCGGGTGAAAATTAAAATCGGAATGCTGGGCTCCGTTGGGCAGCAGGGGGGCCGACGACGAGAGACATCAAATACTAACCCTCCTTGATGCTGTCGACGCCTGGCTGTTGGGCGTGCGACGAGATAGGGGCGGCGTTCGCCGGGGTGTTCTGAGGGGTACTGAACCGGACGCGTGTTAGTGAATCTTCCTATCGCGACCGTGACCGTTCCGTGCTGTGCGCGGGTGGCCGGCGTTTGGGGGCTTTTTCTTTATCGCGACGGGGAAAACATACGGGGCCGCGGGGTCGGGCCGCTTGTTCTTGATCGGCTCAGCCATGGCAATGATTGTTTGATTGACTGAGTGATGGGATGGTAGGTGGCCGGAAGATAGATTTGGATAATGTAGGAGCGGGTCGGGGATGGTGGAGGAGAAAAGAAAGTTGTCGGTTGACAAAAAACTTAAAAACCGGCCGAAGAAGGTCTGTGGCTTCCTTTCTGCTGGAGAAATGTTGAGGGAGGGGAAAAGCTGCACCGCTGGGGCATTCTTCTAAGAAAATTTGCGGGGCAGTGGCTTGTGTGGTGTGTGGGCGCGCTCAAGGCAACATGGGGGTCCCCCTCCTCGAACTTTTTCTCAACTTCGCCGCCTCAGGCGTTTGCTACATAACGTTACCAACATGCCCCAGTTACGTGCTTGAGAGCCATAAATTCAACAGATATTACATGGAGATGCATTACGGTGCAGACGATAGACTGCCAGTCTGTCACTTTCCCGTCTTTCCGTCTTCACGTCCCGCCTCCAATCCCCTTTCCCTCGGGTTTTACGTGGCTGTTGGGTGAGCGTTTGGGGCCTTTACCCCCAAACACCGCTGCTTGCTGCTTGACGTGGCACATTAGCTCAATTCACACGGCTCCCCGCCTCTAACGTCAATTCCCTGAAAGGGAAGCGCCTGGTAAAACGAGCCTTCACCGCTCAGTAACTTGCTTCCTTATGGTAAGGCGACATGTCATCGACTTTCGGCATCACCAACGGTGAAGGTTCCAGGGGCCCACGAATGTTCCTTGCCTCCCAACTGGTCCCACATGCCAGGGAGACAAGTTGTATCTTGGGCCTCGAACACTTGCTGTCCGTCCACTTTCAGAGACTTGGCAGAAAGACTGGTCCACTTCGGGCTTTACTCCAGCTGAAGTGCAGCAAGGGCCATTTGCAAACGGGCTTTGAGCCACTTGGGGAAACGAGCCAGCAAAAAAGCACGGCTAGGCCGGCTGCTTGGACCTTGGGCTTATCGTCCTCTTTTTTTTCTCTTTTCTTTTTTTTCGTTTGCAGTCAACTGCTAAAAACGCGTTTGGTGGGAATCGGATAGACTGCCAACACCTCTTTCAGAAGGTCATGGCACTAACGTGATATGCAGGCCCGGAGTATGAGGAATTCCCCCTTGTTCGCTATTTCTCGTCTTTAGGGAAAAGACAACCGAGGAACAAAACAAACACTTACATGCCCAAACAATGCGCACTGCGCCATGCTACCTGAGCGTTGCACGAGACGTAGAAGTCTTCTTGGTGTGACCTAGCCACACCCGTCTTCAGTCTCTTCGCTCATTCTTACAAATTATGGGTTCCTACCACTCGATTGGCCATCTGAACGTCAAGCACGTTGTCAACTAGATGTAATTATATTGTGCACTCCTTACGGACCAGCAGCCCAGGGCAACAGTTAGCGTGCAGTCTGTGTGGGTCTGTCACGTCGGAACACAGCCGGACGCGCACTGTAACGTGTGCTCTGCCCTTTTGATCGAATGAAGCACCCAGACTGACCTGAGTGACTTTCAATAACGTCGTCCTTCTGGCTTATACGACGTCGGCGCCCAAGCCGTCACGAACCGGGGGTATTTGAGATGAAATCAGCCGTCTCCCAGAAACCCGGGAATGCCAAGCAGATCCGGAACCAAGGAATCCACGATCCCCGCGATGCAACTACCGGGGTACATTTCTCGGCAGCGGGTGTGTCCACGCGACGTCACCTCGCTTTAGTTTCCTCCAACAACAAAAGTCGATTGTCAACTCCACGGACCCTCACATTTGCGCTGCGATCCACGCACCCCACACGCTGAAATTCGGGATTGGGGGGGCTAGGCGAGCAGGAGCATTGGAAGGCCTTGCTCTTCCTTTGCCTAGTGGTTATCAAATCAATTGTTGTTGCGAAACTGTCGACAATGCGCACAGGTTTCTGGATAAGGTTTCGGTACCATACGTCGGCTTCCTGAGGAGTTGGAAGCTGAGAAAACCGAGATGGATTCACGCGATGGTTCGGCGCGTGAGAGCGTCGATAGAGGGGCGCTGGGGGGAGGTGAGAATGGCAACGGCAGCGAGTTTTATCGGCATGGAGAGAACGAAAGTAGCGCGAGCATCTTTGAGGGGGTCGAGATGGCACACGAAGAGGTAAGACATACAGCAAACCTTAGACGGCCCTCTGCCACCTGACCTGCATATGCATTGTGCATCTTGGTGCTGTTACCTAACGTTACTCACAACTAAACGGGATGATAAATGTAGCTCTTTGCCGGTCCAGTCGCCGAGTCTCTCCCCACCAGTGTCTCTGCCTTTAGCCACCGCCGTTCCCGTGCCGATTCGACTGCCAGCTTCTCCTTCTACCAAGACGAGCAGGAGGAGCAGGACGAAGAAGAGGACCGTCACCGCGCGAGCCTCAGTGCATCGGTGTTCGCACCCAACGAAGGACGACCTTCGGTGGACGATCTCGACGAGCTACCGTTCGAAGACGATTTCGACCAAGAAGACCGGCTTCTCGAGGACCAGGACGACTCGACCGATATGGAGCGCAATTCCGCCTATGGAGATCATGTCTTTCTCCGCCGAACGTCGACACAGTCGAGGGGGTCCGTTAGGAGCCGGCTGCTGCTGCGGCACGACAGCAGTATCTCCGCGGGTAGCGGGTACGGGGCGAATCGACACAGCCAGAAAGTGTACATGGTGAACGAGGATCTATACATCGCCATCGCCGGTTTCCGGACGAGCCGCGTGGGCTTCGCGATATACATACTGTTGTGCCTCTTGACGGTTGGACTTGGGTGGCTTATTTTTCGCTGGCTCCCGCGATGGCATATCAAGCTAGTTGGCAGACCTTCACCTCTTCGTGACTGCGAATGGGTGGTGGTGGAAAACCAGTGGAACGAAATGGCGATATTGGATGTCTCGTCGCGGCCGTACGGGAGGTCGCTGTCAACGGTGTTTGGAGCTCCCGGGAAAATGTCGTCCTATCTCATGGATGAAGATCAAGACCCCATCCTGCGGGACCTGCGGATGCTGGATTACCGTTACGTCCGATTCTTTTTCAACCCAACAACCGACAAGTTTCAGATATCCACTGGATGGAAAGACCCGTTGTGGTCCAACGTCCGCGAGATCCGTTCCGGAATCGATAGCGAAGAGAAGACGCACCGGGATGTGGTCTTTGGAGAGAATCTCATTGATATCGAGCAAAAGTCGGTGTTCCGGCTGCTTGTGGATGAGGTATGTTTCTCACTTCGAACCGGAAGCTAGTTTGTTTACGAGCTCTAATCAAAGACAGGTTTTCCACCCCTTTTACGTTTTTCAAATTGCCAGTTTGATTCTTTGGTCGCTTGACCAATATTACTACTACGCCGTTGCCATATTTGTCATATCTGTCGGCAGTATCATAACCACGCTTATCGAGACGAGAGCTGTAAGTGACAACCTTCTAGTGACGCCTTGGAGTATGTGGCTAATCGGGATTGTGTGTATGCTAGACCATGAAACGGCTCCGTGAGATTTCCCGATTTGTTTGTGACGTTCGCGTTCTTCGAAATGGGTTCTGTATGTGGCCACACTTTCGGCTTTTGAAGTTGCCGGGTCTAAAGCTAACGGTCTCAAGGGCGGAATATCCCATCGAGTGACCTCGTGCCAGGCGATGTCTACGAAGTCAGCGATCCGAGCCTTGGCCAGTTTCCAGCAGACAGTCTGCTGCTCAGCGGCGACTGTATCGTCAATGAAAGCATGCTCACCGGCGAATCCGTTCCCGTCTCCAAAATTCCGGCCACAGACGAGAGCCTTCGACGGTTAGACCTAGCGGCGTCCACTATGCTGCCCGAGGTGGCAAAGAACTTCTTATTCTGCGGCACTAAGATCATCCGCGCCCGACGACCACAGGAAAATCAAGACGAAGAAGCCGTGGCGCTTGCTATGGTTGTAAGAACCGGCTTCAACACGACGAAAGGTGCCTTGGTCCGCTCCATGCTCTTTCCTAAGCCCTCAGGCTTTAAATTTTACCGAGACTCGTTCCGATACATCTCCGTCATGGCCTGTGTAGCACTTGTCGGATTTACCGCATCGCTAGTCAACTTTATTCGACTCGACCTGGAATGGCATTTGATTGTCATCCGTGCCTTGGATCTCATCACGATTGTGGTCCCACCGGCGCTCCCTGCGACCCTGACTATCGGAACCAGTTTTGCCTTGAGGAGGCTGAAGGCAAAACAAATCTTTTGTATCAGCCCGCAAAGAGTGAACGTAGGCGGCAAGCTGGACCTCATGTGCTTCGACAAGACGGGGACGTTGACTGAGGAAGGGCTAGACATCCTCGGTGTCCGCGTTGTGTCCCGGACTACGAACCGGTTTACCGGGCTCTTTACCCAACCCGATGACTTGATGTCAGGCCACAGGAGAGGAACCGGCGAGCTGGATGCGGACAACCAAGCACGAAACGCTGCGCTCTACACTATGGCAACTTGTCACTCGCTGCGGACGGTGGATGGCGAACCGGTTGGCGACCCGCTGGATCTCAAGATGTTTGAGTTCACTGGGTGGTCTTTTGAAGAGGGCAATCTGGACGGCGCCAATGCCAACGACGAAGAGCAAGGAAACCTCCGCCCTTCAGTTGCCCGACCGCCAGCAGACATCAAGCGAGAGGCCAACGGTACAGGGCAAACCTCGGAGCAATCGGTAAGGCGTCCATACCGCAACTTCGTGTCTCCTCGAAATTGGCTAATAGACTTTAGGTCCCGTTTGAGCTTGGTGTTCTGAAGTCCTTTGAGTTTGTCTCCCAGCTTCGCCGTGCGAGTGTTCTTGTTCGGACATTTGGCAGCCCAAGTGGGGATATCTACGTCAAAGGGGCGCCTGAGTGCATGCGAGAGATATGCCGACCAGAGACATGTAAGTTGCATTCTCGTATTCAAGGCGGCCATTGCTAATCCGGTTACGGATACTGACATATCTTTATAGTCCCTGCCGACTACGACGAGCTCCTTTCCTATTACACACACAAAGGATACCGCGTCATTGGCTGTGCCACGAAGCATATCAAAAAGCTGAGTTGGGTCAAGGCCCAGAAGCTGGAGCGAGAACAAATCGAGGCCGATCTCGACTTTGTCGGGTTCATCATTTTTGAAAACAAGTTGAAACCCACCACGGCGGCTGTTCTCAAAGAACTACTCGATTCGAATATTGGCACCGTCATGATTACAGGAGACAATATCCTGACCGCGGTCAGCGTGGCGAGGGAGTGCGGCATGATTAACAAAACCGCCCATTGCTTCATCCCCCGGTTTCTCATCGGCCATGCCAGGGATCCCAGCGCCAGCCTGCAGTGGGAAAGCATCGATAACCAAGCTTACCAGCTGGACCCGAACACGCTCCTCCCCTTACCGGTGCCACCATCCGAGGACGCATCCCTTCCCTACAACATCTCCGACCTGCGCAACTACTCCCTAGCCGTCAGCGGTGACGTCTTCCGCTGGGTCGTTGACTTTGCCCCGCCCGAGGTGATGCGCCGAATGCTCGTGACCGGCAAAGTATTCGCGCGCATGTCCCCCGACGAGAAGCATGAGCTGGTCGAGAAACTGCAGAGCATTGATTACTCGTGCGGCTTCTGCGGTGATGGCGCCAACGACTGCGGCGCGCTCAAGGCAGCCGATGTGGGCATCTCGCTCTCCGAGGCTGAGGCGTCCGTCGCGGCGCCGTTCACCTCGCGCGTCTTTGACATTCGCTGCGTCCCCGAGGTGATTCGTGAGGGTCGAGCCGCGCTGGTGACCAGCTTCAGCTGCTTCAAGTACATGAGTTTGTACTCGGCGATCCAGTTCACCTCGGTCAGCTTCCTGTACGCGTCGGCGTCCAACCTAGGGGATTTCCAGTTCCTGTTCATTGATCTGGCGCTCATCCTGCCCATCGCTGTCTTCATGAGCTGGGCGGGCCCGTTCCCGGAGCTGTGCCGGAAGAAGCCCACGGCAGATCTGGTCTCACGCAAGGTCCTGACGCCGCTGCTGGGCCAGATCTTGATCTGCATTGGCATCCAGGCCGCGGCGTTTTTGGCTGTCCGTCGGCAACCGTGGTTTATCCCGCCCGTCATCAACCACGATGAATCGAATATTGAGAACTCGGAGAACACGGCCTTGTTCTTGACATCTTGCTTCGAGTACATCCTCGCCGGTGTGGTCCTCAACGCTGGTCGGCCGTTTCGGTGGTCTGCGATACATAACTGTGCGTATCTCCGTTCTTGAGTAATTGTGTTGATGAATGGTTCCAACTAACATGAGCAACAGGGCCATTTGTCGCGACCATCACCGTCACCCTCTGCATTTCGCTGCTCATGGTCCTCTATCCCCCTGGCTGGCTGTACAAATTGATGCAATTCACCTATCTCAGCTGGGACTTCAAGATGGCCATCATTGGCCTTGGGGTTGTGTACTTCATACTCGCGTGGAGCGGGGAGCACTGGGTATTTCAACCGCTCGCACGGCTGTTTGGGAAGGCAAGGCAAACGCTGCTGAAACATACCAAGACGAGAAAGCAGTACAAGGTGATTCAAGAACGGATGTTAAGCCGTACTTAAATACCTAAGGTACCCCATAGGCATAAGCTTGAACCGTGGAGGGAAATTACAGGCAATAGAGAGTGGCCGCTTTTTCGAGAAGATATATAGTCTTATCTATACAAGTACTAGGAGAAAACAATAGTATTAATAAAGCGGTGGATTCAAGGACCATACTAGTATATGGACTGTTTTGGGTCTCGGATGACCTCGACTAGAGGAATTATAATGTGCTACCGATTCAAAATCTCTTCTATACTACTGTCCCTGATGCTTCCGTTCGTTTGGGTTTCAGCCTCCTTGTGGTAGTTTACTGCCCCGTTCATTTTATCTTCCTTTCGTTCGGTAAGAAACAGCCTCTCCAACCAGCTGGCCGGTCGGGGGTAGGGGTTTATGTGAACCTCGTTTCTGTTGTACGCTGAGCTGCAAGATTGGAGATCGGATCAGAAACGCCTACTAGAGAGACGATGTCTCCTAATATAACGGCCACATATACTGTGACAGAATTACTAATGATAATGCTGGTAATAGGGCACCGACTTTATCTAGGCAACCTAGCGTAACCTATATAAGTAGGGGCTCAACGTCGATTTTAATACGGTATACAGCGGGTCATACTAGCTGACTACAATCTCGTCCTCCATGATCGGGAGACGAAGGATCTGATAACGACGAAGTAAATAATGATAAACTTCACTTCGCAGTCTTTCACTTGAACAATATATCTAGTTCATTTTGATCCTAGCAGTGAACTGTTTTCCAATCTAATTTTCTTTGCCCCGGCCCCGGTTAATATACAAGAGAAGAAAAGAAGAGAGGGATTCCTGTCCTCTCGGGCCTTAAAGCCTAGATTTAACCTCCAACAGCTTATTCCTGACTACACTATCTTAAATTTACGCACTTTCCCACTCTTTGTTAGGGGTATCCTCTTGTGATACTATCCTCCCCAAGCCAAATACGTATGTCGGCGCTTTGTGTTTCCCCAGCTTCTTCGATACCCACTCCCTAACCTCCTCTTGCTCAGGACGATATGCCCGCTCATGGCCCCCCTCAAGATCCTAGAACGCGCCAACAACCAGCTTTTCACTGACTTTTGTCGTTCTAGGCGGGACAATCTGCCAGCCGGTACAAGTAGAGGTGAGCCTCGGTAGCCCGCCCTGGCTCGTACGACGTCGCGTAATGCCACAGGTTGGACGATACACGGATGGGCCCCTTGGCTAGCCCGAGGGTATGTCGGAAGAGTATTGTAGTACATTATCGACAGAGATGAGGCGGGTGCTTGGTCGTGCGGGCCCGGGTAGCAGTTCGTTAGGGTCCTCTTCCCCTAGATTGAGGGCGTTCGCGAGAGTCGGTTACCGAGTAAGTCGTTGTGGTTAGACAACGGTTTTAGAAAGGGGGCTCCTCAATTCAACCTACCAAAACCAATGGCCCTCGTTTCGAAGAAGCGATAGTGGACCGGGTTGTGAGGACAAAAATAGAGTCTGTTAAAGATGTTGGAGCTCGAAAATGCTGGTCGGTCTAGGTAGTTGCTAGCAATCAATTCATTTGACGCCAGTGTTTCGCCGGTTGATAGAATATAGACCAGCATCGGGAATTAGTTACCAGCCGCCGAATACATTGGATTTCAATTTTGCGCTTATGGTTCGGTTCTTACGGACTCAATGGGATGGTGCTGTAGATGTACTAAGAAGCGTTGAACACCGGCAGAGAACCCTAGCGAATTCCTTGGGAAGACGTTGGACTGTTCATTTCTTTTGGAATTTCCCTCCGACCCCGCCAATGGCCCGCTGTCCATCACCAGACAGACCTCTCATAGTCCCCCCAAGGACCAGGGCGTGCGATGAAGACTACCTCATGGTATAACCCAGCCCGGCCCGTCCTTGTGGGTGAATCCAAGAGCGCACTGCACCGCCAATATATGTACAATGCTTCATCCCCAGGCACTCAGCATGAGCTCGCTTTCAAAGACATTCGTCCTTCCTCCCAATTCCCCGCTCTGCCCACCTCGCCAACATCGTCTAGTGGTCCCAAGGATGCTTCCAGCCGAGGAGAACCGGCCCTGTAAAACCATGTTAGCTGTCATTCCCAGCGCCTTTCGCAGTACTGTATTTCGACAATTGAGTGACTTGTTGAGTAGCTAGGGAGCCATACCATCCTGCTTCGCCCGGTAGAAAATCTGAGCACACAAACAAGTCAGTTTCCAAATCCTAGTTCACGGCTTTTCCCCTTTCATTCCCTGAGTGTCAAACATACCCAGAACCACATCACTGCTCCCAGACCAGTCCCAAAGAAGCGGTAGATCCGAGGCACCGGCGGCCGGCCATTCATTTCTGGGCGCATGGTGTCTTGCGTTGTTTTGGGAGGGGGCAGCTGTTGTGCCTGGCTCGGTGTGTGGTGTGGGGATGGATGGAGAGTCGCAGGGCAGTCGAGTGCTGCCCTTTCGGAATTGGATTGGGGGAGGGGCTGCGTCTGGGTGAACGCAGGGGCCGGTCGGTTCGTTTGTCGTTGCGGTGGGCGTGAATGCGGGCAGAGTGGTTCGAGATTCTGAGATGGAGCTGCTTTGGCACAGCTGAGCCTGAGCTCTCTCAGGGTTAGGGTTTGTTCGCTCGGGCTGCTTAGGTCCGTGCACCCGGCCCAGTGGGCCTTGTCCAGCAAGGTTCAAATTGGGTGTGCCAAGCCCGGAATGCACCATGCCCGTCGCGTCAAGTCTTCTTTAATCGAACTCCCATCCTATTCAAAGGTTCCCATCTCCCAAGTTTTCTATTGTGTGCCGATGTCCGAGGGGGAACATAATAACACCTCGCCCTGCCATGGTACTCACACTTTTCCGTTAAGGTGCCGGAAGCCCCTCCCCCGTCTCCCAAACCAAAACACTTTTCATTCCTTCATCTCACCCAAGCGCTTCCCCTAAGTCGCGACCCTTTCAGTTCGTCAAGGAAACAGCGACAACCAATAAAGCATCATCCCTTGGCAACAATGAGCATCCTCGAGTCTAAGGAACTGGGCGCTGCGCCCTCCCCACGCAGTTTCGCAATAGCCCATCAACGGCCCAAGAACAGCTTCACAGGATGTTCTCGAATCACCGATTATGAGGTGTTGGGCAAGCTGGGGGAGGGTACTTTTGGGTGAGTACATAGAAATCAAATTTTTGCGGTTTGTTATCCCGACACTCCCAAAGTCATCGTGTTAACATCAATTGCCAGCGAGGTTCATCGCGCGAGGTCAAAGAAGACAAATGCCCTAGTTGCGCTGAAGAAGATCATCATGCACAATGAGAAGGATGGGGTGAGTTTGTGCCGGTCAACGCTCTTGTTGGGACTGATCTCTCTAACACGCCCCCTAGTTCCCTATTACGGCTCTCCGAGAAATCAAGCTTCTGAAGCTTTTGTCTCATGTCAACATCTTGCGCCTGGAGGATATGGCGGTTGAGCACCCAACCCGGAGCAGCAAGTCCACCAAGCACACCAAGCTGTGACTATGAGCTTTCGCTAACCTTCATTCCAGCCGACAAGCGCAAGAAGCCTATTATGTATATGGTCACACCCTACATGGACCACGACCTGTCTGGCCTTCTCGACAACCCCTCAGTGCACTTTACGGAGCCTCAGATCAAGTGCTACATGCTGCAGCTTCTCGAAGGTCTCAAGTATCTCCATGAAAATCACATTCTGCATCGAGATATGAAGGCGGCCAACCTTTTGATCAACAACAAGGGTATCCTCCAGATTGCCGATTTTGGTCTCGCGAGGCATTATGACGGAGAAGTCCCGAAGCCGGGCCGGGGCGGTGGCGAGGGACGACGTGACTATACTAGCCTGGTGGTAACTCGTTGGTACCGGCCTCCCGAGCTGCTCATGCACCTGAAACGCTACACCACAGCCATTGATATGTGGGGCGTTGGGTATGTATTGCCCCCTGTATTCTGCCCATGAATTCTTGGCTAACTTTTGTAGGTGTGTATTTGGCGAGATGCTTGTTGGCAAACCGATCCTAGCTGGAGAGAGCGATGGCCACCAACTCGAGATCATCTTTGAGCTCTGTGGCACCCCGACAGACGAAAACATGCCGGGATGGCGGTCTCTCCCCAACGCAGAAGCCCTACAGCCTCACCCACGGCAAGGAAACCTTGCCCAGCGATTCCGAGAATACGGCTCCGCCGCCGTCTCACTCCTCCGAGAACTCCTCAAACTCGACTGGCGCAGCCGCACCAATGCGCACGATGCCCTTCAACACCCTTACTTCCGCACAGCCCCCCACCCCGCCAAACCCCACGAGCTCCCTTCCTTCGAGGAAAGCCACGAGCTCGACCGACGCAAGTTCCACGACCGACGTGCCGCGCTGCCACCAGCCCCCAAGGGCGGAACTGTCGGCCGCGGCCCCCACGACGGGCCCAACAACGCCTCCTCCTTCAGCGGCGATGGCTTCCGCAACGGCGTCAACAGCGGCCGATACCCGCGCAACAGTCGCGGCCCAGAAGAACGTGTCCCCGCGTGGCATCGCGACCGCGGCTTGCCGCCTCGCCCACCTCCCCCCGCTGGCAGCGGAGGCCCCGGAACTGGAGGAGGCGGAGGAGGAGGAGCCGGTGGTGGTGGGGGGGGCCGGAACGACGTCGACACCTACATCCCCAGCTACGACCGAGACGCACCACGGCGGGATGACAGACGGAGACGCGACGATCGAGACGACAGACGACACGATCAGCGGGACCGGAGACGGGACTACGATGACAGAGACCGCGATCGGGATCGAGACCGGGAGAGGGTACGGAATAGCCGGACGATTAGTAGAAGCCGGTCACCGATGCCTCGCGACCGGGACCGCGACCGAGACAGGGACCGCGAGAGGGATCGTGATCGGGATAGGGATAGAGACAGAGAGAGGGATAGGGACCGTGAGAGAGATCGGGACAGAGATCGTGACTTGTACCGGAGGTAGGACCGCGGTAGGAGAGTGGCTCGGGTGTCCGGTTAATGGGGTTGGTTTGATGGACGGATGGGGGCCTGGCATGTCATATCTACTTAATACCTGGGATCATGGACTGGTGGGAAAGAAGCCCATCCTGATCACTGTCAAGCGGGGCCGCTCTGAGCCCGTACTTTGGCGGGCTAAGCAAGCGGGTGGGCTAAATTCAGCGTGTACCATCATGATTATGATTTTGCTGACAGCGTAAGGCTAACTGCCTGTTGTTTGTCTCTGTCGTGACCTGTCTCTCTTTAGGATGCGTCACGATCGTCACTTGTTTTGAAGGTTTCCAACAATTTAGCATCACATGTATACTTGAACGTGTAGTAATTCCTTATTTCACAGGTAATATTGATTAAGAGCTCTCCCCTTCAGGCGATGACGCCACCCTGCTCTAGTCCCGGACGTATAAGACGATAAAATAATAGCAAAGCAAGCGAGTCCATAAAACTCCAAACAAGCACCAGGTTTGACAAATAACTCCGTGCATCCCATCCACTAGGTCACCGGGCTCTAGTCGGATGATTCCTCATGGATGGTATCTGCCACGCGTACTCCCGCAGGCAGTGTTCGCCGCGAGCTCTTAGCTAGCGACGACGACGATGATGGTGACAGCGGTGGCAAGGCGCCCACATATGTGGAAGGATACCGTGCGTTGGTGCGGGAAGACGATGGGGTGGCGGTGGTGGTGGCTGCGGACGATTTGTCCCGCCGGTAGTCACGAAGGTCATCGGATGATGACGAGGACCAGTAGATCGCCGAGTCTGGGTGGAGGTCTTTGGCTTTTTCTTTGCCCTTGCTGCTGCTCTTCAAGTCTCTTCTAGTGGTGGTGGTGCCGTGGTGATCCGGGTGTTGATGATGGCGCGTAGGTTGCCGGTTTCGTGTGGGTCTGCGTTGACGTGGTGGTCTAAGAAAGGGGACCCAGGTGCGGAGCAGGTGAACGAGGAATCTGGTTAGGAAGGCGATGGCTGTTCCAGCGACTAGGCCGATTATGACAGCGAGGCTGAACTAATTAAGCGTGTTAGACGACAGGTACAGAAGGGCAGAATATGGCCCAAAACACGAGGACCGGATCAACCAATGTTCACATACATATTGAAAAACCGGCTAGTCAAGGGTGTTAGTATAATCGAAGAAAAAGAATGGGAAAGACGCCAAACTTACTTGGAACTCCTCATACATTTCGTTCATCACTCCCCACGTCCAGCGGGCCAGGCGCAATGGAATAAGCAACGGCGAGATCAAAATCCCCACTATTATACTTATCAAGGAGAAAATCGACAGGTAAAAGAAGCTCACGACCCCAAACACGACGTTCAAAACCCAAAGTATTGGACCAAACATGACTCTCAACACAGGTGTTAGGGTCCCCAAAGCTTTACCAAGGAAATGCGCAACGCCTCTCAAGTCTACACGCATCCACAAGAAGTAGAGGATGCCGTACAAGACGCCGAGAACCACACCAATTCCCCATAACAAGTCGAGTACCGGTTCTACGTCGTGTTTGAGGCCGAGTGGTATAACGGCGGTACAAGTGTCTGCAATGTCTGCTTCCTTCTGGCTTCGACTCGCTAGATAAAAGCCACCCGTCAAGTATGCGACCGAAGTCGGTTCCAGAGCTGGGCAGGTGCTCATAGCTCCTCACCCAGCGCGAATGAAGCGGACGGTTAGGCGTGGTCGTGATGCCGAGTTTTCCAATTGGAGGATGGGATGGACGTATCGTTGGCATTCATGGACTGTAACTCTCGAGGCGCGAATCTCATGGTTTCGACTTTTGTGATCGGGTCGCAAATTAAATGGGAGGCGAATGCGGTCTACCTGTTCGACTAGGAACCGTTCATGTAAACCTTGCCATCTCAGATGGCGCCTTCCAAGGGCAACAGATATTTGTCAGTGGACAAGGTGGGTTGGGAGAAAGCGCGAGTGAGCAGCACATGTCACGAAAGAAGCCAAGAGCTGTGACGTCTGACGTCGTTGCATGAAGGGATCAGTATTACACCCCGATACAACGATAGCCTAAACACTTGCCCATGATGGTAATGTAACGAATGTAATCTTTTAGGTTTTCAGCCCATTTTAAGGAAAGGTTGACTTTCATGTCAACAACTCTTTCAAAGTGAATTTTCGTAGCTGTCACGAAGCAAGCCTGATAACCTCTCCGCCTACTAATATTGCGGTCTCACTGGGTTTTTTTTAGCCTACATGTAGGATTGCCCGAGGATTTCACCCTCCCTCGATTCTTCAACAACTCGTGGTGTTTAATCTTTTTCGGCTGTTACAACCTTTAACCCCCCCCCCACCAAGACCATACCGATTGAAGGACTAAGGCAAAGTCTACCTCACTATCAATCACACATCCCCTTACAATCGGCAACTCTTCCAGTCAGACAACATGTCCACAGAAATGGACCTCGACCCCCCAAACCCAACAACCAACCCGGAACCCCCCTCCTCAACACCAACCGCCACATCACGAACTCGCATCCTCACCACCACCACTCTCCGACACCCCCCTTGGTCCTACATCCACCTCACAGTCACCAAACCGCCATCACCACCACCCCCAGAACAGTCACAATCACAACCCCAGGAACAACAACCTCTCGACGCCCTCCAACTCCGTGCCTACCTAACCGCCGCTCTCCGGCAATTCCTAGGTGACACGGGCGCCGCCATTCCCGTGGATATTCTAGCCGTTGGGAATGATACCGACAACGACCATGGCCCAACAAGGCGAAAGGCAGGAGGAGGAGGAGGGGAAGCGTGGGTACGAGTACCGCGGGAGGATTTGGCACGGTTCGTGGCGGGGGTTACGGCGTTTTCGGGGGTAGGAGCGGGAGCAGGAGGAGGGGAGAGGATGGTTTTGGGGGTGAAGGCATGTGGGGATTGGTTGGGGAGTTTGGTGGGTAGGGATGGGGAGGAGGGGGTATGGGCGGATTGAGTGAGGGTTTGGGCGATCAAGGTTGCTTGGCTGGTTAGTTCGAGTGGTTGTTGAAGAGGGCACCTGGGAGAAATGATGATCTTGAGAGCGAGATTGGAGTTATTTGTTTGCTTGGTTTTATATCTGGCTAACTGGCCAGTCAAATGGCTGGCTGGCTGGTCTCTAGATATGACCTATCCGTCTGTTGACGGCAACATGAACCCAACCGGCAGCTTGCTGCTTGTTTGCGGCTGCCCGCGCCTCTGGTCTTACAAAGCATAGTGTAATGCAACAGCGGGTAGTCCTTCGAGAGCCTTCTACAAACTCGAGTTTCGGCAGACCCGACCCTTGCCCCCCGAAAAGTCGGGCGTCGCCTGGGAATCACTTAAAATCCACGGCCATAAGCATCGTTATGGCTAACACCAGCATCAACATGATTATATCCCGCGGAACCACATATGTTTGACAACCTGTAAATGTTCCGCGGATATCTTCGATTTCTCATCAAACCACCAGTCCCGTTTACATCAGCGACGACATCACCGAGTTTTGGGCGTATGCCTAGCGATTGCTGTTAGCTCCTGAATCGCTCCTATTTTTGCTCTCGCTGCACTTACCATGGGCCGGATGTTAGGATGTGGGACGGCGTCGAACTGGCAGAACTTGAGCTTGTAGTCCGAGCCAACGTTGATGTATGCGCCTCTGTTCTCTGTCATATCGCAGTACTTGGGAGCCGAGAAGACTAGAACCGGTGGCATCAGTATTTAGTTCGCAGCCTATAACAAGCACAACGCTGAACCAACACATACCTGTAATGCACTTCCCATCATGCTCCTCTTCGTACCCAGCCATGCGGACCTCGTGCGAGCGAATGACAGCCTCCAGCCCGTTCCGCTCACAGAAGCGCTTGGTAACATCCGGACCGAACTGCATGCCAACGCCGCGCTTGCTGGGCCCGCGGCCGGGCTCCGTCTGTGGGTCGGCCCACAGCATCTCCATCATGAGACCGGCCTGGCCGGGCTGGCGCTGCTTGTGCCGGTCTAGCGCACGAATGTCGTCCAACGTTACTTTGTCATCTGAGAACAGGCCGCCGTGCAGCACGAAGAATTTCCCGCCGATTAGGGTCGCGAGGGGCAAGGCTGAGAAGCTTTCGGAGAAAAGCTTGAAGACACTGGGAAATTGTTAGAGTTTTTGATGTTTAGCCTAGGCTGGTGCGGTCTAGGTCACTTACCGCTCGTTGTACTTGGCCTTGCACTCGCCCTCGAACCCGTAGACGCGGTTCATGTCGTCTGTTTCGTGGTTGCCGCGGTTGATGAAGAAGGACTTGGGCCGCAGCCACTTGTTAGCGTAGAGAAGCAGCGCAATCTCGGTCGACCAAGAACCTCGGTCGACGAAGTCGCCGTTGAAGAGGTACCAGTGCTTGTCACCCGGTGTACCGTTTAACCTAAACAGCTCCATTAGATCGAAGTATTGCCCTGCCGCGTGTTGTGTCAGCCTTTTGAATTTCTTTCCACCATATAACCACCCCCTTAGTTTCGGAGACCCACCGTGAGTATCACCGCAGACCGTCAACTGGACGTCCTCAGGGACCTCAACCTCGACCATGGTTGGCTCCTCGTACACCAGCTTCTTGACAGCCAGGATGATCTGGTACACATATTTCTTATGTAATAACTTGCCGTTCTTGAAGCGCTCGGTCATGTCGTCGATAAACTCTTGCGTGATGCCCTTCTCATCTAACCGCAGCCCATCGTACGCAGGCTCTACGGCAATCGAGTCCACATCGAGTCCCTCGGCAGCTGATGGCTCATCTCCAACCTCGATGGCGGCGAAGAAGGCGAGCTGTCGCACGATCTTTTCGCACTCGACCAGCTTGAGCTTGGCATCCTTGTTGCCTGGGTCGATCTTGACGCACGACTTGAAGTCCTTCACAGCTTCTTTTGGCTTAAGAATCGCGGCGTATGCTGTCGCTCGTCGGTAGTAGGCCTATATTATCAGAATTCGGGATCGGGACTGTCAGCGTTGCGGGCGAAAACGGGGAATAACTCGGGATTGGTGGGGGAGCTCCGGCGCGCTCGCGGGCGAGGGCCCGAGACGAAAGGCATGGCGCACCTTGACAAAACTTGGCTTGAGCTCGATAGCTTTCGACGCATCGCGGATCGCAAAGCCGTAGGCTTCCGTCTTCAAGTAGGCCTATTGCGAATGGGTAATTCCATGATCAGTCACGCGACCAGGGATGAAGAGCCGTTGGAGGGGTAAATGCGCACTTGGGCTCGGTTGGACCAAAATGCTGGGTCCTTGTCGTTTAGCTCGATGGCCTTGCTGTAAAAGTCGATCGCAGTTGGCCAGTCGTGGGCCGAAAACGCCTTGTTGCCCTTGTTTTTGAGTTCTGTTGCCTGTTCCTCGGGAGTCGCCATGGTGATGATCTTGTTCTTGGGATCTGCAGCTGCTCGCTACCTTGCGTGGGGGAATGACATACGGGATTGTGAGACAAAGAACGAAGAAGAAGGGAGAGAAAAAAAGCTTGGGGTGGGCTCGGCGGCCTACTGGGATTATATGCAGTTTAAGGATACCAGTATAGATGCGGGTCAAGCGTGAAGGATTTCTACTTGTGTGATCGTGGGAAAACGCAACCAAATTCTTGGAGGCGAGGTTCGCTCAAGGCTCCGGTCGAGTTCTGCAGCGGCCTTGGGGGCCCAGACCTTGGGCTCGGCCACCCATTGATTGAGCATGGATTCACCATCTTGAATCCTGATAAAGGCATATGTGATGCATGCTTGTACCCGTGCGAGTGTGAACAGAAGGGATCTTGGAAATCGTCACCGCGCGTAACGCACGGATTCGCGTGTATTTTTCGCAGATGAGATTCTTTTGGGCATAAGACTAGAAATATGTTTGTCACAGAGGATTTTTTGACTGTGAGCCCGCGCACTACGCAATAATATAACCAATAGGACATGGTCATCTTGATTGGTTAAAGGGTTGCGTCCTATGTTTAACCGACAGAGGTATTGGGGTGAAAGACAAGATGGTCGGCCTGAGGCTCGCAAATTAAAAAGACGTAGGGGAAGGTGTCGCAGGAAATAGGATATGCATGAGGGATGCTAGGCAAACCAGCCTTGCCCAAAGCTCCAAAAGATGAAAAAGTTGATTATCCAACACCATGCTGCATACAAAAAGAAGAAAGCCTCTATCGGGTTCGACTACTTTCTGTGTCGTCGTCGCTGTCGTCCATAAACCCTTCTTCGAGACTGCCGAGGAGTTAGCTTTCACGGACACACAGCAACGGCAACCTATAATACGGGGACCAACTCTCTGCTAAGCCTTCTTTGATTATCGATGGGTATGCCCCTTTCTCGATCCAACACTCTTCTTGAAAGAGGCTCATCCACATCTCCGAGCTCTTCTCCTTCTTCTGAATCAAAAGAGCCTCGCTCAGCTACCGCAATACGGTCTGCGACTCGCGCTCGCCATGCTGACGGCGCTAGGAAGCGAATTAATGCTTCTTGTATCCTGGATCGGAGCGATAGCGTTTGGTTTGATATCGTCTCGAGGGGAAGGTATTGGCTATATCGATTGCGGTAGCGTTGCCAGAGCGGGTAGAGGACGAAGGTCGTTGTGAGGAAGAGTATGAGGGAGATGACTGCAGGGACGATCAAGGTCTGTGAATGGTGGCTGTTAGCGGGACGCTTCAGAGCAACGCTTGGCTCGCGCGATAGGCGGCAATGTACCTTGATGACCGAGAACGTTGACCCCATTTTGTCCGACCCGGTGCCCCACGCCGGCGGGTTTAATGGCGATGAAATTGGCCCTTCTTGACAGGTGTTTGTTGGTGTTGTCCCGTGTCGTATGCGAAACACACCCAAAGCGACAACCTAACTCCTCACCCGGGCGCTGACACGGCCCAGTCGTCGTTGTTATACCTGGGCATCTGCGCCACCGGTGACCGCGATAGTAGATACTAGAGGCCAGCACACCGGGAAGGGTGTTGACGATGGGGGTCGGATGTAGTGTCCACAGACCGGGAAGCTTGCGCATGCATGCAGGTGGGATGCATGGGCGCAGGCGAATGAGCAACGCGTGGCAGCTCTTGAAGATATGCAATTGTCGGGAAGCTGAGCTTGGCGCTGTGTGTCATCTTGGCATCCCGCATTCCCGGTGGATCCTCCCGTCTTTTGTGCACTCCCATGTCTTCAATATCGAATTTCTCCAGGGCTTCGAAACAACTTCACAGATGGAGTACATCGGAACAGAGTTCGTCAAGCACCAACTCTAGTCACTCTTTTCTCTAACCCACGTTCCTGCGCACACCGTGGCAGCATCAGTAACGAAAACCTTTCCCGAATACGTGATCTTCCAGCTTCAAGAATATCAGGGCGATTTCCCCATTCGGTAAGACGAACGGCAAGAAGAGAGCTGAGCACCTGGAGTCTCAGTTCATTGGGAAGCCGGCCGAAATGGACCGAAAGAATAACTCCATTGGAGAACATCGAGTGGTTGGCCGAGGAGCCACCTTGAAATTGCCAAGACGACAGGGGCTTCTTCACGTGCTTCAAGAACGTTCTTAACTTTTTTTTTGCCCACCGTTGCCAGTGTTACCGCGTACGAGCACGGCCCTTGGTTGTCGTAAGAGAAAGATCGCGAAAACCAGCCATGTGGTACACTAGTGTAGAACACGAACTGTCAAATGGCAGAAAATTGTTTCAAGAAGCATCCTGTCAGGCGTTGCTCGGACCTAATGGCTGCGGGGTTGAAGGCGTGGGATGGATCATGGGGGGCGGACGCACAGGCCATACGGCACGGTCCCTGTCTCCTGTCCACTGTCTGCGAGCAACCCAGGGGTCGATCCGAGCTAGGCCTGTTTCAGCCCGCGGACCCCCTTTGCGAACCTCCCACCTTCCCGTCTCTCTGTCGGCGTGTTCCAGTGTCGAGTTGTGTGCGGCCCTGGACGCCCGCTTATCGATTCTGCAATTGTGGCCGCACCTTGCCCGCAGGGAGTCTCCCACTGCAGGATCGCCCTCATAATTCCGTCCTTGACGACGACGACAACAACCACCTAACTACCCAACTCCCAACCACCACGCTAGCCCGAACGCTGGCCCATCGAGCTGTTTGTTTGCGACAGTGGAAAGATTCGGCCCGGTCCTTTCGGTCCCCGAAAACCCTCGTTCCACAGCGCAAACCGCGCTGTCCTTGCGAGTGACAACGCCGCAGGGGCCAAGCCCGCGCTGCTGTGGCAGGAATCGCAGTTGGTCCCCGTCCCTGTTTCCATCCCCCGTTAACTCCATTCCTTTGGCTCGAACGCCCCCCGGCCCGAGAACGCGATCGAAGGCGGCGCTGCTTGTCCAGTTCAACCGGCCAACATCCGTCGCCGATCCCGTTGTTACAGAGAGGCCGGAATCCGCAGTCTGGACGTCCGTCACAGTCTGGGTTGTGTCTCGGCCTCGCCCTAGCGGTTGTCACTATTAAACGTGATCTTCATGCTAATTATTCTGGAATTCATGCGCAGAAGCACGACACGCTACGAAGTACATACATACGCACCACACATTTCCCCCCCGGTGCTGTGACGAGACGCTTCCAGACCCCGGCCGCAACCCCGGGAGATGATGCGATGCGCCTGGAGTTTGAGACACAGAGTCCATTGACGACAAATTCCGCACCACCCGAGCCACGACCACGACCACCACACACCTGACGACCCGGCCCCGGCCGCCTCCTACGCATTGATTGACGGTCGTCGACGCAATACACGGCTGTTTTCGAGAAACCAAACATTTGGCGGCTCGCTGCCCGCCCGCCCCACAAAGAAGCGACCGTTTCACGGGCTCCCGCCACGGCAGCACCGGCGCAATGTCGTCCTACGACAAGTCACGGGCCTCCTCCGGCGGGAAGGCCTCGTCCTTCTTCCACCGGTCCCGGAACAAGGTCGACAAACGGAACACCACGGCCGATGAAGGCCGTCATCTCGCCGTCGACTTCGACTCGAGTTCCATGAACTCACGTCACTCACGCCACAAGCGAGACTCGTCTGTGATATCCCTAGATCGCCCCGGCTCGTCTGGGTCCGGCATCAACATGACCGCCGGAATCATGACCACAATTCCATACGACTCGCTCGGTACGGACCGGCTCTCGCCGATTCCACCCGAGCACCATGCCGGGATGGCCGATCAAATGTCTACACGAAGAGATCCGCTCCCCCACCAGCTGAACAAGGCAACAAGCGATTTCCACCAGTATCCTACCTTTGATCCGTCGACAGTGCGTCCCACGAGCCCGTACCCGTCCGGACCGCGCCCCGCGCCCAGCGCACCCAGAGAATCCAACGTTACGATGGCATCTACGGGCCGTCAGGCCCAGTATCAACAATGGGGGCCTCCGAGGGACAGTGGCATAGCAGGGTCCTATAATTCCCGGTACAACTCGTACACCACATCCGGAGGACGCAGTTCATCCGATACAGCAAGCATCATGTCAGGTAATACAGTATCCTACCTCGGCCAGGTTGCAGATCATCCCCGCTCATCCAGAACAGCACTCCCTAGTGTTTCGTCCCAGTCATCCTACCTGTCGCCCCATTCGCCTCGTGAGAACAACCGGCTCACCAAGTTCCCGTCTGGCGTGGGGACGAGCGATGGGTTCTATTTCCCGAAGCCAGACGATGACAACGTGATCCATGATATGTTTGTGGAACTCATGCAAAAGCGCGGGTGGCACAACTTACCGGACCAGGCGAGGCGCCAGATGGATGCGTACCCCCCGGCCAAGAAGTGGACGCTTATCTATCAAGACCGACTCACCGAGTGGCAGGGAGAACAGAAGCGCCGGCAGACCGCGAGGATCGGCCAGTTCAGCAATGTCGACCTCACGCAACTGCCGGACGAGGAGGGCAGCCCGGAGTGGTACGTCCGCAAGGTGATGGAGAACTCGCTCGACACCAAGGGGTTCGGCAGCTTGGAGGTCAACCTACGGACGCAACAGATCGGCTGGGTACGGCGGTTCATCGAGTGCCAGGGCCAGGTCGCCCTGACCAACGTGCTCATGAAGATCAACCGCAAGTCCACGACGGGACCGACGATGGATGCGGTCAAGGGCGACAAGCACCTGGACCGGGAGTACGACATCGCCAAGTGCCTCAAGGCGTTGATGAACAACAAGTTTGGCGCAGACGATGCGCTCGCTCACCAGCAGGTCCTCGTGGCGCTCGCGACATCCCTCATCTCGCCGAGGCTCACGACGAGGAAGCTGGTCAGCGAAGTCCTGACGTTCCTCTCGCACTGGTCGGACGGACATGGCCACCTCAAGGTCATCGAGGCCATGGACGTTGCCAAGAACCAGCAGGGGGAGAACGGGCGGTTCGACGCATGGATGCGGCTCGTGGAGGTCACGATCGATGGACGGGGCAAGATGGGCAGTCTGGTGGGCGCCAGCGAGGAAGTGCGCAGCGGAGGCATCGGCATGGAGAACCTGCTGATGGAGTACGTGGTGGCGACGCTCATCTTGATCAACATGATGATCGATGCGGCCGAGAAGGACCTCCAGCTGCGGGTGCACATCCGGGCGCAGTTCACGGCGTGTGGCATCAAGCGGATGTTGCACAAGATGGAGGCGTTCCAGTACGAGTTGATCGACAAGCAGATCGAGCGGTTCCGGACGAACGAGGCGATCGACTACGAGGACATGCTGGAGAAGGAGAACAGCAGCATCAAGGACAGCGTGGAGGGCGAGGTTAGGGACCTCAACGACCCGGTCCAGATCGTGGACGCGATCCAGCAACGGTTGAAGGGCACCAAGACGCAAGACTACTTCATCTCGGCGCTGCAGCACCTGCTGCTGATCCGAGAGAACGACAGTGAGGAGCGGCTGCGCATGTTCCAGCTCGTCGATTCGATGCTCAGCTACGTGGCCATGGACCGGCGGCTGCCGGACATGGACCTTAAGCAAAGCCTCAACTTCACCGTGCAGAGCCTGCTCGACAAGCTGCACACCGACTCGGAGGCGCGGCAGGCCTTTGACGAGGCCACGGAGACGCGGCGGTTCGCCGAGGCGGCCATGGCGGAACGGGACGAGCTGCGGGATAAGCTGGCTCTGGGCGCAGATGGACTGGTCGCCAAGCTCCAGAAGCAGATCGACGAGCAGGCGAGGTTCATTGACGCGCAGAGGAGACAGGCCGAAGGGTTGAAGTCGGAACTAGAGAACCTGCAGACGCTCCGGGCCAAGGAAGCGCAACGGTACGAGCTCGAGACCCGTGAGCTGTACCTCATGCTCCGCGATGCGCAGGACGTGGCCGCGTCGAATGCCGCAAAGGGGACGTCGAAACTCGGCGACGAGGAGTCGTCCCGCATGCAGGGGATCCTCGACCGGGACCGGCTCATGGAGCGCCTGCAGATGCAGCTGGAGCGGCAGAAGACGGTGTACAAGCTGGAGGGCAAGGTCTGGGGCGATGCCGTGGGGCCCTCGGACAAGCTGCGGGCGCTGCGCGAGGAGATGGACGGGTATGGGGATTCCGGCACTGGGGTGGCGCCGAGAGACTTCACCAACAGCATGCTCGGGAGTGTCAAGCGGTCGACGCGCATCCCCAGGAAGCCCGTCAGCACGCGCGGCGGGCCGATCGAAGGGGTACTGGAAGAGCCCGAGGCCGAGGACGCTGCCGAGGAAGAAGACGAGGAGGGTGTGGTGTACGAGACACCGCGGCTCATCGAACTCAAGCGGCCCGTCGTTGATCCCAAGAAGGCGGCTGCCGGCATGTTCGACGAGTTGCAGGACAAGGTCAAGAAATTCGATGGGAGCGACTCCGAGGATGGTGATGGTGTTACGACTGGGCCATCGCACCCGAGCTTGGAATCGCAGTCGCCTCTTACGCCCAGCGACAACGAGCCCCCCAAGATCGAAGTCACCGACACGACGGCGCGGCCGGTACCTCCACCACTTACCGGGGGACCTCCCCCGCCTCCACCACCACCTCTGCCGGGTCAGCTGCCCGGTGCACCTCCTCCGGCGCCTGGGTTTACCGGACCGCCTCCTCCACCTCCACCTCCTTTACCTGGCACGATTCCCGGAGCACCACCCCCTATGGGAGCTGGCCCTCCACCTCCTCCCCCTCCTCCGCCACCACCAATGCCCGGGAGACTCCCCGGCGGACCACCACCTCCTCCACCACCTCCTCCTCTCCCCGGGACCAAGGGCATGCCCCCACCACCTCCGCCGCCGATGCCCGGGCCGGGCGCCATGTCGGGCCACTACCTGTCGCGGCAGGACCACCTCACGCCGGCGCCCTCGCTCGGGTTGTCGGTTGTGCGGCCTAAGAAGAAGCTCAAGGCACTGCACTGGGAGAAGGTGGATTCGCCGCTGACGACGCATTGGGCGGCACATACGCCGTCGGCGGAGGAACGGGAGGAGAAGTACATGGAGCTTAGTCGGAAGGGGATTTTGGATGAGGTGGAGAAGTTGTTTATGGCGAAGGAGATTAAGTTGATTGGGCAGGGGGCGGCGAAGAAGGATGATAAGAAGCAGATTATTTCGAATGATTTGCGGAAAGCATACGGTGGGTTTTTTCTTTTCTTTCCTTTTTTGTTCTCTTTTTTTTCGGTTTCTTCTCGAAACGGGCCCATTAGCGACATGGGCCTCGGGATAAGATGAAAAGGTGCTAACTGGGTGTAGAAATCGCATTCGCCAAGTTCTCGCAGTTCTCGGTGGAGAGGGTGGTGCAGATGATCATCCACTGCGACAGCGAAGTGCTGGACAACCAGGTAGTCATGGACTTCCTGCAAAAAGACGACCTGTGCAACATCCCCGACAACACATCGAAGCAGTTAGCGCCGTATAGCAAGGACTGGACGGGCCCAGAGGCAAACAAGGAGAACCGCGAGCAGGACCCGGCGGAACTCACGCGGCAGGACCAGATCTTCTTGCAGACGGCGTTCGAGCTACACCACTACTGGAAGAGCCGGATGCGCGCCCTGTCACTGACACGCAGCTACGAGCCCGAGTACGACGAGATCACGGAGAAGATGCGGCAGGTCGTGACGGTGTCGGAGTCGCTGCGGGACTCGGTGTCGCTGATGAACGTGCTGGGGCTGATTCTGGATATCGGCAACTACATGAACGACGCGAACAAGCAGGCGCGCGGGTTCAAGCTGTCGTCGCTGGCGCGGCTGGCCATGGTCAAGGACGACAAGAACCAGTCGACGCTGGCGGACTTGGTCGAGCGCATCGTACGCAACCAGTACCCGGAGTGGGAGAACTTTACGGACGACATCTCTGGAGTCCTCACGGCGCAAAAGATCAACATCGAGCAGCTGCAGGCGGACGCGAAAAAGTACATCGAAAACATCACCAACGTGCAGAGGGCGCTCGACGCCGGCAGCCTGTCGGACCCCAAGAGGTTCCACCCGCAGGACCGCGTAGCACAAATCGTCGGCCGCTGCATGAAGGACGCCCGCCGCAAGGCCGAGCAGATGCAGGTGTACCTAGAGGAGATGGTCCGCACCTACAACGACATCATGACCTTCTACGGCGAAGACCCAGCCGACGAGAACGCGCGGCGCGACTTCTTCGCCAAACTCGCCTACTTCATCTCCGAGTGGCGGAAATCCTACAACAAGAACTCCCAGCTCGAAGAACAGCGCCGCAAGAACGAAGCCTCCATGAAACGCAAAAACGCCGCGCTCAAAGCCGCCCAACTCTCCGCCGACTCCGCCAACCCGGCCTCGCCCACCAGCACGGGCGCCATGGACAGCCTGCTCGAGAAACTGCGCGCCGCGGCCCCGCAGGCTCGCGATCAGCGCGACCGACGCCGGCGTGCCCGCCTCAAGGACCGCCATCAAGTGCGCATTGCGTCGGGGCAAAAGATCCCCGACCTTGCGCAGCTGGATGCGATGGATGCCGCCCACGCGGCGGGCCAGCCTGGGGTGCAGAGCCCTGGATCAGACGGTGCTGCGGGTGATGACGATCCCAATCGGTCGTCTAACCCTGATCTTGCCAGCCCGACTACTGGCACACAACAACAAACAACACAACAACAACAAGGAGGAGGAGGAGACAACGACGGGGCTGAATCTACCCTTGGAGGAGACGACGACGTAGCCCAACGTGCAGCCCTGCTCCTCCAGGGAATGCGGGACGACGACCCGGCAGATGCGGAAAAACGGGAGACGCTACGGAAATCGCGGCGGCAGACGGCTGATGAGGAGAGGAGGATGCGCCGGCGGCGGAGGGAGATGGCGCAGTCGAGTGTTAGTAATGGGAGTAGTGCGGGTGTTGGCGGTGGTGATGGTGGTGGGAGAGGGGATGCGACGAGTTTGAGTAGGGAAGGGTCGGTTGTCGATGGGTATGCCGGGAAGGGGGATGAGGAGGTTCCGCCGACGCCGGGGCCGGAGGAGATGGCTGCTGCTGTGGCTGCTGCTGGGGAGGAGGGGAGGGGGGAATAGCCTAGGGGATATGAAGGGAGGAAGGAGTAGAAAGAATAAGGAGAGATGAAGGAGTTGGGGGAGGATGGAAGAATACCCTTGAGCATATTAGATACATAATGTCTACTTGAGCTCTGTTCGTTTTATCTTTGGCGTAACTGAATGGGTACGTGCCGGCTGTGTGTCACTGAGGACTGTGTTGATGAGAGAGATGTGAGATGATGGTATTTGGATACCAGGCTCAGGAGAGAGAGAGATTGTGGAAGTTGTTTGTTTCATGACGTCTGCCCCTGATTTTCGAGTCTAAAAACAACTACACTTAGGTACGCTTACAGTGTGTCCTCTCTGTGGGTGTAGACTCCACACTGGCTAGAAGCACGGCAAGACCGCTCGTTCTGAGTACCAAGGTAGGTAGAGAACCTAGGTACCAAGTATAGTTACATGTATGTACATTTACTGAACCGATGTCGTGCGCGGCCCGACCGCGCTCTTTCCTCGTCGTCTTATCCACGGGACCACGGTAGCACCTGCTGTGATCCCACTCCGGTTGAGCTCTTCCATTATTCTCCACGTTTCCGTAATTAGCCGCGAAACCGAACACCGGCAACATTCTTGCATTCCGCATTTTACCCCTTTGTCCCTCCTTCTGCCCCTCCTTTTCTCCCCCACTCTCGATGGATGAGGGGAAGGCGGTTCTTGGTTCTCTCTCTCTCTCGAAATTCCCCGAGCCGCGGGGTCCATCCATGGTGGGGAAACTGGTGTACCTTGGTCACGCTTGGTGTAGGTGAGCGAAAGCCCAGACGGCACGCATGACAGGGGAGTTCGGGATGGCGCCGTGCGAGACGGAGAAATTGGGGATTGGCTGGGTGAGTGGAATCGGGGATGGGAAGATGTTAAGTTGCAGTTGGGGGAGTACTGGGCCATATTATATCGTCACGTCGTCGGCCGACCGGCTTGGTTTTGGTTTTGGTTTTGGTCTTGGTATATTGGTCTTGGTGTATTTTATTTATTTTGCAACCGATTCTTATTTCCTCCTTCTCTTTATTTTTCTTGAACTTCCGGTGACCGGACCGTCCGTTCATCCAGAGCCTTCCTTTTCACATACCATTCACCCATAGTCCTAGGATAGGTATCCCCGCTAACACCATGTCCACCACCGACAACACCGACAACACCGACACCAACACCCGCCCCGGCCTCACCCTCGGCTACACCACCACCCACCCCTTCTCCCGTACCCCCCTAACCGACCGCGCCTCCGTCCAACACCTCCTCACCACCCTCCTCGACCCCCTCGAACCCTTCTTCTCCCCCGGCCACGCCCGCGTGCGCCTCCCCGGCGGCACAGCCGTGCGCTTCGACCAAACCGCTTCCGAAGTCGAAGGCTTCGCGCGTCCGCTATGGGGCGTGGCTTTTCTTCTCGCGGGCGGGGGGGAGTACCGAGGTTCGGAGTGGTGGGTGGAGGGGTTGAGGAATGGGACGGATCCGGAGACGGAAAAGGAGGGGGAGTATTGGGGGTATCCGGCGGATAATGATCAGAGGATGGTGGAGATGTGTCCTTTGGGGTTTGCGTTGGCCGTTGTGCCGGGGATTTGGGAGGGGATTGGGGAGAGGGGGAGGGGGAATGTTGAGCGGTGGTTGGGGAATAGTATTAATGAGAAGAAGTGAGTTCTTTTTTTCTTTTTGTTGTTGTTTTGTCGGATAGGGGGAAGATGGATTGCTAACAAGACTAGCATGCCCAACACCAACTGGTTGTGGTTCCGCGTGTTTGCGAACCTGGGACTGAAAAAGAATGGCGGACAGTTCTCGCAGGAGCGCCTGGATGCCGATATCAAGCACCTCGAGACGTTTTACCGCGGCGATGGATGGTCCAACGATGGGCCCGAGGGCATCCACCGTGAGGTTCCCCTTTTCTTTTGGGTTCTGCCTACCCCTGAGATGGTTGGGGGGAACTGAGGTGCTAAACAAAATACAGAAATGGACTATTACTCGTCCAGCTTCGCCATCCACTTCCTCCAGCTCCTGTACGCCAAACTAGCTGGCGAGGACGACCCCGAGAACGCAGCCGAGTTCAAGAAGCGCGCCCAGCTGGCTGCCCTCGACCTGTTGCATTATTACGATGAAGAAGGTACGTCTAGCCTTAAAAAAGAAACAAAACAATATTAAAATACTGACTAAAATAGGCCGCGCCATCCCCTTCGGCCGCAGCGTCGGCTACCGCTTCGCCATGGTCTCCTTCTGGGGCGCCCTCGCCTACGCCGACGTCGAGCTGCCCGCTCCGCTGACCTGGGGCATGGTCAAGGGCATCGTGATGCGCCATCTGCGCTGGTGGCAGACCCAGCACGATATCTGGTCGTCTAGCGGGACGCTGACTATCGGGTACTCGTACCCGTGTATGTATGTATGTATTGTCCTCTCTTTCTTCTAACCTGGCAGAGACACTAGGGAGATACTCATTGTGTGTAACAGATGGCGGAGAATTATAACAGCCCTGGGAGTCCGGTAAGTCCTCCTTCTCCCTCCATAACCCCCTGCCTAAAAGCCAGGGCTAAACTTACTCTCATAGTACTGGGCCTGCCTGGCCTTCATCTGCCTCGCGGTCCCCGAAACCCACCCCTTCTGGACATCCAAAGAAGAAGACCACTGGGCCGTGTCCCCGCGGATCAAAGCGCTCAAACAGCCCGGTCACATCATGAGGTACCCTTCCCCCTTACTTACTCATCCTCCCTCCCCCCCTTCAGCCACAATCTAATCCTATGACAGCAACCTCGGAGGCCACTGCATGCTCCTCTCCTCAGGCCAAGCCTGTTCCTACCCGATGAAAGGCACCCACGCCAAATACGGCGCCTTCGCCTACTCCTCCGCCTTCGGCTACTCCGTGCCCACGGGTCTCTTCACCCTCGAACAATACGCCCTAGCCTCCCAACTCGGCCTCTCCGACGACGAAGGCGAGTCCTGGAAAACCCGCCGCCTGTCAACCTCCACCCTCGAAACGCGCAGCGACGGAGAAGGGGCTCTTCCCGTGCTGGTCTCGCTCTGGTCGCCCTTCCGCGACGTGCACGTCAAGACTTACCTCCTCCCGCCACGCGAAGACACACCCAACTGGCATCTACGGGCACACCAGATCCGGGCTGAGGGGCGGGAAGTGATGACGGCCGACGGCGGGTTCGCGATCCGCAGTTCGCGGGCGAAAGATGGGAGGATGCTGGGTGTGTATGATGACAAGGTCACACACGAGGGCACGCGGCCGGTTTTGGTCGGGAATTACGATCTTGCTACGCCGGCGGGGTGGGCGGATGGAAGGGAGGGGGCGTTTGGTGTGTCGGTTGGGGCGGTGGGTGTGAAGGCGTTGGAGGGGGATGTGATTGTCGGAGACCAGACGGGAGAGACGAAGAAGAGAACGGCGATGTTGGTGAATGCGGATCCGAATTCGAATTTGATTGAGGGGCGGACGACGATTCCGACGTTGCAGGGGACGGTAAGGAAGGGGGAGACGGTGTGGTATGTTACGGCGGTGTATGCGAAGCCGAGTGGGGAGGGGGTTGAGAGGAGGGAGTATTTGAGTGGGTGGGATAAGGTGCCTGAGGTCCCGGCGTGGTTGAGAAAGGAGATCGCGCAGTAGGGGGAGAGTAAACAGAGGAGACTTATTATCCAAAAAACGATGATGAATCGAGGCGTAAAATATAACCACCATGTTAGCTAGCCCTTCCGTTGAGCGAGCATAGACACCCTATGATATGCAGTCCAGTTGTTGAACTGAACCATGCTGCGACGACCCCTTTTAGGATCACTGCCCCCTAGCTCATGCGAGATTCCCTCACTCCTTCATCCAAAAAATAATAATAACAAGAACAAACACCTCAAAATCAAGCCTTTGCAAACGCCTCAATAAACCGCGCCAGCTTCTCAGCTCCCTCCAACGGAATCGAGTTGTAGTTGCTGGCCCGGATCCCCCCCACACTGCGGTGTCCCTTGAGGCCCGTCAGCCCCTGGCTAACCGACTCCTTGAGGAACGCCTTTTCCGTGTCGTCCACGTTGCCGTTCTGTACCTTGGTCAGTAATCACCATATGGGTTCGTAATTTTAAACGTCCAAGAAGTAGGAAACGCACCTTTGTCACGCGGAAGCAGATGTTCATCCGCGACCGGACCGCCTTGTCCGGCACGATGCGGTACACTTCTGGGTGCGCTTCCAGCGCCGCATAGATGAGGCTGGCCTTCTTCTCTGCCACTGCCTGCTGCCCGTCTACCTTGTCGGGGTACGTCTTGAGCAGCTTCTTCAGCACTTGGCCGGCAATGTACACGCTGTCTTGAGTCAGTATACCACATCCTGGGACCACTACTCCAGCATACACAAAAGGGGGGCTCACTCAAAAATGCTCAGCGTGTTGTACAAGCTGTTGTTCTTCGCAATCGTCTCATACTGCAACATAATCGGCGGAATCGGCAACCCCAACTTGCGCATCAACGCCGGGCTCGGCTGCGTCGTCGTCGGCGGGAGCAGGGTCCGACGGGCAACCGCCACCGTCACACCCGTGCAGCCCAGATTCTTCTGCGCCCCAAAGAACAACAGCGAGTAGTTAGCCACCGGCACACGGCGCGAGAGAATGTTGCTCGACATATCCGCCACCACAACAGGGCCCGTCCCATCCGCCTTGGGCGCCAGAACCGCCGGAAACTCCGGAAACTCCACGCCATCCACCGTCTCGTTGTCGCAGTAATACACCAGCGCCGCGTCCGGACTGAGCTTCCACGTGCTCTGGTCCGGGATCTTGCCGAACTTGCCGTCATTGATCGTGCGCGCGTCCGCCGCAATGTTGACATACTCCGGCCCCAGCAACCGGACGGCTTCCTGGTACGCCTTCAGCGACCAGCCGCCGGTGATGATGTAGTCGAGCTTGAGTTGGGTCTGCACACGGCCCTGCAGCGCGGCCACCACGGCGGCCTCGTCGTCGGCCCCGGAGCCCGCGAGTTCCTTGATGATGGCGGCGTGCTGGCGGGCGACCCAGGCGCCGACGAGGTTGTAGACGGAGGCGGCGAACTCGCCAGTGCCGCCGGCTTGCATAAAGATAACTTCGTAGTCGCTCGCGGGGATGTCCAGGTAGGAGGCCAGGTCGGCCTTGGCTTCGTTGATGATGTTGGTGGCGAGCTCGGAGCGGTGGCTGTGCTCGGCGATTCCCAGACCGGTGCCGTTGAAGTCGAGCAGGGCTTGCGCGGCTGTTTCGAGGACGTCGGTCGGCAGCGCGGCCGGGCCGGCGCCGAAGTAGGTAATGTCTGCGCGAGTGGGCATTGTGGTGTTTTCTTTTTTTCTTTTCCTTCACTTTCTTTTTGTTATTCTGTTTGATTTCCCTTACTTAGGGGTCAATGCTAGCTCTTTTATGTCAGAAACTCTGAAAATATGAGTCAACGGCTCAGAATGTGGTCAATATTCTGACTCTTATAAGCCAACCAAGTGAAACTAAAATTCGTGACTCGGCGATGTGGGACGCGATCAAGTATTATCGAGGTGCGGGGCACTCATCCTCCTTTATCGCTGCTGGACTTTGGCTCGACCCCGCCGTAGCCGCAGTTCAAGATCGAAATCTGCCCGCGAGACGGGAGGGACGGGAGCTGCATTTCCACCACACCTGACCAAGCTTCTAGTGTGTGGGTGCCGAGGAGTTGCGTCGAAATAATGAGAAAAGAAGAAGCTAAGGTTCTCCTCCTGCAGCATGACGCCGGCCCTATCCCGTTTGCCCCGGTGTCGGCTGGATGCACAAGGGAAGCCACTGAAAATAGTGTGACACACCTCTTCCCCAGGTTTTACGCAAGTTTTTACAGGGGGTCCAGCGCGCCTTCCCTTGTGAATGTCAGAGGCCGAATGGGGGAAGTGGGGGACTGCAGCTGTCAAAATTGTCAATTGGGCGGCTGGCGAAAATCGTGGGCCGCGGGGTTCTTCCATTTGCAATGCATCTTTCAGATAGTCACAACTTCTATGCAGCTCGAGTCCATGGATGAATTGCTCGAGACGGAGCGGCGCGGAGTTTGAGACACCTGCCTCGGAACCAATTGGTTAAAGCCGACTTCTCTTCCTTCAATTAATTATTGCTTGGTCAGTTGGGCATAACTACCGTCTGTGTTCGGGATCACATTTGAAGGCCGACCGCTCGAGGTGCTTCAAGAGAGGGACCTCAACAACCAACTATCGGTTGGCGCTGTGGAATATAGTCGATCTACTGGTTTGATGTTCGAGAGAGATCCAAGGCCCCAGCGCAGCGACAATAGGGTGCAATAGGTTGGCAACCGATCATCTGTACCGGTTTAACCTTTAGGAATTATATGTATCAAGAAGGCCCGAGCCCAGCGACCAAGGCCCCGACTAAGGCCCAAACAGGGCGCCCGCGCTGGAGCCAACTTCTCCATCAATCAGGATTCAGTGGCAGCATCATCGGCTTGTGGAGAGAGGGTTGGTACGTCGCGCTGACGCGGATCAACTTTGCATTTCTGCACATTTAAGTCGCCTGAATCCCGGGGCCCCTCTATGCTCCTATAGCCGGACGCCAACAGCCTTCCATTGCTTGTACCGCTTGAGCTTCAATCTCGGATCCGTCGATCCCACCGTCCGTCTCGCTCGCCGAACGCCGAAACGTAGTCCCGATTGCCGCGGTCGGGAGTTAGCCACGGACGCCGGACTAAGCAACAGGGGAAAAGTGAAATATCACCAAGAGCTTGGTGTATTTTTCGACGTATAAGTGGCGGTTCCCCCTGGAGATCTCGAACTGCCGGTTCTGGCTGAGAAGGATCCTGTCAAGTCTTCTAGGTTGGTCGCGGCAGGTGCCCAACAAAATACGCACTGGCGGGTGACTCGTTGTCAAACAAAATTCAAAGCTACGGAACACCCCAGGACGGGAAGCACTTTTGATTTCCCTAAATCTTTTTCAACACCCCCACCACCACCACGGACTTCGCTTCCCATGCTATGACGGAACGGCCTGTGGAGCGGGTTCAGGATAGGTGCAGCAGACGTGCCGCGCAACAACGCCCCTGACTGGCGAAAACAGCCGCTCTCACTCGCCGCGCCGCCTCTGTTTCGCCTGTGTGATCGTCCCGCCAGCGCCGGGAGCGATGGCCGACAAGAAAACGGCGGAAGGTGGTCCGTCTCGACATGCACACTCGACACCCGCAGCTTCATTTCGTGCGCAGCCCCCCTCTTCTCCTATTCTCTCTCACCCACATCTCACCCACATTCCCTTCGTTCCCTAGCTACCTAGGTAGTTTCCGCATCACGGCTATACCTACATACGACAACACCTCCGCACCCGCACCCGCACCCGCACACTATTTCACCCTCTTTGCACTCACACTCCCACTCTTACTCCCACTCTCTCACTCACGCCCAATGCCCGTCCGCTTCGACCCGCGCTTGCATGTGGTTGTGCATCGCAACCCCACTTCCCGCTATCCCCCATGAGCATATGAGCGACACTCCGATCTCCAAATCACAAGAGACTAATGGCGAAAACAGCGACTCACAACTCACCGCGGGCGTGGTTCCTCACATCGTCACTCTCGCCACTGAGCATCCGCCTCATCCGGCTGTTACTAGCGCACGGCGACTACGTGGTGGCCTGCCTGCCGCCGACCGAGATCGAGGATGAGGACCGCAGCGCCGAGTTTCGTGAGCTGGTCAACGAGTGCAAGAGTAACCGAAAAGACCGCGAGGGCTGGAAGGACCGCATCCGCGGCATTCGCTGTGATGCCCGGGCCATGGGGCAGTGTGGTGCCGCGGTTGCCGAGGCCGTGCAGGTTTTTGGGCGGATAGACATTTTGTTGTGCTGCAAATTTGAAGGTCAGTTAGTTTTACAAGTGTGTCTACGTGTATCTACGATCACAAACTAAGACCGAGTAACAGCCGTCATTGGCACCGTCGAGGAGATCTCAGCAACCCCCGCGACACGCACTCTCGTCCGCGACCAGTTCGACACTATCTTCTTCTCCCAAGTCAACTTCATCAAGGCCGCCCTTCCCCAGTTCCGCGCCCAGCACACCGGCCACATCATGGTCCTCACCAGCATCGGCGGCCACATCGGCACCCCCTGGATGTCCATGTACACAGCCGCGACCTGGGCACTCGAGGGCTACTGCGACTCGCTCGCCTACGAAATCGCCCCCTTTAACATTAAAGTCACCGTCGTCCAGCCCAACAAAGAAATCCAAAGCCTCACCAACCGCATCGTGTTCTCCCCGCAACTCCCCTACTACAACGCCAGCACCCCTAGCAACAACAACAACAACGACAACGACAGCGAAACCAACCACGTCTTCCCCCCGGTCCCCAGCATGCGCGAAATGCTCGCCAACGTCCTCAACGCCAATCCCGACACCGCCGTCGACGCATCGGCCGCTGACGGCGTCCAGTACCGCTACCCGCGCCTGCCCGCGGCCGCGTATGACCGGTTGGTTATGGAGACGGTGCATGCGCTGACGGCGATTGGGGGGCATGAGAACCCGCCAGCGAGGCATATTGTGGGGTTTGAAGGGGCGGTGGCGGTGAAGGAGAAATTGAAGACGGTTACGGAGGAGTTGGAGGATTTTGTGGACGCTAGTTTGGCGGTGGATATTTTCGAGAGTGAGTTGAATGAGGAGGCGAGGATGGGGAGGAGGGGGGGTGCTGCTGAGGGGGCTGCTGGGGAGGGGAGTAGTGAGGGGATGTGAGGGGATGTGTGAGAGAGAAGGGGGAGGTTGAGATATCAAAAGTATATGTGAGGGTTGGGTGAGATACCTAGATGTATGGACACCGAGAGACCCTCTTGTGTTAGTTGACCATGAGGGACTGGGGAATGAAAATAGCTGTGTTGATTTTCCAAATCAAATGTCTGTGTAGATAATCACAAAAGCTTGGGTACTCTTAAGGAAAGAGAAGAAAACATATGGCATTTTCCCCTAATTAATGTGATCTCTAACGTTACCATACCTCTGATTTAACTCAAGGTTGGGTCGCTCCATCACGCAGCGGATGCCCACTGCGGTGTGAACTCTAAATTCAGCACCAGCTGAGAGCTCCTGCGGGGTCTAGCACCACCCCGCCAATTCCAGCAGCCACAGCTCGGCTCCCGGCAGAAGCCCGGGCCTCCACAGCACTGTCCCCCAGGGACCTGATGGGACGGGGTCCCAAGCTTGGGCCGCACAACAGCACTGCACCCATGTCATCGGTTTCTGCGTTCCATTCGAAATTCGGTGTTCAACCACCAGCTATTTCCCTTGGGACAACTGTTCCACCTCGTGCTTTAGTTTCGTGCTAGACCACGCGACGGCCACTTCACTATTCCACACCCTCACACGCATGACGAATAAACCCCCGTATCTATACGAATTGGGCAGCCACTCACCTACCCTCAAGCTCTCGCTCCTCTCTCCCTCCAAGCTACTCCAACCTAACGAACAAATGATGCTGTCCTTGTCCAACCCCTGACATCCCTCCCAACGAAAGACTCGACTTCGACCTCTCGATTCCCGGTCTTTTACTGCGCCGAACCTCCTCCCACACGAACCCCCCACCCTCGGGAACTAAGCCCGGCCGCGACGGACGACTGAAAGAAAAAAAGGAGAGAGAGAAAAAAGAATGGCCACCATCGACCCTCTCTTGCCCGTCGGCCCGGCGCGGGTCAAGGCGCTGGTGCTGCCGGTCGGACACATCACGCGCGACCGCTTCACTGCTTTTGTCCGCCGGCTGAATAGTGAGGGCGTGGTGTTTTTGAGGGATGTGACGCCTGATGCGCGGCCGCATAGGAGTATGGCTTTTTTCTCTCTTATCTCGTTGTGTTTTGTCTGGGTGGGAATACGGTGGTGTGGTGTACTTACTGGGAAAGGGTTGTGTGGACTGGGAATGGCTGTGTGGACTGGACTGACTTATGTTTTTGGTGGGCAGATATGTTCTCCCCCCTGGCGTTCCCCGACGGCGCCATGTTCTACGACTTGATACAGCACCACCCGCCGGCCTCGCACCTCTCGCTGTCACCGTTTGATCTCTTCCGTGAACCCCTCGCCGTGGTCGCCGTGGCGGACGGCGCTGAGCTGCCCAAGGCGGTCTTCAGCAAGCGCCACTCTGGGGGCCGGACGGTGGAAGAAGCGAATATCCGCGCGCTGTACCAGGACTTGGAGGACCTGCGGGATCGGTACCCCAAGGTGCTGGCGCATCAGGTGTTGGTGTTTGATTACCTGCCGGACAAGGAGAGTCCGCTGCCGATACCGGAAGGGGTGGTCACGATACCGCCGCCGGAGCATTCGACGAGGACGACGATCAAGACGGTCATGTGCGATATCTCGGCGCTGATTCTGGCGGAGATGACCACGCTGGCGAAGTCGTACGAGGGTATGTCGTATATCGATTCGCCGGGCCATTCGTCGACGCACCCGCCGGCTGGGATAGACGGCGGCGGTACCCCGGCGCCGAGGAGGAACTCGCAGTTTTCGTTGCCCGCGAGCCGGTCGAGCTCAACCAGTGGCCTGCCGGATAGGAGTCAGGTCCGCATGTCCATGCCGCCTGTTCCCTCGAACCGCCAGCCGATCAGCTCTGCCGGGTCGACACCCCGACCGTCGACGCCGGTGAGCGCGAACAAGCCGCTTCCATCCCCGCCGTCGACGTTTGACAACATCATTGGGCCTATGGAGCCCAACAGCCCCCCCGAACAACGCGGCAGCAGTTCGCGTCCAGACATGATCGACGGATTCCGTACGCAAAGCCAGGACCGGGTTACCGTCCAGGGGTTCGGCCCGGGCGGGCTCAACGACCGGTGGAGGAGCAAAGGGAAATGCCGGGTCCAGACGGTGATCGGATCCCTATATCTCCAAGCCGGCCTGTGGAACAACGCGCTTAAGGAACTCACTGAAGCGGCCACAGTCGCCAAGTCAGTCAACGACCATCTCTGGCACGGCAAGGCCCTCGAGCTCACGCTCATCAGCCTCCTCCTCCTAGGCTGGGCCGGCATCGAGTTCCGCGTCCCCAGCATCCTACTCCCACCACAAGACAAGGGCAACGCCGCGGCCATCGCCCTCCAAGAAGCCGAGGCCCGCGATCCCAACCAGCCGCACTGGCTGCGCAACCTGCAGGTACACATGCCGGAACTGCTGGAGCGCATCATGGGGCTCTACTCACGCATCTCCGCCGAACACCTCCCGCCGCTCCCGCTCTCCGAAGCCGTCATCCGCTTCTGTCGCATGTCAGCCGCCATCCACACCGCCCACGGCCAGCTGTGCCGCGAATCCCTCGAGATGATCGTTTTCGGCGTGCCCCCGCGCGTCCCGCTGACGACCTCGCCGCGGTTCACCATCCAGCCGACGCGCACGCAGATCGTCGCGACGCTGTTCCGCGCGTTTCCCGCGTCTTCGTCGGAGCTGTTGACGACGGTGGATCGGACGGTGATTCTGAGCGGGATTGCGTCGTTGTTGGGGCATTTGGGCTTTCAGCGGAAGAAGGCCATGGTCGTTCGCGAGCTGGTTTCTGTGTTGGTGGTTGGTCTCGTCGAGGCCCGGACACGGGGTGCTGCGGATGTGGGGATTCACCCGGCTGCTGGGCTGGTTGGGTTGAATGGTGCGGGCGGGACCCGGGAAGGGGCCGGCGGGGCGTTGGAGTTGGCCGAGGGGGATGTTGAGCACGGGATTGAGGCGTTTTTGGGGTTGTTGATGAAGACGTATGGGGTGGTAGGCGGGAATACGCTGGGGGAACAGGGCGATGCTGTGGACGCGGAGGTGGTGCAGCGGATTCAGAAGCAGTCGGCTGCGCGGTACTTTGGCATGCGGGAGGTGAAACTGGACATCCTGCGGGCGTGTATCAACTTCTCGGAGGCGCTGCCGGATTTCGAGGGTGTGCTGAAGTACTCGAGCGATCTGCTGCGGACAGCGGGCAGTGGCATTGCCCCCGGGCCGCGACGGGAGAATGCGTACCCTTCGATTACGCGGGAGGAGCAGATCCGGCTTGTGGCGAGTATCACCAAGACGTCGGCGCTGTCGCAGCGTTTAGGCATGGGTCTATTGACGGCGGAGTATTGGGATGAGTTCCTCGTTCGGGGCATCACGCTGGAAGCGCTACCCCCGACGAGAACACCGCTGCCACACGCTAGGACTGTCCTTCCCGGGATCACGGCCGCGCGGAGCTCGCAGGATGTTGATCCATTTATCTATAATCCTTTCCTGAAGCGGCCCGATACGGCAACAGTCGACCGGACCTTGGTAGCAGGCGAACCGGCCAACTTCCGGCTGACGCTGCAGAACCCGTACGAGATTGAACTAGAGCTGGAGAGCATCCGGTTGGACACGGAAGGCGCCGAGTTCGAGTCAGCGGTGGAAACGACGACCATCGGTCCCTACCGGACACAAATCATGCGGATATCGGGCACACCCAAGGCCGCGGGGGCGGTTAAAGTTACGGGAGCGCGTATCAAAGCCCGCGGGTGTCGGGAGAGGCGGTTCCCCATCTTTGCGGACCCGTGGGCGCCCGAGGACGAGGCCAAGGTCAAGGCTATTGGGCTCGGTGCGCTGGATGTCAACGCGGCGGTCGCGTCGCCGGCGATTCAGAGGCTGAAACCCCGGGATATTGAGTTGAACGTGATTGCGCAGCAGCCTGTGGTCGTGGTCAAATCGTCGACGCTTCCGCAGTCGTCGGTGATGATTCTCGAGGGGGAACGGCAGTCGTTTTCGGTTACCCTACAGAACCTGTCGACCACCACACCTGTCGATTTCCTCCTGTTCTCCTTTAAGGACTCGACGCAGGAGCCGCTGCAGCTGGCGCTGAGCAACCGCGATGCGACAGCCACAGAGCTGTACGAGTACGAACTGGTGTTGGCAAAGAAACAGCCGCTCCGGCTCAAGAATCGAGACGATAGCAAGCGGTTCATCCCGCCGGGACAGACGGCCACGTTCGATTTCGAACTACTCGGCCGGCCCGGGCTGACGCATGGGTTGATCCAGGTGGATTATGCTTATCTCGGTGTGCCGCATGACGAGGTGGCGGAGAAGTTCTACACGCGCCAGGTGTCGATGGAGTTGACGGTTACGGTTAATGCGAGTGTTGAGATTACACGGGTGGATGTGCTACCCCTGACGAGCAATATCCCGGCGCCGCTGTGGGAGCGCGTTACGGAGCAGAAGGAGGGGGGTCAACGGCAACAGTCCTCCTCTCAACCGCCTTTGCTCACGGCGGATACGCACTGTATTTTGCTGTTGGATTTGCGGAATGCCTGGCCTAGCCAGATGACGGTTCAGTTGTCCTCCTTACCAGACCCCAATGCCCAGAACGAAGAAAGCGACTCTACGGCTGTACAAATCACAGAGCACATCCTCCCCGGCAACACCGCGCGCGTACTGCTGCCCATCCGCAGAGTCTACCTAGAAGACCCCCACGCCTTTGTGCCGGCGCTGAACCCGGCGCGTCAGCGGCAGTTTGTGGTCAGCACCAAGATTGCGCCGGAGGTGGAACGGGCTAGTCGCGAGGCGTTTTGGTATCGGGAGAAGGTGCTGGATGTGTTGAGGGCTAGTTGGCGGACTAGTAGTGCGGGTGGGGGGCAAAGGGCCGGACAGAGGACGGGAGAGATTGAGTTGCGCGCTGTGAGGTTTACGGCCCGGATGGTGGAGGCCATCAAGGTGGATGAGGTTGATGTGAGTGTTACGGTGTGTGATCCATCTGATTCTGCGTCCACCGACTCAGACTCCGACGACGAAAAGTCCACCAACAACAATACCAACAACGCCAAAAACACCCACCTCGCCCGCGTCGACGCCTTCCTCGAACTACGCATCCTCATCACCAACCGCTCCGCCCGCCCCATCCACCCCCTCCTCCGCCTCACCCCGGTCCTCTCCCACCGCCCCTTCAACATCTCCCTCGACTTCACCCGCAAAATGGCCAAATTCGCCTGGAACGGCAATCTCCAACAGTCCCTCCCCTTACTCCCCGGCCACGGCGCCACCGCCGAAGTCCGCATGGGCGTCACCGCGCTGTGCAGAGGGGAGTTTGATATACTGGCTAGTGTGGAAGAGGCGAGATTGTGGAGGGATCCGGAGGAGGTGGAACGGGAACGGAGGGAGAGGGAGGATAGAGAGGGGAAAACGGGCGGGAGAAAGGCGGTTAAGTCGGAGGCGGAGGCGCAGGTTATGATTTTGGGGGCCGCGTTGGGGAAGAGGGAACGGAGGGTGTGGCATGCGAGGAGGGGGTGTCGGTTGGTCGTCAGGGACTAAGTACGTGACCTACTTTACCTAGGTGTATTTGGGGTGGGTGTGAAGTATTTTGAGTATGGAATTGCACAGCAGGTGTATAATACCGAAACGAGTAATGATGTAGTGTATAAGATGGTTGAGGCGGTCATGAAACTACACCGTAATGGAGGATGTCTGGGTTAAAATGCATGTGCAGCTGAGTAAAGCGGATGCTTCCGTACACATGTCTTTGGTGTCTTGGTTGATCTGGTGATCTTGCAGTCACTACTCAAGCTACTGTACATACCATGTATGTATCAGTATGGATAACGGATCGATGTCTTGAGGCTTGCGACTCTACGTAAGGGTTAGGGTTGCATGACCGGCTAAGATCGGTCAATTACGGAAAGGGTCCTCGTCTTTCAGCTCACCGGTGACAGCCCAAATCATCCCAAACGGGAATCTCATCTGCAAGTTTAAACTTTATCTTGCTTGGGACGGACTATGACTGGGACTTAAACCGCACCACGTTTGCCACCGACTGCATCTCTCTCCTCCTCCTCTCTTTCAGATCATGCAACTCATCCAATCCGCTTGATGATTGACTAACCATCTGAAACCCCACCCTCTTTTCCTCACCGAGTTTTTTACCTCTTTTCTCGCTACATGTTTTAGTTCTATCGGTTCCGTGACAAGAGACAAGTTTCGTTTCTTTCCGAAGTCGGCAAAGAGCGGCGGGTTAGCAAAGGGGAAGGAAAATCACCGCGGCTTGCTGGGTTCCTTTTTGTCTGTCCTCCGAAGTTGATAAATTCGGGAGTCGGGGTTTTTGCTTGCATCTCACTCACAGCACTCAAGCTCCTCGCTCACTCAACCAACCACTCAACAAGCAACCCTTGGACTCATTTCCATTTGCCGAACGTTACAGTGCTGTTGTGTAACCGACGACGACGAACGCCACTCTGCGCTGCAATTACACTGCGCTGCGACGACTCATTTATTCATTTATTCATTCAGCCGAGGACTCAATTGACGACGCCAAGGGAAAGAGGGAGAGTGTGAGACATAAAGGAGGAAGGACAAAAGATGAAAACGACAAAAAAAATGCCCCGCCCCCGCATCCTCTTCCTCGACGCCTTCGACTCCTTCTCCAACAACATCACCTCCCTACTCACCACCCTCCTCGACGCCGACGTCTTTGTCCTACCCATCGACGACCCCCTTCTCGCCAACACCAACAACAACAACAGCGATGGCCGTCTCCCTTCTTCGTCTCCGCCAGAAGACGAGGAAAGCAATCACTACGGGAATGTGAGCAACAACCCCCGCGCGCGCTTCATCGCCGAACTCCAGCGTTACGACGCCGTCGTCTGCGGTCCGGGCCCCGGTCACCCGGATAACGAGGCTGATGTGGGCTGGATGCGGTATGTTTGGGAACTGCAGCAGGCGGAGATACTGCCTGTGCTGGGGGTGTGTCTTGGGTTCCAGAGTTTGGTGAGTGCGCATGGGGGATCGGTGGGGAGGTTAAGGAGGGGGTTGCATGGGATGGTTAGGGGGATTGTGCATAGGGAGGATGGGGGGCAGGATAGGGATGTGTTTGCTGGGGTGGGGGAGTTCAAGGCGACGCTGTATCACAGTTTGTGTGGGGATATTGGGCAGGCTGGGGTGGTGGGTGAAGCGGAGTGGGAGGTGCAAAAGTGGCTGCCGTTTGAGGGGTGTCCGGATTTGGTGCCGCTTGCGTGGGTGGAGGAGGAACGGGAGGATGATAACCAGGGGAAGGAGAGGATTCTCATGGCGGTTAAGCACCGGAGCAAGCCGTTTTGGGGTGTGCAGTATCACCCAGAGTCAGTCTGCACGGAGGAAGAGGGGAATAAGGTCATTGTGAACTGGTTCAAGGAGGCACAGAGGTGGAATCAGGCTAGGGGGCGGACGCCGGTGATGGATGGTCAAGGTATGGCGAGGGCGGCTACGCGGCCGAGTCTGCTTTCACGGCTGGGAACGCTGGGAGTGCTGGGAAACGGTAGTGGTCAGGACGAAGGAGCGTGGTGGATGGGTCTGGAGACGGACCCTTCTCTTCATTTCCTCTCGGTGCCATTGCCGTCTGGGGTTCAGGTTCCTGATATCGTCGAGGCGCTTGAGCTTAAAGGCTCTGAACGGATCGTGCTGGACTCAGCCAATGTCGCGCCGGCCACTTCGAACGCCGATGTCCGCGGACGATACAGCATCATCGCAGCCGGGTTGCATGAGGCTTTGCATCTCGAGCACCACGTCGGCGATGCCTATGCCACGATCTCATGTGCCTCGCTCGGAGGGTTGCCCACCAACATATCCGCCAAGGTACCGCTTGCTCGATACGGCGATATCTGGGGGTTGGTGGCCGAGTTCCACGAGAAGCGCTACGTGCCCGCGACAGAACCAGCGTACACCCCCTTTGTCGGCGGGTTCATGGGGTACATCACTTACGAGCAAGGCCTAAACGACATCGGCGTCCCGCTGCATCAGCCACGTCCGCATCGCCGGCCCGATGTTGCGCTCGTCTGGGTTATCAAGAGCATCGTCGTCGACCATCTGCAGCAGATTATCCACGTCCAGCACCTAGCCGCTCAGGGGGCCGCAGACCATACGTGGATGGACAACACGGCAGACAAGCTACGGTCTCTACGTAGCCCGCAACGGCGGCCTTCCTTCACCATGGCACCGCCGTCGTTGCCCCTGAAACCATCCCGGCGCCCATCGATGAGCACATCGATCCACCCGCCGCAGACAAAGGAGTACGAGGCCAAGGTTCGGACCTGTCAGGAATACATTGCCGCGGGCGAGTCGTACGAACTCTGTCTGACGGACCAGACGACGCTGACCCGGCCCCTGAGCGATGTCCCGTCGTTCTCACGTCCAGCTTCTCGTTCGCGTTCCCGCTCCAACTCGTTCACCACGCCTATCTCGCCATCCGCTCAACGCAAGCAGCAACACCAACAACAACAAAAACAGCAGCGCAACCGCCGTCCATCCCAAAACCACACTACCACCACCACCGCCTCCACCTCCTGGACCCTCTTCAAGCGTCTCCGCGCCAACCAACCCGCCCCCTTCGCCTCCTACCTCCGCCTCGGTCCCGCAACCCTCGTCAGCGCCTCGCCCGAACGTTTCCTAACCTACTCCCGCACCGGCCTCTGCTCGATGCGGCCGATGAAGGGTACCGTGCGGAAATCCGACGCCGTGGCCACGCTGGCGCAGGCTGAGAAGATCCTGCATGTGCCCAAGGAGGAAGCGGAGAATTTGATGATTGTGGATTTGGTAAGGCATGATTTGCATGGGGTATGTGGTGCGGGCGGAGTGGTGGTGAGGGATTTGTTGAAGGTGGAGGAGTATCAGAGTGTGTTTCAGATGATTACTGTTGTTGAGGGGCAGTTGCCTTCTTCTTCTTCTTCTTCTTCTTCCTCCTCCTCTTCTCCTCAAAGAAAACACCGATCTCCCGGTACGAACGCGCCAGACAGCAGCGTGTACACCGGCCTCGACGTACTCGCAGCCAGCCTCCCCCCCGGTAGCATGACGGGCGCTCCCAAAAAGCGCAGCTGTCAGATCCTGCAGGAGATCGAGAACCACCAGGAGCGGGGACTCTACTCAGGCGTGGTGGGCTACATGTGTGCCACGGGACGGGGCGACTGGAGCGTGACGATCCGCAGTCTGTTTCGCTGGGACGATGAGCAGGTCACGGTTGCTGTTGTCAATGGCAATGGCAACGGGAACGGGGAAGATGGGAAGCTGGAGGAGGAGACACATGAGGTGTGGCGGATTGGGGCGGGTGGTGCGGTGACGATTTTGAGTACGGCCGAGGGAGAGAGGGAGGAGATGTTTACCAAGTTGGCTGGGCCGTTGAGGACGTTTGGGGAGGAGCCGTGTCGGTGATAGGTTACTAGTTACTTGGGTAGGTAGTACGCTGTGAGTAGGAAGGGGGGCGGGAACAAATATTTAGTCTGGCATCTCAACAAGGACTAGAAATGGGATGGATACATAGATGGCGGCATTGGGATGGCACTCAACGTGTCGGGCGTTTTCTAGGCGTGAATTGTCGAAGGTTTATTTCATTATTTTGCTTTTTTCACTGCTTTTCTTCTCGCAGATAGCATCGGGCTCAACGGCTGCATTGGGATACAAGGCTTTAACGCATTGTACATAGGTACCTACCATATGGCGAGAAGAAACCGGTACACACGGATAGGAATCCCCAGGGGCGATAATAAGTAAATAAATCAATATGCACCCAGCTCGTCAGACCTTTCCAATCGCCAAGCTGCCCCGTAATAAGGCATCCGGGACTATCCTCCGTTCCCCAGCGCCTGCTTGATAAAACGAGCACGGAATAAAGGAACCGTAAGCCACAAGTATTGTACCTAATGTACACCAGATCCCCGATCCCAAGAAATGCCGCCAATCCCGACGAATGCCCCTTTGGAAAAGCCCACTCACTACCCACCCATACTAAGTCAAGTTGTAATTAACTGCATCCTCGCTTGTCCCGTCGTCGTTGTCCTCTTGTAACTCAAAACTCCTGCTCTTCCTGGAAGAACATGGCAAAGCTGATAATCGTCCCGTAGATGAGCAGGCCGCCGATAACAGACATGACCATGGCCGGGATGGAGATGAGACTCGAATGCGCAAGCAACACGGGGAGGGCTAGTTCGTTCACACCAATCCTGTTAGCTACCATCTTTTCACGCAGGGGAAATAACACCAAAAACCAAACAAGCAAGGGGTGGTGGAACAGAAGAAGAGAGAGAGAACGCACCAATCCCCATAACAACCAAAAACCCCGTGCAAAACCGTCCTAAATCCAGCACCGCCGCCCCGGAGCTCTCAACAAAATCGTCTGGGTTCGAGCAGTGGCTGCACACCCAGTTGGGCACGGGTGCTAAAACATAGGTGCCGACGACCAGAAGCGGGTAGTAGGAGTGCCACAAGGCGCAGGAGAGGATGACGAGGAGGAAGCCGACGGCGAGGACGAAGGAGAGCGCGATGATGGTTTTGAGACCGGCGGTTGGCATTTTGGCGGTTGGGGGGTTCTTGGTCTCTTTGGTTTTGTTGGTTTTGAGTTTGTTGAGGTCTCGATTCCCGGGTTATGCGGGTGGGAATTCCCTCGGTGGCTCGTTGTGATGCGGAGATGCGCTGGTGTAGAGCTCAGAAGGATGCTCACGAGGGATGCGATCGTTGTGTTGGATGCCTTGAGTTGGCTGAGGCTTTGCGCGTGAGGGTATCAATCGGTCGTGGTAGCGAGGCCAAGTCGATAGCGTCGTCGAGATTCTCGCAGTGCCCGTAATGTCTAAATCCAGTGCTTGCGCGGGCTGCCGGCCGTGAGATGTCGTCGGGTTTCGTTGGTGTTGCGCGTTGTCAGTTGGCGGCTGGCGATGACGGTGGAGCTGTGACGACTCTCAGCAACAACCCAGACGGTCATCAGCCTTGGCCGGCCCCGGTCTAGGTTGGGGTTGGAACGCTCATGCCACTAGTCCCGTTATGGCTTAGAGCAGATCAACTTGGAGCTAAAAAGCGGGGCAGTAATTCTTCTATCCGAGTATTCGCTGTACCGAGTCGCAGGGAACGCCCGCCCGCCTTGCCTGGCGACGCAGCTTGGAGCTGCCTGGCGCTGCCGTCAGTGGGACGAAGCTCCCCAAACCAAACCACCGCGATCCCCCCCTCAACATCCCACCAACGACCTGCACCTAATACCACGACAAGCGTTTCCCTCGATTGAAACCCCTCGCGAGTGACCGACCTTGCTTTATTCGACAGGTTTAGTCTGCAGCCGGCGCCACCATGTTTAGAAACAACTACGACAACGACTCGGTCACATTGTAAGCTCCCAAAAACCACAACCCCCCAAAACGACCCCCCGCCATGCCGTCCCGTCTCAACCTTGGGCCGCTGCGTTCAGGTCCAGGCTACGCACACACATACCGCACATGCATACCCAACAACTAGGAAGTTTCGCCCGCTAATATTTGCTCCCCGCTTCTTCTAGCTCCCCGCAAGGGCGGATATTCCAGGTCGAATATGCGGCAGAGGCAGTCAAGCAGGGCTCCGTGGTGGTGGGGATCGCCAGCAAGACACATGTCGTCCTGGTAGCAATCAAGGTGCGCCCATTTGACGCCCTTTACTCACACTAATCACCAACATCCACAAAACTAACACTTCCCCCCTCTTTCCCAGCGCAACGCCGAAGAACTCTCCTCCTACCAAAAGAAACTCTTCCCCATCGACGAGCACGTCGGCATCGCCATCGCCGGTCTCACCTCCGACGCCCGCGTCCTCTCCAACTTCATGAAGCAGCAGTGTCTCGGCCACCGCCTCACCTACGGCCGCAACATGCCCGTGCGCACCCTCGTCGACATGATCGGCTCCAAAGCCCAAATCAACACCCAACACTACGGCAAGCGGCCCTACGGCGTAGGCCTGCTAGTCGCGGGCGTCGACGAGCAAGGCCCGCACCTGTTCGAGTTCCAGCCCAGCGGCATGACCGAGGAGATGGTGGCGTTCGCCATTGGCGCCCGGTCTCAGATGGCTCGGACCTACCTGGAGAAGAACATCGACAAGTTTGCTGAGTGTGGTCGTGATGAGTTGATCCGCCATGGTCTGCGCGCGCTGAATGAGAGTTTGGTGCAGGACCGTGAGTTGACGGTGGACAATACGAGTGTGGGTGTTGCGGGCGCGGTGAGGGCGTCGGAGCAGGATGGTGGGAGCATTGCGGTTGAGCCGTTCCAGGTGTATGACCAGCAGGATGTTGCGGCGTGGATAGAGAGTGTAGCGGAGGATAAGGAGGGTGATGCTGGTGCGGGTGAGGGTGGTGATGCGGCTGGGGAGGGTATGGATGTCGACTCATAAAGTAAGAGGGGAGATCCAGGGGGGGGTTAGGGGGGCGCATACGTCTATCTATCTATCTAGATATGGCTCGGGGAGTCTTTCGAAGGAGAGAGACAGGAGGAAGAAGAAGAATAAAAAACAAGACTCATGTGTACCAACACCCACCACAAGCCACCGAATACCCTCGGTTGTTGCACACTGGCGTGGCACTGGTATACGTTACAGTGGACGAGGGAGTGCAGATTCGAGTCACAAGGCAACCGACCGTCACGAGACCACATATCCCTCACAACCGACCATAAGGAATAGAGATGATTAGAATTTGATTGGTATCTTTGATGGGCAGCAATTGCTTGCCAGGCTCACCACCTCCCCCGGCCTTCCACACAGCTTCCCATCCCCCGCTAACTAACTACTCCTTCCCCCACGTCAGCTTAAATACCGCATCAGACACCTTGTAGTCCCTCAGAGCTATTATCGCCTCCTCCGCCGTCCCAGCCTCCACCACAATCCGCTTATTCTCCCCATGGATAAACCCTTCCTCCACACTCTTATTGATCCACGCCAAAATCCCATCATAAAACCCATTAATATTCAACACAACAATTCCCCTGTTATGAATCCCCAACTGGTTCCACGTCGCCGTCTCAAACAACTCCTCCAAGGTACCATACCCACCGCTCAGCGCGACAAACCCGCTGCCCGGCCCGCCATCAATCACCTCCTGCGCCATCAGCCGCTTACGCGTGTGCATGTCCTTGACAATGGTCGTGCGCCCGAACACGGCCTCCTCGGGAACGGCCAGGTGGGTGCCCGTGGACTCGTGGACTTGCTTTGAGGTGTAGGTTGGGTCGCGCTCGTGCCGCACGAGTGCCTCGGGGATGATGCCGTGCACAGCGTCGGGCCCGGAGAGAGAAACGAGGGTCTTGGCTACTTCGCCCATTAGGCCGACTGTGCCGCCGCCGTAGACTGAGATACCGGGAGATGTGTTAGATTTGTTTTTAAGGTGGGAGATACGAGGAGGGGGGTTCTGGGGATTATTATTAGAATTAGACTTACCGAGAGCCATGTTGTTGGCGGCCATTACCCGGGCTAGGGCCCGCGCTGCCTCGACATGCTCTGGCTTGTTTCCCGCCGAGGAACCGCAGTAGACGCAGATCTTGGTTTGCTTCGGGGTGACGCTCGAGGGCGTAGAGACTCCGTTGGCTGCCATGTTGTTTGTTGAGTCGAAAAAGATCGGAAGAAGAACCAAAAGTTCAAAAAAGACCAGCAAGTTGGAAACTTGGGACTCGACAAGCAAGGGGAAGGGGACCTTCAAGTATTAGTCGGTCTGGCCCGAGTTCGCTAAACTCCAATGACGAAAAGCTAAAGCCACGTAGTGAACGCTTGCTGGCAGATGACCCGTTCTCGGGTAGCGTGGGGAGGCTGGCTGGACAAGGGCGGGTTGGACAGGACGCCTGCAGAGTTTCAGGTTTGGCGAATCGTGAAGGGTGGCGTGTGGTTGATTGCTTCACAAGAGGGGAGCTGAACGGTGTCTAACGGCGTATGGAAAGGGACCAAAGTAAACCAAATGTGTCCGTCAGAAAGCAATGCCTGGCTGTTGGCTCTTCGCTAGAAAAGAGAGAGAAAAGAATTAAGGGAAACACCGGTGGGAACTTCCTTCCTCTCCGGAATACATATACTCGGTCAAGTCAAGTTCAGTAACAAAGAACAGGTTAGTCATACGCCGGTTGCCGCTTGCCGTTGTGGAGATAGACCCCTCCACGCGCCCACCAGGGCCCAAGATCCGACGAGTGTGCAGTGTCGTATGACATAATATCATCTTGTCCAGCGAATGGAGGCTGCGAAGTGCCTGGCCGTTGGGTACAACCTTCCCGTTAACCCAGTTGGGGAATCCATGGAGTGACAGATGCCGATGTCGTCGTGCTGTGTACCACCCTCCCACCCTCTGTGAGCAGTATCACAACGACCTACACTCGGTTCCTGAGATAAGATTATTCTCACTCTGTCCTGATTCGGAGAGGAAAGAGATTCCTAATGCAACACAAAAAGGCAATCATGTCCATGCAGGCCGCGGTCCTGCGCATAGGTGGTGCAGCACCAATGGCGTGGGACGGCCGATCTCGTGGTTACAACGTGAAATCGGATGGTTCCATGGGAACTCTCAGTGGCGGTGGGAGTTTGAGGCCGAGGACCCCACCATGGCCTCACAACCGGGCACCCATGTTGGGATGTAATGGCCGTAATTTACGAATACGGTAGACATTGCCGGGGAAAGGGGGTTGAAGGGTTGTTGAACTCAAAACTTTGTAAATTCAACCCGAATTTGAACTAGAGTGCTTGTAGTTTGTACCGTGTGTAGAAACCCCCAGGCCACAGTAGGGGAGGAAAAGGCGAGGGCGTACCGTGTTACATGTATTAACAGCTGGGGAGCAAAAAGGGCCGATGCAGGCCGTGTATTTTTACTGCCGCTTTAGGAAAGCAGACGGAGGGTTGGATGTAAGATCAATGTTTCTTTCCTCCCAGCATGACCTTCTTCCCCGATCTCCTACCGTGTAAACAAGGAGGCTTCATGGTCGCGGCCCGAGTTTACGCAACGGTGGCCTTGTCCCGTGCTCAGTCCCGCTTTGATCAAAAGCACATGCACAAGCGATTCCCGCTCAAGACAACGCTTCGCCGTTCTATCAACCGCTCGGGATGCTCCTAGGTGCTCTTCCCACCGCGTCCGCCAAATTTTACGTTCAGGTCTCTTTCGCGGTATTTAGCAATAGCATAGGTTGGAAACTATCACCGCCTTTGATCTTCAAGTTTGGAGATTTTCATAGCAAACTATCCTGATTCTGTAGATACTCCGCCTAATCTAATCACATCTATGTCCCTATTTCCTCTTAGTAGCTTTGGGTGCCTGAGCCCCCGTGGTTGTCGCGGTGTTTTCCACGGATCCAGCAGGCAGAGCCTTCGTTTCCTTTTCACCCTTCTTCTCTACCTTCTTGTCCGCGGCCTCCTTCTCCGGCTCCTCCTCGTCCTCACCACCCTGGCCGAACTCATTCACCCGAGTGTAATCAATCTTGTACGCCCACCGCTGATACAAATAGATGAAAAAGATGATGTCGTCGCGGAAGGTCGCGAGGCGGTGCAAGAAGGGCATCTTGATGGTGAAAGCAAAGAGGTCGTCGATAAAGGTGTTGAGGAACTTGTAGATCATGGCCTTGCCTGGCATGTGTGCCACGCTCTTCAGCCGGTAGTTGATGTACAGCGACGGGACCATCATGAGGAACCCGTATGCGTACACCGAACCGACCAGCGTCGTGATCACGTACGAGTACCAGGACTTGTGCGTGTCGTAGAAGAGCGAGTAGACCGCGTACGCGAGGAGCAGCGGTATGCCGGCCCAGTACATGTATTTGAACGCGATTTCATCGTACTCCTTGGTCTTCTCCTCCGTCTCGCTGAGCTTGTGCTTGTCCTCGAAGGAGACGTAGTAGGGGATGAGCGACCCAGGTGGGGCTGGCCGCACACGCACGTTCACCACCGTGGTGATTTTCCAGAGCTCGATCAGGATGCCGATGGCCTGGCCACCAAGAATCATCCAGCTGGTGTTTTGCGACTGGTCGATCAGATACAGGAAGATAACCGTCTGCATAAAAACGTTGGCCAGAATGGACCGGACCGAAATGCCCACATTGTCCTTCTTTTTCCGGTAGTGCGCAATGTCGGAGCCGAACGCGAGCGTCTCCAGAATCATGTGCGCAACGCTGACCACCGCGGTGATGCCGAGCAGAATCGGGTTCGTGTCGATGAATATTTCCTTGATCATCTCGATCTCGCTGCCGTCGCCGCCTCCCGGCAACGAGTGTCCGTACGCAGCCTGGCGCGCAGATTCCTTACCGCTCATGTCGATAGAGGCCATGGTCTTGAACTTCCACTCCGCTAGGTTGTTGAGGTCCACGCGAATAGGCAAGGTCTTGACCGTATCATTCAGAATGGTCATGTGCGTCTTAAGCTGCCAGAATGTGTTGACGTAGAGGATCGGGTAGTACCACGAGTTCTGGCCAGTCCCATCACGCGCGCCCGTTGCCTCAAGGCGTAGGAATTGGCGGACGGCAGGGTGCGACTGGGGGTAAGAGACAACGCCAGTGTTCGGGATGAAGGACAGCGAGATGTTGGGGTGGTAGTAATTTGCGATGATTGGGCCGGCCTGTTCGGGTTCTTCGGACACCGGCTCTTCCACCTGGGGAGCATCCGACAAAAGGCTCCTCGTCTTGGCTTCCTTCTTCTTGGGGATGTGCTGCGTCAGGGGATAGACAAAATGGTAAGCCGAGGCCGGGTCGTAACCCTTCTGGGTAGGGTCCAGAAGGGCGCCCGAGAGACCGACGTAAAAGTGACCCCAGAGTGTGCCATTGTGTTGAACGGGAGTCGGGACATAGATGGTGCGCTCCGCAGCGCGCTTGTCGCTCCAGTTCCCAATCCGAAACTCCTTCTCCTCTAGTACAGTTCCATCCTCTGGCAAGTCTTTGAGCGGGGTGAGACCAAATGAGGGCGAGACGGTCACGATAATGTCGACGACGCTGTTGTCGGGCCAGATGGGGCCGAGCGACTGGGGGATCCGGTTGTATGTGGCACCCTCGTTCAAGCTCGCTGGTCGTTCGCTATACGGCGGGACATTGCTCGAGGTCGCGACCTGGACAGTTTTGCCGCTCGCGTCTTTGACCGTTGTTGTCTGAGGGCCTCCAATGAACTGCTTCATTACGAATTGAATGCCCATGTAGATTGCGATGCCCTGGAAAACGGTACGAAATATGGACTGCGACGCATTGGATTAGCCTCACAGAAAACACATCGAGAAAACAAGTGCAAGAAAACACCGCTTGGTTGGCGAGACTGCGGCAATGACGGATTCAACACTACATACACTTTGACCCTCCTGGCGCGCAGGCTCTGCGCCCGCTTGCCCGGTTTCGGCGGGCATGTTGACGAATTAGCAAAGAATCACAGTAGGAGAGAGCTGTGTTCTTGTCGTCTTGCCGCCCTGGTTTGTGGCGGTCGTCCTCTGGGGTGGACGATGAGGTTGGGCGATGCGCAACGGGAGTCGGTGCGTTGTGTTGACGGCGCGCGCCGTGGCCTGATCAAATGTACCGATTACGAAATTAGGGGTGCTGCAGCCACGTGGGGCGAGGGTCCAGTTGGTATTGGATACACCATTACCATATACTTACCATACAATACTACAACATATCCAATGGAACCATCGACAGACACCTAAGCTTTGTATAATCAAGATAGTTAGGCCGCTCCAATTCCCCAGGATCTGTTGTAAGAGGAAAAAAAACTGACGAGAGAGTTGTTTTGTTGTTGTCCAAAAGCCAAAAAGCTCACAGCCAAGGCCTATCCCCATCCGGAGGGATAGACGTTGGGAGTTACGAAAAACCGGTGTTTTTCTTCGCTAACTTGGGGATCGAGCCCAAAGCCATTTCGATTTACGACGGAATTGGCGGGACCAGCGCCCCTCCCAATACCGCTGCGCCAAACACGCTGTTTGGCGAATTGGGAGGAGATGGTGACAGGAGCAGCAAGTCGGGGGGTATGTAGGCATGACGGAGGGAAGGTGTGGGAAGGAGCGTGAGTTTGTCTTCGGTGCTTCGGGAGGCAGTGGGGATTGAAAGCTAGGAGTTTAGATAGAGTTTGGAGATGCCGGAATTGATAACTGATAGACTAGGATGGGGAAATTTCTTCGAAATGAAGGATGTTCACGGGAAGTGTCACTGATGTTCATAGACGGATCTCCGGGCAGGAAGATGTTGAGTGTCCCGTGGTTCTAGGCCCGAGGACTACGGTGCTAGGTGTAACGCGATATACTCCGGGTAAGAGACTCTCGAGCCGGTGCGAAATGTTGTGTTGCAGTGACAATATTATAACGGTGCAGACCAGACCTAGCCTAGCATAGTTGAATGGACGGCTCACAGGAAATATGATATCTATGTTCAACTGACAAGTAATATCGAAAGAAATAAACTTGCACTACAGTCATGACCCCATGCCTCCTTTCCCCCTCTGCACCCGTTACGGATCTGCCCATTGCTTGACCGAGAAGATAGTGATGACGACGCCAACATAAATAATTGGGGTCGGAAACCGCAGCATCGATTCGGAGCTGAGGTGCAGACAAAAACGCCTCGTAGGGCTGAGCGGCACGGGTTCTTGGTTGCTGTGAAGCGGTCGATTTGTACTGCCATTGGTTAGATGTCCCGGTAGCGAGCCGACTACGCAATACCGAACAGCCCCGAGCAGTATCTAACTCGGGACGGAACCCCCCCTTCCCCCCCAACGGGCCAGGCTATCCACGCACGCACACGACGGAACCGAGTGGAGGGGGGGGTTCAGTGGTTGGAGTTTGATTCGCCTCCCCCTGCCTCCGACTGCACTGGACAGTGGGTTGATGAGCCTGCGGCCCGGCGATCATCCATCGGTACCTATTTAGCGTGATGTCCTTCCCGCTAGGGCACACGGACACCCCAGGGCGTTCTTCAGGGTTCCAGGCTGGTACCGGTGTCATCCATTGTGTTTGTTGCGGGGCGTTTTTGTCTTGAATGGGGGTCGCGGAGACAGCCAGTTCTGCTGTCCAGTCGTGAAATGATGTCTGTGTGTTCCTTAGGTTTTGGCCAGAAGAAAATAAATCAATGAGGAACGCTTATGCGACGGACGCTTCCCGGGCCACCATTACCCGGGCCGTACCCGCCCGGAAGGGCATTCATTCCAGACCTGGACCCCCAGCGCCGATTCCAGACCCGCCGACCTCGTAACGGCCACCCATCGCTTAACGTTATCTTAGCGCCCCCCCGCCCCCGAGGCCGCCCAACGATTCCCCCGTCCACAGCGACACCCCACTAAAAATGGCCTAAATGGTGACCTCCCCCGGTCTTCAAGATCCAACTCCGAGCTTAAGCTTCAACCAAACACAAACTTTTGCAGTTATCAACACGGCAAAGTCTGTCTACCTCTTGGTTTCGGAATCTACTTGGAGGGAGTTCATGATCCGGTTTCATCTTACGGCAGTGTCCACTTTATACGCCTACGGCTTCCAGCGATTCAAGGGCATCAACGACTGCAAAGGCAACGTAGACGACGATCGGCGGATAGCACCCTGGGGCGCCCTTGAAGTTAACGACTTCAATATTCACGACGAACTTGGCACAACGGCGTGAACAAGAGAGCAAGCAATGAGCAGTGGCGCCAGCCGCGCCACTCGAACGGGCAGCCTCGGCAGCGTCGACGGCGGCCACAACGACCATCATGACAGTAGCCACAATATCGGGAGCCCTAGTAAAGCACCCAGTCGTAGTAGTACCAGCAGCTATCTCCAGGCCCAGCCCCAAATACAAACTGTCGGCACCCTCCTAGCGGCCATCGCCAACTGCTTAACCGACGCCCTACGCATCTTCACCTTTGCCGACAAGCAGCAATGGGGGCCCGACGAATTCGAGCAGGTCCGCGCGCTCGAGGCGACACTCAATGAGGCCAAGAAGGACTTCCAGGAGATGGCGCCGCTCGTGCATGGGAGTTTCTACTACGAGAACGATCGTACCCGTGCGTTCTTCTTAAGCTACCTTACCTTGAACTGCTATTCCTTTCCTCCTTCCCTCTCTCTGTCTTGACTAGCGTCATACCTATCACACCCCCCGAGACTAACATACCCCCAGCCGACTCTCTCCACCGTCTGCAATCCCTTCTCGCCCGCTTCCAGTTCCACACACAAAACTTCCGCGATTGGGCCCGCCAAGGTGGTCCCATCAACCCAACATGGGCGCGAGACACCGTACACCTCCGCCGCGATCTGCACCGCGCCCAATGCCGTGCGGCAAGCCGGATTTTTGCCGCGCTGGTTGTTGCCGGAGGTGATCTTGGGGGTGGTGGTGGTGCCGGGGCAGGGAGTAGCATCGGCGGCAGCGGCAATGGAGCCCGCTGTTTGGGTGCTTTCCAAGTGTACCGGCGGCTCAAACGGCGTGAAGCAGAGCGGGCAGAGCGGGCGGAGAAGGCGCGTCAGGAGCGAGAGGAGAGGAAGAAGATAGTCGTGCCGGCGTGGCGGGGAAGTGTGAATGGGAACGGGCCCGAGTATGGAGTCGGGATGGAAGCGGCACGGCAACCGGGGGATTTGGTTGGTTCCACGCTCGACAGTCCGCGCGTCGGAAGAGGAAAGGGCCAAAACGCGTGGGGGGACGGGGAAGGCGACGACGAGGACGCTGATCCGGGGAAACGTCGCAGCCTGGAGGAACTGGCCCCAACCTGCAATGAGGTCGGCCGATTCCAAATCTTTGGCGCCGAGTCCCACGACGCGGTTTTCATCTGCGACTTCTGCGATGGCCACATTGTATGGCCCGATCTACAAAGCGTGCCCTCCGAGCGCTCCCCATTACCACCCACCGCCGTAACCGGCTATCCACGCTGGCAAGCCCAAGGAATCAGCGCTGAGGACGGCGAACAAAAAACAGTTGTGTTCGCCCCCCTCGCTATCGCAAACCACACACCACCCGAGCCAGGCGAGTGGCAGGCCGGGTTATTGTGTCCCTACTGCGAGGAAGCAACGTATCTGGACCAAGGGGAAGACAGTTCCGAACTACGATACGTGTCAGACGGGGACGGGTGGTTTGCTGACCTGGAAGCGTTTCGGGCGCATCTCGAGTGGTACCACACGGCGTTGCCAGTGCCTCCGCTCTCGTCGATTGCGTCAGCGGCGACGTCGAATTGTAGTGTTATGTAAAACGGGAAGGTTAGGCACCGGCCGGGGAAGGTTGGGTTCTGGGACTATCAGTGCTTTTGTGGATTGAACGAAGCGTGGAGTTTGGGGGGCATCTTTCAGGGGACAACAAAACGGGCTTTATGGAAGTGTACTGTACATAATCCGATAATACCGGTCACCAACCGGCTGCTTTTACGCGATGAGGGAAGGTCATTGATAAACCTTGAGGTATCGTCACCGGCCTCCCATTTTCCACCGCGGCCGTCTAATATTAAACACGTACACATGATCACGGTGATAACCAACCCGCCAAAATTCCACTCCCTAACGCCGAGGCTGCGCCTAGAAACCCAAAGGAACCCTTTCATCCGTTCGTTGGCCCAAACCACATCTCATCCCACACCTTAAAAGAACCTCCACCACAGAAACACCAGCATGATAAACCCGAGTGCCCCAAACGGCCCGTACTGCTTGAGCATCAAATCCCAGTTAATCTTAACCGCCGCCTTACGGTACTTCTTCGTGTCGTCCCGCAACCGAGTACTCAGCTCCCCCATCCGCTCCAAGCTGTCCCCGCGGTACAGCAAATCCTCAATATTCTTCGTCATAACCTGCGTCACATCCTTCAACTCATCGTTCAACTTATCCAAATTCTGCGTCGCCCGCGAATCACTGTACGTCGCGCGCGTCCGGCTGAGGAACGTATCAAACTCCATGAACGCGTACGGCCGCAGCACGGGGCTGAGGACTTGTTGCGCCGGGTAGGTCGTCGAGAACTCGGCGGCCACGTCGGAGAGGTAGGTGAAGGCGAGCTTTCGCGGGTAGTTGCGGTCGGCTACGGCGATGTAGACGATGTCGGAGGCGATTAGGTAGTGCAGGGTGTAGGCGCCGCTTTCGATGGAGGCTTGGGGCTCGGAGGTTCGGCTTAGGCGGCGGAGGATGAGTTTGATTTGGCCTTTGACTTCGGAGAGGGCTTGTTCGGAGTCGGAGTCGTCGACGGAGGCGCAGAGCATGAGGCCTGGTGGAAAAAAGACAACAAGTCAGTCGGGAGACCAGACGGTGTGGGCACGGCGAGGAGAGGGGGGGAGTATTTGTGCGCTGTAAGAGGGGTTGGACGGGACACACCATCGAGCCTGGCAATTTGTGTGGAGCGAATCATGTTTAGTTATGTGTCGTGGTGTATTTCCCCTCCTGTTTATTTAGGGTCTGTTGTGTGCGTGGGTGTTGACGATCCAAAGCCACGGGGCGTTGTGGTGGTAAAGCTCTAGCCGTGTAATCTGTACTGAATTCGTGGCACAGCGAACGTGGCTTTTTAGGGAGACCGTGTTGCTGTCGTCATCAACAAGGGTCCGGCCGGCAAGTTGGGAGTGCTTCTTGGGGTAAACACAGCAGCAACGTCGGTGTTTGCCTGCTGGTATTGTGGGTTTACTGCCTGATCAATTTCGTCGCACAATAGAGAGTCAATGGCGTTTTCTCCGAAGGTCCAGATTCCCGATGGAGACCGTAAATGTAGAAAAGCAGCACAGGCCCATGTTGCCGAGAAGGGTGAAGCTCCCCCTGTCTGGTGGGTCTGCAACTTTGCGAGGCTAACCAATCATACCACACCCTGTGCTCTGAGAGGATCCCTCCCATGGACCCTTGCTCATCCCCAGCACCCGTCAGCCTTGTAATGGCAGCTTCGATTCAATTGTTCTATTGTTTCCGCAATCCTGCAGCCGTCCCCATTGTGCATTTATTTTGCTAGCACTCCACCTTTGCTACCTATTGTGATGTTAATGAATAGACAGTAATTGCCTTATCCAACCTCCCCCCAATGCTTCGCCCAGCGCTAGAATTTAAACTTGCTTTTCGAGCCAACCCACAACTCCCAAGTTATCCTTTTGAAATCCCAAGCTTACCTCCTTTCATCTTTCTTTTAATCATCTTGTTGTCCTTGTTACCTTCTGCTTACACACAACCCATTTGTTGACTTGCGCTGGAAGCAAATTACCAAAGTGTATCAGGCTTGCCCGCAAATTCTGCTTCAGCTCACGTTTGCTGAGCACAAATCACGCCAAACACTCACAAACGTCGGCCACCACACAGGCCAGCATGGCGGACACGGCCTGGAGCCGGTCCCCCTCACCAGCCTCCGAAATCATTGTCAACTCAGGCCACGACACCTTAGCCGGTACTCACAACGAACCCTTTAACTCTTCATCGTCTCCAAATCAGCAGGAGCTCACAACACAGGCTCCCGAAGCTGTCACAAAGAACTCGGAAACCATGGCCAGACCTTCCAAGGGTAAAGCCAAGGGCAAAGGCAAGGGAAAGGCAACAGAGATTACGCCTCCTCGCGATTCGGATGAGGGCGGCCAGTCGAGCCCTCGAAAGCGCAAGGCCACCACCAAAGCCAAATCTGCCCCTCCGAAGAAACTCCGACTCTCGGCCCAGGACAAAAAATGGGTTACGCCAGCCGTTTTCACCGACCCAAAATCTCCGATTACCGGCGTCGACCTCAGAGTAAGTACCTCAACATAGCACATACCTCCTTTGGTATTTCTTTCCCAATTTACTGACCTCATACCAGGCGATTCTTCTCCATCCCCTGGCCTGGGACGTCCTATCTCCCGAAGACCACCAAGGCATCCTCGCCAAATTTCCAGATAGCTCACGCATCAAGGATGCCGGCACTGAGAACGCGTGCCCCAATGTAATCTCGCTACGCAATGACGACACATTCCGGTACGATTGTGCCCGGTATTGTGAGAATATCCAGCTAGGCCGGCACGACCCTGAGTGGCTATGGCAGGCATGGGAGGCTCATGAGAAGCACAAAAGGGGTGATTATGACGGGTTTCTCCGGGGGAAGTTTGAGGAGCAGTGGGATATTAAGCTCCCGGAGCCTGAGGCGAAGCCGGAGCCTGAGGCAGAGCCAGAGCTCGAAGACAGCGGGGTAGCTAAAGGTACCGAAGATGTTAAGAAGTCCGATACTGCTACGGTGTCCGATTATGTTGAGAACACCGGCATGGCCGCTAGCAGCGTCGCTGGCGACGATCTGCCAAAGAGCCTTGAAGCTGAGTCCAACAAACCTGATGAGGCCCCTCAACTCAAAGAGGAGGAGTTTTCAGCGGACGGCTCTGCCGATAAGGGTCGCTCGCCTCCTGCCACGGAAAACGTCACCGGCACCACAAACAACAACGATGATGTCAAGAAGAGCGATAACAAAGGAACAAGCAAGAGCAATACTAAGATCAGGCTCAAGTTGAAATCCAAGTCTCCTTCCGAAGACCCGAGTGACTCCATCACTTGCGCAGCCAATTCACTGCCAGCAGCACAAGAGCAAACACCTACCATCTCGGCCGGCAAAATTCAATCTGACTAGTCGTCAAATGAAACTGTCGACGAGAATAGTATGCATGGTGAGACAGAGTCCCCTGGCAGTCCCGAACAGCAGCAAGGAAAAGGGGCCATTGTGGCTTCGCCGCCCAGGTACGGGCTTCGGAACAGAGCGACGGTCAAGAAACAGCCCTCCAGATCCGTTTCCGATCCACTCGATCAGAAGGCCAGCAAAGGAATCGTGAAACTGAAGGATAGGAAGGGTGGCAAATCGCGACGGAAGTCGGATTGAAGCGGGGGCATACATTATGAGGTTGATGTCCATCCAGCATAACTGTTCGCATGAGTCTGCTTTCTGCTGTCGTTTTATTCGTTCTTGATGGGCCGACAGGTTTTGAAAAGGGTCTGATAAAATTGTTGTTGTTTTTTTCTTTTATGGGCGGATGACTCTGTTTTATCAAGAGAACCGATGCGGACAGGATCCTGGGGAAATTGGCAAAAGCCGAGCGAGCGTGTAGAGATACCCCTTTTGCGCAGAATAGTTGGGACCTTAGCGCCAATTGACTATTACATGTAAACAATCACGATTGAAGTGTTTAAATGATTTTCTTTTCTAGTTTATGTGATGGTGGTTCCGAACTGATGCTGTGGGGGATTTCTGTGTTACTGAAAAACTACCCAAGCATTGGGCCACAGACCTTGCTTCAGACTTCAAGTTGAATCCTTCATCATTCTACACCACAATCCAAAATTAAACGTTGACTTCAACGCCACCCGATAACCCGGTTAAAACCTTCTACTAAACACTTTTCAAAGAAACCTCACAGTTTCCTAAGCCCCAAACTCCAAATTATGGCACCATCTGCGCAAGCCCACAAGCGGGCGCACAGCCTGCTGCTGTTTGAGAAACTGCTCAATCTCCGCGAGAGCGCGAGCCCACTGACCCTCATCCTCGACACCCTCGAGCAGAGCGGTCAACCTCTTTTATACGAGTTTATGAGAAGAGCAAAGGTAAGACTTTTAGAGCTCCTTTCCTAACAAGCCTCATTTTGTTGTATGTTGTCAAGACTAGGAAATTACTGACTCATTCCACAGCTTGAGCGCACAAAAACCGTCTTCGTTTCGTTCGCCACAGTCAAGAAACCCACCATTGCAGACATCTTCATCCGCGCCAGGGGTTTATCTCTCAAGTCCCTCGCCGCCGAAATTGTCTCACACGTCGGTCCGCCGCGACCCAGTTCTGCGAAGGAAGCCACAGCTGCCCAGAGTATGTCCAACCCTTCATTACCTCACTCCAGCCAGTTGCTCCTTTTCTCCTCTACACCTCAACAACTAACCCTCTATAAAAGAATTCCTAATCATAATCGACACCCTCAACCCCCCCACCTCCACATCCCCCTCCCACCTCCCCCCCTTCTTCACCTCCATCATCCTCCCCCCAACCGTCTCCCTCGTCGCAATCTACCACACCGACATCCCCACGCTCCCCCCTCACCCTTCCCTCCAACCCTACGCGCAATACCACCCCCACCCACAAATCTTCCTCACCCACCTTGCCACCGCCGTCCTGCGCGTTTTGAGTGTCCACCACGCTATTGCTGCGCGGCGGGCGCGCGAGCGGAGTTTGGTGGTGCCGGAATGGGGGCTGCGGGAGGGACGGGAGGGGGTGTTGGTTGGGTTGTGCGAGGGGAAGGATAAAATACCGACAGGGGGTAGGGAAGAGTTGGTGGTGGAGATGGAGTTGAGGCGGAGGAGTGGGCGGGCTGTGGGGGAGGTTTTTGTGATTTCTACACCGGCGGCGTCGTTGGGTGCTGCAGTGTCGAGGGGGGAGCTGGGAACGGTCATGGTGATGCGGGATCATCCTGATTTTAGACGGCCTGAGGAAGAGGGGGAGACTGAAGAGGAGGAAGGGGGAGGGATGGAGACGAGTTTTAATTTGGGGTTGACGGAGAAGCAGAGAAGGGATCGGGAGGCGGTGGTGCTGCCGTATTTTGATGCGCAGGTGGATGTGGGAGGTGGTGAGGGCGGTCGGATTTTGTATGATATGGGGAGGGAGGATGATTTTGATGAGGAGGAGGATGAGATTTAGGGGAGTACTCCGTGGAATGGACGTTTTTCTCTAACAACATATTTTGAAATTTTGTTTTTTGCTACTTACTAAGTGAATGACAACTGCCTAGTAGGTTGCCCAGAGTCTAGTGTGGGAATCGCCTCGGGATGTTGTTGAAGAAAATGGGCAGGTTGAACATTTCGGGTGCGTGCGCGCTGGCTGTGCTGGCTGCCCTAGAAATAGAAGGTCCACGTTCCCGAAATTCAACGAGCTCGTGCCGTGGCCTAACGGTAACGGTGCGGGCTCGTTTCCCCAGTGGTCGTGGATCGGGTTCGAACTCTACCCTCTTGGATTGGGCCCCCAAGAGGTCATGGGTTCGAACCGCAGCTTAGCTCCTGCTGATGTAGTAAAATTTGCCAGAACCTCCAAGTCTCCTCGAGCGCAAGTTCGGAGCGTGTAGTGTGCGCGCAGATTTTCGTAACCCTAACTGTACCAGCCGAGGTTCGTATGCGCCGTAGGTGACAGTAGGTGAGCTTTTGCCATCTTGACCTTTTTCTTTTTTTCTGTTTTTCTTTTTCTCGCTCTCGATTTCGCGATTTAGCGATTTCGACATCGAATCTCTAGCCATTTTGTAAACCGTTGTCAGCACCGTAAACGAAGTGGCAGTCTAAATCATCAATCAAGCATTGTGTTTTAATTCCTCCCAGATTACCTTCTACCGTTGTGACCACCACAAGATTTGGGTATCAACACCACCAACACATGCACTCCCAAACAGACCCCATGTCCTCACCTCCCTGGACTGAGCGGTCTATTGAACCCACCAACACGGTTCATATACTGCCTATACTCCGATTTCTTCTCCTTCCTCACCGTACCCACATTATTCCCCAGAACCTTCTGCCCCTTAGTAGTCCCAAACCCGCCAAATCCCATCATAGACGCCATAGCATCCAGACCATCGTCCTCCACCACCACATCCTCCTCCTCGTCCTCATCCATCGGCTCTGCGTCAAACCGGCCACGTGACTGGTATTGATCCCCATCTTCATCGTATTGCCGCTGGTGTTGATCCCGTGGTTGATACTCCTGATCATCCGTAAACCCCGGCCGTGATTCAGGTCCATGGCTACCATCGCGACCCTTGACTTTGAATGAGACGGGCCCTGCTTGCGGCGGTGGAGGGCCGGCTGGTTTTGAACGCGTCGGAAGCTGCGGGTGTCCGTCATTGTCACCTTCGGGGCCTCCTCCTCTGGGACTGGCCGAGCGTCGGGGGGATTCTGTATCAATGCGGCCACCATCTCTCGCTCGTTGCCTATCACCCCGGGGCCGACCTACAACAGAATAACAATTAGAATCTGACAAAATATTCAAGATATGTGAAGGAATAGAAATCAAACATACCCGGCTCAGACCTATCCACCTCCCCCCTAACACTCCTATCCCCCCGCTCCCGATGCGCCTCACCCCGATCCCCATCTCGTCGCCTATGTCCACGATCCCGAGCTCCATCCCTCTCCCTCTCACCCTCTCCATCGCGCCGGTCGTACCCTCCTCGTTCGCGGCCCGGAGACCGAGACCGACGACGATCACCTCGATCTCGCGAGCGCGACCGGTACCGTCTTTGACCTCTGTCCCTCTCCCTATCTCTGTCCCTATCTCTGTCTCTGTCCCTGTCCCTGTCTCTCCCGTGATCACGTCCGGCATTCGGTCGACGGTGATTATTATTATCGTCGCGGTCTCGACCACCGCCGTCGCGATCGCGTCGTCGATCTCGGTTGTTGTCGTAGGACGGTCGGTCGTTTGCTCGGCGAGGGCCGTCGCGGCGGTCGGCCATGGTTGGTTTTGAGGTTAAATTAGGATAGGTAGAGGGCGAGTGGTGGGAAAAGATGTGCTAGATGCAGAGATAAAGTCAAGGATGACGTCTGTTTGGGCTCGGGAAATTTCGAGGCCACTCAGCTGGGGGCGAGGCGCGGCTGAAATAAGGCGCTGGCAGGGGTTCAGAAGTGGGCGAGGCCCTGTAAGTTAAGTGGCTCAGGTCGCGTGTGGGTGTCATGGCATTCCCCCTGATTCTTAAAGCGCGAGAGCTAGGAACTCGATAAAATGCGCCGGAAGTATGCGATTTGGATTCTTATTAATCACAAAATACATAGAAGCACGAAAACGACCTCTAGGAGTTAATTAGCAACTTACAAGCTCGCTTAGCTAAAATAGAGCTTGTTAGGAATCTTCCACGGCCACGGTGACGCCGTCAATCAACAAGGGTTAGGGTTGTTGCCAACCAAAATATTTCTCGCAAACGGGCGCTTTGCAAACGCTCAACATGTTTTTATAGAGGGTCCTTCTCTTCATGACCAACAACCTGCCCTTTGCTCCTTTTCTCTAACTTAGCTCTCTTCTGGTTACAACTTTTAGCTGGGTTCAGAAATTTTGTTCACCTACTCTCAACCAATCCTTCTCAATTTCCCATTGAACCACAAGACTCACAACGACAACTCACTTCTTCATAACATGGGCGACAAAACCAAAAAGGTCAAAGGACCTAGTGACGGACCCACCATCACTCCAACACCCACCGACATTGTCCTCAAAGAGAAAAAGCCCAAGGCTAAAAAAGTCAAGGGTACCAGCTCTGACAACCGGGAAACAAACACTCCCGAACCCACTGAGGAACCAGACACAACCCCCAAAAAATCCAAGAAGGAGAAGAAGAAGGATCGCAAGCGCAAGCGCCATCTCGATGATGATGAGCCGACTGAGATTGGAATAGTGACCGCGGCTGACGTGCTGAAGGGAGAGGAGGATGGCGAGCCTTCCAAGAAGAAAAAGAAGAAGGCCATTGTTGATGGTGAGGGGAAGTCGCCAAGGCGTGACAGCAAGGGGAATGTGGAGGGTGAGGTCGGGAAGTATAGGATTGTGTTGAAGTTGGAGCGGATCGACGGGGATGATGCTGTGGCAGCAGGGGAGTCTGGCGCCGGGAAGAAGAGCAAGAAAGTGAAGGAAGCAGGCAGCTTGGGTGATGAGGAAGTTGATGAGGAAGGTAAAAAGCGGAAGGCGGAGAAAAAGGCTAAGAAGGACAAGAAAGGCAAGAAGAAGGAGAAGAAGGAGAAAAAGAACAAGCGACAGGACGACCAAGGCCAGGAGGAGGACGTGGTGATGGCGGATAGCAAGGCCGACAAGTCGGAGCCCGAGAACGACAAGAAGGACAAGAAGAAGGACAAGAAGCTGAAGAAAGATAAGGTCAAAAAGAAGGCCAAGCCAGTCGACACCCCTGAGGAATCATCGGCCTCCGAGGACGAGAAAGACGCAGCCCCGGCCGCCCCTCACATTGCCGCTACCGCACCCGAACTGGACCTTGCCGAACGATGGAACGTCCACGGCCTCGGCGGCGGTGCCTCTCGCCAGAGCAAATTCATGCGTCTCCTGGGCGGGAAGAAAGCGAGCACGGGGTCCACGGAGACCAGCGGCGGCCAGGCCGGTGCCCGGAAGCGGTTCGACATTGGGCATGTGTCGCAGGATCTGGAGAAGCAGTTTGACGCGGGTATTCATATGAAGTTTGGGGGTGGTGGGCAGCGCAAGGGGTTGGGTGCTTGATTAATGGGGGTGCGGCATACTCGGTGTGCTGATGATAGATGTAGCATTTCTTTTTGCTGAGAAACTTCAGTCCAACAACATCTTAGACTAATACAATTTACATGGCTTTGTAGCACGACTTTCCTCTTCGTTTGCCGTATTTTGTCCCTGTCCCTCGCGAAAACAATGCGCGCTGCTAAAAAACAAACAAAAATTCCTTTGGGAAAATAGTGATACACCTTGCGCCAATGCCCGATATGAACCCTCCGAACCCAGTCCTCCTTCGGCCTGGGTGTGTTATTTTCTTTGTATCGAGCGAATACCATGTTTCAGGGTTCGAAGCTAGCCAATGAACACGGCGATCCTCGGATGAACACGGGGGATATTATAAGAAACTATGTGCAGATAGGTAGCTAGGGCGGCCGACCGATCATCGGAGGAAGATGCGCGAGATGACTTCGAAGATGAGGCCGCCAAAAACGACGAAGCCGAGGAGCACTGTGCGCTCAGATGTTAGCGGTCGGACAATTGGCTATAACCCCTGAGGAGCTTCGCAATGGGGAAAGTAGATGGATTATCCGTACCCAGCCAGATGGGCGAGATGGGCGACTTGGGCGTATCCTTGACCCGCTTCTTGATTTGGTCCTCTGACTTGCCCATGCGTGCCTCGTTGCCCTTCGCGAACTTGAGGTTTGCCCTCCTTTGCTGCGGTGTTTGAGCCTGTGAGCGGGCGTGTTAGTACATGATTCCCGCTCAAGTTGCGGTACAATGGTGCACTGTCAACAACGATAAAGCCATGCGTACCATTGTAGCTGTGTGAATGCGTCGAGGATGAGAAGTGGTGGGGCTAGGAGTCGAGGTCGCGCGTGTTGTTCGCGACTTGGTGATCTGCGATAGTGGCGAGAAAGGAGAGTGCCGGATGCTATGTTTCCGAAAAAAAGGTAGGTTGGAGTCTGGGAAGGTCGAATCGATAGCTGGGTTTGCTCAGCAGGTTGTTCGGGTGAAGGAGACGTCTCAAGTTGGGGTGTGCCAAGGGGTGTTCGAGATGATAATTCACCCAGAAATGGGACAGATTGCAAGCTCCCGTTTCTGGCCATCTGTCGTCGAGCCCCATGCAGCTAGAGTGGACCAGCAGCCGCGGCCCCTTGCTCGTTTCGGGAAGGGTTGCAAGGGTGCCACGGGCAGGCAGCCCAGGGTGCAAGGCCGAATCCGCCGATCATCACGTTTAACATCAACTTCAACATTTCAATCTTTGAAAGACTTTATGGTTGTGGCGCATTTCAATATTCACAACGAGAGTGAAATGTGGTGAATTATACCATCCATCTTTAAACCACATACTTCATGAACCGCTTTCCCAGCCTAAGTGGCACAACTCCTCTTCACACGATGGTTTCCCCATTACGAACAGCCTTTACAAGGGCTGTACGCCAATCTGCATCTTCACCCTTTGTCGCCAGCCAACTCAGACAATATTCATCTCAACGGCCACCATCAGCGACTGTAATGAACATTCCTGCCCTTCTACACTTACCCCTACTTGGAAATTTGTCACTGTCCCCTATTTCACCCGAAAACAGGAGACCAAGAGCATAAACTAACCTCTCTCCAATGGCAGGGCACCTTTTACAAAACCTTCACCCGCCCCGTAGCCAAAACTGCTCTCCTCGCAGTCTTTGTCTACCAGCTCGTCTACTACGGCTGGACTAGGCTGGAGTCGGATGAGATCAAAGCCGACCGGCAGGGTGAGTAAATGTCAGCTCTCTCCCTTGGCATTCCATCTTTCCGGGTCATCTCTTCTTGTCATGATCGACACATATAGCGGCTAACCTTTATGATGAATTGTAGCCGAGATTTTAAGACTTGAAGCCCAAGTTCGTGGCCTCCACGCTGCGCGGGAAGCATCGGCTAAGACTGCGGATGCGGCGACACCAAACACCAAAGCGGTGTCTTAGGTCGGTTTAAATAGTTTTGCTTCCCACAAAAATACCAAATTTCAATTCTTACATCTCTGGAAATCATTTCTCCTCGATCCACAGAAACCCACCTTGCGAAACAGAACACGGACACCCTTACAATATCGCCAGAAGCCAGGCAGATTACCACGCTCAAGAGTGAAGAATGAACATCAAGTGAACGAGCGAGAATGGATCCCTTGGATAAGTTTCACCGTCTAACCTTCGGCATCCGCAGCAACCTGCTGGATGCTGTCTGCTTTCTGTTTGACGAGGGGACTGAATAAGTAAGCGTGTCTAAATATATTTGAATAAAACGATATAAAAGAAAAAGAATTTGATGGTAACCTTCTATTCCCCCCCCTTTAGTCCCTTCCCCCCTAAGTAGTCCTTATTTTTGTCTTTCTTGATATTTGTTCGGAACTAAAAAGTAAATAAGGGAAAGAGATAAAAAAAAAAGAGAGAGAGCGAGAAGATAAGAATAGCCTTGGGTTTGCTTCTATCTATTAATTAGTTGATAGGAAAAATCCTTAACGTCAACGTCGAAGATGTCAAGAAAAAAGTCAAACCGTCCGCTAGCCTTAATGTGAAATATTAGACATCAGCTGCTGCTGTATGCGATGTATCAACAACCCTCCTACATATAAATCTGCGGATCATTAAACTGCAGGTCTGAAAATGTCAAACGAATAAGTATCACAGTTTAAAAGGGCGCTAATTTCCCGTGACACGAGACGATTATGTGCTGTCATAATGAGTCTATATGGTACCCAACTGTTTACATCGTAACAATACAACATGGAGCAAAACGACCCCAAACGCCGTGCCCACCAGCACCCAGGCTGGTTCCCAACGGTGCATGTATCAATAATCGCTTCCCAATGACATACCGAAACATTATCTTCATAACATCAACAGCCCTACCACACCAACCACTATCCCGCCCATATAACCCAAGCTTGAGCTCACCCCCTTTCTCCCCGCCGACGGGAAATGCGCCGAGCCGGGAAAGTTACACGTCAGCCCTGCTGACGGATCATGCTTCACATAGTTGCCCTGGAAGCCCACCTGTCCCGGCACCGGACACCCAAACTGCATCGATGCAGGACAGCTCTGCACCAGCTTGTAGCACAAATCATCACAGGGCAACAATTCCTTGTATGGCCCTGGCTTGATGATTTCATCGATCTGCGGATTTCGACTGGTGAGATACGCAGGTGTATCAGGGAGCACCGCCCGTAGCTTCGGATCCAGCTTCTCGCCGTTGGGGAAGGGCTGGTCGATGGCGCGCTCCTGTAGGTAGGATGCTGTGTTGGAAAAGTCCTCGCACCGCGGGATGGTGACGGAACAGAGCCAATCTTTGTACGCGGCGGCGCAGTCGGTACAGTTGCGCGCAAGCGAGTAGCGTTGGCTAGACGGGGCTTCGCAGGCCACCTGCTGGAGAGACTTATTAAAGTTGGCATAGAAAGAGGAGGCGTACTTGTCGTAGAAGTCGGCGAGTTTAGTGGCATTGCCGAATTTGGGGTTACTCGGGACTGAGTAAGCTACTTGGTCGCAGAAATCGAGGTCGACTACGAGGGCACAATTGCCGTGATCTGGAGGAAAGGGCACCGTCAGCTTTAGAGGAGAGGAAACGGTATCCCAGCCGGGAGCATTATTAAAAACTTACCCGATTTGGTACTGAAATTGGTCGCCTTGAAAACCTCGGTGCCTCGTTTCTGGCCGGACTGGCGCCTTTCGAGATTCCCGTGATCCTCCGCGTCCTTGGCCAAAATGCCGATATAATCTGCGCTGGCATTGAGCCCGCTAAAAAAGAACTGCTGTTTCGGCATGTTCCCTTGCCCCCTCTTAGTCATACCTGTTCTGACCATAGTGTTGTGCCGCCCGTCTCGCATCGCGGCGATCTGCGCGTAGTTTTGCAAGCCACAAAACGAATACTTGAGCCCATTGATGGATCTATCCTTCTTGTTGTGCGCAAACAACACATATGGCTGCGATCGCATGACCGCCTCGTCCTCCTCTGGATTCGTGCTTTGCGTCAGGTTGTGGGTGATTAACAGCGCGCCTTGAGAATCACTGTCAACCCAGACCAAATCTGCATCGTCGAGATCGTTGTAGGTGTAATAAAGGCTGTCCACCGATGCTGCAAGCCGGACATTGTATTGGCCGGAAAACTGATCCCCGGTGTCCGGGGCATATATTCCAATGTACACGTCATCGATGGCGCTGGTATTGAAAACGACCGCACCCTGCTTAAAGACTACTTTCTTCTGGGTTTTCCCGTCTGCGAGGGGGCCGGGTGTTTTGTTGTCTGGAGATGTCGAGACGTAAAGTTCCAGTTGAGGGGGTTCCGATTGTGTCTTGATTGGGTCGACCGGCTGTGGTTGTAGGCAGGTATTCGCCGATATGTACACCGTACGCGATTGCTGCCGTTTTCTCAGAGATCGCTCGCTGTCGTGCGGGTTCGTATCGTCCCTATCCCCATCATCCGTAACGCCAGCGCCCGCGCCAGCATCATCGGATTCGCTCCTAAGTTCCATCCTGCTCCTCCCCATTCCTCCTGGCAGCACAAACACATAGGGCATCGTCGTGCCCTGATCTATATTCATCGGTGTTGGTTCATTATTCGCCAGGGGTATCACGTCAGCCGCCCGCCCCGTGATGCTCGGCTCAAAATCGACAAACCGCGCCTCGTAGGTCGGATCGAGCAGGCCTCGCACCGCTGGATTTATCGAAAAGTTGAGTTCATCGATCCCGACGTTCGTCGACGGCCCGTTCAGCTCAGCGGCGAGCGCAAAATTTGGCGGGAAGAGGACGAGATAGAGGAGAAGCAAAAGACACGAAGCGGCGACTGACGCTGCCAGGCGCGACTGTAGCGGGCTGAGGCGCATCATCGTTTCAGAGCTTGCGCCCCTGCGCGGGGCTTCTCGTAGAAGAACGGGGGAGTATCAATTGTTGATGTGATGGGAAATCGCCTGATTCTTGTCGTCGTCGGTCGTTGTCGCCGCCGCCGCTAGGGACGGATGTTGTCGTTGTTGCTTGCACCTCGGCGACCCCTGACACTCTGCGGTTTGTGTGCCTGCCTGTGCCTGTGCCTGGCGATCGCACAGCCACTTAAGCCCCTGGAGCTGACCTCAACCAAGGCCGTCGGATTACGGCACCATCCTATGCACCGATTCGGCACTTGGGTTCCCAAATTTGGCGAATAGCATAAGCAGTTGAGACCTTTGCCGAATCGCGGCGAGCGTTTTTGGTAGATGGCGAAAAGAAAAAAAGGTGAAACCATTGACTGATGTCAGTTCGGAAGCGTCCCATGCGAAGGCGCGTTCCAGATCGGCCGAAGGTCCCCTGGTGGGGTACCCACTGTGGAAAACAGCCCCTCACCTGCAGGTGAGCCAGACGCCCGGAAGAAGGTTGCGCCAAGGCTTTTTAAACAGGATCGAGCCCAACTAATGTTCCGTGTTCCCGAGGTCCCATTTCTTGGGCACCGGCCGTCCTTTACGAAACAGGAATCTCCTCACATGAAACGATGATACACGAGGGTTTTGTCACTGGGTTTATCATGATGGGTTCGGGGGCTGCCAAACAGCCGCATGGGGGTGGGGTCGGTTTTTTCACCTTTTTGAACACACGATAGAGTAGCGCAACGAGAAAGACATCGATAAACTGCCCAACACTAAAACTGAACCCCTGGCTTCGGAACCATACACAAGTCGTGACGTTACAAAACCGCCTCTACCTACTCCCCAAGAGAGTCACCTATCCGAGAGAGAAATCCAAAGGAAATCCGCGCCGGTATACACCCCCAATTGACCTAGCACCAAGGAAAGAAACCTCCTCTATCTACCAAAGTCGTTCAAATCGTTCCTACTTTTGCCATCGGTTTGCGTGGTCACGGTCGTCAATCAAGAGTTATGTCCAATAGCAGAAGGCTAGGGCTCTGATGCAGCCAACCAGCCTCCATTGTTCTCATAGGGCCGCACTCAAAGCCACGCGCTTTGTTCTTTACCGGGTGGGGCCTGGCTGAGGTTCCGAGTGTGCGTTTACTCGGTGTGGAGGGAGTCGGCCTTCGCGCGGAGGCCGCTGGCGGTGGAGCCATTCGAGTTGAAGTAGCGGCCGAGGGTGGGCACGAAGAAGGAGCGGAAGATAAGCTCAGCACCCCTAAAACGTTGTCAGAATGGCAGATTCAAGATCCGGTTGAATCAGAGGAACCAGAACTTACTTGAAAGTGGGCAGGGACAGCCAGAGCAAGAAAACGAACTTGAAGGTGTAGTAGAAGGGGAACCAGTAGACAACGCTGATAAGGCTCTCCAGAACACTATGTTGCGGTTAGTTTGCAAAGATGGGTATTGCGTCTAATTTTCAAACTTACGTGAAGAAAGAAAAGACAACCCAGTACTATATTTATGTTAGCACGAAACTTCTCTGACTGCCATGTAAAAAACTTGGGTGTTGCTCACGGTCAACCACTGGGTGTCATCTGTCTTGCTCGTGGTGAAGAGAGCAGCGAGCGAGTAGTATCCTGGAATCACGAAACCCGCAATGTTGGTCAACAGCTGACCACCGAGGTTGAAAATGATCAGGAAGAAGTAGAGGGCTCCGAGGCCGAGCACAGCGTAGGCCTTGGGAACCGAGGTCTGCTTCTCGAGGTTGTTCAGGGCGGGGTATTTGGAGAGCTATTGCATCGCCCAGTCAGTACACAACACCAGTCGGTGGGCACGTTGGGTTTGAGGTTTGCGTACCTCTTTGTCAAGTTGGGAGACATAGTGCTGAACGCGGTCCTGAGGAGAAGACATTGTTGCGGAGTGTAGAAATGTACAGAGTTGGTACTGAATGTACGACGCTGTCTGGAAGCAGTCAGTAGTGCGCTCTAGTGATCGGGAAAAAAAGAGATCGGGCGCTGCCCCAAAGCCGTCGGCAGATTTCGGCAGCGTCGGAGGGGCTGGGCAAATATTTGGTCGAGAAACGAGGAGAGAGGGGAAAGAAAGAAAGCAATAAATCGCGCTAGGAAGACTTACGAAATAATGTGAACGGAGCAAGATACTGTTCGATGAAGGAGGAATAAGTTTTGTGGGCAAGAATTGGTTGAAAGAACGAAAGTTCAAGCTCGGTGTGGGTGGCAGGGAACGGAACTGTGAGGCAATGACGACTGCTACGTGTGCAAGCACCCCGGTCACAAGCTCCAACCCCAGCAGCTCCTGTTTTCAGCGCATGACGCAGGGAGAAAGGGGGAGAATCACGTGTTGAATGGCTCTTCCGCAAAGTTATTGAATAGCTCAAGTTTTGCGCCTCGGGAAGTGTCGTAAAGCAAAGGTTCGATGGTGTAGTTGGTTATCACGTCAGTCTAACACACTGAAGGTCTCCAGTTCGAGCCTGGATCGAATCAGCTTTCCTTTTGCTCCTGAGCAAAATGTATTGTTTTTTTGGTTCAAAAAACAGTATTGTATGTTCTCTGTTATCAAGTAACATAAGGTTTTATGAAGACAAATCCCCCAGCTCTGCAAAAGCTGTGCAAGCTGTGAAAGTACTATGTACATATTATCAAAGACTCGAGTGATCGGCACATGTGACCATACGTCACAGGGCCGACTCCTCGAGGACAGAGAGCTCAAGAAGGCTCAGGCACGAGAACAAAGCGATCTCGAATACTTTGTCCTGCATGCGCCAACATCAAACTTTGGAAAACTTTGGAAGGTGGGGGGGCTTCTTTTACACGCCGCATTCATAGCACAGGACCCCTGTCTAACCGTAATGGATTCTCTCACCTTCGCCCCAGGTTCAGTATTGAAGCCCTGGAGTTGTCTTGCATTAGAGAAGCAGTTGACGAAGTGCAGCATCGGTCCGACCGAGCCAGAGTGAGGACATTCAAACTCTGGAGAGCTCCCTCCTGTCCACCCCTCTTTGTCGGCATTGGAGGGTTTTTTGGGAGAAAACGTGGGGGCTGGAAGCTTGATGTTTTCGCCCAGCCGTTTCTGGGCGTTGCGCAGGCAGGAAGCAGGCCAATAGGGCGCAAGGCTTGGCAAGGTGGGGCAGATGGTACGTGCGGGGAGTTTGGCCGCAGAAGCGCATTGCCCCGGTACCGCCTCGCATGTTTGTTGATTTCTTTCCTCCTCTCCCCCAAGGAAAATGCGGAATCGACACACGTCGAGCCTGCACGCACCGCATCACCACGGGAAGACGCGCCATTAATCGTGCATTTCCCCGAGTATCCGGCGGCGTCGAATACCCTTACTTCTTTTCTTATCATCCACTTTTTCTATTCTTCCTCCTCGCAGCGCGGGTCACTTTTTGTTGGCGCACTGCCAAATCGCCAGCCTTGTTTTGGTGAAATCGACTGTTTGTCGTGGCGGAAATGGCAATGGACTCGGCCCACGGTAAGGAGGCTGCATCCCCTCCACTATTACCACCACCACCACGGGCATCATCGCGGCCCCCCCTGCTCCCATTGAGCACCAACTCCATTCGACTGGCCTCGCCCGCATCGAATTTCCCACATGCTCATGGTCTCTCAGATGCACTCGGTCCCGTCAAGCCCAGGAAGCGTCCTCGATCGCGCGGCTCGACCACTTCGATTCACAGCGCCACGACGCAGGCCAATGTGGAACACAGTTTCGCCGACTCGGCCGACGTGTACTCCTCGCAATGGCTGCCCAATAATGCCAGCCACCCAAGGGAACTCCCCAACGGCACCGCCCAAATGACCCCAGAGGATCTGTTGCTCGCGTCGCAGCTGCAAGAAAGTCGCGACTTTGGGCAAGACCCATCCCTCAACGCGCCACTGCAGAATGTATCCTTTCACCACCACAGTCATAGTATGAGCCGTCAATCTCTCTCAGCCGAGTCTTTTGCGGGGAACACGAGCTTCGCCGACGACAGCCAAATGTTGGATCGGGATGTCAATGAGGACGGCGACTCGTTCCACGGCATGGCGCCGGCTACCAAGTCGGGCGCGCGTTCCAACGCGAACAATGAGATTGAGATGCGCCAGCTGTTCCATGCCAACAAACATCGTACTCTCGAGGAGGTTGCCCATGAGCTACTTGGCAACGACCGCGGCCCGAACTCCGAACGAGCGCGGCAGGTGTTTGCGATGCTTTGGTACGCCAGCCTTTCCGTCGCCTCCCGGTAAAACCTAAACTAACTCAGTTGTAGGATCAATTTGGTATGCTCATCGGGGAAGGGGTCGGTGCCACGGGGGCGCGTCTACGCCAACTACGCTTCCCAGTGCGCAACCGAGAGGATCACAGTTCTGAACCCTGCTAGTTTTGGGAAACTGGTACGCGTTCTGTTCCCCGGCCTAAAGACTCGACGTCTCGGAGTGCGAGGAGAGTCGAAATATCACTACGTGAATTTTCAACTACGGGAAGAGCAACCTGAGCTTCGTAAGAGCCCAAGCCGGGCGGTGCCGTTGGGAGAGAACCCAGCGTTGTCGCAAACGTTTAAGTAGGCATATTTCCGCGCCTTAGTTTTTGAAAGGATACTGACAGGCTCCCAGCGCTATCCCCGTTGCCGCCAACGCTGCTTCTCTTCGCCCCGAGCGGACACCCTATTCCGCGCCTCCGGTTCCGGACCAGCCAGCAGCCAAGACCGGCCGATCGTATGAGTTCCGCCATAGTCTCTATAACCAACCGCAAGTGGCCAGCTTCGACCAACTGCAATCCACGATGGGCAAGACACCTCAGCGGCTCTGCTTCTCAACCGAAACAGCCGAAACCTTCAAACAGTCCGACCCCATCATTCTTCCACGAATCGAGCCCTTCCTTCCGAACGGCACCGATCCGGACGCGGCCAAGTCCCTCGTAGCCCTCTATCGGTCCTATTGCACCTCTCTTGTCGAGTGTATCCGCTACTGCAAAGAAAAGGCGTTCTTCCACCTGTTCACATCGTTCCAGGGCACTCTTACCATGCCGGTGCAGAAGCTCTTTGCAAACCCAGCCCTCGCTCCGTGGATTGAGGAATCCGATTTTGTCCTATACCAGCGGATGATGCGTATTGTTTCGGGGTTAACGCTCCAAGTTGTGCCCAAGCCGGTTCTCGACACGCTACGCAACATATCGGAGCGGCTTGTACCGCATATCCGAGAATCCTTCCAAGGACAGCCTCTCCATGTCGTCAGAGCGAAGGAAGGACCTGCGACCATCTTTGCTGGATTGCTCGATCGGGCTCTGCGGGTGAATCTTACCGCTCATGCGGCAGCAAACATGTTGTCCAACCCCGCGAACCGCGATCTAATGTACACGGAGTGGATTTCCATGATCAATGTTCGGAAACTAGCAGAGAGCATCCCTTCGCGTGGTATGGATGATGTCGTTACCCTCCTCCTCAACGACATGCGGGATCTGCTTAATCCAGTCAACATCCCATGGGAAATGGAGTGCCTGACGGTGCAGGGGGAGATCGCAATGCGTAGCGGGCGGCCCCCTCAAGAGACGAACGGCGAAGAGACCGGCTCCACCAACGTGTTGGATCGGTGGGTCGGGTTGTTGCGGTCTCTACCCAGCCGCTTTCCCTATGCATCAGATACCGACCTTGTGTGGTGTGTTCAGCGGCTAAGCACGGCGCTGATGAGGGATCTCACAATTGGGCAAGGGAAAAGCTTCGGGTCCTGGTGGGTGACCAAGTGCTGGGTCGACGAGATGATCCAGTTCATGGCAGAGCAAGGCGGGTTCATGCAACAAACCTCAAGCCAGGGCCCTTTAGAGGCTTCAAGGAGACAGTCGACGAACCAGGAACTCAGTCACCAGGAACCGCGGTACAACAGCGCCGACGATGACTTGACCATGCCACGCATGTCGGATCCACAACCGGAACGCACAACGTTTCCTTCAGATACCCCACCGAACAATCAGCAAACCGTACACGACGACAGCGGAATCGGGATCCGGACACCCGATGAGGAGATGCCAGCGGACAAATTCAGCTTGACACCGGCAACGACTCAAGATCTGTTCGCAGGTACCGATTTGCAGGACGAGCTTGGGGATATATGAACCTTTGCCCACCTAACCGACGCCACACGCACGTCTTAGCACCACCATTGCATCCTTTCTTCATATTTTCGAGAATGTTATATTATTAGGGACGGAGTTTCGGGGTTACATGTATTAGCGGGGATCTTCTTTTGTCCCTTGATGTCGCACGAACGGGACGATTAGGATGACAGAGCTAACGGTTATATCATTGCTTTTTTGGTGATGATGATTTTTATCATCAGCTCTTGGCTTGGATTGGGGGGGGAAGGGGTTGGATGATGTCGGCTAATGTTCTTGATGTTGATGTCCAGACGGTGAGCGTAGGATGAGGAAGTGGACACGGCGGTTGGCTGCTATTCGTTTGGTTGCTGTGGTTTTGCTCGTTCTCATTGCCGTGTCTTGGGAGGCAAAGTGTGACTGACACCTGTGGCCCTGTTTTTATGGGTAGGGGTAACAAGCGGCGGCGGGTGGGAAAACTTTTTGTATGGTACCCGGTACGCCGATACCTCCAATGGATGGACCTGTTGTGCTTTTGCACTTTACTGCGTATGCTGGGTTGTATCTCGTGTGCCACTTTTACGGGTGTGAGTTGAATGATAATGGTAAGTGAATTTGGGCATACCAATAGATACACCCTTTCATGGTTGGCGCCATATCTGCGACTTACTGCATATGTCGGATGCTGCTCCAGTTTCGGTGTACGGTAAGGGGGCACTGGGAGCTGGTGAGATTTGATCTCGAGCTTTTGGGAAGTTAATTCATAACCTCTTCAATGTGAGATTCCCGAGGGGCAGTTCGCAGCCGCCGAATACGTCTATCACTTCCTAAGTTACACAAGACGCAGTAATGTTTAGTATCTATGTTTATTATATTTTCTCGGGTTTTATTTCAAGACTTAGTCCGGGACCATTAAACTTCCATCACACTCCGTCTCTGTGCTCTTCGGCGAGGCCTAACGTACCCGGATCACTTAATGAACCCGTCGGGGTTGTGAATCCATCCTCTTCTCGGTCCCCGGTGCGATGGCTTGCAGGTGAAGCAGGACCCCTCCTGTTTCTCATTGTTGTTTTGGTGGGCTGTGGTTGGCGCGTGAACGACATCTCGTTCAGGGGGTCCCTGGTTGCATCCTCCTGTGGAAAGGGGGCTGGCCGGTACGGCGGCCTTCACTCGCAACTGTCCAAAAACCATTGGTACCTTACCTGGTAGATATGTCCATACATACATACATACGAAGTAACTTACGCCATATCCTCTGATGTGATTGTGAAACCCCTATTGCCAACCACCTGGGATCTGAGGTTCAGCTTTCGTAATACGGATGCCTATACAGCCATTCCTATCGGTAAGAAAATCGAAAGTGCGATTGAAAGGCAGTAACTACATACCTCGGTATGCCGAAGAACCCAGCGACGTTTCAGGACAGTTTCCGCTAAAATCCACCGTAGGTTGAGGTGGTCCGGCTGAACGACACCTTCAGGTGCTGTACCCTCGGCAATTGATTGGCTCCGCCGTCCGGGTCAAATGCACGGCCGCCCCAAAAGGGAATTGTCCGAGTTGAGGCTGCCCATCATTCATTCTTCTTCACCTGAATAGCTGCCCCCTCTCACCTCTCTTCTATATCATACGTCAACGAGCAACTCACGCCCTACGTCAGTAGCTCGGTGTGATAGTCAACCAAAACTAAGCATCGTCTCGGGAGAACAAGTTTTGGATTCGCTGAAACTCCTGGGTTACTTTCGGTATATTCTGGGATCCATCACGGCCTCTCATCCCCCCACCACCGGAAGAACTAATCACACAACTGGTGATTTGCGAAATAACGGACAAAATGGCTACTGAAAACGAAGGAACTTTTGAGGTCAACGGCCACACCCTCTACTGCAAGTCATGGCTGGTAAGTTACTGTCAATATTCTTCAGCTCGCCATTGGTGCCCGGTTTATTGTGAAAGGCTCATCGCAAGTATCAATGTATCAAACTAACACCCACTCAGCCTAACGGGCCGACCAAAGCCAAACTCATCTTCTTTCACGGCTTCAGCGACCACCTTGGCCGGTACTACAACTTCTTCCCGTCGCTCGCAGCCCGCGGAATCGCCGTCCATGGGCTCGACCAGCGCGGCTGGGGCCAGTCGGTCAAGAAGAACGCCGACCGCGGCCTAACAGGCACCACATCGCAGGTCCTTGCCGACATGGCCGCCTTTATCAAGCCACACCTCCCCTCTTCGCCATCGGACCCGCCGGTTTTCGTGATGGGCCACTCCATGGGCGGCGGCCAAGTCCTCACCCTGGCATGCCAGCCCGAGTATCAGGACTCCATTGTCCGGCCCGTGCGCGGCTGGCTCGTGGAGAGCCCTTTCATCGGCTTCTCACCGGAGGAAGAGCCGTCGTTCCTAAAAGTGTTTGCTGGCCGGCTCGCGAGCAAGGTGCTGCCGCACTTCCAGCTGAGCCACACCATCATGGTCGAGCATCTGACGCGCGACCCGGCCGTTCAAAAGAGCCTGGCTGAGGACGCGCTCGTGCACAACACGGGTACTCTTGAGGGCCTGGCCGGTCTGTTGGACCGCACGGCGGCGCTGGCAAATGGCCAGACGCGGCCGCTACCTGGCGGTGCCCTCCGGAGTCTGTGGGTTGGTCACGGCACCAAGGACAAGACGACCTGGTTTGATGCGAGCAAGAAATATTTTGATGAGTTCACGGGTGAGGTGGCTGATAAGGAATTCAAGGCGTATGAGGGGTGGTATCACCAACTGCACGCCGATGGTCCGGATAGTGAGGAATTTTACAAGGACGTGGGTGACTGGATCCTGGCGAGGGTTGAAGATGATACGGCGGGGCCGAAACTATAAGTAGATGTAGTCGCCATGAGAAGATATGTTTGAGTTCACGTGAATATTGGTCTAGTCGCGATAAGCGTCCTCACAGAATACATTTCTACCTTGTCGTTCTGTTGACTTTTGCTACGGTTACGCTTAAGACACATACACAGTACATAGTAATATCCCATATGGATTACTACACGGGAGGCACGTACCGTTGAGTGCGCCGGTAACTCGGGAAAGTGGGAATCAGAGTGGAGTTGGCAGGCCGGGCTTCGGCTGTGACCCGGTAACTTGCCCCTTTCGTCTTCCGGGAGCCGCCGAGAAAATGGGCCACTCTCCGGTACAAAAAGGGCGAGCGCGGCTGCCCAGCGGCAAGTTGCAACAGAGCCTCTGCGGTCCATTTAAGCCCAGAATGGAGGCTCAAAGCTACCCGGATCGGCGTTCCAGAATTAGCCCTGATGGCCTCCGTGTCCGATTCCTCGGGTCTTCGCCGCGCACCCCGAAATTCGCATTGCGCCGATTCTCTCACACGCCTGCCGCACCGCCACATTAGGACTTCAAGCAGGACGACCCAAAATTAAAACCCTGGCTCCGATCATTCGAGCCGCCATGGCGGTTCGAGAGGGTTCCCCGGCTCAGCATTCGTGCCCGCATTGACGATGGTCGGAAGCTATGACGTTACCAGGATGCCGACTTTCGAGGTTGATCGAGGGGGGCTTCCCCAACTTGAGGGCGCCGCGGGTGCAATTGACGATGACAACGTCCAGGAGTCAGGCCAAGATGGCTTCATACTCTCAGCCTCTTTAGCCGCACCGAAAACCGACCGTTCTCGATTCCTCCCTTCCATGGGGACATGGACGGTGGCTGTCCTCCACGTGGCCCCACGATCCCCAGAAATCGTTGACATTCATCTGGTTTGGCACCGCCGTTTGAAGATCCGATTGTGCGCACGGGCAAAGGGTGACTCCTGGAAACCGTTGCGAAAGTAACGCGACACACGCTGCGCCTAGATGCCGAGTAAACCTCAAGCCAGACCTACTGCACAATTGCGTACGACTACACATCTGCGGCAATCCAATCGTTTGTTGGAGGTACGGGTTTCGTGATGGTCTCTTCCCAGAACCTAGTGTAGTGGGTTCGGAGGCTTTGATCTGGGCATTGCGGGGCATTTTTTGGGGCCTCATCTCACCTGCAATCTTATCGATCAGCCCGACATTCCATTGGCCACTTCCCTGTTCATCCCATCGTTGGCTGACGGTCTGGAAAGTGCAGGCGCTCCCCAAGGGAGCTTAAGGTTCTTTGAGCACTTCCCACATATAATTCTTGGCCTTTTTTTCCTGCTTCCCTTCCCATTCACACCGAACACCAAGCAGACGCCGAGTCACCCACCGCATCTCCCTAATCTTGCCACGACCGCGGGCCATCATGGACGGGCCCGATCTGTCCCACAGCATCTCGATGCACCCTCACGCGTTCCGCACCCAGTCCGACTCGGCCAGCCGCCTCGCGATGCCACAGTCGCCCCGCCCGTCTTCCGTGTCGCGAGGAGCGGCGAGCACCGGCATCGAAGCCAATGAAGCTAGCGAAGATACCGCTGTAGCCCGCCATCCTCCAGCAGCGGCAGGGGACGTTGAAATCGAAAGCCAGCGCGCCGGTCGCTTCCCACTAATCGGCGCCGGCAACGACCCATATGGTCTATCCCAGCGGTACAAGACGGCCTCCGAGCTAGCCGAGATCAAGGCGAACACGTCTAAAAAGCGTGACGCTGCCCAATCGCACCAGCAACCCGGTTCAGCAAAGAAGACGTCGTCCAAAACAACAAGTAATCTCGCTCGATATCTCAAGCCCTTCGGGCGCAATACGACCAAGGCGCGCCGCCTCGAAGGGTTTTACCAGGCCCAGAACGAGACCATTGAACGGCTGCTCAAGAGCGTCGACGAGCACTGCGCTGATGCACGGCAGGAACAGGGCGATGACCACCTCAAATTCAAAATCGCCATATGGGGCTCGCTCGCTGCCAACATCATCCTCACCGCCCTACAGCTCTACGCGGCTATCTCGTCTGGCTCGCTCTCGCTCTTCACCACCATGGCTGATGCCATCTTCGACCCACTCTCCAACATCACCCTCATCCTGACAAACCGGGCCGTCGGTCGCGTCGACCCGGCCCGCTTCCCCTCTGGCAAGGCGCGTCTTGAGACAGTCGGCAACATCGTCTTTTGCTTCCTCATGACCGCCGTGTCACTCATCATCATCGCCTTCGCCGCCCGCGAGCTCGCTCAGAGCGACGGCGAGCTACAGGGCTTCCATCTCCCATCTATCATCTCGGTATGCGCGGCCTTTGCTACCAAGTTCACCCTCTTCCTGTACACGTGGTCCATCAAGGACCGCTATTCACAGGTTCGCATCCTATGGCAGGACCACCGCAACGACCTGTTGGTCAATGGCTTCGGTATCCTCACCTCGGTCGGCGGCAGCAAACTTGTCTGGTGGCTCGACCCAGCTGGCGCCATCCTGTTGTCGGTCGTGATCTCATCCCTCTGGCTCCGCACGGCCTTCACTGAGTTCTTGCTTCTCGTCGGCGTCGTTGCGCCCGTCGAGATCCAGCAGCTCATCACCTATGTGTGTGTAACCCACTCACCTGCCGTCCGCCAAATCGATACGGTCCGTGCTTATCACTCGGGCCCCCGCCTCATCGCCGAGGTCGATGTTGTCATGGATCCGGATGCGACGCTGCAGGAGACGCACGATATTGCGGAGGAACTGCAAATAAAGCTAGAGCGCTTGCCGGATATCGAACGCGCGTACGTCCATGTTGACTATGAGACAACGCATAAGCCGGAGCATGCGTTTAAGAAAGATCTGTGAGTGTATGAAACCGACTCGATATAAGTGGGTGGTTGGGGAGGCCACTGCTTTGGAGTAACTCTGGAAAGCGTGGGGGGTATCTGTTCTTGTATTTTGGAGTTCTATTGGTCACAAATGTGATGGCTCTGAGGTGGTATTTTGTGGGGTGCATTTGAACGTTGGGTGTTAGCCAGCTGTACAATAGCTGTTTGTGTGTTCCAGCACACGATTTAGAAATCTCGCTCAGGTACAATAAGTCCAGCGCCTCAGTGGGACGATGATTTATTGCTCAACTATTTTAATAGATAATGATTTTAATAGATAATGAAGATCCTGTGTCTTAAAGTGCCATTTACCGCCTAGTTCCCTCTTCCCGTTGGTTGGCCGGTTTTGGTGGCTCACTAGCTAATTATTCGTCGTTTGTTTCCCCCTGCCTCTCTTCCCCCCATTTCCAACTTTTAACTAGCGAGTCACTCAACTTGACCCAACACAACCCAACTCTCTTTCTTACATACCCAACTACCAAACACAAACATCTTCCGCTTTTCTTCATCTACAACCCCCCCCCATGGCCATACCCACCATCATCCCCATTCAACACCATCTCCTCACCCTCCCCCGCGAACTCCGCGATCTCATCTACACCCACGTCCTCGTCATCGTCCGCCAACACATCCTCTTCTTCTACCCCTCCCACACGCGCCCCGGCGAGGTCGACCTCTTCGCCCCCTGTCGCCCACGGCCAAACTGGCTCGCGCTGCTGCGCACCAACCGCCAGATCCACGACGAGACGGCACCCCTGGTGTATGGCGCGCACCAGTTCAATTTTATCGATTACTCGTTTGACCAGACCAGGCTGGTTAGGACTTTTTTGGATGGGATTGGGAAGGGGAATGCGGGGTGGTTGAGGAGGGTGTGTGTTAGTTTTCCGGCGGAGCCGCCTACGTGGCGGCATTGGGAAAGGTTGGGGGAAGGAGGGGGAGAAGTAGGAGGGGGAGGGGGGAAGGTGAAAGGGAAGGGGGGTGGGAAAGAGGATGGGGAGACGTTGTATGGTGTGAGGCTGCTTCGGGAGATGTGTGTGAGGCTGAGGACGCTGGAGGTGCATGTCCAGTCGCAGGTTTTTCTGGATGGGGAGGATGGAGAGAATGGGGAGGAGCCGTCTGCGGAGGGCGAGGCGGCTGCGATTACACGACCTATTTTCATCGAGGTGTTGCCGCGGATTGCGGAGGAGCTTCAGGGGATTCCGTCGTTGAAGGAGGTGTTGATTGTTCCGTGTCACGCGAACTTGGACGATGACGTGGTACGGGCAATGGAGGGGTTTGGGTGGTCGATTCAGCCTAGGGGAAGGGAGACGGGGGACTAGAGCTAGGGGGTTGGAGAACAGAAGTGATGGGGGTTGAGCTGTTGTGAGATGTTTGGTGGTTTCATTTGCACCCGTCTACAAGCTAGCGACTCGAGCTTCGTCGTTAGAAACAACAGTCTACTTTTTTAATCTAGGCCATGGTTTGCTTATTTGAGCTTTCTGCTGCCTTCCTGGTTATCGTATAGAATGGTATCTCCTGCTATGATAGTGGTTGGTTCAACTTGCTTGATATCTATGTTAGCTAGGTATGCTGAGAAGTTGAATATTGAAGTTATTCCTAAGCCACCATCAATCACACTTCTCCCCAACGCATGTGTCTCCTACACGGAAAAGACGGGTATGGATAGGATTTGTTGGTGTTGGAGTTTCCATGCCAATGTGATGTCATCAAGGATATCCGGAGGCAGCGAACAACGTGGCTTCAGGCCACATGATGAGTTATGTCCCCAGAAAGCGAAGTTCCGGAATTTGAGGGGTCAGGAGGACGATCTGCAGCCGACTTCCTTGGCTATGTTCGGTGCCTCTCCGTGAGATGCTTATTCGGGAAACGGGGCGAAAACAGTGTGGAGGTGATTGTTTTAGTGTTGTTCTAGGTAAAAATGCAGAGAAAAAAACGGAGGAGATGGTTGTCTCTTTGAGGGCATACTATGAGATCTAGCGATACTCGGGTTCCTGAGTTCTAACGAGGGGTTCAACTCGAGAATTGGCCGGGCGCTTGGGCCAACAATCCGTAACCCTGGGAAAGCGGCATGACGCAATGGAAGCGTGTGGTGTTGATGGTCCGTGCTCCCTCCTCCGTTATTACAACATGTACCGCATTCCTCCACCACCGTTTACAGTGCCCGCGGGGTCGGCTATGCCGTTTCTGGCCGGCTGCTGATCTCGCTTACACAACAGCCCAAACATCTCCCGCGTATGCCTCCAGTTGCTGAACACTCAAGACAACGTCTCCCTCTCCAGGGCCCGGATCTCGAAGGAACAGGAGCCTAAAATCTAATACCAATGCACCACTAGTGACAAGGTATGATATTGGGTCGGTAGTGAGATCCTGTGTGATCGTGATGATTTGACGGCGGACGGGCTCAATGGCTGCGAGGTGTCGTGTCGTCGTGGCTCCGGGACGAGTACCCCTTGCTTCCTCCTCCCACCTCTCTAAGGTGATAGTGCCGTGAGCATGCTCGAACTTGGCGAGAAGAACAATCTTGACGTTGTAATTTGAGGCCGCAAACCACCACCGCATATCGTCGTGCAACTCGTTCAGTGACTCAGAGACACCTGCCTCGACGACAAGTGTTGGCCAGGCACCTTTGGTATGACGTTCTGGCTTTGGGCCGCCAGTAGAATCACCTTCGCCCCCATTTCCTCCGGGGTGACTATGGTGTGCTCGGCGTGTAGCCGAAGCGATTGTAGTCCAGCCCCTCTCGCTACCACTTCTGACAAGTTGGTCACGGTACCCTTCGTAAATCCCGACGTGGAGTGCTTCATGAACGTCGGTAGGGATTGTAATGAATAGGATCTGGGAGTCGCTATTGTACCGGCGGAAACGGAACTTATGGCGGCGCTTGTCTCGCTCACGTTCAATGTCGGCAAAATGGGTAGGAGAGACGTCTGAATAATTAGTATACGAGCGACTTATCTAGAAATAAGAGGGTAATACTATACGTGTAACAGTAAGAGCATCCTTAGTAGTGGAGTTAATGACGTCGAACAGATCCTGGACGTTCGTAAAGGGGATTGTTGGGAGATCCTCGTCATCTTTCGAACCTACCGAAGTAGGTCTGGTAGAGGCTGATGAAGTCGAAAACGACGGAGGCTCCGCCGACCTCGATACGGTTGACGCCATAGGTAGTGGATGTGGGGCGGAGGTTCGGGACGTATGGGCTTGAGCCGGCTGAAAATGACGGGTCCGGCCGGTCAAAAAACTGGCAGCTGAAACAAAAATGCTTAAAACCAGGCTGTTTTTAATAAAATCAGTGGACACGGCCAGCAGTGCAGCACGCTGTGCGGGCGATTTTTCCCAGTGTGGGGGAATGGGGGGGAGGGGCTGCAAAGAAAACAAATTAGCTGCTGCGGTCTCTAGTGTAGGCAAGGAAATTGTAAAACACAACATACCGTGGCGCTCGAGCGCGTGCAATTGATGCGCGGTACTGAGGAACAGTCGGCGACCAATTGTCAAAAATGGAATCGGCCTCAACAGCTATTGCGCAATAGGTGGAGGTTTTTGAAACCAGCGGAGCGCAACGTTTGATCGCATGCGATGCGATGTGAAAGTGTGGGGGTGGGGGGCTGCAAAAAAACATTAGCTGCGGTAGCTGACGGCCACTAGAACTTAAAGCTCAACCTACCCGTTGCGCCTTGACTGCCAGCAATGCAATGCAAGGTGACAATTCAAGGTAAGCGACCGGCTATGGAAAAAGAATTTATTTCAACGGCTTGCAGGCAATGGAGGGTTTGGAACTCAAAATACGGTAGTGTCTTGCAGGAGGTAATGCGATGCGATCAGGCGATCGGTGGGGAGAAGTGCAGAGTTGAGGTCCATTCGATTTTTCGATTTGGAAATTGTGTTCCCAATGCAATGGCGTGGTGCGAAAGATGAATCTAACGAACGATCAGGGTCCACCTCCATGATCCCGAAACCGAGCAAATCCAACGGTCGCTCTCTTCATATGTAGGTACTCTTGTTCTCCAATGCTTTGTTAGGCTCGAGGTGGAAGCTCTCGGTCATGAGGGGCATTGCGGGGCAGCTCGCAGCTGTTCTTGGAATGATGCAATGGCCCCGCTTGTCGCAGCGGCTTTGCCCCTATCGCGTCTGCAGGGGCTTGGCAGCCCAGTGCTCCGCTAACCTACCACCTTACCTAAGGTGAGCTGCAAGAATCGAAAGGATCTCACTTTTGCTTAAATTTCCACGATCTGATCTGTCCTTACTCAGTGCCTAGGTGAGCTTTCCGATCTACTAAAGGCCATAAACTAGGCGGCGGTGAATGTCCAAAACTCGTTGGCGAGCTTGACTGGCAAATCAAAACGGCACGCGTCATCAACGACGAAAAACTCTGAATGTCTCAGGGAGAGGAACCGTTGAACCTTCATCGAACTCGAACAGCTTGGCAAAGGCGCCATTTCATTTCCAGCTGGCAGGGATTCAACGCTTATGTATCTGCAAGGCCGGCCCGGTCAGCGCCTCGAACACCGAGAACACGCGCGAGCGTGCCAGGCGCGCTCGAACAACACGCGATCGAACATATTGTAACAGCAACAGGGCGGATGTCTCTTGTACTCTCCTGTCCACCGTGCTTGCCGCCCATTTAGAAGCTCCCGTTTCTAGCCGGATTAGCCTGCAGCAAGTGTCTATTTTGCGCGCCGCGGGCTGCATGAAGACAGGAAGCGAGCTTTTAATCAAAACGCAACGGGTTTGCCCCGCAGAGCTTCCACTCCGTCTTGTCCAGATCCCCCCGAGTGTCATCAGCCAGCCGTTCTCGAAAGTGGTTTTTTTCCGAATCCGCTAAAGTGCACCCCCTGTGTAACACCCTTGCGATGGATTGACGGATCCTTGTCTCTGTTCATGATCGAGCTCACCCGAACCTTGCATTCCACATTGCACGGAGCATTCTGGACGGTTGCCTCCACCACGCGCGCCGTCTCGCCCACTCCCCCCACCATCGGCGAGACCTTAACGGGCTGGCATCTGGCGCAGTCGGCCGATGCAGTCAACAATTGACCAAGACCGGGGGTCACGGCAAGGGAACATGCGCTGATTTCGCGCGGCACAAACTTTCCCGATCTCGCTTGTTGTTGACCTGTTGTTGCTTTGGTGCGACTTGGTGCTGCTACCACAGTGACCCCCAATTCCCGCTGGTTTTTTCCTCCATCTCTTCCACTCGCGGGAGGATAGGGCCTAATAAAATACGCAACAATCTACCGACCTACCCGTTTCTTTGACGTTTTGTTGGACCGGCCTTTTAGTCCATCACTGCCAGTGAAGAAGAGCTGTTGCGCACGATGGCCGCGCAAGGGTTGGAGGATGTGTACGCCAGTGTGAGTGAGACATGGTTTTCCACGCTGCTTGGTGATGCTTCGGACAGACGTGCTCGAGAGCAGTCAACTTCGCTCATATTGACCACAAATGCTAAAATACGCGTCGATGTAGCTTCTTCTGACGGATACTTACCTTCCCGGTGAGTTTGGAGCGCCAATTGCAACTATTGCGTGGCCGCTGAAGCTGATGCTGTTGTCTTATTCATGAAAAGGCGCCCTTGTGCTTGCCCATTCGCTCCGAGATGCCGGCACCACGAAGAAACTGGCCATCTTGGTCACCCTCGACACCGTTTCGGCTGCCGTGGTGACACAGCTCAAGGCAAGCATTCCAAACTGATAGCACACCCTCCGACCGTCTCCCGATCGTTCTTCGTCTTGCTCAGTAATGGGCCTTGGACTAACCGTTGTGTTGGGTCGAGCAGGCCGTGTACGACTATGTCATCCCCGTCGGCCGCATTCGGAATGAACACCCCGGGAACCTCGACCTGATGAACCGCCCGGACCTGCACTCGGCCTTCACCAAGGTCAACCTCTGGAGGCAGGTCCAGTTCCGCAAGATCGTGTATGTGGACGCCGACGTCGTGGCGTACCGGGCCCCCGACGAGCTCTTCGACCTGCCTCATGCCTTTGCCGCGGCCCCTGATATCGGCTGGCCGGACCTGTTCAACACTGGCCTGATGGTCCTGACCCCCAACAAGGGCGACTACTACGCGCTGTTGGCCATGGCCCAACGGGGCATTTCGTTTGATGGCGCCGACCAAGGACTCCTGAACATGTACTTCAAGACTGGCTACCACCGCCTCAGCTTTACCTACAACGTCACACCGTCGGCCCACTACCAGTACTTGCCCGCCTACAAGCACTTCCAGTCTGCTATTAACCTAGTCCACTTCATCGGCCCGGAGAAGCCTTGGGTACAAGGAAGAGACAAGGCCACAGGGGGCGGGCCGTTTGATCAGATGGTGGGCCGGTGGTGGGCTGTCTATGATCGACACTACCGCAAAAATGTATACTCTGTTCTTTCTCCTGGCTCTCTCTGAAAGGGGGGGTGCCGCTGCTAACTCGCTGTGTAGACACCCCAAATGGAACCAGGCCGACAAGAACCGCAAGTCCCTGAAATCATCCAGTACTTTGTCAAGGGCGAATTCCAACCCACTGTCCGTTATGTTGTCCCCGTGGGCGAACCTCCTAGCGACCAGCAGATCGGCGATCTCTACGGTCAGCAAAATCAACCACCGGCCCCTTCGCATGTTGTCGATTCACATCAACCCCAACAAGACCAGCATCATACTCACCAGTCTTTTGACCCCCCTTCTACCCAGCAATCCCATCCCCATCACAACCACCAGCATCATAACAATGACCACAGTCATCAGCATCAGCATCAGTACCAGCATCAATCATCTGAATCATCCTCGCATTCTGCTTCTGACCCGCGCGTGTCTTCTAGCTTTCAAGAAGGGACACATACTGAAGCTCAACAAGACCAGGCACCGGACCACCAGCAACCGTCCGAGCCGGAGCATAAGCCTGAACCCCAACCCGAGCCCGTACCAAGTTGGGATGCTCAATGGTAAGTTTGGAAACATCGGTTGGGAAGCCACGCAGACTTGCTAATACTTTTTCCCTAGGCACCCGCCTCCGGCCGACTCGAAGCCCGAAGCAGAGAACTTCCCGCAGACTCATTACGCCATGTCGTCCGACCCAGCCCAGTTCGTCCCGCCGGAGCGCTATCCCAGCCCGCCTAAGAATATGTGGTATGAAGTGCCCAAGGAACCGCCAGCGCAGCCGCAAGAGAAGCCTAAGCCACTCTTCCCGTGGGAGACGCACCAGCCGCGACCGACGAGAGTGTTTGGGTACCATAATATCGAACCCAGCGCCCCAGCGCAAACAGCACCTCCTGCAGAACACCCGGCACCTACGAGAGGGGGCGACAACAACGAGCACCACCACCACACTCACGCTCATACCTGGCAACCTCCACCGCCCTTACCGGGCACCCAAGCGCACGCGCACGCGCAGGCTGAACAACGTTCCACGGCGCCCCAGCCGCAACCCCAATCACGCCAACCACAACCACAACCGGGTCCTGAACCAGCCCCTTCCACCCCTCCACCAGCTCCAGCCACCCGCGCTGCTATTTCTGCCCCTGCCGCCACCATAACTGACATTTGGTCGTCGTTCCCGCGCTCCAACGCATGGGACAACATTCCAGAAATCAACCGCTATGTCGACCGCACAATGCCGAAACCTCAGCGCACGCGGAATCGGAATTTGCCTTCCGGTCGTGGCAATGGTGGGAATGGTGGAGTGATCGCGGGCCACGGGAATGCCGGTGGAATGGCTGGTAATTTTGGGTATGGGACACCCCGGCGGGGATCGAAGGTGACCGACTTTCCGAGCGAGGAGGACCGTCCGAGCCTGCCGGTCACTCCCGCGCCGATTCGGCGGCCGAGACGCTGGGTCGCCGGCGATCAACACGACGCTTCTTCTGCTTCTGCTGCTGGTGCTAATAACGATGATGATGTTGCGAGAGCTGTTGGTGGCGGTGGTGGTGATGAGGAGGGTGATTACGAAGGGGGACAGCAGCTCCAGGGCGCCGTGGGCGTGCCGGGGCAGGCTGACTGGGTATGTGTGCACGGCAACGTATGGACTCCAGCGGACTGCCTGTGCGAGCTGGCTAACGTGCTTCGCTACTACAAGGATCCTGCGGCGCAGCTGCGGAAGCTGGCTAGGGAGCAGTCGGAGCTGCTGTTCCAGCGGCTTGGTGTCACGGCGGAGGGACAGGAGCGAGAGCAAGAGCAAGAGCAACAGGAACTGGATCCGGATCCCGCCGTCCGGCAGGGCCAGGGGCAGGCGAAGGCGACGGGGGAAGGGTCGTCGGTGGGACGACGGGGGTTGTTGGGACCAGAACCGCAGCGGGAGATTCCTTCTCGCTCGTTGCCGTTTGGGTCAGAGAACGCCAAGTCGCCGACTTATGTTGCTCCTGTCCCGCCGAACGTGGTCAGCCCGAAGCCGGTCAAGCCGGTTACGGGTGCCAGCTCTGTGAGCAAGCTCCTGGCTGAGGCGCCTGAGATTATACCGTCTTCTGGAACTGGGGGGACGGATCGTCGTGACTATGCTACTGCTGCTACTAACTCGAACTCAAACCCAATCGCTACGCCCAGCTATCAAGGCCCCGGGCTAGTGTATGAGAAGGGCGAGGATTTTCCGACACAAGAGACGCCTGCGCTGCCGACGGAGGAAGAAAGGGATGTTCTTGAGACCTAAGCTTTTGGGTCTCCTTCACGTCAACTCTCTTTATTTCTATGAGGTGAAATCAGAAAACAGCTTTGCTGCATGGGCAGCTACTAAATTATTCTAGGGGCTTTCTAGGGGGGGGGGAAGGAGATTGGATGATAGGAAGCATGGATTTGTTGGTGTGTGTTAATTTTCTGGACAGACGTTATTGCATGGGTAATGAAAAGCTGGGGGCTGGGAAAGCACTCTTGCTTGTGTATATGGGATGGATGGGGATAAGCGTTGGATAATTGGAACATCGGGAAGAGAGAAGGGACAAAATGCGTTTTAACGTCGGCCATCACTGTTTATTGGCCACCAAACTGTAGCATGTTGTTTGCTCGTACATGTTTATTTGGTTGAGCCAATAACTAATCCATTGGACTCATTGCTTTTGCTCACCATTGCACTTACGGCCCCTGATCGGGATCAGTTGTCATGGGGCGAATATGTAGTTGGATCGGAGCCGCTTTCGCACTACTGTTCTAGTTTACTCCGTACTTATACCCCTCTCCCAAAAGGGTTTTCAACCAATATATTTCGCGCCGGCGCTGCCCGTGATGGGATGTTGGCAGGTGCCGCTCCACAAGGCGGCTCCATGCATTTGGATTGCCAGTTATACCAAACAATAGAACCATAGCACAATACCTGTGGGCAGCGGACTACTTACCGATCTGACGCTATTCAAAAAACAGACAATGTATCCCAGTTTGGGTTCCATTCTGCAGTCACCATGATCACTCTCCACAGATTTTCAAACGGAACGCCCTTTCGTTTTTCTGCCTTTATTCCAACACTGCTCGATCAACAACTTTCATCGCAACAACCACGCTGAATAACTGTTTCGAGTCGCAACCCACGGTTCTTGTCGCACTTCTGAGCAACATTCTGTCCATCTCGGTTGAAACAATTTCACAATACTTCGTACATTCTCACCTCATCACTCGACATCAGTCGGCTCTTGTCGCTGCGCGCACTTCGGTGACAGCTCTGCAGTTTACACAAGGTTTCAGTCATCAGACCCCGGTCCGTCGCAGCCCCCTTCACGTGACAGCCACATCACAAGGCTGTCCAATCAACCACTACAGTGAGTGGGGTCATGCGAGGCGGGCAGACGTAATGAGCTTGTGGCTGACTTGCACTGTGCTTCCCGTTCCAAACAGGAAGTTCAGCCTTATTATCGCTTCATCGCATTACGCGATACCTCGCTCAGAGGGCAGCAACGCGCTCGACTGGTTTGCGCACGTACCTGCCAACTTCTCCGACCTCGCAGCCTTATCTGTGAGGCCGCTCCCATTTTCCCAGCGTGACGGCAGCATCACGCGGGGGCTCCTCACGTCGCGTCCATGTCCAACAGATCGTCCGCTTCCTCAAAAAGACAGAAGCGCCGGAAGTCGACCCCGCGGTCACGGTCTACGTCTGTAGCTCGGGAACAGGCTTTTGCGGATTCTGATTTTTATGAGATCCGAGACATTATCGACGAGAGGGTTCTCAAAGGTCAACTTCAATATAAAATTGACTGGGCGGATAACCCCACTACCGGTCACAGCTACGCTCCGACTTGGGTAAGTCCTTACACAAGTTTAGTCTTCGGCAATTTTTCATCCCGACCTACTATACACCCCGTTCCACATCCCATTTGCACGCCGTGCGCTAATCGCATTTCCGCCGACATTTTAGGAGCCCGCGGCCAACGTCACCAAGGCTGCGAAAGCCGACTGGGAGAAACAGAAACGCCGTCGGCAAACTGTCCGACAGAGTAGCGCCAGTCCCACGACACAAACCGACAGCCAACCTGTCCTGCCCCCGAATTGGCGAGCGAAGCGTAGGAGGGAGGTGTCTATCACTGTCGATGAAGAGGGTAGCGAGCCATCTAAACGTCTAAGACGATCGGTTGATTCGGGGTATACCTCTACTGAGAGCGATACCCAGGGCACGCAGAACCAGGGCACACAGGACCAGAGCACACAGGCAAGCTGGGCGCCAGTTCAGTCTATTCCCCAGCCCAACGGCGAGATTGTTCTTGAGATCTCGCGCCATCCTACTTTCGACCCGACCGAGTACCGTTTGATACCTTCGCAGACCACCGACACCCCTACTTGTCAAGAATACCAGAAGACGATCCCGGACTCCCAGGATTACCTCAGTTCCCTGCGGACGAACCCCACGACTTCTGCCGCTCAATCTGTCGTCGATTTTCCCACTCCCGATTCACAGCAGCTGGACGGAGCAGAGGGGGGACACCGCGCTGACGAGTTACAAGAGCCGGATCTTGAGGGAGGTGTGGTCAGCCGTTCTGACTTGGGAATTCCATCCCATCAGCCTGAATCTTTGAACCACTTTGAATCGAGTCACACATCGGCCTTGCAGTCCTCTTTGTCCCCCAGTGGAGAGCACGCCTCTGGGGATCGTTTTTCGGGATTTCTTACACAACCCGAGGACGAACCCTTCGATTTCACCACAGCACCAGTGCAATCGCCTGAAGGAGAGTCTTTGGAATTGGAACCCTCGTTCACCGGTAGTAAACCTGCTGTGCCAACCCCTGCTGCTCAGTCTTTTGTGAGCGCTCCCCAGCCAACTATACTCTCCCAGGACGCTCAACAGCCCTCGGTCTCATTCAACAACCCGGGATTTCTTACCCAGATCACAGAAGGGAACCTGGAGGAACGAGTTCCCGAAACAGTATCTAGAGCACCACAGCGGGAGACGCCTCCTTTGAATCGGAACCGCCTTGCGGCTAGCAGTAGGACTTGGTCGCTTCCATCTGCTTCTCGAAATACCAGCATGGACGGACCCAAAGACCCGCCGCCGCCTGGTTCGGCAATGGCTAAGTTCCACGAACTGAGGGCTCAATTTAGAATTGGCATACCCCCGCTGCAGAGCGAAAGCAACCGCGCAGTATCGGAATCATCACCTGCAATCCCGAACCCGACCGAGATTACGCCTCAACCGGCAGTGATTTCGCAGAATCTGCCCCAGGAGCCTCCCTCGTCGCTGCACGGCTTGGATTTCTCCAGTGCTGACATCACCCATCAGTCCATCGATCAGCCTGTTGAGCAGACTCAGAGCGTGCCTCTGGACGCTGGTATTTTGGCCAATCATGCGGAGTATGATCATCTGCCCGCCACGGTTGCGCCTACAGACCTCACTACTTCCATCGAGCAGATTCCCATGTCACCGGGTGAATTGGCTGTCGATGAGCAGATCCTTGAGCAAGGCGCGTTAGATCCCGCCACGATTTCGCTGGCCCAACCTGTCGTCCAATCCTCACCTCCGTTGATTCTCGCTGCCGACGAGCAAGGCAGTCCCAGCGATGGCGGTGAGAAAAGACATGTTACCGTCACCTTGCCAATGGCGGCCAATACACGGGCGTCGTACTTGGAGGTCATATCCGCGAACAAACCGGCTCTGATTGCGTTTGCAGAGTTCTTCTCGACTTCGTTCTCCCAAGTCCCGGATGCTCCGTTGGTGGCCAAGATCGATTCTGTCTTTGACGACCTGTTCAGGCTCTGCGATCTCCCGCCACACGATGACGACCTCCCGATTCTGAACAAGGAACACATGATGAAACATGCTACCAACTCGAACAGCAAGTTCTCATTCGTTCACGAGTTTCTCAATAACCTTTGGGGCCTTGATAGCAGGGTCCTGCTCATTTCACAGCCCGGCCGAGTATTTGATTATTTGAAGGCTATCGTTTCGGTGGCGGATTACCCTTACACAACCCTTGGTCGGGGAGAGCCGCGGCGTTCTGCGGGCTACGATACAGACCGGGCTTCCATCATTCTCGCTACCGCGGACCAGGACCTCTCGCAAATCCAGGGCGCGGTGGACGTCGTCATCCTTCATGACCATACTGCGAGGTCGGTAGAAATACCGGCGACACTGGTATACGAGTCAACAATGGTCCTCTCCTTAGTCGCGACCTATTCTCTAGACCACATCCACCAACAACTCAACGGCGTCGAGCCAGAGCTGGATGACTTGACACGACGGAATGCCTTGGTCCTGGGGCTCGGCTCGGCTAGGGATTACATCAGGAGTCCTGTCCGTGATCACTTCAACGTCGACCCCCATGAGGCGGCCAAGACGTTCACCTCCTTCTTGAGAAACCCGGAAGGTGGTTTGGATTGGGACTCGCACCCTCTACCCGCAGATGTGCTTGAGTTTTGGGACAACAGCCAGGAGCGTACACAGGATTCTCAGGCGGATCCCTCTGCCGGCTCCAGCAGCCGGAAACGGGCTTTGGTAAGACACTTGCAAATGTTCAGTTGGGCGAGATGGCTAATGTTTTTTAGACCGATATTGACCGTGGGATTCCCAAACGGCCGAGGCTGCTCCAGTCGCAGCAGCCGTCTCGGACTTCGACTCCGACAAAGATGAGCGATCTTCTCAAGCAGACGCTGGCCAACCACACTGTTGAGGGGCCGGTTACGCAGGTTGTCGAGATACCTGTCGATCAGCTTGAGTTGATGTCTAGCAAGGTTGGTGCATTACTGAGTAGAATTTAATCTCGCGATCCATACTTACTTGTGTGTGTTTAGATCGCGGAACTGGAAGCTCTCCTCGCAAATCAAACCGCTATTGAAACCAAGACTCGCGAACACTGCAACAGCCTGGAAGCGCAGCTTCGGTCTCACGAACGAACTGTTCAATCCATCCAGCCTAAGTACATGGATGCTCTCCGTGACCGTGGCACGTTTGAGAAACAGTGCCAGAAGGCCGTCGAGAAAGCAGATGCTGCAGCTGCCCGTCTTGAAGCCCAGAAGGCTGAGATTACCGCTTTGAAAGAAAAGAACGCCGCCCTGGAAGCGAAGGTTGCTGAAGTCAACGACACGCTGGCCAACTCGACAATTCCAGACATTGCAAAGGTTGCACAAGCCGAAAAGGATCGTGACGAGGCCCTCGCTTCGGTCGAGAAGCTCGAGAAGAAGGTCCGCATGGTTCAGAACGAGGCCGACTACAGTCGCAAGGCATACCAAGACGCATCCAACGCACACACCGAGCTCAACCAAGAGAACCAGGAGCTCAAAACCCAGGTGGCCGAGCTCCAGAAGCGAGCGAGCGACAATTTGGTCAAGATCCAACAGATCCATGCTCAGACCGAGATCAATGAATTCATCCGGCAGATTGACGGGCTACAAGCGATGCTAGAGAACCGCGAGCGCGACCTCGAACGCGCCAAGGACGAGCTGAAGCTCCTGAAGAACGGCCGCCGTGAGACTCGCCAGGGTAGTGTCTCGCGTAGTCCGCGGATGGGCGTCATGAGTCCTCGGCCGGCTCGAGGGATGGGTGCCAGTAGCAGAGGGACCAGCCCAGCGCCCATGAGCTCGGATGGGCCGGGTATGAGCGGCAGCGGCGGTCCTACGGGCGTGGCAGGGATGAACTTCTTCCCGCCGATCGGCAATGTTGGCCGCTGGGGACACCTCCGGGATTAGGAGCGAGAGGGCGACAACAGCAATGGCAACAGCACGGGTGGTAGCAGACGTACTAGGCGTAATAGTAACGTTAGCAGTGGTGCTCCTACCCGTGGGGATGAAAGTCGCAGGCCTGAGTCTGCGCGCCGCACAAAACCGACACCATTCAAGCAACGCCTAGAAGAATATATGCGGTCCGTCAGACAAGAGCCCCCGCTCTTGGGTGAGGGTCTCAGGGGCGTTGAGCTCAACGACGACGAAAAGGACCGGGATTACAACCCAAGGCCTCGGCGCAAGGCTAGAAAGTCGCGCTTGCGGAAAAAGACTCGTGAGGCTGCGTCGTGACCTGGGTCTGCGGCTGACAAAGCAAAGGCCATGCCTAAAGGTCTCCGGTGGTCCCCTCTCGGGCGTTCGGGCCCAAACTTCATTCGCCGAGTATGAGTGAGAAGTTAGGGGATCTCCCCTCTACGATCTCTGGGTCGTCATCGACATTGGGACGAGAGCCTGGCGTCAACACAGAGAAAGGGATGGGGAGTACGTCGTCGAACTAGAGGGGTTTCTCCAGAATTCGACGAAACCTGGTTCAGCCTGGTATGAGGGAACGTTGAAGGTGCATATCATTACTGGGGCGCAACTCTTGCATAGAGGAAGCTGGAGATCGATCACTAGCTAATCTAGACTACGGATTATGAACGGGGTCAAGCAATCAGGCACTTGAATTGCGACAGTGATCATTGGACGCCTGGTTATGAGATTTCTTTTTCTTTTACTTTTTTTTACTCTTTTCCTTGTCTGTACTGTTCTACCTCCCCGCTTGTGATGGGGCATGGGGCAGCCTGGGACAGAACCCGGGATGGAGACACAGTTACAAGGAAAGGAGACATTGGGGGGCGTTAAGGCGGGGACAAACGGGATGAAGATAGCGGAGCACAAGAGTGCTCATAAGACGTTTGCTAACAGAATGAATTGATTGATGAACGATATGTGTTCCCTCGATTGAGCGATGGTTTCTGGTGGAAATGCTTTGACGCGTGGTTGAATGTGTCCTTTTCTACGTTTTGTTGGTGCCACAACTTCCGGTCATCACACGCGCCGATAATATGTCTTATCATAAAACTCTCATTTCAGCATCTATGCCACCCTCCTGTAACCTCTACCGGCATGTCTTAACCCAACCTACCCAGCTTTTTCCCAACCCTGCGCACATCATCAATCCATATCATCACCTGCCCCCCCTTCATCATGCCTCCCCCATATCTGTCCCCACCGACAGGAGGTTACCGAGCGTCTAAGTCGAAGGAAAACATATACAGATTTTGATTTGGTGGTAGGTACCCCTCCTATGCTAAAGAGGGGCGGAGGGGGCACCTAACCTATGGTATCTTCAACGGCAATTGTCAGAAAGGACCGAGTTGAAGGAAGGGGGTTGGTTGTTTTTGGGGTTTGTCCTCCCGACCCCAATTTTCCAGCCTCTTCCTTCTCGTTCTTCCTACACTGCTCCGACAAGCTGTTTTATCAGCTTATTTGGCCTCCTCGGGGTACAGGTCCTCCTTGAGCGGGATGCCGAGCTCCTCGCGCAGGGGCTTGAGCTCCTCCAGATACTGGGCGTATTGGCCCTTGTTCTCGACCTTGGCCTTGATACCTATGGGGGACACGTGGGGTTAGCAAAAACGGTTGTGGGGTTGGTGATTGCTGTGGTCTCGGTGGGTGGGAAAACGGGATGGTTGATGCAGGGGAGTGCGGCGAGGTGGTATTTCCCGCATCGAACATACCTTCGAAGATGCGGACAGCTGTGGGGAAATCGTTGACACGGCGGGCAGCCCTGAGGGCAGCGGACACGACCGAGGGAGAGGGAACGAGATCGTATGCGAAGGCGTTGTTCAAGTTGCGCTGTGAGTTGTCGAGTTTCGGGTTAGCGGAGACTGGGCGATATGGACAACTGAAGCTCGTGCGGGCCGAGGGAGGATCGGGTGTTTTAGTAGTGGCCTGCATACCTGAAGCTCGAAAACGTCCTGCACAGCGTCGAACTCCTTCTCATAGCTGTGGTGACCCCCAAAATGTATCAGTAATGGACCGGCCGAGGTAAGTTGCGTGGGTGGTGTTGTCGGCTGGGACACATGTGTGGACCGGAAAAACAGGTCACGTCATGGAGATTAGAGCAAGCTCTGCCCCAAGGGAGCTCGGCAAAAGCTCTGTTTTTCGGTCCTGCGACAAGCTCCGAAATGTCGACTCACCGGGCAGAAAACTCCTCAAAAGTCTCCTCCTGGTGCTCGGAGCGCATGCGGGCGGTTGTGCTGAAGCTGGGGGTGGCGATTACGGCGCGCGCAGCCATGGGCTGCGGACGGGCAGCGACGACATTCGCACGGAGGAAGCTGGAGGGGCCGCGAGCGGCAGCGCGGAGGATCGAGGCGGACATTTTTTTTTCGGGTTGTTGTTGTCTTTATTGGGGTGTGTTGCACGACGAGGAGAATTGCGGTTCACGGCGAGCCGGGGGAGTGGTGAGGCAAACAATTGGCGGAGTGGGGGCAGCGTTCCTCGTTAACGCTGGGCTTCTTGGAAGAGACCTTGTTCCGCAATTGAATTGGGTGCAATCAAGGCCAGTGTGCGTGCGTTTGGTGTTGATCCTCGAAATTACGGATATTGGCATGGAACTAGCTTCTGGCTCTCTGTAACCGAGGTCTTGTACCCGCTTAAAGGATATCCCCTCCCGGTTGCACCCCGCCAATGACATGCTCGGCATTGGAGCAGCGGTTTCCACTCGACTGTGGCTGCTTCTATGCCACACTTGTGGCGGGTGCATCCGAACCTTGAAAGGCCAGAACAAGATGATGTGGTTCATGAAGCCGGAACTCGGGAACATGCATTTGACGCAAACACTACTATGTATTGTTCATCCCCATTCGCTATTTAGCTAGCTAGCTGAGTAGGACTAAACAGCCTTTCAGAAACATATCAGGGAGAAGGGAAATAATGAGAGTGCTTTATGCGTTGATGTTGCTTCATAACATCCTAATAAAACATTGCCCCTTTGTTAATTCTCAATGTTTTGCGGCTGTCAAAACCTCAAATCCTGGGCCGCGGGACCCGGAGCCCGTGGGGGCCCGTTGGTACGCCCGAAATTGTCAAGCCTAATCAATGATTTGGTAACTACACTAGTTATCTCCCGAGCCGGACACAAATGGAGCGCCTGGGTCGTTCCCGCAGCGACGATTCGATCAAGCATTGATTTGTTGGCAGTTGACGGACGAGGAAAGCAATCCAACCGTTAGTTCGTTAGTCGCAACGGTCCCCTGAACACCTGAGTGAGCGACCCGTTCCCATGCGTCCGGAAGGCTCGGGGCCGGAACAGCGAATCGGCGGCTCCTCCACAGCTGAACCCGCTCACCAAGCGGTGTCAAAAAACAGCCGAGCCGAGGAGGTTGAGTTGGCCGGGCATCTCCGTCCTGCTTGCGCAAACTGACCGCCATGTTTTGGCCAAAAATCGAAAGTATCACAGAGTTCTTCAATCCATTGAGGATTCCTCAATGCACCCACAAAATTGACAGACAAACCGTTGTTGCTTTGATGCAACCTACCCGCAGCGATTGCCAAACGTGTTTACTTGTGGTCGCGAACGGTCAAGGGCTTTCGTGACGAATGGTCGGGAATCCCAGCGGACGGAGATCCCCAGGCCGAGGATTTCCCTGCGGGCCCGATCTGGCATCACCCACTGGCGGCCACTGATTGGGTGGTAAAGCCTCACATGCAGGAACAGGGAAATGAGAGTTGAAGGCTAGGCTGTTCGTGGCTTCTCCTTTTCTGGGGCGGACCTGCTGAAAAATATCTGGGCTCTGCTTTTTTTGGTCCGCGAACTCTTGAAGCCGTGATCCTGATTGCGACACCTTCCTTCCTTCATCTTCTCCTCTGCCCTTTGTCTTCACTTTCCCGGCTTGCGAGGGTTGGTGCCTTGGTTCGCTTTCTTTTCACTTCGCCTTTTTTGGTATTTCTTTACACTGTCATTCAACGTTTTCGTCGGCGGTTTGGTTCGGCAGCCTTAGATTATCCATCATCTCTTCCGGACGTGTCGCGCGTCAAGACTTGCATCGCTAGGTTGGTAATTCTCCGTCCGTCCATCAACCACGCTCTCTCATCAACATCCCGCCGATTTGCGACGCCCTTTCTTAAGCCATTCCTTTTCCCACGCGCTGAGACGGGCGCACAAGGAGACACGTGTGGTCGCGTCAACTCATCCCGACTCTTCCGGCTGCTGACATCTTTTTGCGCACGTGTAGAGTACTTTCCCGCTTCCCGCCGTCGTCGAACGACCCTCCACAATGGCGACCGCGTCTCCCGTGGCTCTCTTCGAGAACTTCCCAGTCCCAACACTGGACCGGCCTTTTGGCGTCCACCTATGGCCTATCTTCAACAAAGCTTTCGAGTACGTCGTCGGTTACCCGGCCGATGACTTTACCTTCCAGCCTGGGCGCACGCCCATGTCTACGTTGAAGGAAACGGGCATCTTCATCATCATCTACTACACCATCATCTTTGGCGGTCGGGAATTGATGCGCAACCGCGAGCCTTTCAAGCTGCGCACGCTCTTTTTGATCCACAACTTCTACCTCACGGCCATTAGCGGCATTCTCCTCGCTCTGTTCATTGAGCAGATCCTGCCCACCGTCGTCCGCCATGGTATCTTCCACGCCATTTGCGCAATTGAAGGTGGCTGGACCCAGCCACTCGTCGTTCTCTACTACGTAAGTTACCCCCTACATTCTCCAGCACGCTATCCTCTTTAGTCAGGACTTGCAATGCTAACTCAAGCGGTTCCGTCTCTAGTTGAACTACCTCACCAAGTACCTAGAGCTTCTGGACACCTGCTTCCTCTTCCTGAAGAAGAAGCCGCTCACCTTCCTCCACTGCTACCACCACGGCGCTACCGCTCTCCTGTGCTACACCCAGCTGATTGGCTCGACCTCGGTTTCGTGGGTCCCTATTACGCTGAACCTGACTGTTCACGTTGTCATGTACTGGTACTACTTCCAGAGCGCGCGTGGCATCCGCATCTGGTGGAAGGAGTGGATCACCCGTCTCCAGATCATCCAGTTCGTCATTGACCTTGGTAAGCCGCCCATTAAGATGTTGCCTTGCGGCTTGGAACGATTGGCTATGACGAGATTGTAATGGGCTGACTCAATGTAATACAGGCTTCGTCTACTTTGCCTCGTGGACTTACTTCACCTCGACCTACTTCCAGTGGCTCCCTAACGCCGGCAAGTGTGCGGGCGAGGAGTTTGCCGCGTTCTCGGGCATAGCGATCCTCAGCTCGTATCTCCTGCTCTTCATCTCGTTCTACCTGGCCACCTACAAGAAAGACGGAAAGCGGCCCAGTGGGCGCAAGGCCGTCCGGAGGATGAGCCAGGCACCGCTCCCGGACCCGATTCACGGCTCGAACGCGACCGCCAACGGGTATGCGAACGGCAGCAACGGGGAGGCCAAGTCGACCGGGGTCAAGACCAATGGCACCGCCACTCGCTCGCGCAGGGCCTAAGCTGGTCAGCCCGAAGTCGAGACGGCGCCATGGGGCCGGTCAAGTAAGGAGTCGAGATAATGGGTCTCGAGAGGCACTAGCTAGCCTTGATCTCGCACTGCTGGATAATATAGTGCACGCGCCCTGATGCGCACTACGACATACTAGGATATTAATGGATGGATTTGGCACAGCGCAGTCTAGGGGCAGTAAAATGCCCCTTTTCAAGAAGGTTAAGAATGATTTTTTCTCGACACCATCATAACGGCATCTCGGTATTCATTGCGGAGTTAGAGAACGGGGACAGGGCATTTCAACGGGGGGCTTAGGGCTGCTCACACAATTTATCGGTGATGGGGAGATGCAGTCAGATCCTTGACGACAAAAAAGACGCGTGTATGATGGTTGGATCGCAAAAAGGTTTGGCGCCGTGGACAACACTGTCCAGATCGTCATGTCGGGTTGGGAGGTGGAACGGGGTCCCGGGAAGGTTGTACACTCTGGAACGTGGTGTTGGGAACGGCGGCTCGCACGGCGGATATGGTCCATACACGGCTTGGATCATTTTGTTTTACTTTTTTCTTTTACTTCATTCGTTTCGTTTTGTGTATACGTTTGCCTGTATTTCTGGCCCAAGCGGATACGAGCGAGGCGCACCATACGCAGTCTTAATAACATTATGTTGATTATGAGGGCCGGCGCGGCGGTGTCTTGGGCTGGGCTGCATGTGTGTGAACTTGTTGAGTCAGGAGAACCCGCGAGATGATCTCGGCCAGGGCGTGCTAATATGGCAAAGAATGGCCACTTCGAAGCAAGGCTGACTGACACCTGCAGGGACAGCCCGCCCTTCGTCGCAAGAAAACGCCATCGCCCAGTGAATGGCACGAACCCGACGACGTGATCCGCGATGCCGTTCCATCGTCAAGCAAGGTCATCACACGGAAAATGAAAGCGAGGAATGAAGACGGCCAAAGTTGAGACTCCTCCAGCATGCTCCAAAAGTAGCATTTCCAAGTCTCCTCTACAAAACAGACCTTCCATAACTCGTGATCAACAATCCATATCTCGGACGAGCTCGACCACTGTCTCATTTTTGAGAGGATGGTAAAGAAAGTCTTCGGTAGGGCGGTATAGGGAGCTGACAAAGAAGCCTTTCAATAGCCCGTCAAGGATGTCCTTCCTATGACGGGAAGGAAATATGGCATCGGATCTCGGGCAATCGAGACATCATCACCAGATTTAGGGGACGAAGATGGGTGTTGGGACTGGCGTCTAATTTATAAGTATTCCTTCTGCCCTATCGCTGTCCCAAGAACGCCTAACGATCAAACCTCCCGCTGATAACCTTTTCAAGAATAGCAGCCTATATTTAACCACAAGCAGCGCTCAGGTTTGATCGAGACCCAAGTCTAAAGCCGTACCCTGCCTCGAACCGATATCCATGAAACCCATCCAACATCTAACACACTCGATTTTCCGTCATACAATAGGAGAGGAGGTACCACCGAAGGTATCCGTGGGAATCTCGAAAAAATGGCCAAAGAACGTTGCTTAGTCGTGGTGGGGATCTATGGCAAACGTATCCGGGCCGATCAGTTCGCGATCTGGTGGCACCACTGTGTCAGCCCACGAGGTGATCAATGGCACAAACAGAAGCGACGCAGAAGAGAATGGAGGGCATTAGGGCGGGGCGGGGGGACGACCTTCTCACCCTCTTTCTCTTCTTTCTCGCTCTCCACCTCCCCCTTCTCGTTCTCCCCCTCCTCGCCCTCCACTTCTCCCTTCTCACTCTCTTTCTCTCCTTTCTTGTTCGCTTCCTCTCCCTCCAGTCCCTTTTCCTCGACGTTCTTGTTCTCCGCTTGCTTGTTCTCCTCCACGTCCTTGCTCTCCTCCACCGTCTTTCTCTCCTGCTCCTTTTCCAGTTCAGAGAGCATCAATATCTCCTTAGCCCGTTGAATATCCTCCCTGATCTTTTCCCGCCTAGCAGCATTTTCCCTCTCCCTCTCCCTCTCCTTCTCCTGCTCCCTTTCCTCAGGAGTCGTCACCAAATCCAACAACCACTCAATCTCCTTCCTGTTCCTTTCCTCCCCGGCCTCTAGCACCTCCTCAGCCAGCACCTTCCCATCACGAATGAGCTCCAGCAGGCGGATCGATTTCGTAAGATCTTGCCCGCAGACGTCCTTGTACACTAGCCACAGCTCGTGACCTTCGGTCGAGAACTTCTTAATGTTGAGGAACAGGTCGGTTCGCTCGGCCCGGACGAGCTGGTTGCAGACGGACATGGAGCCTGGGTTGCCTTTGGTGATGTCGAGGATGTAGATGAATTCTTCGGGGAGGTCATCTGTCTGGGGACTGAGGAGGTCGTTTATCTTGGAAGTGAGGTCGTCCATCTTGCTTGGCAGGGAAGAGGGGTTGTGTGGATGGGTGCGGTTTTCGTGGGGGTTTGGGGTGTAGGGGATATTGTGATCAAGGTGGGTTGGGTTGAGTAACCGGATGTGAAGAGTGTGTGGTACTGTTGACGGGGAGCGGTCGTGGTGTCTGGAAGGGTATTGTGAGGGTGTTGTTGATGGCGGGATGTGGAAGGCATGAGCAAAGTGATATGGAAATGGGCGGGTATTAAAGGCCGAGTCGACAGAGGGAGTGGTGACGGCCAGCTATGGCACTGGGATTCACAAAGATTTTGAGGCGTATATTGGGCGAAACAAGGTGGATCCAGCGTCGTTGAGCTGTTCTCACTGGCGGTTTATACAACAACAAAGGGGGAACGTTGGACAAAGAGGGGGGCGCAGGATGTTCAACCTGTACACAGCAGACAACAATTTTTGTGGTTTGCGGAACCATAATCAGGTAGGTCTGACCTGGGTAATCGGAAGCGGAAGGAAGGAGCGTGTAAGTGTATATTTCAAGGCGTGACAAGTGGTAGTTGGTGTTAGGGAAGTCGCGATCCAGAGCCCTGGCGGCCAGTGGCTTGTATGGTTTGTGCAACAAAACATTGCAGGCAATCCTTTAGGTAGCTCTAGTCCTTGCTTCAATGGTGACTATTTACAATTAGCCCTTTGGAGAGGGGTGGGTTTCTGAGTATCAAATCTGGCATTGGGTGATTGCTGGAGCTAGAAACGGCTTTTTGTTGTCAACACGGCTAATGTGAAAGAAATCCGTCCAAGTGTATCCAGTCAAAACACCCTGTTGTGTGCCTAGCACCTTCCAAACGGGACACCTGAACAAAGCATTCTGTTCTAGGGCCATCTCCGGTTTGCGGTTGTCTTCTAGTCTTCGGCATTCAGTAAGCCTGGCTTGGGATGTGTCGTTCTAAGCAGCTTTGTAGTGCTCTATAAGATGAGATCTCAGCCAGGGGATGATTCTTGGCAGAAAGAGGTTGAAGCATCCGCTCCGAGAAGTTGTCCTAGTCGTCTTGATCTCGGTACGTACCTTTTCTGCCCCATGACTAACCCAATCCTACGAGTAGCACTAGTTCGCCCAACCCTACCTCCCACCCCCGGGCATCCGTGGATACTAGGCGGGTTGTTTGATGCTCTCCCGTCGTCAATGCAACGTCATCGAGGCGAACAAGGCGTGGGGGGAGGATGAGGAGCCTTACGGATGGGAATATCTTGATCACACTGTGAAAGAGTTGGGGGTCATAGAAGCAGCTATCACATTTGCGGGGAAACTATCTTTATTGGTGGCGGGATTGTTTGTCGCTTTTCCGTTCTCGATACGACCTCGGCAGAGGGCATCAGCAGAGACCCGATGGCAGGAGGTGTGGTTGCGAGAGCGGTGATGCGCTTCCCTCGTACTACTGACTGTCTAGGGTGATCGGCTCGTGGACGAAGATATCAGGAGTGGTTATTGTCGGCGAAGAGTCAAGATCGGAGGGGAATTTCGGTTTTGCCTGGCCATCTTCGCAGGTTTGTCGTATCTTCCCTTTCATAATCCCATATGGCGGCCTCCCACGGTTTCCCGTTTGACCAGCCTCAACAATCGGCTTGCTTGATGGCGGTGAAAGGAGAAACGGTACTTTATTTTGAACGGCAACACCATCCCATCGCCATCGCCAAGCCCATCGCGAGTCATGGGAGAACAAAGGAAGAGGAAAGAAGGGGAAGAGAAGAAAGAAAAGGACCGATACGGTTGCATGAGCCGAATAGTTAAGCGGAACTGCTTCGGCCGGTACTGTATGCGACCCGGAAGTCGGACCGGCGGAGACCGGGGAAGGTTGCAACAAGGACTCAGACGAACCCGCGAACCAGGTTGGCGAAGCGGCAAAGCGGGTAAGCGGTAGGGAGCAAATCCGGGGAACCAGGTGTGGGAGCGCCGCAGCGCAGAAAAGAAGAAGATACTTTCCACCTAACTGCTACCCTACCATTTCGACCACGCCCATGCCCAAATTTACGTTGGGAAACCCCAGATTGGATGGTTCCAGGCCCGGAGCGGCCACGCTAGATTATTCTTCTCGACTTCTCAAATAGGAAACGGAAGAAGCCTTCCCCGACCGAAGAACACTGGACTGTCTTGGCGCGCCCGCCCCCAGGCTCAGCGGCAACGTCTAAATTAGCGTGTACGATGTGAAAGCTTCACTCACGAGGGGTATCAAGCCTGGACGGGACGGGGCTGAGAGGGAACGAATGGGGTGAAGAACCGAAAGATGGGGGGGATGGGATGGGAATGAAGAAAGAGCCTTGGCGAGAGATATAAAAAGGGGTTGTGGTTCTGTTGTGTCTCTCTTCTCATGCCCTCGTCTTTTCGTTCTACAGCCCTCTCAACAACCTCAAACAAGACACGACAAGCTCCAATAAGCAAAGATGAAGGCCTTCACGCTCGTCACGCTGGCCACGGCCGTCAGCGCCCACAGCATCTTCCAGAAGGTGTCGGTCAACGGCGCGGACCAGGGCCAGCTCAAGGGCGTTCGCGCGCCGGCTAGCAACTACCCGGTCCAGGACGTCGGCAGCTCCGCCATGGCCTGCAACACCAACATCGTGTACCGCGACAGCACCGTGATCCAGATCCCGGCCGGTGCCCGTGTCGGCGCGTGGTGGGGGCATGAGATTGGTGGCGCTTCAGGCCCGAACGACCATGACAACCCGATCGCGGCGTCGCATCACGGTGGGTGTCTTCCTCCACATCAATCCTAACACATGGCATGACACTAACATGACCAACCTCCAGGCCCCATCCAGGTCTACCTGGCCAAGGTCGACAACGCGGCCTCGGCCTCGGAGTCGGGCCAAAAGTGGTTCAAGATTGCCGAGCGCGGCTTCAGCAACGGCGTGTGGGCCGTCGACGAGATGATTGCCAACGGCGGCTGGCACTACTTCGACATGCCCTCCTGCATCGCCCCGGGCCAATACCTGATGCGTGTTGAGCTGCTCGCCCTGCACAGCGCCTCGACCGCGGGTGGTGCCCAGTTCTACATGGAGTGTGCCCAGATCCAGGGTGAGTACTTACTCTTCACCAAAGTACCTTCTCCTACTCCAAACAAACTAACATCTCTCTCTCCCTCAACAGTCACCGGCTCCGGCTCCTCCTCGGGGTTCAGCACCGTCTCCTTCCCAGGCGCCTACCCCTCCAACGACCCGGGCATCGTCGTCAGCATCTACGGCGCCAACGGTGCCGCCGACATGGGCGGCCGCACCTACCAGATCCCCGGCCCGCGGCCCATCACCTGCTCGGGCGGCGGCAACAACAACGGTGGCTCGCCGACCAGCAGCGCCGGCGGCAGCCAGCCCACCAACGGTGGTGGCAGCGTGGCCTTGTACGGGCAGTGCGGTGGTACCGGGTACTCGGGCCCGACGACCTGTGCGCAGGGCAAGTGCACGGCGCAGAGCCAGTGGTATAGCCAGTGCTTGCCTTAAGGGAGAGAAACCTATAAGGTTGGGTGAGAGGAAAGGCATGAGGCAATGTCGACGTTCTTGTATATAGTTGACCCCCTAAGCCCGTTTATTGAGCTCTAGATGGTAGTTATGCCGTCGGGGGCTCGGTAACGCAAAGTACATAAAACCACATATGCGTATATATTCGCATCCCGTTTCCGTTCCCAGGAACTTTCGTTGAGGATGAAGTGCTGTGACACTGTAATCCTGAAAGGATGGTATTACAGCGACGAGAGAACAATGGGAATGAAGTCTCGGTAAGATTTTACAACCCAATGCCTAAGGCGTTCTCGGTTTTGTACATACAACACCCCTAAGTAACAAAGTAGTGCTATCCCTCTTGGCCGACACTTACAGCCTGACTTTCCCCTCTCTGAAGGACAAACCTGCCGCAATCATATCTTTCAAGTGATATTTCAACAAGAACTTACACTCTTGGAACCCGTTCTGTTCCGTCCCCAGTAATTCATCGGTTTAGTTGGAGTGATATTATCTAGTAGAGATCAAGCAAGCCAGCCCTTTCATCCAAACTCACTGCTCACCCCGCTCACGGCCCCAAACCGCCGCACCTTCCCTCCTCCAAGGATATAAGTCCCCTTCCCGCTGCTCCTGTCACCATCTCCTCCCAATTCGCCAAACAGCGTGTTTGGCGCAGCGGTATTGGGAGGGGCGCTGGTCCCGCCAATTCCGTCATAAATCGAAATTGCCCTGGGTTCGATCCCCAAGTCAGCGAAGAAAAAACACCGGTTTTTCGTAACTGCCAACGTCTATCCCTCCGGATGGGAATAGGTCTTGGCTGTGAGCTTTTTGTTTTTCACTCTTTGAATAGGAGGAGACTTTATCTTGAGTGAGGAGCTAGTATCAGTCAGATATTTGGTTTGTATTTGCGATGTGGCATATCATAATACCTACCACGGTGTTGAGCACAGATCGATGACAAGACTATGTCGATTCCGAATATGATTTTCGGTCGCCAACATCACACACACACTTTGATATTGTGGGAACTTCAACAATCCCAAGTCCCGACTTGACCCAAGATATAACTCTCGAAAAATGACACACTTCATAAACTGCGACGTGATTTCTCGAAGGCCGCGGCCGTGTACTACACGCCTGTGATAACAGGTAAGTCGTACATCCCCAAAAGATACCAACCAGAAAGGAACACAGGGTGCATCCATGTAACACATCACCAGCAAACCATGCTGCCCCTCCCAAGGTACACTGTCAACCACAAACCAAGTTTCCATTCTTGCCTTTGACAAGTCAACTTCTAAAACGGCAGGTCGTCCACCGTTATCCCATCCATGGATGAGTTACCTCCCACTCATACCCAGTGTTCACGTCCCTCTCGCTAGCACCCACGATTTGCCTCTTCCACAGGTAGTGGGCAGTCGAGGCAGTGCACCTACCCCGTTTCGCCTCCCCTCGGACCCCGTCACAAAGCTCCTGAAACCGCGATCTCCACGGGTGCTGTCACCGGCTTTGCTTGGAGCCGGTGGGTAATTATGGAGCTGGGCAGACGGAAAGATGTTGAGCAGTTGTCGATGATGTAGTTAATTGGTTGCGTGTTTCAATGCGGTTTCTGGGGCCCCTTTCCTTTCCTTGCTACGTGTGCACTGCCCATGTATCCACGACGGCAAATATAGTCACAGAGGTTGATGTGGGACGATTCACCGGTCAGTTCGAGAAGCGAGAAGTGATGCACCCGCCGTGGCTGTTTGAGATGTCTTGTTTCTGTGGCGCGAGTGTAGGTCATGCAGTCCATTTCCTGGACTTGAAGACTTTGGAAATGGTACCCGGGCCATAATATCGGTATTAATCACCCTTTCTATCGATGTCCATGGCACCTGTGGTGAACGTCCACGGTCCATACGATAACGTGCCCCCGAATTCCCGCCGACGACATCAACCCACATTCTTCCATTCCCAGGAAACACAACACTGGGAGTCTGCTTGCGGTTGCAGCGTCTGACTCGATGCACCGTTTCTGCGTCGTGTAAGTCAACCCCCGAAAAGAGCATTGCTAGACCTCCGATTCGTCCATCCAAGCTAGTCGAGGGAAGTCAGAATAAACTCAAGAAGGTCCAACCCTGCAGATCGGGGAGAGACCAGAGAACATAAACCAACCATTTCCCTCTTCTCCGTTTCTTTTAAGTGAGCAGCACCCTTCTATGCAACCCCCACAGGGAGAGTCAGCTATCCCGACGCGCCAATCCCCAACTCGGAGACTATCGCCACCGGGCTCAGTCTCTTTAAAGGGATCCCCGCCTTCTCTCTACACTACACTAGTTTAAGGGGCGATTTTTTGGTTTGGAGCAATCGAAGGTGCTCAGTGGCGGCTTCATACACCAGGGGAGGAGAGATAACCGGCGCGCGGGTGTCTGACGAGGCGGGGTAATAGTGATCATGTCATGGAGCATGAATTGGTGGTGAACTTGTATCCGTAGTGTAGCATTAGCCCCTGACCATCCCCAGAAACACCTGAAGCTTGAAACCTCCAATGGGCGTTTCGAGACCTTCCCCCATCTCGAGCGAGTCCTTGCGTCGTGTCGCATCAAACGCCTGAGCCAGGAAGTCTCCCCCGAGCTGCCCAGACATTTGAACTTTTTACCCTTGTTACCGACATCCCTTTTCTGCTTGATGGTTGTTTGGAACCCGGGCTTTTTTTGTTTCTTCTACCATCCACCCGACATCTCAGATGCGGCCCACTCTGAGCGTTTTCGCGTAACGGTGAATTGCAGCATCGCAGCGGTTCCTGGTTCCTGCATCAAATGTATGCGGGGTCTCGGGGTGTGGTTGTGATGTGGAGCTGCTGTCGTGCCCGCCTTGCAACAAACCTTGAGACGAAGCGAGGCCGGTATCCGAGATGCCGTGATGCACCCCCCTAGCATGCGCGCGCGAACTTTCGGACGGTTTTGCGGCTGGAGGCAGTGTGCGGTGCGTTCTCGAGGTATTGATTCAACACCTAAAGCGGACATCGGGGATGCAAAGGAAAAAATGAAGCCGATGTTTATACCCGGGCGCAACCGACGAAGAAAGCAGGAATGCAGAAAGCATTCAACAAAACGAAGACAAAAAGAGCAACAAAACAAAATCGAATTCCGCCGTGAGGCTCGTAGCCGAGAGCAACCCTCTTCGCGCCAATCCCCCCAGCCGAGCTCGAAGCGGAAGCAACCACGACATTGATTCCGGAATGGAGGCTTCCTGAAACATCCCTCCCGTCGCTTTCGCCGCCCTTGGCAATGACCCTTAGGAGAAGCAGAACCCTGGATAGGCGTTGAAACGGAGAACTCGCCCCCAAGCGGGTGCCCGGCGGGCCAGACTTGCATTCATTCCCGCTTCCCTTGAAGCACGACTCCCTCAAGATGCTTTGACCCAAAGGTAAAACCCTTCTAGAACAAAGGAAGGAATCGCAGCGGGTGCAGGGCAGGGGGCATGACGAGATGGCGACGATGCCCTTGTTAACGAGTAACGGCGGCCCCACTGCATCTTGGAATGAATTGAAGCAGGGGAGTCGAGTAACGTTAACCTTGATGTACGGATTCGTATCGGTTCAAAGCTTGCAAGGCTCAAAGCCACGTATGACTGAAAGTTTCTGAGCCGCCCTCTGCCGAAATGGCGGTGTCTCGCAACCCCAAGCAAAGGCGCCCATCCGAATGTAGAAAATCACACCAAAAACTCTAGTTTGATTACATCACGCAGTGAGGTGGAGAGATGTTTCTTGTGATCACACAATACAGTCACTCAAGAGCACAATCGGAGAATAAGAGTATCTGGGAACTGAGTGCGAAGACTGCAACCTGCAAATCGTTCTGATTGAAAGCATAAACATCCACCAGAGTGATATAAAAGTGGTATCATCATTCCCCACGCCTCAAACCAAAAAAAAGCAAAGCCTCCGCCCCCAAGTCATGTCCCGAAGATCAACCATACATTCATCATTTTCCCCCGTAAAACGCCGTTTCCTCGAGATGATTAGTTATGAGTGCTGTCGATCCCTATCCGATCGCTCGTTTGTTTGCTGAGATGGTGAAGAAGAAAAAACGCTTGTGAAATGCACGAATTTGCCCAGTCTTCCGTTTTCAAGACTTCCCCATGAGCTTGACGCTCCTCCTCTTAGCTGACAGCCCGCTCAGTATCCCCTTCCTGATCGACACTGGGCTGTTGTTTTCAGCAGTAGGTGACACGATGTCGTTGTTTGCTGGTGGTGCGCCCATGACGGTCGCGTTGCGCTTGACCGCGCGGAGGATATCCGTGTACGTCACCGGTGTCTGTGGCGTCTTTTGTGCAAGATGTGGTTGTTGCTGCGGGAGACTGTCCACCGAAACAGCAGTTGCCGGCGAGGCCATCGTATTCCGCTCCGACGCAAATGACGTGTCCAGCTTCGGCACCGCGGGTTGGGGGGAGTTCAGGTTCGGCCGGCTCCGCTTCCGGGACAGGCTGAATGATCTCGTCACTCCCTTGAAAAGTGCGGTTGGCGTGCGCGGCGTCTTGGTCGAATGGACCTCGCCTTCGAGGCTGTCGAGCGCCTTGGGGATGTTAAGTGTGTAGCTGCTGCCATTGGCGTAGGGGTCAATGCTGAGGAAGGTCGGCTTCTTGTTGTTCGTCAACATATCTGATAGAAATGTGCTCCTCCGCTTCGCCGACATGTCCCTAGCAATGTAAGAATATCGTGACGAGGCGGTGCTTGCCGGCGACACTGGACGGTCTTCGGCTGGGATGGACTTGGTAGCGGTCGGTTCGGTCACGGATGTCGACTCTGTACTGGATCGTATCCTTGACGTGGATTCCGAATTGCTCGATGCCGGTCGTTTCCTTGTCGCTGGTAGATCGACAAGAGATGGCTTCCCTGCGAACACGACCGACACCACCCTCGCTGTGTCTTCACGGCTGTTGACCCTGCTGGGCGAGGCCGGGTCCTCCACGCTCGAGTCGTAGTCGTAATCGGAGAAGTCGTCGGCGTCGGACGAGGCGTCTTCCTCAGAGGAAAGGTAAACATCATGCGGTGTACCAAGCTCCGCCGTCTCGACAGCACCGTTGTCCAGGTTCAACTTCAAGTTGCCGAGCACCCGCGAGGCCCGAAGAGCGCTCTTTGTAGGCAACTGGGGAACGGCACCGTTCTCGAGCTCGGGGCTTGGGGCCAAGGCGTCCGAGTGGTCCATGTCGTCGAACTTGTCGAAGATGGGCTCGTCAAAGGCCGCTGCTTTGGAGGAGAGAGCGAATGAGCGGGTGTTCTTCGCCGCTGCTTCGTATGAATGCCCCGCGTTGAGAATGGGGCGAGGTTGATCTGTGAGAGACATGGCCCCCGAGGGCGACCAAGTTACTGTGGTGACTAGAAAGCTCGAAATAGTAGTGGTCGGGAGCGAAGATATGTGAAAGGACACAACGTCCTAGGTTTTAGTCGCCTGTCGTGAAGGTGTCGGTCAACGTGCGTCGGATTGGTACGACTAACTCATATGGAGGAACATGTCCCGAGAGTTTGGGGGGGAGAGAATATTTTAATGCAAGTTGGTGCTGCCCGAGGTGGGCGATCCCCCTCTAGGAAAGGGTGGTGCATAACGGCCTGCAATGACCCGGCCCACCATCTCAGCTGGCCGCTCTCCGGAGTGGTGTGCTGTGGGTGTCAGGACATGCATGAGTGCATGTATCTCCGTTTCGAAACGGCGAATGCGAAAGGGCTCCGTTCAAGCCCGCATGGCCTCCGTCAGCCCCTGCCCCTTGCTCCTGCCCCTGCCATGGACGATCCCTGCGCAACGGCCACAGCGGGCACGCAGGGCATGGCTGAGATCGTAACAAAAAGTGGCTTGACATGACAAACGTCTTGATTCCAAAGAAGCGCGCAGCATACACTGCGTCCGCATTCCACAAGCAGAGTGAAGCTATCGACAGTCCATCTTACTGCCTCATGAATGAGTAGGCTGCTTTTTAGAGGCCTGATTGGCCTGGAGGTCGGCTACCATCTGGGCTGCCCAAGTGCGATTGAAAGTTGCTCGAACGGCGAGCGTTGGTTGGCCATGACGGATGTTTCAAGTAGAACCTGGTCGTCGACCTTAAACAGCGACGGGACAAGAAAACTATCGCCAAGCCTCCGATTCTTCGGCGCGATGCGCAACACTGGATATTTTGTGGGACCCTCCCTTCGCGAGTCAACCCTCGGGATGGAAAAGGAAAGACTTTCGTGATTCTCGCCTCTCTGTTCAGACTTGCTGAACGGGGAAAACAAGCCAGAGGATCAATCACTCTCGACCGCTGCACGGTCCCGGTCTGCGCAATTCGATCGTGGCGAACACGGGACTTACGATTTCCGTACCACAGCCACGACGTTCAAGGGGAAGAGTTCGTTTGCGAGTTCAAAGAGTTGCGCAGCCCGTCTCCGCCGTCATCAGCCGCAGGCCGACTTCCCGAGGCGCCTCCGAGTTTTCTCGACAGCGTGACCGCTCGCTGCGGGCGCCATTCTCCAATCAGTTTGTGGTTCGTCGTTGCCGCCGGCGTTGAGTCTGGGGAGACTGGCAAAACTGGTTACTCGTACCAATCGGCGGGAGGTAACCCCCCTCACGAAAAATCCCTTGTACCAATGATAGAGCGCCTGCGAGGCCCCATTCAACCTCTCCCGCCGATGCCCCCCGCGCGCGACCGATAAGAGGCGAAACACGAAAATGCCCACCCTCCCCAATGTTCCCCTGGCAGGAACTCGCTACCGCCGCCGGAGGAAGTTACACTGCATACCACCGCTCTCCTTACACTAGAAGAAAAAGAGCGTTAGCCTGCGAAAATCTTGAGCGGACGGCCTCCGTTGAGGGACCGGAATTGGGTTGAAGAACTGTCCTGGCCGGCGCCCACTCGCCCGACCATTCGACCCGTCGCAGCGCAACGGAGCCCGACCGACCACCTGCCCGCCCGCCCGCTTGTGTCGGCCGGCCTTCTAGTCTTACCTGCTCTGGGCACGATATGTAAGGCAAAACGGAGTGTTGTTCAGACTTGCTTTCAAAAAACTCATCGTCGCGTCGGCCGTGATGTCTCTTCCTGGCTCACTCCGTGGAATTCCCTGGCCAGCATGAACTTGCAGATTACGACGGGGACGGCGCGGCCTTGACATCCTCCGCCCGACCACCAAAACGGCAAGGCGCCTTGAAAATCCGCCGCATCTTTCCCCTCTCTTGAGGGACATGACCACCCAAGAATGAGTTGCGATGGTCAGCCCGATAAGCAGAGGCTATTGAGGGCCGGCCGCGGGCGAACAAAGGCGGTGGTGCAAGCAAGTTTGGCCACAACAAAATAAAAATAAATTCCGGTCGGAATTGGTGACCAGGAAACTCGTTCGAGGTTCCCTCCGTCTTAACCACCGTCCCCACCTGAACCCACCTCGAGCCCACCCACTCATGCCACGGCATTGGGCGGAGGTGGGCCCTGATCTGCAGAGTCCTCGTTCTCCCGATCTGACTGTCAACTTCTTTTGAAATGACACCACGACATAGAGTTCCCGCCCGATTTCTGGCTTATTTCATGGGCAGTGTGCACGAGAACGCTTTCTTCCGTACCCGTTGGCAAAACAATGGGGTTGTGGTAGCGTTCCATTTGTTGTCCATCTCTTACCCTACAAATCAACGACAGCTGGAAAACGTGGCTCAGCTTTAGCCGTGCTTGACCCATTGCCTCTTATTCAATGAGTTCTTCTCAACCGTTCAAAGTCAGATGAGCGACCAACCCAGCGAAGTAGCCCGGTCAAGGAAACACGACGGTCAGCTGGTCCTTTGGGCCTAGCCAAACCACCGAGCTCCGTTTTCTCAAGAACATACCAGACGGACAAAGAACCCATCCCACCGGGATATCTATGGCTTAGGCTTCGAACTTAGCCAATGCCCATTGATTGCGCCTCAGCGCCTCTTGTAGAACTCGATTTTTCATCGGCTCTCCCTGGGAAACAACCCCGTGCAACCCTCTCCATCGTGAGTTTTTGTTTCAATCCAGTCAAGCCGATAACTTGCGACCGGCCTCAAACAAAACGCTTGCCAAGACTGCGAGCACCCTATGAATAGCGGCGCTTAGGGTTTGAACGCAGGGTACGAGTCAAACTGGTCGAGCGCTTCCGCTCGAGTTTTTCAAGGGACTCGAAATACATCATCCCTCGTCGTGTGTAGCATCGGCCTTTCGTTTCCCGGGCATTCGAAACCCGAGCTGTTGTTTGGATTGCTTCAGACGATGGGAAAGGGGAAAACCCCTGCGTCGGGGCGCGACAACGTTCCGAGCGACCAGGCCACCCGCCTGGGTGAAGTTTCCACGGTTCCCATGGTGGTATGAACGGGTCATTGATTAATGAATGGGAGCGTTTTTGTTCTAAGAATGTTCTTTGATCTCCTTTTTGCCGAATTCCGCTTCCGCCTCTGACCGTGGTTGTGGGAGCGGCCCCGTCTGATGTTGATGAAGCAGCCAACCCTAATTTTGACCTTTGCGTCATTCCGCTTTCCCAGGGTTACGGATTGTTGGCCCAAGCGCCCGGCCCAGGTGCCTGGTCCATGTGTTCAGACCAGACAATGCCCTTCAACTCTGCCTCTATTTTTCTACTTTACTAGCAAATATTTTGGACAACCCTTCCTCAACGCGAGGACCGACACCAGTAGCTTGCCCCGTTTCTCCGGTCTTTTGTGTCTCCGTCTCTTCCCAGGAAGCTCGATGCATCTCTTAGGCCCCTTTGCAGCTGAGTTACGTACCTTTCCGGTCCAACTTTGGGCCTGGGTGTTATCCGAATAAGGTTAGCGCTAAAATGTTTCTAAATCTGTTTCAGCTCCAGGGTTCCCTCCCGCTCTCCACATCCCACTTGCCGATTTGGGAACAAGTCCACCCAAGACCCGATTCGTTCATTGTCTTTCTTTTTTGCCTTTCGTCATTCTCAACGGTTCTTGGAGACACTGCCTCCGAGCGATGAAATCATACGCCAAAATCAGTAGCTATTTCCATCAACATGAAAGGAAACGGACAATATTCCAAAGACCCTCCGCCGGAGTCAGCATCTTGTTCAACACGGCCAACTCATGGAGATCTTTTCCCTCTTCGCAGACGTCAGTGTGGCACAGAAAAGACTGACAACCCTCTTTGAATGGCCCCCCCCGCCGTTGTCTCTCACTGCCCGCTGAACGCCCAACGGGATGAGGCTGACCCGGCTGAGCAACCGTCACAAGGACGAATCATCTTCACCGTTCGGCCCCAGCACCGCAGCAAGCGGACAGCAAAGGATAATACATAGTAAGTCAGTGTATCCGTAGAGGTCGGGTCAATCGGAAGACTGCGAAACCGGCCGGCTGTGTTCTGGCGAGGCTCGGTGGACGGAATGCTGAGCTGACTGGCTTTGTAACGTTGTTGTTCGTAAAAGTTAACCCGCAGCGACCCGGAGGATGCCATAACCCGGTCTCCGTTTCGGGTCTGCTGAGTTGGCCAGGGACTTGGGGGATTCCTACAAAGATTCCCATGACGCTGGATGGACGATATCTTACCGACGGGGAAAGCCTTGCGGTGTTTGCCGGTCGATTGCGCAGCTTTGTCTGCGTAATCGGGCAGTGTCTTATCGCTGCATCAAAAGGTAATAAATCGGAGTGCGGCAGGTTGGTAATGTAAGTTTGGGAGTGGCCCGCCACTGGCCCCGACCTTGCATGTTAAAGGAGAAACACATGGTGTGCTCTCTCTCGCTATGTGTTTGAAGCTCCTAGATTATTATTATTTCGCAAGATAGGCTCGGAGAGGGCCAAAAGCTCTGGCATGCGGCCCGATGTGCAGGCCAGGCGAGAGTCGTCGGCGGGACTCTACCAATAGAACCACCTCAAATTGCCAAGACTCACGATATTATGCAGTTGGTGTTGTGCTTCGTCAACCCCGGCACCCCCACACGCGTTTAGCGATGAGTTTGCTGTGCCGACCGATCTAGATCTCCTAAATTTTCTTTTGTTCCCGTTGAGAGGTTTGGCATTTAGAGGAGGTGTTTGTTGTCATCGACCTCGCTCTCACAGCACCTATTTTCCGGACTGGATCGTCATCAAGTCCCAACAGGCTCACGGCGGCAATAAAATACCTAAATATGAGGCCTAATATTGTCGGCCTCTGCGTCCTGGGCCTGTTCACTTCACTGGCAGCATCTGCCACCGACGTCTCCTTCCGCGATTGGTACCCCGAATATGGGCTCATTTTCCAGCATACCCTCGAACAACACTGCTCGGCCGAGTACAATACCTGGGCCAAGGGCCAACGCCCAGATGCCGACGATTAGATCGCCAACGGCACAACCTCCGCCGGCCAGGCCGTGGTACAATGCATCTTATCCAGCACTTCCGAGTTCATGAAAGCCAACATGGCCTCGGCCGCCGTGCTACTAGGCATCATGCCCTTCGCGCTCTCCGTACTAGGTTCCAGCAGCGAGGAAAGCGCGCTGCTCTATGTCATCGCCCGCCGACCCTTACTCACCACCCTCCTCCTCGCAGGGGCCCCCGTCGTCGTAGCGCTCCGGCCATTCGAGTACAAAGACCCCGTCGGCATCCTCCGCGCCCGCGAAGGCCGCTTCTACAGCTTCCACATCCGCCGCTCATGGGTCATACTAGTCCTCGAATACATCGTCGCATTAGCCTCCGTCGCCAACGTAGTCCACGTCACCTACGGCCTCGGCGTCGGCGTCACAACCATGATCCTACCGGACTCCAGCTACCTGCCGGGGGTATGGGCGGGAACGGGCATCGCAGTGCACATCATTGGCGCGCTGTGTCTCAAGTCCCGGCTGCGACTGCTCACGCCCAAGGGGGAACCGCTCCTGCAGTCTGAGCTGACGCTCTCGGCGGACAAGAACATTACGGTTGAGACGGTGCCGGAGACGAAGCAGTTTCTGGCGTTGTCGTGGTTGACCTCGACGTCGACGACTTTTCATGTTATATTTGGCACGCTGGCCTTCTCGAGCATGCAGTTTGCCTCGGTGCGTGATACCTTTGGGATTATTGGTCGCTACACGGCTTCGGTTACGGTGTGCCGGGTGGTGCTTATGTATGAGCTTTCCGGGCTGCGGACGGCCGTGGACAGCATCTCTGTTGTGCCGTCTCCGGGGGATGATGGGCAGGACCCGGTGGATGGGCTGAAAGCGGGACCGAGGGTGTTTACCTTTGCCCCGTGAGGCATAACCGGGAAGTGGCAAGTGGGATCCGGATGTACAAAGAGAAGACCCGGAACCATGTTGCGACCATCACGATGCTATGTAGATCCGGATTCAGGAGCGGAAAGCTGTGCGGAGTAACGGAATCCCTGTCTAGATGTATTGTACATACATACAAAAATACTTCAATGTTATTCAAAATGTCTAAAAAGGGTATCCAACTCCTTATCATTAGCGTTTCCCAAATTTATCTCTCAGCTATGTATAGACCGGCCATTCGAATGTCGTTTAAACTACCATGTAGAAACGGAAGTTTGCCATGCCGGCAGGCGGGTTGCAGCGGTTCGGGTCAGCAGAACCGAGGATCGACAATCCCGCGCCGCTTACCCACCGATCGGCCGGGACTCCGGTGCCGTAATCCTGCCGGCCAGCTTTATTCCCTCCGAGCATTTAAGTGCGGGGTAGTTAGCTCAAAAGCTGAAGAGCAAGCTAAGATTTCGTCAGCGGGTTTGTGAATTGCTCTTGAGCTGACTTATTGGCTCCAAAGCTAACAGGTTGAGGGCATCTTAGAGAGGGGCAAGATGGACCGGACCGACAGTCAAAACGGAGAGCCAGATTTCATTTGTACTTTCCGAACGGACTGACTTACTATCTATAGGCCGCTTCTACGATCAGTACTATGGATTGGGCAAAGTTACCCCACTCAAACTCGACTGCCTCATTCTTGATTCTGTCCACACACTGGCAATACATATCCTCAGTGACTTGCTAAAGGTATTCTACCATCCTTTTGGTGTCCGGACCTTCAGTCTGTCCGAGAAATTCTCAACAGCCACCGACTTTGTTCGTCTCGTCAAACCTGGAGAAATCGGTATACATCCTTTACCCAAACTGTGGCTAGATTTTAAACGTCGTCGGTTTATATATCAAGGTCATATGAATTAGCACCTTATTTTGAGTTTGAGATAGTTAACTGCATTGTAGACCCTTAGTGCTACATCCGCTGGTATCTCATCACCTGCTCCTCACCGTCTACCATACCCTGTTAAATCGAAAAGAACGGGAGCGTCACCTCTGTGAATGGCACTGTGAGAACGATGCACCACCACATAGAGGGCCACATTGGCCGAGCACATTCAGATTCATCCCGAACAGTGAGACAGTGCGTCAGGAGGGTGAAGTACGTCTTTGATAAGGTGGACTTCTTCACCAATTCAAAAGATTTCTCGTTTGTGGACTTTCATATCACTCTCATACCACCCGATGCTGTAGATAGCAGCACTTAAGATATCCTCTACATTCTTGAGACCAGGGAAAAAAGCATTGAACTATAAACTGCCACCGTGAAGGTGGGGCATCCCGGCATGCACGGCGCCGATTTTCCCGGGCCAAGGCCGGAGGTTGACCGGGACTCCACGCTTTGTCCGGGCTCAACGATCAGCACTGCCTGACAAAGGCGAAAGCGAATTGGAATTCTCGTGTTGTTACCCGTCTAGAAAGTATGGTCTTAGGTTACAAGAAGCAGTCGAAATCCCATTCCACCGGGACAAGAGGAAGAATATCAAGGGGAGAGGTAGTTAGTCAGCAAAAACAACAACAACGCACCGCTTCCTAGTCTCCAACCAAGGGCGCCTACACGGGAAGTTCCCAGAGTCATGGACACCTTTAGCCGGGAGGAGAACCTGGGTATCTCGAGACTCGGTGTTCGGTACAATTCCAAACCTTAACCCGCCCCCCCCGAAACGATCCTCGGCCCTGCCGTCCTCACATTTCCTCCCTTTTCGCTTCATATAGTACCTTCACTTCAAAACGGATCACCCCTCGCATGACCACAAAGTATGTACGAGAAGGAGGAGCAAAAAAACGGAAAACGGACGTGGCATGAAGGTAGGTAGCATCCGGTTGTTCTACTTGCATTAGTTGCCCCCCTGCAGGGGATATCTGCAAGACACAGACACACAAATGGCAAAAAGAGTCTTTTGCAAGTTTGAGCCCACACAGCAAAAGCGTGCAAATCATGAAGCGGGTTGGGAAAGTTGGCGGGGTGGCCGTCTGAGTTTCTTGTCTTCGGTTTTACTAGGTTATACAGAAGGGGGCATTGGAGATAGAGACGAGAAACACAATAGAAATGGAATGTACCTTTATTCCTATGTAATCAACTAGCCGTCACTCTCCCTCACTCCCGCGAATTATGTACTTACCACCTCCTCCCGTACCACTATCCGCTATTTTTGCCACCACCTCCCATATTATGTGGTAAATCCGTAGACATCATATCAACCCCAATCCTGAAACATTTCTCATCTTCCCACAACGGAAAGATCGACCACATACCACCATCTACCACCCACATACCACCCGTCCACACATAGCCATATGTACATACCTGTCGTGTTGTCCCCCACACGAACAAGCTCGTGCATAACCAACCCGCAGCAACACCGGGACCAAGCCCTCCGCCGCGTTCAATTTCGGCCAAGTGCGCTTGTAATGTTTCCCAACGCTTTCCGCTCCATGACGTCTGATCGGTAGGTCGGCCGGACTTACTTACCTATGGAGTGGGAAAACGGAGGCGTTCGGTGGGCGAGTACATGGAAGTTGTTGAACACGTATCTTATTGGTGGCCCATGATTTAAAACGGAGGAGATGTTGGAGCGTAGGTAAGAAGGCAGTCAATCACTAGGTTGTCACTCGCCACCCAAGGAACCATCCATTCCCCTTGCTTACATCATAAAAGGGTTGAGGAAGGCTCCCACTAGGCGCACGGGTCCGTGCGCTTACGTAAACCTGAAATAGCTTATA